TTACTGGTGATCAATGATGTGAGATGACAATTAGGAGGATGATTAGAATGACGATTAGGATGATGATTGTGATCAATGATAGCTTCGGTCATGGTGATCAAGAGTGCGAAGGGGAGCTTAATGACAATTCCATATTCTTCAAATCAAAACCCCCACTGACAGAAAAGCATTGTGCAAAAGGACAACACTCACTTTGGCCTCTCATCTGAAGCAATCTCCTGTCTCATGTCACGGATCCAAATGAGCAAGTCTTGTATTTGCAAAAGGAATCGCTGTAACTCATCTGAATCTCCCAGCTTTGATCCTCTTTCACTAACACGTGCAAGTAGATTCGACCATGCATCTAGAACCTGGCTTTCTTTGTTTTCAATCTCCTGTTCTCGATCGCCAGCATAATGTGGTTTTAGTTCAGAAGCAAAGTTCTGGATTTCTGCAACCTGAAACCAGAAGATGCAACTGTGTCGGAATAGGCAAACAATAAAAATGCGTGAAGGTTTTCAGAGAAACGTACAATAACAGAAGCAGAATGACCCTCATCGGAGTTTGAATTAACAATCAATAGTTCCATATTGATGAAAGGCCTTTTTTATTTTGAAGATAAAACCTAATTGCAGACACTGTACTAAATGTGCTGATGCAATTTTTTAAATCCTTCAGTTCTAACGAAGATGACCAACCCATTAAAAATTACACTTGACGCGTGTGTACAATGGGTCCAAGAAACTTTTATGGCTACCTACCTGATTTCCTAGTGGCTGCAAATCGGCTTCAAAAGCGCGGTGATATCGCTGCAAAGCATAAACACTTTGTTGGTCACGACCAAGATCCTCTCCAAGTTGAGACTCTTTCTCCTGTAAGAAATCAAACACAATTTGTTACTAGGCTGATGTGTTGACATGATGACAATGGTGATGACAATGATGATGACAATGATGATGACAATGATGATAACAAAGATGACGATGACGTAGAAGATGAAGAACACATTGAATATTCATTGAAAATATGCCTACCTGGATCATAGACAGTGTCTGCCTGGCTTCTTGAAAGAATCTGTGGTATTCGTGCGCACCAGCTAACAACTAAAGGAGTAAGAAACATGAACATAACAGTTAAGATAATCAAACAAGCTAGAGAGGAAGTTTGGTTTTCAAACAGAACTACAAAGCGTGCTAATAAAATAATGACTATAGGATTTCTTGGGTACTGCTGAGCTCTTCGACAACAAAGACGCATTCACCAAAAATTAAGAACGAAGGAAAGCACTTTACTGAACAAAAAAACTTAAAATAAATATTTAATAGTCTACATAGGGAGAGAATCAGTCTATTTGATAGTCAGTCCAATTCAAAAAATGGACTGAATCTTGTACCGTTTAGGTGTAAGTCAAATCATGTTATCAACATTACTGACTAATGTCTTCACAGTCATCTGAAATATTGATGAAATGTATTCAGCCTACTTTGGTGCCTTATTTTTGGCTATGAGTATGCGGTCATTAACCTGTGTATTAAATAAGTGTATTATTGAATGAGCAACCATGAAAACGGAAAACAAACCTGCTTCCTTGTTTCTATCAACTCGAGGAGGTTTGTCCACGAGTCATTAAGACCGACCTTCCATTCGGAAATAGTTGCAGCATCCGAATGCCCACTGCCAATCAACTGGTCTGCGATGGCATTGACACTTTCAACTCGTTCGATGCCGATTCTCTGCGTCTCTTGTGAAAACCTGTCGAATCTTTGTTCCAGCATCTACAAGGAGACATGAAAAAAGTCGACGTCCATCTGACACCACAAACTAACTTTAGACGCGTTGGTTTTGCTTTGGAAGTGTGGGGAACATCAAGGGAAAGACTATTTCTCACTCTAATCAAATCAGAACTGTAGGTAGTCAATACATCAGTAACTATGTATGATGCCAAAGCAAGACTCTAGGAACGAAGCAGTATTCCCTCGTACCCACATCGATTCCCTCAGCCTCAACAAACACAAAATTTTGTTTTTCATAATTGGCTGCCAGCTTCGTTTCTTGAACAAAAGGTAAAGAAATCATTTTAAGGTCAGAGTGCTCTAAAACATATAATGAAGCAAGAATCGAATCTATATGATAAGTAACAAACCATTTGCGAAAGTAGACATATGAAATTGGCTCATAAAGTGGTATGCTGCTACGATTTTTTATTTAGTACTCCTCGAGTCGAATAAGGCTCTTTACCTGCACGTGATCAAAGTCTTGACCAATATCTTGCACGCCAGCTACGACCTCCTTTTCGTTTATCCATGTCTCTAAATCTTCCACCTAGAACAAAATAATTTACGCAGCGTAACAAGATTTACTTAAAAAGTAGCATCTTAGAAGCAACAGAATCATATTTCTTTACAAACAAAATATTCTGCCAAGGACTGAAACACTAATCAATAAACAAGTTTGACGTAAAGGCTTTTCCATAAAATGTAAATATGTTCAGTTCTAGATCAGCGAAAAGCCCTAAAGGTTTAAGTTCGACGCACAAACATTATTTTTTTTTAAGATTTTAGCTTCTACATAAGAGTAAAGATTTTGCAGACCACATTTTAATATATACAAATTTAGTTTAAAAGAGTATTTCAACAATAGCGATTACAAATAAACTTTAGCATATCTGGGCAGCAGGAAATTTACCTCACGGTTGAATTGGTACAACTTCAAGTTTTCGTCAAGTTTCGAATGTCTATCCTCTGCAAGTTCCTTCAGCTCTGCATACTCTTTCTCGAGGTCTCTCTGGGTGCTCTCTATCAACGAGCTACCAAACAAATGGAAGATGATAATGGTTGACAGTAACAGCAAGGCATTTATTATGTGATGGGATAAACCCTTAAATATACAAAGTAATGGGAAATTTTGGGTATTTGACAAAATAACCAGTATTCTAATACAGTTAGAAAGGATTTATAAAAGCTATATATGATCTGCAGCCAAATACTTTTAAGCGGACTCCAAGTTTCGGATGTCACGCTTAAAATATTGGTACCATCTCGAGCAATCTTATCAACAGAAACAAATTTGATGAAAAAAGTAGCCATTTTAAAACATTGGTTACATACCAAGGCTACACAAGGAACAAAACAACAACAACAAAGACAACTTGATGAGCGACAACAATAAAGAGAACTTGTCATACCTCTCAGGGTGTTCTGCAGCAACAAGCTCCTCTGATCTTCGCCTCAAATCATCAATATCTTCTTGGAAGTCCTCGACCGCCTTTTCCAGGTTGATGTGCTTGTTTAACAAACTCTGCGCTGCATTCTCATCTTTGCCCCGGTCATCTCCAATCATGTAAAGCTCCTGCTCACTCATCCATGACTCCGCCTCGGCTGCGTCATGGAAATACTGCAATGGAAAGATCTTATCAACGACCTGCTTTCCTTAACATAAATAAAATATTTGTCTTTAAACCACAGCGAAACATCAACAAATGTTGAAACTGATCTTTGCTGCCTCTTACTGACTTGAACAGTGTCCCCCTGCTTCTAAACACTTCTCAATAGATATATTTTTATATGTCTTAATTTACTTAATCTCTTTATCTTGAAAATGAAGGACTTATCGAACAGAAATTGGACTAATTTTCCCACTAACGATATGATAGAAAAAATCAATGCAGTGCTATAGGATGAAAATGGGTAGCCTTCTACGTAGTAATTTTGAGTGGTGATCAGTTTTCACACATCATAACACTATTCGAGGAGGCGGGCGGTCACACATCATAACACTATTGGTTGATCAATGACTTAGGAGTTAAACTAGTCTACTACAGAATATTGAAGCTTATTGAAATGATAGCTCGTAACATCCATATCAAAATAGCTCAATTCATACTATTTTTCTTTTCCTCAAAAAATGCAGAAACTTTTCCAAACTCAGGACATTATTCAAAAGGTGCACCAAAGCTTAAGATCTTCAAACAACAACAACCCTTTCAATGAAGGCTTGATTGCATACCTGTCTAGCAAGCAGAGATTCATCGAGCTTTGTTTGGTAGTTCTGGGACAAATCTTTGAGCTTGTCCAGATGTTCCACCAGACCATCCTTCAACTCTTGGATCTCCTCTCCACGCGGATGCTCGCCGTTAGCCATCTCCTCCCCATTGACACAAAGTGCTGTGATGATTGGCTCATGACCCTCGATTTCCATACAAAGATTCTGAAAAAGAGGACATCGAAACGATTAACAGTTTTAGAAAATTTCGTCATCAAGCTAAATATAGGCGGACTAAAAAACCACTATGAAGTTTGCAAAAAGATGGCCTAGGAGTAGACTTGTGTTTCCCTTTCATGCGGTAGAAGCCACAGTAAACTTTCAGATCAAGTATTCAACATACTTCTACACTTCAGGTTCTCTTCTCCTGTATTGCAACACTTGTGACACTAATCCTACTTCATAGTACTATAATGTTGTTTACTGTATTAGTGTCTATAGAACGGCCTATTTTGACGATTCTGGGACACTGGCTTGTATTAAATTCACTAGAATGTGTCTTTTGACTGGTCCCTAAATCTCCGAGCAGTGAAAATAATGTGATTGCCTTGGAGACAATTTCCCTTATGTCTGCCACATTTTATGTAACTTCTGCGTAACTTTAATAATGTTTTTATAAGGCTAAATACCTGATGGCGTTTCTTCAAGCCTAATACTTCATGCAGCGTGGATCCGAAGTTCTGTGCTTGCAAAACTGGCTCCTTTTCGTCAATCCAGAGCTACAAAAAATATGCAGTTTTTTGAAGGAAAGTTTCAAAATAAAATCCACAAAAATCAAGCACGATCTAGGCAACGCGGAAAAGGTAGAAACATACAATTATGGTGAATCTCTTGACTACTTACATGTTCATCCTGAATATCTCTCTGGAACTGATAGAAATTGAAAGCCTCTTCTAATTCAATTCTTCTTTCTGCGAGAGGTGCTTCTAGTGCTTCGAACCTGTGGAGTATGCAGCATTCATTTGAGTTTTAGGGAAATAAAAGTGCATATGATGTTGCGCTCGTTCATTGACGTTACAGCGAGTTTCCAGTAAACTTCGAATGGAACCCTCAGCTATCAGAACTTATTTATGATACTTTGAAGCTAATAGGGAAGTGCTGCGAAACGATTCAGATTTCAAAACTCCTTCCACCCAAGTATTATATTGAAAAAGGAGCGTTGACAGAAGGATTTTAAAATCAGCTTGAAGGTGAATCTATCAAATTTTATTAGAGAGGTTTCTAAAGGTTGTTTTGTGACTAATTTTGAGCAACAAGCAATTAAGTTTAATCAAGTCTCACCTCTCTTCCACAATTCGCCTTTCCTCTGCAAGCTTATCGCCGTCTACTTCATCGCCAGGTGCCTGGCTAAGCTCCAACATCCGTTGTCTCTTCTCTCGAATTTCCTTCTCAAGTATCTAAAAAACAACATCATCGTCAAAATACTACTCTATGAAGCAATATTCAAATAAATACTACAAAATGAGCCTTTTCTGGCTGTTATGAGCCATGTCCAAGCTTAGTTTCAGGCATTCCTCTCCTTGATATATAAAATTGCAACCTATCCAAGGCTACTGTGATATTAATAGGTCATAGCTGTCTTATCACTACCTGTAGTATGCATTGCCATGCGACCAAAGTTAAACATGTTGACCAAGTGCCCCTGCGCCAAAACTACTTATCCGTTAACCAATATCCTTTTTAGTTATATGTAGTTAGGTAAAGTAGGTTTGTTGTAGTGAGAGTATCGTGTATCTCCGTCATGGGCTAAGCCTTTTTGGAGACAAACATTGTAGATTGTAGATTGTAGATTGTTACAGCCCTTTTTGCATCATCTAAAATGAACATTTTAAAGGCAAAGTAATTTTCCCAGCCAGAAATAACAACAGTCCACCAATGCTAGGTTCAATTAGCCTTTTTATTTCTCTTTACTGTTGAAATGAGTAGCTAATCATGATCAGGCTAGAAAACAATAAAAATAAAAGTTGCAATGTTTCCCACCATTGTTTTGAATGCTTAATACAGCCAAATGTTCTTTTTACGCAGAGAACTTAAACTGTTTTCATTTAAGTGCAAATAAGCTCGTGCATTTACAAAAATCACCTTATGTCTAGTGAACTGCGCCTTCACCGATGTCAGGTTAGTTTCCTTCTCTGTCTCTACAATGGTCGTCTCGATTTCTTTGATGTAAGTATCAACATTGGAAACCTCGGTGTTAAACTCTTCTTTACGATGAGCTTCTGTCAGTGCTTCGGACTTAGCCACTGATGCCTGGAAAATACAATCACACCCGTTACTTCATGTAAACTATTCCAAGAAACATCATAGAACACCACTATGTGAAGAGTCTCCAATCTTTATTGTTATGATTGTTCGATACTTTTATGCGTCATACAACACTTGTTGTTTGAGCCATCAAAAGATTCAATTAGCATAACTGTTCAAAATAAAGGTACTTTGATGTACAGCGATATTCTAATTATGCAGCGTGCAATAATTCCATGGGCAAAGAAAATTCATCTGAAAGTTTTTAAAACCAGATACAAAATGAATTTTGGGCGTATAAATAAACAAACATGTAATATAATTTACCGTATTCAGTTCGCTCCACAAATTATCAATGGTTTCAAGTCTAGATTCAACTTCAGGGGAATTTTCAGTGTTTTCTTCTATCAGCTGCTTTCCATCCTAAAATTTAACAAATTTCGAATTAATATTATGATCTTTGTAACAAACACAATAAAATAAACCTTGTTGTTAATCAACAATAAAATGAACCCGTGGAAAAATAGATGAAAAAATCTAAAAAGGAGCCATGTGCATAAAATCAAAATGTTTCATTTCACTAGGCTGTGAAGAAAATATTCTTTTTGAGAAACATTACTAAGCAACGATTGGTTTTACAAATTAAATTTCAAACTTATGTGTATGCTTTTCACAGCTACAACAAAGAGTTTGCCTTTTTAAATAATTTCCCAATCTTACTAAGATGATAAACGTTAGCAAGGCTGACAAAAATTGCAGCACTATTAAATAAACCCATGCAATAAACACGCTGAGCTTTCTGCTTTTTGCAAGTTTAGTTTTTACACATTCCAAAATATCATACCGCTTAACACTAGGCTTTATTGAATAAAAACAAGGTTATTTGAAAACGAATGAGTAAAATAAACACCTCATTTATAGATTCAATCTTCTGCTTATTTGCTTGAAGTTCCATTTCGAATGCTTGGTGCTTTGTCAGTTTGCTTCTAAGGTTAGTCAACTCTTGATGCGGCTCTTCTGAGGCAACTTTAAGGCGATCATTGAGCCAGTGCGTAACCTAAATAAGATAAAAAATTGAAGTAAGTGAGTCTTAAAAGACACATAGTTTAAACTCAAAGAACAACATCATTGAGCTGTTTGTAACTTTGTTTTATGGTATTATTGTTGACAGGGCTTTGGTCTAGGGCAAATACGTTAAGGGTTCACCTATGCAAATTTCAATTAAAAAGACAGTATAGATTGTCAGGCGACAGCATGTAGTTTTGTATATTCCAAGGTTCTTCTTGCGAGAATTTACTGCACATCGATTAATGAACTCACTTCACTAGAATTTTGATTTATAGATACAATGGATCATGACATTACAAGGGAAGCTTTTAATTAAATATTTCATTTACTTGGTATCAAACAAACAAGAATGGAGATATCATCGTTACCCAACATCTAAATTTGCGAAAAAAAGGGGTACAGACTTGTCTGAATTTTTGTTTTAATAAATAAAATAAGGTTTAAGAAATACAACGACAGAACTTGTGAGAACAAGCACTGATCAGAGAAAAACTTACATCATCGGTGTCTTGCAAGAACTGCTTCAGTTTCAAATCTGCCCGGAGTTTTTCCAGCTTTATCATAATGTTTTCACGATTAACTCTTCGCCTGGAGAATAAATGAATATATATCTCTTTAAAACTGAGGGCGTGAAATACTGGACACGGAATTGATCTAAATATGATAGAGAAAGAAATTTTTTTATTGCTTCGAAGAGAAGATGCTAAATGATTGGCATTCTTGATAAACTGAGCAACAAAAATGATTGATTCTAACAATATCAACATAAAAATTGTGTATGTCATCTAAAAACATCTAAACTCACTTATATCGGCATTCAAAACAGATATCTGGTTCACAGAAAGTAAACAATTCTGAAAGCTGTCACAAGGAAAAAAGCACGTGACATATTTTTGCTTCACTAAAATACTGACCGTTCCTTAATGCTCCCTGTTTTGTCTTTTATTTTGTCTGTTGCATAGTGATCCTTCTCAACTAACTGGTCCGCCAAATTCACAACATGGTTCACTTTGTCGTCATGTTGATCCATTTTGCTGAGAAAATCCTCGTGTTTCTTTATCTGATCTAACACAACATCGACAACAGGCTGTTGATAAAATAGATATTTAATCAACAATGGATCTGGGAGTCACTTGGAAGTCATTAGAAATTGTTTTAATTTGCAAATAGTATACACTGATATTTCCTTAACGTTACAGGTAAGAGACAGAATAAATGTTCTAGCGACGAAGATGGAAACTTGGAGCAAGGGGAATCAAAGGAATGGTAAAAAGATCAATACAAAGACATTATAATTTTTGTTATGAAATTAAAAAAATAACTCAGTCATTCACGGGCAAAGTTGATGGAAAAGATTTTTCCAATTTTTTTATTCAAACATTAAAAATAGTCAGTAAAACATGTGCTAATGAAATGCATGGAAGCTTTTGGTCTTGGTGTAAAAAGTTAACAAAGAGTCCACCACAGAATAAAGTTACTTCATCTAAAATTGTGTCTAAATATCACAACAACACTAGCAACATACCGCTACTTCGTGTTTGGATATGAAGAGTTCTTGGAAAGCCAGTAGAGCCTCGGCTTGCTTTGCATCCCGCAGGAAGATCTGAAGAGGAAAGTTTTCATTCTCTAATTCATTAAACTAAAAATAAGTCATCCTCAGTTAAAATCATAAACATCATGGGGCTAGCATTCTGCTTACTATTATAAAAGTCCCTTGGATATATCCAAAGAGACAGGGGTGCCAGGCAATTAACTATTGGGGTATTCAGGATGCACTATATATATAATCCTCCATGGTACTTATGGGAAATATTCATGGCAAATATCTGACCAGCTTGAGCAAAAATTTGCGCAACTCAAATTCCACAGCAGCACTTTATTTGTTTTCGGGAATTTGATTACCTCTAATACCATTCTTAATTGAAAGTTATCGAGTGGGTCTTCTAATTATGCATTACTAACTATGCAAAATTGTAAACTAATTCTTGTTGGAAAACAAGCCTCACTTAGTCACTGCAAGCCTTCTTAGATTCCACATGGACAACTAACCTGGTAATTCATGCTTTGCTCCAAAAGGTTCTTTCGCCGCACCCACAGCAAGTCTAGCTCTCTCCATCCAGCTATGATGTCATCAAGTTGCTGTTTTAATGCTTGCTGCTGGAGATCAGACTCATCTTGCGAGAACTTTGGTCCATCTTCGCAAAGACGGTCGAAATCGTCTTGATGTTGGTCGATAATGCCCTGTAAACATATAGATCGTTAAAATTCTTTTAAACTGAAGCTCTTTCTTCGTAAGAACTAAACTTTGAGAAAAATTTGTTTACACCCTAGGTTTTCTAAATTGATGTCAATAATTTTGTACTAAGGTGCTGGTGATAATTGATTATTGTGCCTGACGTTTGCAAAATCCCCTTTGGAATAAGCTTATTATATTTTAAGTAAGGATTAGAATGAATAAGGCTTTCCAAATATAACATGTCACGATTAGGGACAGGCAGACGATCTTCTTAAGTGCAATAATCATTAGTTAGTAAGATGTTTACGTGGCAAAAATCGTTAATGTCAAAGTAAATTTCTCACTGAATTCAGTCAATTACATAGCAAGAAAAGTTTATGTTAGGCATTCTTTCTTCTAATGAGATCTCAATTATCGGCTCTCAAAAAAGTATTGATATGTTTATCAACCCATTGGACTAAAAATATTCAACGTGGATACCTGAACAGAGAAAAGCTTTTTCTTCACAAAAGAAATGAAAAAAATGAAGGAAAAGGCACACAAATACAAGAAGAATACGGCACCTCATGGAAACTCACGCACCTTTACTTCGAAATGGGCATCAAGTAATGCCTCTGCTTCCTGCAGACTTTGCGCAATGTCTTCAGAGGCACAAGCAGCTTGTGTTTTCTGCAACCTGAAAAAAGATTGAACAGGTAATGTGGCTGATCAACCACACTGCTACCAGGAGCTTTGTAGTCTAAAAATCCTTCCACATACGGAAGAAAACATAGCAAAGCGTTAGTGGCAAAACAACAGTTGGGAGAGGGCTCTTGAATCACCTCAGACAAACGGCTGACGACCGGTTCACTCTATATAAGGTCTCTCCAGTACAGCTAAAATGAATAACAACCTAAAGTCCTGAAAAAAACAGCTTTTGATTTCTCTAGATCTGCTTTTGCAAAAAGCCTTTTCAGTACCATTTTGAGTAAGAAAGAAAGCGGAAATCTCTAAAAACATAAAAAGGTTTACTATTTAGGAACTTTGACGATCGATTTCATGATTTTTTTTAATTTGACAGGTATCTGAGAAATATCTGAGGTATCAGTAGACACAAGAAACATTATTTCACTACGATGGATGATTCTAATCTGATTGTAATAAGAAAATCCAAATAAGCATTAATTTATCAAGACAGTTCTGAAATCTAAATTACCAGTTATGAAATTCATCTAGGTCCATAACGAATCTCTTCAGTTCACCGCTCTCAGCAAGTGTTTCGTTTCTCTGTTTAACCTGAAAAAAGGCGAGGATGACTTTGTTATTCGACATGGAATAAACCTATTTTTTTGATTTCTTTCTGAATTTGCAGTTGGGGACATTCTTTTGCAAAGACAAATTTTCTAGCCTGGTCACATAAAAAGCTTTGATAAAATGGTCTATATTCTATAAGGATGGCTTACGTTACCTTCACAAACATTAGTCAAAAACTTTAACTTTGAAATCACTTAATCTTAATATCGTTGAGCAGAATTCATCGTAAAAATACAAACCTATAGCAAAATCGATGGATGTGAAGGGGGAAAGGAATGAACCAAGCAAAGTAAGTACAAAGAAAACAACTAACCATTGTAGATAAGTCACCCCAGCAGGTCATCAGATCAGTCAGCTTTCCATCTATTGTTTCGGCGTCCTAGAAAAAGTTGGTGATGAAGAAACGAGGTCTAGTTAGCATTAATACGTAGAGTAATCGAATAAAAAAACAAAGAAGCTAAATTCATAAAATATTAATGAAAGAATACATAAAAATTGAGTTAATAGAATTCACAAAAGAGGGATGGAAAGAGTGAGTTGAGGTGAAAATGGATGAAACATCGGATGAAAACAAACGATTGCTTGAGCAAGGATAAATGAGCACATATCAGGTGGGATGAGAAAATTTACATCACAAACCTCAGGCCTCTCTTCAGATATCTTCGCTGCACTTTCTTGAAGGTATTGCAACTGAAATCAGAGCCATGGTTAGTAGAGTTTTTATTGTTAAAATACAGTTACGAAATTTTATAACACTAACAACAAAAATTTGGCCTAGTTATCATATGAAAAGCTTGGAAACAACAACACAGGCAAAAAAAATCCTGATACAAAGAAATGCAGTAAAAAGGGCACATACCTTGTTTTGCAGAGCAGCGATATCTCGTTCAATGCTGTTAAGCTTTCTTTGCAGAGAAATGACGGATGCCAAATCAGTACCGACCTCCTCTACTGTTTTCAAGATTCCTGTCTTCTCTATAATAAGGGTCTACAGCGAAGAAAGTATAAGCGATAACTAACAAACTTTCCAGACTTTAGATCATTCTGAAGAGCACATGATATAGAAAATTATTTCAACAAATTCATCTCCGGATTCTAAATGTCTAGACTCTAAATTTCAACCTCGAATAATCATTCAAACGACTCGAGCCAGCCATTGCGGTACTAAATCTGTAACAAAATTAGAGAAGGGAATAAAACAATATTTTGGTTACAACAACTGAAGGAATTTGTCTACATTTTCCAAGAAAACGTTTCAGTTTTTTTAAAGCATCTCAATTGGAAACCAGTACTCTTTACCGCCACCAAAGCCTATTAGTGTCAGTTGTCATTCCCATTCTTAATTATCTTCTAATACAAATCGAATAAAAAAGATAATAAATATACCCAGCGATTTGAAAATCTAAGGTGGACATCGAAAAAGGTTTTTTGAGAAGCTTCGAATACTGAAAACACAGGAGACAGTAGGAGGAAGGAAAATAAGTCATAAGGCATCTTTACTTTAACGAAAGAAGATACCAAATGAATTGGGGGTACAATGCCTGACAAAAGTCTTGGAACACTGACATCAATTTCCAAGGTCAAAATCAATCATCCCCCTCTCCCCTACAGAAAAATGTTGGTTTACTATCAAACGGGTTAGAATTTTAGGAAGCACTTTCTTTTGCGCTTCTTTTATGATATTTCTCAGTAGCAATTTTTTTCATGAAAGGAATGAAAGATATCAAATGCAGCGTAAGTTGCTGGGTGTTCCAAGTACTTTTGGCAGGTATTGTAGTCACCAAGAAATAGAGCTGGTAGCAATTCTTCTAGATCAAAATTTCACTGCTATATGAATGAAGCTTACCTGTGTTTCGACGATCTCACTGTAGAGTGTCTGGATCTGTAATGCAGTACGAAGCTCTTCTTTTTTCAACTCTGCCTGGCCATTAAGTTGGTCCCAGCTTTGAAAGACAAAGGGGTGCAGTGTTAGAATGAATTTACAGTTTTGATGAGTTTATTTGAAACATGCCCAGATATTGGTGACAAAACTGCTAGAAATACAAAATCTTTTGAAACTCGCTGTATATAATGAAGAAGGTCACAGACCACGGATACTTTAGTAGGAATTTCTTTATAAACATTTAACTAATTGGGGGGGGAGGGGCTTATTGACTATTTGTAGTTCTAGGGTGGGGGCTTATTCGAGGGCTTACGGTATTTAAGAAATTATCGTTTTGAGCCTGAAAATTTTTTTAAAGTACTCTTAATTCTTTTTTCAAATTTGAAATGGTTTTACGGGAACATCGCTCCCCCTCGAAAGAAACCAGGATTTTTCGAAAAAAAGATATAGTATGTCAGTAACACAATAATCTGTTAAGAACGTCATAAAACAGGCAATTGCTGAAAATTGAGACAGAAATATGCGAGTTGAGGCTGAGCAATACTTTTACAATTGTCTTAAAAAGTGGATGATTCTGAGCCTGAAAGTACTATAAACAATATTCTTACAAAAAGAGTTTAGAACTAAAGAATTCTACCAAATTTATTTCTGTTGCCTTAATATTTTTTATATGTGACCTAAAAGTCATCCATCCTTTGAGAAAGACTTGATAAGAAATACCTATGTATGAATAACGAAATTTATCTACAATCTGGGAAACAAATGTCGAGACAAAACCTAAAAAACGTGCCGGGGAGCATGCATGTAGACCAAGTTCAAGATTTTTCCCTCCCCCATTCAAAGTTAGCGCATATGTTCTTTAATAGAAGAGACATCAACATTTAAATGGGTCGGGGGAAGTTGTTGGGGTGAGTTGTTGGAAGAGGCAGGGCCGGCGAAACCGGGGGGGCCGGGGGCCATGCCCCCCCCCACTTTTCTGCAGAGCTAAAGAAAAATTTTAGGCAAAAGTGAAAATAAATGTAGTATATGATTCTGTAAGTAACTTTGCCTAGTTTTATCTTAAATGTGTCCTTAGCTTTACCTTGGTTGCTATGTCTTTACCATAGAAGACATGAGTAAAATTGAAGATGGGAATTAGATCGAAGAAATTGGTCATTGTCTAAGTTTTACAACGAGTAACAGCTTGGCTTAGCAAATAAATCGAGAAACCTAGTTCAGAATAACCTAGTGCCAGCACAAATTGACGGAGTTTTGTTTTTTCCATTGCCTAAACTTGGCACACAAGGTCTATTTGTTAATGAAAACTTTCTCAGAAACATTACAAAAAGATAGAAATCAGCTGTTGAAGGAAAAGAAACAGCTGGAAAGAACCTTTCTGGGGATATGAGAAATAAATTATGGGCAGATTGGTATCATCAAGAAAACTTCAGAGTTTGATCGTTTGGATAATCCATTCCTACTAAGAAACAGAAAATATCGACGTAATTATAAATTCTATTTAAACATATTTTGTCAAGCCCAGTTTGAAGGTTTTTCAAATTTTTGTTAAAACCCTTAATTTCCGAAAAAGTTAAGATAAGATTTTATAAAGTTGTATCTTAACTGTACAAAATTGCTTAACTTTTTATTTTTAGTTGATAGTTAATGACCAAGACTTTGATATTTTGGCCCCTCCACTTTCAAAGACGTTTCGCCGGCCTTGAGAGAGGGTTTTGAATCGCAACGCTGTCTATCCGGGAATGAAGTTGTTTTGCCTTGAAATACCTCAATTAATGTACGTACGCGCAAAACCGCATCAAAACGCGTGCGTGGGCACAAAAGGGATTACTGATGCAAGGTTTCGTAATCTAGAATCTTCTTGCTATCTATGAAGGTTTTGAAAACTTAAAATGACGAAAGCCCGAAAATGAAGCGTTTGGAGAAAAGAATAAATGATTTTAGTGAACGCCATTGATAGGAGTTTCAGGCGTTGAAAAACGTAATCACTATTAACACCTTTGAGCCATCAAGCAACTAACTCCATTTCTTAATTATTTGAAGGTGAAGCAAAACACGTAGTTAGAACGGCCATTTTAAACATACGGGAATCGACCAGTGTGCCCAACCAGTACACACAAGGGACAAATCACTCTAAGAAAATCTCTTACACCTTTTGTGAATATCCTATTCTTTTAACTGAAAATCCCCAGAAATCCTTTTGCTTTAGGCGAAATATCGTACGCTATTTGCAAGAGTGAATCGCCCCTCGAGTACACACATAGATCGAGAACGAAAAAATGGCGAGTTTAGTGCAAAATATTCGGTTGTTGGAAACGAAAACAAAAAAAATAAATATTGCTAAAAAACCTAAACATGTTTTCTAGGAAACTTCGAAATCACAGCTATGAGATTTAATTGAGAAAATGTCATGGAGTGGAAATAGCCCACGGGAATATGCATCGACAGAGCATTACATAATTGAGAACAACAAAGGCGTTAACAAAGAAGTGATTCAGGTCTCAATTGCGTTGCGTGGATGCCGGGCAGACGCGGCAAGACGCACGTTCAAGGTCACATCTGAGATCACGTGCAACCAGTCACGTTCATAACAATACGAGCAAGCTAAATGAGAGGCAAAGCAATAGTCTAGTGAACATAATCCTGGATGATGGTCAACGTTTCAGAGGATATCGAGAAAAAGGCAGAGGCCAGTCCGTGTCAGGTCTGCTCTGCCAAGTCTAGATTTAGGTGTTCATCATGTCGAAGTGTTTATTATTGTGGAAGATCGCACCAGACGTTGGACTGGAAAACTCACAGGTTAGTACATCACCAGTTTCATTTTAACTGAGGCCTACATTATTTTATATGTAATTCAGATAAGCGTTCTTTTATAAATTTCAGAATCCTTTCTAGTTCTTTTATTCCAAAAGAAACTTCTGTTGACATTTAAAGCATTCTGCTTGTAAAAGTCGAAATGCCAAAAACGTAACTTGCAGTCTCGCAACTTGCATTTTTCGTCTGCAGTGAGAATGCACGGGTGCACGTAAACACATTTTTCTAAACACAGTTTTGCTGATCAAGAAATAAATAAAACATGAAATACAAGGTTAAAAACTTTTCAAAAGCTTAATAAATACACCACATTCAGAAAAACTTGATAAGTAACTCCCCGCCTTAAGGTATGAACGACCAGCAATGTTCACGGCATTCAATTCACACATTTATTTCTGCGAAGCCCATTGATGGCTTGCTGGTGCTGTTTTGAATGACGTCATTGACAGGGGATAATAATAATCATCATCATCATAATCACAAATCATTTAATATCAGAGATATGACAAAAAATCTGAGTTCCTTTTTAAAGGATTTTTTAGTAAAAGTGCAAGCATTGTGAAAAATTCAACAATCTAATGTTTTACAGGTCAGTTTGTCGGGTTCGTCAAGCCTTGGAAGAAATCAAGAAAGCCAAGCATCACAGAGCGGATGTGCTTCTGAAGCGGCGGAATTCAAATCGTCCCAAAAGACAGCCAGCAAGCAGTGAAGTCGATGAAGATGCATTTATAGGTGGTGTTTTTCGACCGCGACACCAACCAACGTACCCATCGCTGCAAGCGCTTGCATTCGATATCATCAAAGACTTGGCAATAAACGGTTTCTCCGTAATCGATGACTTTGTGGACGCTTCAGTAATTGAAAACGTCCGCGCGGAGATTCAAGTGATGAAAGAGACAGACATGTTCCTTCCCGGCCGCCTCTGCCAGACCACACGGGTCGTTGGGACTGACGTACGCGGTGATATGGTGAAGTGGCTGGATGTGAGGCACGATTGCCCGTATACGGCAATTCATTCGGTCATTCGCAAAATGGACAGAGTAACTCAACGAATAAATGCTTGGAAAAAATTAAGCGAATGCGATATAAGAAGCAGGTCACCAGTGATGATAGCTTATTACCCCGAAAACAGCCCTGGCTACAAACAACACGTAGATAACCCGTCCAACGATGGCCGCAAGCTGACTTTCATACTGTACATGAACAAACAGTACGATAAGAAACAAGACGGAGGCCAGCTTCGTATACACAAGCGAGATCGCGGACTCTTCTTCGATATCGAGCCAATCGATGGCCGACTAGTGATATTCTGGTCGGACAGCCGGACACCACATGAAGTTCTACCCACAAACCGAGATCGCTTGGCACTGTCAGTATGGTACTTTGATTTACTAGAGAGAGCAAAGACTCTAATGAAGGAATCTTCCTTGACAGAAGAGGACTTGTTGGGAACCCGCTTACAACCATAATACTTTGCAAGTTGTTACGTATTTGCTTCTTAAGTCAAGGGTGTGCATTCTTATGCGAAATCTGTTAATATCCCTGGAAGGATTGCACAGAACGACATCAGAAAAGGAAACACTGAGTTATGTTCGAATAGGGTTGTTCTAGAAACCGCAGAGGAATTCGCACCCTCGAAAAAAGTAGCTTGGGTTCGCTTCTTAATATAATCTATTCTATTAGTAGTTTGGGAAGGTTGTTGGTCTTTAAGAGTTTCAGGAAGATATAACTTAACTAGCAAAACATAGGCCGGCCACGAGGGGGCAAGGCTAACCCCTGGCCGCGAAGTAAGGATAAGACTTAAGGATCTGCTGCATCTATGCTAAATGTGAGTTATGGTTGATACTTTTCGTTTTCTGAGGCTGCAGCATACGAATCTAGGGTCTTCTGTTGAGAAACTAAATTTCATTGGGCATTATCTAGGCCACCAGAAGACATCGTCAATAAGCCTTCTGCTGTCCAACCCCATTTAGGCTCGACAAATCCCATTTAAACCTCGTCTAAGGAATGAAGGCTTATTTTGAACTGAATTCAAGAGAAATCAGCTCATCATTACTAGACCTAACCAACAACCTTTTCAGAAAGCGCGAAAAAGCTATTTTAGTCGTGAAAAGCTTAAATTTGCTTAACTTAGATATATATAAATAGAAATAATTTATTGTAGAGAAAATACCGCTTCTTGTACTTAAAAAAAATGTTTATAAAGGAAAAATTCTAGTGTAACTAGACATGGTTTAAGCAACTACTATATTTGAGTTAAGATGCTTAATCTTGTAAATTTTGAAAATTGCGTTATTTTCATTTGCAATGAAGCCGTGTTATTAATTTCCAAAACACCCGTCTACAGCAGGTGAAGAATTAATAATTTACTAAAAAGGAGGGGAAATTACATTATTGCAAAAACAAAAAAACTACTTAGGAAGGGGGTAGATCAAACAGTGGATATAATACCACGCCCATTATCCACAGCAGCTGAGCAGCTTAATTTTTTAAAAAAATACTAAAAACTAAAGAAGTCCACAACTTTACTAGCTCAGGATTCACGTTTTCATTATTCACTGGAGGCTTAGGCAATGGTCAGCCAAATCTATAATCGACTTATATTCATCTGGTAACTTTACCACTCACAAACTATTCTGATAAAGAGCAGCCTGCCTCTTAAAAAGTCAGGATTGTGCTAGTAAAGAAACATTATGACTTGATGCCAACAGTAAATATCCCTCAAAATTAAAATTGAGTATCTAGCATTAACCTTAAATATTTCACTTGATAGATCTTTGAAAACCAGCTATGATACGAAAATTCAATCTCACAAATCAGACAAAAATAGGAATAAATTGGAATGGGTTTTGAAGCTAAGTTACTGCTAGTAGCTAAGAAAAGTCGCATTAAGTTTAAGCAATACCAGGCTTTCGAAAAAACAGTAATTCGCAACTCGAAAGACTTCGTGCAATCAGTCTGGGAAAGTGAATCTGTCAAAGGCAACTTTCCAGAACAAAATATTTTTGCGTGCAAGCGTGCAGACCAGACTGTTTACTTAGTGATTTTTCGATTGTGATCGGCAATAACAGGAAAACAACACTTTGCAATAAGCATCCAAGTAACTTGTTTACAATGCTTTGAAATCATACTGCGGTACTGCTGTGGGCTAGTCAATAGGATACAAAAACAAGCACTTTGCGTGTCTCACGCAAAATACCTTACATGGAGGAATAATAGGATAGTCGTTAAGTTTGCTCTAGGCGTTATCGTCAGATCGCGTTAATTGCGATCAGTGCAGTGCTGACGGTAATCTTAACGAGCTTCGTATGGTCGAGAAAACATCACGAACAAACAAGTACTGAGGCTGATCTTCTATGTCTCTGAACTTTAAATATCACAGATCATATAATCATCATAGTCTGAGCAAAGCGAGTCGATCTGCAAATAAGACTTGCGCTCAAGCAACCCTTTGTCCTAGTTTGCTCTGACCCGGGATCATAAATATTGATCCAAACAAACACAGGGTCCCATCATGGATTTGTGTGATATTAGCAAAGAATTCTGTTCAAATGCTTCTAACAAAAAAAAGATAAGCCCTTGGGGCTATAAAGGATTGAAATAACACAGCTGAGAATTGTGGGGGTGCTATGAAAATCCCATTTTTATGAAGAACGACTTGGGTTTTTGATAGCTAAAGAAGTGGGTTGTTCAAATGCCGAAAGAATGGAATATACGTTAAAAGTCCAGATGATTAAAGTTATGGTGTCATAAATGTGTATTTTTGAAGAATTCTGCTTATAAGATTGCAATCAATCTTTCAAAACGTATTTCTGTTATCAATCTTTCAAAACGTATTTCTTTTAAAATGTTTATGTCAGCAACAGAAATTTAATAACAGCTTCGAAAATTTCAAATGATCTGCAGAATATCGAAAATATAAAAAGGGGAAGTTGTATAAAAGATGAGTATGCTTAAGGATATTATACATCCAGTATTCAGGAGAGGTTGGACGCGAGCCAAGATAGATTTCGCGAGATAAATTTTAATGATTAACACAAACCTGCTATTCAAACTCTGCACTCTTTTTGCAACATCGTCGGAGCTTACGATCGACTTTTCTGACAATTCCAGAGCAAGACGATTGACTGTTTGCAGCCTTTCTTGGTTAGCTCGAAGTTCCTAAACAGTATATTAAAAATTAAAACATGTTTTTTAAAAAACAGAATTTATGTTAAGGATACCAATAGAACTTTTCCTTTCAACATGTCATAGAACTCGACTGAATAAAAGAAGGGTTTTGAATTCACATCAAAGTCAGTAAAAACATTTTTGCTGACAAAAAATTGCAAAAGTCTAATCTGTCTGCACCGGCATGTCTTCAACCTGATTTACACAGAAATCAAATACCTCGAAGTTACGTATAGAAACAGATTGGGCCTATTGTTAAAACGTTCATTTAGTAGTCTGGGTTAACTCGGCTTTCAGTCTTACAAATGGATATTGTCAACTCATTGACCAGCCCAATTTGAGGGTCCTTTGGGTACTTGACAAGAACTCATTAAATCAAGCCAGTTGAACCTGAGCTGTCTAAACGATGTCGTGGATCTCGGGAGGCCTGCTTGGAGATGCAGAAACCAACCTCATTTCTTGAATCAGCTGGGAAATATCACCAGCCTCAAAGAAATTCTTTGCTTACCTGTTCAAAGCCTTCAAAACGCTGCTCAACTGTTTGACACTGTTCCAAATCATATGTTTTCTCTACTTTCAGGTATGTTTCAAGCTGTACTTGCTACAACAAAGTAATAAATAAAATTATACTTTTGCAATACAATAAGAGTATTACTGCAATGTTTCAATTAATTGGATTTTAATTATGACAGCCAAAAATGGAACTGTATATCAAAGCGCTTGAGTTGACTTGTTGAAGAAAATTGAAATTCAGCCAAATTGGAATAGGGAGCCCTGCACTACAAGGAAGGCAAGGGGGCATTAGTTGAATTTCTAGATTTCAAGAGGAGAACGGAGGCCACTGCCCATCTGCTAACCCCTCCCAGTGCGGGCTTTATTAGCCAAAATAATACGAAGGAACTTTTAGTTGAAATAAGACTCATGGTTTGCAAAGCATATGGAATGTCATACTGATAAGCAAATACCTGTAGAAATGTAGTATTTAGCAAACGCAAGCCTTTAAGATGCAATATGGCTACAAATCAGCCGCCATTCAGAGTTGCCTAACATTCTCTTGCATTTTTGTACCCAAGCCGTATTTAACAATTCTAGAACTGCAATTCATTCGAAACTTGTTGTGAAATCTTACGTAGTTAACAATAAATAACGGCTGTAGTTAAGAGACTGCCATTGTTTATAGCTGGACAAAATTGGGAAGAATCCCAGTTCACTCACATGCTGTTGCACCCAAGTGCTGACCATATCGGCCTGGTTATGTAGATTGTATAAAGCGAGTGTGTCAGCCAGCTTGATGTTTCTTTCCTGAACCTTCTGCTTCAAAGCAGCATACTGGTCGTCAATCCTAGGAAATGGAAATGTGATTATAGGTAGGTACACTTGCATTGTGACCAGCACTACAGTGTCTCTATAAAAAGCCTGGCTAAAAACCTGCACCTGGTTCATATGCCGCCCATCTACAAAGCAGGTTGAGAACACTGTTTGAAATACCCAAAACATGACAATATCATGCTTCAAAAATTCTATTTTTCATAGCATTAGCTTATATCTCAGCGTATTCACTTATGTCAAAAGAAAAGGGGGAGAAGGGTAACGTCCATGGTGCTCTCTTTCTCTTTATATTCTGAATTTTCAAAATCGCGTCTTAAGGGTATTGCGTCTTAAGTTTAGGATAGGTATTGCGCCTGCTAGAAAAATTCGCAAAAATAAAACGAGAAAAATACATGATTGTCAAAATTTTAAATATAAAAAGGCGTATACATACTTTTCTTTTTCTGCAAAAGCCTCGGGTGTGTTTTTGTCCTAGGAAGCACATAAAAATAAACTCAATGAACAAAACCTAGGACATGAAACTTGCGAATGCGAGGGAAGGAAGACAAAAAACTGGAGAAAGCCATATTATAAATATAACAAACAAGGACCACTCAAAGCCTTTCACGACTTAGAAGGGAATACCACTTGTGACAAAGAAACATATATCCCATGTGAGATTGGAGGTTATTAAAATCAAAAACAGGAAAACACAGGCAAAGTCAACACCCGTTTAGTCAAACGGTTATTTGTTCCTTGAGAATCAATAAATGCGAGCAGTTGATGCATGGCAAGTCAAAGACTGTAGGTTTAAGACTGAAGAAAAGCGAGAAATTTCTAAACTAGAAATGCTTTAAAAAGGTAGAGTTTATGGAATCATATAATGAAGATAATTCCACAGACGTAACGCGTTATCATAACCTTATTTAAAATTACAATAACTTCCTTCAAAAAGACTAGATTGAGGAAATAAAGAGAAGTGAAGATTTAAAAACCCGTATACCTTACCTCATCAGCAAGGTGTTCATTCTCTGTTCTTCAAGGCCATCAACAACTTTCTCAAAGTTTTCAACCTCGTCTACAAGAGCCTGCAAAAAATGGTCGAGGCTGTTAGGAAATAATGGTGTGATGAAAATATACAAATCGGGATTACGTGAAAAACTGGGAAGTAGCAACGGCTTTTGGTCAAAATGTCAAATTCTTTGCACATCAGTAACTTCACTTAACGGTAAGGTTCCCTCTCATAATGTCGCCTTGATATTCATTCCAATTGGGCTTTTTTAAATTTCCTCTTATAACCGACGCTTAATAAAAAGTCGAAGAACAAGAAATCAATCAGGGTTCACAATCAGAAGACCAACAAATCTAAGATACATGCCTTGTGCTTCTTAATAAGCTCCTCGACAGAGTCTTCGTCTTGGCCTAAGTCATCATTTGATGCAGCCACATCAAATTCATCCATAGTCGCGCAGACTTCATTGCAATCAGCAAAGTACTGGGAAATCATACAAAAATTAAAGGTAATGTCTACATTGGGATACAAAAATTGCCTAGAGAACACAAAAGTAGACACTTTTAGCACACACAGGGCATGGCAAATATTGAAAAATTATACGTCTACCAACAAATGTATGAATTTCAAGTCATCAAATTCTGGGTCATTCATTTCGAAAGACATATATATTTTTCCTCCCTTAACACTTTTCGATATACCAAAATTTAAGAATCTTCAAAAACTTGAAAATTAAAAATTAACTAAGGCACCGAGTATACAACTACACCAACCTGATGTAAATTCAATAGTTCTTGCAGCCTCTTTTTCCTTTGCTTAGCCCGTTCTTCGACAGAATCCCAGCGCGATGTCAATGTTTCAGTACATTCTTCGATCTTCATTGACGCATAAGGCATTTGCTGCTGAAGTTCTTCACCTCGTTTCAGAAGGACACCAGTTCGAGGTTTCCGGGCAGCTAACTCAGCTTCCAAAGCCTGAAACAATATATACACTATCATACAGAAGGCAAGTGAAATTCACGCCAAGGAAATATTAAAATCATTATTTACAACGGTTTTTAAAAATTCAGCAATCATGTATAATATTTTATATTCAATATAATAAGAGCATCTGCAATAACAATTTAATTTTTAGAACATCATTACATATATCAAAATACAAACAAATTCATAATTCAAAAAAGGCATTTTTACGTTGTTGGCTTTCTCGCAATTCAAAAGAAGATTCAAGCTTCAAGCTATAAATGGTCATAAAGCAATAAACTGAACAGGCATAAACTGTACCTCGTGCTTTTTCAACAGCAACATTGTCGTGTGCACGTCTTTTCCATATTCAGTGGACGATACAAAGTACTCTCTTTCACTGAGCCACATATCTTCCTCCTCAGTGTCTCTGTAAAACGAATGCAGCTGCAAAGACTCCTCGAGGCGCTGCTTCCTTTCATCTGCTAGCTTGCATAAATTATCATAAGAACTTTGTAGTTCGTTCTGATGATTCTTCACTTCTTGGACATCTGGCTCATAGCCTATTGGAGGAAAATGTCTCTTTAAAATAACTTAATACCAGGAAGAGAAAAGAACGAAATGTAAATCAACGCGATGTTGAGAGGTGAACTTAAAGAGATGGCTGGGCTGGCAAAAGACTTTGAATTAATTTATTTGCCATCATTGTTTACTGTCCAAAAACAATTTTTTTTAGACCTTAACGTTAGGGAAGTGAAACTAAAGGGGTTAGGGGCTGAACCTTCCTTGTTTATGCCGGAAAGAAGTCATTTTCTACATCTTGCTACTGTTTTGAATTTCTTTACAAACACCATCCCCCCCACCGTTCTTTTCACAGCACGTCACCCTCGAACAGCTTGCTTTCAGTCACATAAAGCCTATAACCCATTACCCCTCAAAATACTGTTGGCGATTTCCAACCAAAAATCCTATTTTCTGCCTTAAAAGGTATAAGTGATGGGGAAAAAAACAGTGAAACTTAGGAAGAGGAAGATAAACAACATATACCATCATCTCCAGGAGGCATGTTCAGGAAGTCGTCACCAGCTGCTATGGCCTGTTTCACACGCTCAGATTGCGCCTGGATGTCTGCTTCTACGAGCATGTGCTTCTGGATGAGGTCCTCAACGCCAGTGAAATGTTTTCCGTAGTCTTCTGACAATAGGCCAACCTAAAAAGGAGAATATATCTTCAGCACGCTTGATAGGTCACACTGACAACCAGCTTTGCTAAAAAATACATAATTTATTTTGGTTTTATATTATCACAGCAACTTAAAGAAAGACGTTGCCATTCAATATTTAATTTAACATTTACAGGCATGTTGGAGAAAAAAATTCCAAATCTTTCTTTTAAAAAAGGCTTAGAACAGGGGAGAATCAAATTTCTAATGTAATTATATTCCCAGTTCATGTCAAAAGACTTTCTGCATATTATGAGCTATGACCATGAAATACCGTACGTTCATGTGAGGTTGTGCGTTTAATGTTATAAACAAGATATAAGCATTTACATCAAAACGACCACAACTTCGCACATCACTTGCTTGCTAAAGCAAGCTAAAATGGCAACTTCCCAATACTCCATCGATTGCAGCAAAAATACCTTGAATCCTAAAACTTAACATACCTTGACATCTTCCATCCAGTCGATAATATTCTTCATCTCTTGGAATATCTTATGCAGTTGCTGATGCTTCTGCAATTTACTGCTACGTGCCCCAAGTAATACAAGAAGTCTTTCCCACAAAGTCATAACCAGAACTTTTTTCTCTTCTACTTTCTCATATTCGTGAAACTTTTCTCTTTCTATTTCCTCTGCGAGACCCAAGACGGCCAACACCCTCTCCTTGTATGCATTGATCTCTGACTCGATAGCCTCGTGCTTCTTTACTGATGCCTTGACGGCCGGTAAATCATTGCCAAACATTGCTTGCTCAAGCAGCTCCATGCAACCGCTCAGCCATGATTCCCTTAAGCTTGCCTGCAAAGAGGTAGCAAGTTGAGAGTGGTGTGATAAAAATACAAGCTTTAACTTCTTATAGCTGCAAACATAAAGTTTCAAGACTTTGGAAACTATAAACTCGGCACATGTCTTTTGAATAACAAAATCGGGAAACTGTTCGTCAATAGAGAAATCTTTATAATAGCTGACAATGAGTGCAGTTGTATTTATCTGTCGACTGAAATCATGAGATGATACTTCATATATCATGAAGAAATACAAACTGGATCCAACTTCTGTTTTTGCATCAAGATTTTGTTTTCCTTCCTTTGGGGCATTACTGTAAACCGTAAACGCACCTGAAACTGGCATTGTAATATGCAGAAGCCTATACAAGAGCTCAAAAAATAAACAAACCTTTCTGTAAAATCTGTCTACTTTTTGTTCCAGTCTTTCCTGCCTGTTAAATGATATAAAGGCGAATGAAAAACCTTAAGTACTCAAGAAACAAGCAACAAGTGTTTCAAACTGCCTAATATGAACTGAAAATTTGACAAATGCTTTGAAAAAGACGTCTTTCGTATATAAACTCTGTCTTACTCCGAAAACGCTTCTACCTTGCATTTCTTTCTTGTTAAAATTTCATTACAGCAAGAAATTCAATGTTCATCGAGAGAACCTTCTTGGCTTATGTGTCCCTTTAATGCAAATGTTAAATTGTGAAACGCTTTGCAAGACCACATCATATCAGTATAACATTTATTACTAACAATGTAAAATCCAAAGCAGCCGAAGTTACCTGATCAACTCATCTCTAAGAGCAACCTCTCGCTCATGTTCAGCTTTTTCAAGCTCTGCCCAAGCCTAGAGACAGAAAAATATGATTACAATTGAATCATATATATAAAAACCAAGAACGAGACTGTATGCCGGCCGTTTCTTTTCTCTAACAAGTATCTAAGTTAGGAAAACTCCACTTGTGTAAAACAAAGATAGAATAGGAATTCAAAACTAAAATGTAATTTTTTGAATAAAATATTTTTTCAAGATTCTACTGCAGGAACAAAATTCGTGCAATACGAAAACTTCTTATATTGTTCTGTTTATTCCAGGAGTAAAAAGGATTAAGACAAGGCCAAAAATTCAACATTAAATTCCAGAGAAAGACTGGAAAGAAACTGAAGCCTTCTAATGGGTGAAAGAATCCTAAATTGTCACAGGGAAAGTCGTAATAATGATTCAGTGCAACGCCTATGTATTTTGGCGTCAAGGACCCATTTGATGGAAGACTTTTACGTCTTCTCCTCCCGATTTTCGCCTCTCCCAAGCCTAAAACTTATATTAGCAAGTAAACTGCTACCCACTTCATTTACATCACTGACTGAGTGGCCCTCTGGTGCAGAATACATCTTCTGGCGATTGGTTCTTAGTGCACTTGTAAGTTCAAACATCTTCACTTCTAGGTTGCCTTTTTCGATAAACCTGCAAAATGCAACACAGTGATCAATTCTTTAATAATCTACTTCGACTCTTTGCAAAACGGAATAAAATACTGCTAATGGACAAAATACTCAACCGAGACAGGAGTGAAGTCAACCCTTCCTTACTTTGGAGGCTTCTCCTTGGTTCTGTAAACATTAAAATCGGCCATTTGTTGTTGCAAGGCACTGAATGTGTTGCCAAAGTCTCTACTTGACAGGCATGTGATTGTTTCTTTGATCCAAACCAAAAGTGTGGAGCTCAGTAACTCGTATTCTTGAATCAGTTTCTCATTCTCAACTGATTGCTTGATAACCTGTATGTATTAAACGTAAATAACCATGACTTAAAAAAGAAGGCATTTAAAAATCATAAGATATGGAATAAGCATTTATAAACTTTCAAATTTGAACCGAGGAATAGGAAGACTTTGAATATAGAAACTTTATATGAACAATCTTATGAAACCCAGCATTAGTTGACATTGCAGATAATAAAAAAGTATGAGTATGACAAAGATTGTTCATGAAAAACATAACGTGAAATATGGTATATGCATTCTAGCATTCTACTTACAAAAACAAACACTACAAATTATGTGAGTGTATATACATATATAGAAAATGTTACTGGTTCTTTTCAAAGTGAGGGATGCTTTATGGGCAAAACTGTACTAAGTTTCAACGATGTGTTTCACACTTATGCGATCATCAAGCAACTGCTTAAAGTGAATGTATACACATTTGCTTTTGGTGTATAGAACAGGACGCTTAATGCGATCATTATCACATTAAGCGTGAAACTCGAAATAACAACTTAGAACCCTTTTGTTCTATACACCAATTAGCGTGTACAGCTGTGCCTATACGGCATTTTTCTGTACATTTCCTCATAGCAGCAAATTGATATTCAACCTCACGTCCGACTACCGTATATACTTTCACTATGATAAAACCAAAACCATTTAAATACCTTTTGGATCCTCGTACCGCTTACTTCGACTTTCTTCAGCTTGGCGAAACAATGGTAGAAAGACGCAACGTACGTCATAATTGACTTTTCATCAGGATACTGAACGTTCACGTCTAAAATGAGGGGAAATACAACATAATAATAATGACGTAATGAAATTGAAAATATAAGCAATCAGGGAACAGAAAACCTTTTGGAAGGGCATTTAAAATGCAGTTAGGGGTGATAAAGCATGTTTGCAAATGGTTTATGAAAAGATGAAAAAAATATTGCAAAAGGCCTGAATTTAGCGCATGCCATGAAAATGGCAAAGGTGTCTTGACGGATTTCTGCCTTTTAGCTTTTAGCTAAAGGTCACATTTTAAACCACCCCAATCTCTGAAATATGCTTAAGTTTCTTTATCCTTAATATCCCTAATTCTTCATTATAATAGCAGACTCTAAAACCTTCACAGATTTCAAATAATCAATATCCGTGAGTATTTACACTCGATTATCTATCGTATAACTAGAAAAAAAATTCTTCAAAACACTTTTCTATCTTTAAAAATTTCTGATAACTCAAATGATAGAAAATTCGCTTAGCATTGATTTTGCCAGCAACCTAAATCTGGAAGATTGTTTACTAGCCAAAACAAACGCATTTTCAAAAACAAATGAAAAATAGTGAAAACATTTGTACCTGGAGCATCAAGAAGTGGTGCTATGTTGAACTCTTGTTCAGCACATTCGAAGGCGATGTTAAGATTCTTTATAGGTTCCTCTTTCTTAAGGCTATTGAAGTCAATCTTGTCTGGCCTGTGAAGAAACAACAGAGAAATGATGGAATTATATATTTTAATGGTAAGTTTATTTCAGCGACAAGAATCTTTACAAAACTTTCAACAATACGGAAATCCTTTCAACTAACAAAAATATGGATATAGATGAAAATCATATTACCCTTTTTCCTAATTCAAAAAAAGCTATTATGTGTGTTTGTGTGCAAATCGTAACTGCATGCTACATGCTTAACGGAATCACTCTCTTTGACCGTTAATAGAAATCGCTTTTTGAAATCATTGGTGAAAATACTTTGAGCCTTTGTATTCGAATGCCTTTAAGCTGATATCTAAACTGTTGTTATAATTAGTGTTGCAATCGCTTACTTGTGTTTGTGAAGGAGAGCTGCGAATGCGAGACCGTCGCTCCAACTTTTTGAGAAGTTAGTGATGTGAACATTTTTGTAGCCAACGGTTTTGGATTGACACCATAACAACAGCGCTTCTTTGGCCGACTTTTTCTCTGATGTCTCAGTCTCGATCATGATGTCTTGAATCTGAATCACGATTAATTAAAATTTGACTGAATCGTAGGAATCCTTCGTTAGATTAGGAGTTTCAAGAACAAAGGTCCGTTAACAATACACAAGCCAAATAGCTTCGTTTTTGAGCCAATTAAATTGAAAATGATTAAAATTTAAACTCAAAGACAAAATGTACATAAAAAATAAATTGACAACAAATTGCGACTCGTTCAAATCATGTTTACTTTCAACTTAAGATCCAACTTAAGAATTAGGATGGTAATAGCTACATGTTGGTAATAGCTATACTTGAATATTTTCACAAAGATGTTCTACGCTATATTGTTTTCAATATTATATGCTATTATCTTACATCCTAGATCCGATAATCCATACTGCCAATGCATCAATATATATTAGAAAAAGAAACAAATCTCGAGAAATGGTACAAAATCGAAAGGGGGGGTACAAAACCGAAAGGGGGGTACAAAACCGAAAGGGGGGGGTACAAAACCGAAAAATGAGGATACATTCTTTAAAATCACTGTAGGCCTATAAGTATAGTTGCCAACCACTTGAAAAGAAGCACTTCTCTTGAGCACTTCAAAACTGGCCCAGTATCTTACCTGGAAGCGCAGAATGATGGTCCAGATGAGACCAAGCGTGATTTTCGGGTTGCCATCAACAATATCATGTGTTCCGATGTTCTCTAAATGAACCTATGATTTGAAAAAGAGAACTCAGCAAAACAAATAACAAAAGCAGCTTTCGAATGATATCAACAATTTGCTAAAGCTTCAAAGATGTTTGTAGATAAATAAATTGCATTAGGACAACTTGGTTATGACCTTAGAACTTAGTACTGAAAACTGCTTTATGAAAAGCGGGAAGAATTTTGGAGTTTCGAAATGACAATGGAGGGTTTAGAATACATTGAAGAAAGCTGGGAAGGGCTTTATCCTTTAATTTTTCGTTCGATACTTTCCAGAGTACGATATTATAAAGATAGAAATATGACTTTGTACAATACGATACATATATTGTACAATTATTCATTATATAAATATAATGCTTACTCTCTGACTTTTAAGAAATTTCAAAGCATGATTGCAGTTTTCCAAGAAATGAATCCTCATCCTGCCTCTGCTGGGTTTTGGCTACAAAACAAACAAAAAAGACATATAACGCAAGGGGTCTCAAAAAGGAGATAATAATCCAGCAGGGTTGTTCTATGAAAAACTAGCCACTGGGGATACTTTGAGGGGGGGGGGCGAAAAACGTTCTCATTTAACAGTTATAGTATCAGAAGTATAACGAGCTCTTGCTTGCCAGAATAAAAGAGGCAACGAATGCAGTGACAATACTTACTGTTCGTTAGCAGTGAGTGTATTTTGAAAAAAAAGTGTTGGAAAGGTTTTTCATGTCTTCGAGAAGTGCTGGAAGCCCAAGGGAGGGGGATACTTATACAGTTTTAGGATAGGGGTGCTCAGGTTACTTTTTCGAGCCTAGAATTTAGGCATAACTGATTTTTGGGCCTAGAATTTGAGCAAAATTTATTTTCTGGGTCAATCAATCGTACAACTACTTTCTTGGGTCCATGAAATTTTGAATAATTTTTTCAGGTCTTGAAAATCAGAAAATTTAAAAAAATAAAGAAAAAATGCAAAATCTTCTGTGCAGGGCGAGAAAAACTTATTTTTGGAGTCCATTTTCATGTTAGAAATCATTTTTTTAGGTTGATAATTTGTATCCCAGCCTGGGCAACCGTATCCTGAATATATAAATGTCGGGCGAGAAGTGTTTAAAATATGGGGATGAATAAGAAATGATGTTTCAGGCTTCTGGTTGATGGACAGGCTTTTCATAAGAAGTTGGAAAAGAGAGAGGGTAATTAGAAACTATTGGACAGGGGTAGCTATAGTAAAGGTTAACAGGGAAGGATTTGCATTCCCTACAGGAGGGCGTTAAGGGGTCTCAAAAGAGAAAATGTAAAAACAGGGACGTGAGAATACAAAATCAGCTTCTCAGATTATTCAAAAGCGCAAACCCATTCGTCTTTTGTTTCTGTTGATAAGTGGTGAGCGCGTAACAATTAAACCTCTGCATGGGCGGTGAGTAATATAAAAGGCTTTCAAATCAATAGAACAAAAACAAAGATATTTTTGATACAAGATAGTGTGGGATCTTAAAAACATTTTTGTGAACTAACCACGGCCAGCCATAACAACGCCCTTCATCATTTGGCACAGAAAGAGCGTAAATACCGTATCTTTAAGTGACTGACTTTATTAACAAAATATTGAGTTCATATTTGAAAATTCTGATGTCATTTCTGCCATAACTGCTTTGCTATTCGACATCTCTTGTCTGAAAATAAGTCTTATCTTTCCAAATCACTGAGTCAGTTCTAAAGATGAGTCTAAAAATAAAACAACTATAAACAATTAACTAGCTCATTTTTTCATTGGTGTTTAACTGATTTTCAGTAGAAAAAGGTTTTGTATTGGGCAACCAATTAGAGGATTGGCACCCCCTTCTCCCACGCTTACGAGGACCCTGTGAATTTTTACAACATTCACGAAAAAGTGTTAGGCCAAAGTTGACACAGTTGTGTACAAAACTATGTGACAAAAATAGTAACCTACAACATTAATATTACATGTGTTTGGTTATGACGCTAAAAGCTATTTGACACTTTCAAAAAACAAACAAGTCCATTTCAAGTCAAATATGGGTTAATCAAATATCACTCATCTCGAATTCCTGAGCACAAGATTTTTAAAGAATTCAAAGAAACAAATAAACGGCTCCTATAGATCGTCTGTAAAAGGATAATGAGCAGCTGTTTCTAAAACGTACGAAATGTATTTTTAAAAAAAACATAGCCTGGGATCAGTATATACTCAGTTTCTTAATTATTTGCCAATTCTAGTACTTAAAGCATCTTAAATGTTTTTTAAATGCCAAATACCAGAGAGATACAATACACCGTAACGTAGCAAAGCATAAAATAGAGCAAATAATCAGTCGCAAAGATCTGTATTTTAATTAATTAATTTCCATCTTAGAGCTTAGCTTGTTATAGACGCAGGGGTGGACACTTGGTCAAATATTGGGGCGGCAAGCCCATTGTTTTAATAAGATGACGTCACATTTCCCATTGTTGAGAACAAAAGACCATTGTTCTCTAGAGTATTAGGGGGCAATCGCCCCTCCCGCCCCCTCAAGTGTCCGCCACTGTATAGACGGTTTCTTTGAGAAATATGAATGCAAAACCCGAACTTTCGAAAGGGCTACATCAGCCGTGAAAAGAATTTTAAAGCTCTACTTACCAGCTTTTCTCCAGAGAGAATCTCCAGCAGCATGATCAGCTTTCGACCATCTTGCAAATCGTGATACAAGTCATTGACGTGAGTACTCAGTCTCTGCAAGTGTGAATTGACCCACTTTGTAAACGTCTTTTTCTGTACTGCTTCTCTTTCGTCTGTCGAAGAAAGGTAAATGCCGTTGAAAATTATGTGAAATCAATGACAGCATCTAGAAAATTGTGTATAGATCATACAGAAAATGTAACATATAAAAGACTTACGAAATTTCAAAGATTGATTGGTTGATTGATTTTGAGTGATTAGTGATTGATTATAGAAAATATCTGTTAGACGTTTTAACGGCAGTTAATGCCACCAAGGAGGAGCATGTGCTTTTTGGGTCACTTGAGATGTCGTCCTAAGTTGCATTACCTTCCAGTCACATGGGGATCCAACCTCTGGAAAGTCAAGATTAAATCTCCAGCGTCGAGTTTTGTATTTTTATTTCCCACCCTGCTCCCCTTCCCTATTTCTTTTTTCTTACATATTTTCCTAATTTTTCTTTTTCCCGCGGTCCTCTCGCCGTGGGATAGGTGCATTAGCCGGAAATATTTCCCCTGTTACAATCACCGCCCATAAAAGGTATAATTGTTCAGGCAGTTTAAGTGCTGATGCATTGTTCGCCCACAGCCTGATGTTGATCAATGTCCCTCCCTGGTGAAGTATTATTGACTAAATGATGAAAGCGATGCAGTGTTGATTAAGATGAACACGATCACGATTGATGTTGATGACTTGAAAGTGATGATGATGACAATAAGGTATGATTCACAGAATAGAGTGTATATGATCAATTCAATAACATTACTTACAAAATCAAAAATATTTCACAAAATATAATCTATGACTATTATCGAATCGCCTTTATCAGCTAACAACTATATATGGATTAAAATAAGTTTTCAGTTTTTTCCAAAATGGACCGATGTTTTTCTCAAAAGGTGAGCTGTGCACATGTAAACAAAAGTCGTGTTATAACAGTATAACAGAAACTTGGGTCATGGTGTCGTATTTGAAGTGTGACCTAGAAATTTTGTGAATGGAACAGTAAATCTCAGCTACCACCAACAGTTAAATATTCTCATGTTTAAACCCTTTTGTCAAAGAATTTCGGAAAAGTTTTAATGACAACATGTGAAATTCGCACATTGAAATCAGAGCAACGGTAAAAATACAAAAAAACCACACTGTCGCAAAAGTGTTGTTTGTCAAGGCTAAGGCCAGAGAGATTATGAACTTTGACCATTGTGGGAGCATAGCCCGTCTGAAACAAAGCCCCTGGGGCAAAATACATGGGAGTTTCTAGAAAATATGAGGAAAAAAGCCATCCATATCATTGAAATGTCGTCTCTTGGTCAATAACGGTCAGCCACATATATCTTTTGAAATCACGACCTTTAAATGTATTGTGAAATATAACTTCTCCTACAAAAAGTCCTGCCTCTAAAGGTTTTGCGGTGGTTTTATATTACGCCAGGTAATGTCAAGCTTCAAAGTCATATCACGGTTTGAATTTGAATCGAAAGGAGAATTTCTCGACTTGGATCATATTTCTATCAATTTTGAAGAGAAGTCGCCATAGTTTAAATCAGACAAACATCAAGTATCTAGTGTAAATTTTGGCAATCATTTTATCCTAAGATACGCGGGCATTTCCTTAAAGGTAGCAAAATAAACAAGGCGGCAAAAATTTCAAGAGAATTCCTAACTGGGACCAATGTGGTATTAAGCACAATTCATATTAATAAAATTTGTAGCGGATAATAAATGTTTGGCCGGGCCTAAGGCCTAGAAATGCGGTGAGCGATATGAATCCAAGAGTTTTCACGATAAATTCTGCCAGCACTTTATCCGCAAATTAGGCTTGACGGTGGAAACGGATTAAAATAACTGACCACTTGTCAATGAGTATTCACAACTGATGCACGAAAAACACAAACTGAAGATTAAAAAAATGAAAATATTTCTTGATTGTCTGTCCACAACAAACTTTCTTTCAGGCCTAATTTTTGTGGGTTGGCAATGAAAGAACTGGTTTAGCTTAAAATCATCCTCGTTAAGGTGTCTTTGTCCTAAACACGATGAGCAAACAATAAATTGCGACGTTGCTGAGACCAGCCAGCGTGTGTTACTTGGACCATTCGTAGTTTGGCGGCTATGTCTATATCCAAGACCGAATTTCTCTGTTCTATGCCCCTTTACCTTGTCCTAGCTTACCGGCTTACCCTTAACCTAGTTCAGAGATCGTCACCTGATCGCTTGATCGTAATTGCAACAAAAAACCTTACGCCTTAGTTATGCTTGGAAGTTCTGATCGTCTAGGTGACCCGACGAGACTGGAAAACGGCTTAGGTAGCTCATCCGTAAGATGACTTGAAAATTGATTTTACAAATGCCTTTCAGCCTACGTAAGATGGATATCGACTTTGACAAGCGATGATCAACACTAGGAGGGTGAGAGGGCAGCCCCCAAAATATCAGAAAGCTGATGTCTGTAAGAAGCAGAAAAGTGCAATAATTTAATGAAAATCCAACAATATAGCATAATTCAAAATAGTTGTCAACAGAGGACGTTTTCCAACATGATAAAGAGCATGTTTACAAAACCTAAAAAATGTTTCTGAGTGCTAGGTTGACAGAGTTATTTGTAGCTTCTTAATTATTGAAAGATAATGGTAATATCTGTTATACCAAGCAAACAAAATACTGGATGTTATACTATCATCTGACTTGCACCCAAGAAAATTTACTAACACCCTAAATGAGTGAGTATTACATTGAAGCGAAAGACTTAGACATAGAGTGAGGCATGCCCAAAATGGCATAAACTGAGTTCTCGAGATCGCTACTGCTTTGCTAATTAAGATCACGAAGATAGAACTGAAACCAGCTGTAGAACAAATTTTCAGCAGAAGAACTATAATTTCACCTGAAAACCTACTAAGAACTTAATAACAATAGATTTGCGTTCAGCCTGCATAAAAGCCCCTCCGTTATTCATTGGGAAAAAACATTTAATCTAGACAATTCTTATAAATTTTTTATCACAAGAATTGTGTTTAGGAAGTGCGTTTTCAAAAACAAAGAAGATCCATCTTTCGTCCACCTAGGCATCCAAAAGTGCAGCAGATGGTGCAGGAATTCATGAATATTTGAATATTTTTAAAGCTTTTTTCAGCAGGTTTTGAAGCAACGTCGATGCCCACCTGCATCTCTGTGAATTAAGAATTATCTGCGCCGTGCTCAAAGGAAACAGGCAATCATCGCCTGTGAAATGATTTCGCACATACCAGTTTCCTACAGAAAACGGTCCTACGACCAGTGGTATGTTTAATGGGCTTTGTTTAAATCAGAAACACTGATAACGAAGTTAAAATCTTCCGCTGCCTCCGGGAAACACGTGACAGATTGGTTAATTTCTGGAAAAAGGTTTTAGTCAAAGCATAACGGTCAAAGCAATCCATAGCAAATATGCTCCCTATACATTTTTCTACAACTGTTACCATTCAGAATGGGCGTGAGGGATACAAAACGACTATTGGGGCCTAGTATGGATCTTTCCCGAACATTATTGCTTCATTGAGATGTGACTGCCTGCAGTATGATAGGCGATAAATTTATCGGTCGGGGGGGGGGGGCTGCAGCCCTCTCAACCTCCTGCAGTCCTCTCAGCCCCCTGCCTCCTACGCTTATTTTTTTCAGTGGCAAGTTCGAACTATGTGTAACCTGTTCTGTAACTCTGCTTCTAAGACAGAGCATTGTTAATTGTTGAAACAAAAGGGCGGTTGAAGCAGACCCTCTACCAGAGAGAATTAACTGCATACAACGTGCCTGCTTGGACGCCTGTTGTGGGTTGCACTCAAATTTACCCCAGTGTCCTAGCCCCATTTCCCACTTTCAAGATCCCTTCAATGAAATATAATTTGAGGATTTTATTCTGCATATTTTCTGGATATAAAAACCCTGAACTAAAAATATTGAGGACTTTGCATACCAGAACATCAGCTAAAATAGTGGTAAAAATGTGGTTACGCCAAGGAATGCTAACGGGTTAGGACAAAGAATGCTAATGGTACAACGATCAACAGCCAAGTCAAGAGACAAGTAATACAATAAGAAATAAGCAAGAATCAATTAACAGAAACATGTTTCTAGTCAGTCACTTGAAGATCTACTTGCTTGCATTTTAGAAACTTTTGGTGTGGTACAGCCCTTTCCTTGCTATATTGAAACAATCATTTTTCACAAAGCTGTATTGAATGTCTTTAAACAGTCAAATTTCAATGCCTTCTGGAGCATTAGTACACACAGTAGATTTTTCAGAACTACTGAATGAAATACTTTTCTTCCCTTCGGAAAATACGACTTTGAGAATATCATTTATGACAAATTTAGTCACTATTCGCAATGCACAATTATTGCAAGTTTGCCTCCATCAGACATTGTGCTATGGTAGAGGGTACAGCATTTGTCAAAAGTGACTAATTGTTCAAAGGGAATAATAACTTTACTAAATGAAAGTTCAATGCTGCAGGACTTTTAAAGGTATCTTACAACTACACAGACTTATTAATGGGCTTCTCTTTGTCACTGTACGATCTCTATTATAATTTTGTGAAACCCGGTCCACAGTTCAGCCCTAAGTCCAGCAGTAAGGACAGATAAAATCTCAGGTCAAGGCATTGTAGAATGGCTAGATACTTTTATCTGAATGCACCATTTAGGCCCTGATCTTTATCTCTATTCTTCAGTGACTGTTTCTGAAACTAACAAGATATTATTTTTGGAAAGCATAGAACAAACAAGCATAGACTCCTTTAAGAACCTAGTCCTATGGCCATCGTTTTAAATCATCTGGCATTAACAAGAAAAACCTTTGTTGAGGGAGGGGAAAGGACACTGAACTTTTGAATGCTGATAACAAAAATAGGGTCACTGTTAAATACACTTTGTTAAACAATGTTTATAAAAAAGCCCACCTGAATGTACATTAAGCAAAGCATTCCAAAAGCCATACAATATTTTAAATCACAATAAGTATGCAAACAGCAGTAATCTATGAACAAACAAGTTTTAGGAACAAGGGATGAGGAAAGATAAGTCTGTCATGTCAGCACAGTAAATACCTATTTCATGTTTACAGTAAAAAGTCATGTTTACAAAGTAAAAGAAACAAGACTTGGCATGGTAAAGAAATGTAGAGAAAGAATTTTAAGGATAGAGAACATTTCCATTTGATACTTTCAAAATAAGATACTGCTTTACTTTTTGCATGATTTTGTCTGCTTTTATCTGATAAACACAAATGAACTTGAACAGGATTTAGCATTTCACTAAACTTGTATTTAGAATTGTAGTCACTAGTAGTCAAATAGAGGCATATTGCAGACTTATAAGCAGCATGAAACATAGCAGCCAGACACATCTTTAATTCTTATTTTTTCAACTGTCATTCTACCAATACAGTACACAGCACTGTTCCAGGAGGCTTTTAGTCTGGCTAATCAAGAAAGAGAAGATACCTTTGAAAAGCAAATGTATGACTAACCAAGAAAAATCTGTACAGACAACCTCAAAAACACCACAATTATATGGTATATTCTGGAGAAAATCCCAAACCTCCATGTGATTTTAAGTGGGTACCACATGAATTAAGAGTGAGGCATTAGTGGTTTCCATGACCTCAGTTAGCACAATAGGTAAAAGTTTCAAAGGAAGTTAAGATTCTTTTAAATACCAATAAACAGGCTTTTCTGCTGTAGAAAGGTCAAATATTGAGTTAAATATATAAATCATTTCAAAAGCAAAAGTGCTGAAACGGAAAATGTTGTATATTTTATTAATTCAACTTGCCATAGCAAAAGAGGAGCTTTCACACTTCATAACCGATGAAAAATGTGCTAATTTTGATGGGAAACTGCTTGTCATAGATTATATCAGCTATCTGAGATACAAAACTTTGCTAGAGGTAAAAAGTAAATGAATTGAGACTTGGTTTTTGTAAAAACAACTACTCCCCAAAACAGTATATGTATAATACATTTAAAACATTTGTCTCTTAAAATTCTTATTTTTATTGTTTGTAAAGCTTCAGAGAAAAAAATGATATGAATTGTTTGTAAGAATTACTTATCAACATAAAAGTGGCTAAATTTATGAAACCGGCTGCAGATTTCAGGAAAATTTTTATTTAAAAAGGAGATGTTTAATAGAGACTCACATTATATAACTAAAAAACACTAATCGGAAAATTCAATAATGATAAATAATCCTTGATAAAATTGATTAATTACAAAATGGAAAAAGATGCACAAATGTTTGGATCTTAATCAAGAATTCACTAATTTTTTTATAAGAAACAAAGATTGATGTTCAGTACTCCAGTTTCTTAACGTTCTGGAAATTTTAATACTCATTGTTTATTAAGAGTTTCTTAGTTATGATGTCATGAATTTTATATTTGGGGTTTCTTATATTTGATTTTTCATGCTAGGAAGAAATTTTAGTTAATGGAAGGAACTGTTACAGAAGATGTTCCTACTGTTATGAAATTATATATATATATATATAGAAATAGATCCGACCTGGACTGGTGGTATATCCCAGTCCACTAAGCGGAGATCTTAAAAATATTTGGTGTCAGAAGATAAAAAAGCTTATGCCACTGTCTTGAAATTTAAACGAAGATGAGATGAAAATGTATGAACTCTAGCAAGTTGATTTATTTGGTTTTGTCATGTTCTGAAAGATGAATTATGCTACAGTATAATCCGGTTATCACATACTTTAAGGAACCAGCGTATTAAGTTTGTTTTATCCGAAGTACGTTGTAACAAGGGTAAGTAAAAGTTGACTAAAACCAAGCACACCTTTTGCTGGGACCAAGCACACCAGTATGTTATATCCGAAAGTACGTAATAACTGAGAACGTTATAACAGGATTCTACTGTATGTTGTGAAATATTTGTAACCTTTTTATCACATCAAGAGATTCATTTATCTGTTCTGATGCTGTATTTAGATGTGGGAAGTATATTTTATCGCTAGTGTCTTAAGTTCTAAGCCAACAGGGTAATCATGTTCTTTGATTTTATGAATTTTTGTTGTTCTCAGTTTTATCATGATTTAATAGTTTCATTTTGCTTCGAGTGTTGAAGTTTCTTAATTTTTTCCGACTGTCCAGTACTTGTTTCTTATAGCCAGTTTCTTATAAAAAAGTGAGTGTACTACACTTTTGGAAATCCAAGGGCATTTCTACCTACAGAAAATGTTGTATTAGTTAGGTTTTTAAAATTTTATGCATTGGTATGGGAAGCAAGCTTTTCAGTTTTAGATGCTGTTATTATTTATCATTCAATTTTTTATATACAAGGTATTAAATGAAAAGATTAGCATACTTGTGTTTAGAATAAAATATTCCTAGGCTTTCTGAAGGCTTTTACAGCACCTGCTTCATGCCATAAACAGCAGGAGGTGATCAAAGAATCTCAAAGCAGGGATTAAAGCTCTGAACCATGATTTATGCACAGCTCAGAGTTAAGAGTTATATGGTCATGTTTTACTTCTGTATCCATCGATTGCAGTACTCGTTACCGAATTCCAATCATTCTGTTTGTTTCCGTGACGACAATTAGCATTGGAGAAATATCTATTTGTATATTTGAGCATGACCAATTAACCATTACAATCAGCTCTATAATGACCTATTATCTGCTAAAAGTGCGAAAACTCACAGAAATTCATCCGATTAATTGTTGCATATGTTGTGGTTAGGGTGTGATATTATACCTTCTATGCAATTGAGTTGGCAAACTTAGGAATGGCTTCAAATTTCTCAATGTCAATATACAGTAAACGTTTTATTGTTAGCGAGTTGACAGTCTTCTCTCCCTTTTTGGAAGGGGATAACACAGTAAAAAGGGTTTAATGAAAACCACCGAATACATTAGATGTTTTTCCAAAGCAAAATAAGTTAAAAACATCAGAATACATTCTCTTATAAACTGTTGAGTTCATTGAAAACCCTATTTATTGTGAGCATTGTAGGTTAAATGCAGAAGGCGGGTCAGGATCACCTCAAGGATCAACTATCAAACGAGAAAAATCTCCGCCGAGAAACACGCCAGACAGTGTCTCCGAGAGACTACAGCGATAACTAAGAACCTTGCTCTTTCAAGAATTCCATATTTCTGATTACAAGCGATTTCTCCAAGTCCGCGAAGGCGCTGGGCGTTTCCATTTAAGAAAATCATGATATCAGTTGTTCTATGACAACATAAGGACGATAACATACCTTGAAGGACTTTGATTTTAGACTTCTCAAACAATCTTGCCGAAGACTGATTTGCATCCATCCACATATCATTTCCTCTGGGGTCAAACCCAGAGTTTCCAAGAAGAACTTCGCCCATTGACATTGTGATTTCGGATTTCGGTCTACGACGAGGCAGAAGGACCCAATTAATGACCGGTAGTGCACATGTTAATACGAGTAAAACAGTAGCTTGATCTTCAATTGAACACAATCTTAGCACGAACAGTTGACTGAGTTAATGACAAAGATGTATTTAGAATATTCTGAAAGGTCTGTTAACTAAGAACAAAGCTACTTTGGGGATTATTAAGTCATCGAACTGCAGGAGATCTACAGCAATCTTAAATTACAATGGACACTACAACCGGAACCACTATAATGAAATAGTTCTTAAGTTAATTTTAAAGGGAATTTAAATTAAAATGTGCGAAAACTTAAGGTCACATACATTAACTATGGCAGGTGAAACTTTAGGTACTTGTAAACAATAAAACGAATGCCCCTAAATGTGAATAAGAGTCTGTTTCATTTCTCTTTAAACCTGTTAAAATAAAAATCTTTCAGCGCGCATAGCGTTAAACTTAACTGGTCAGTCAAATATGATGGCACGCATAAATAAATATGTAAAAACGAATTTACCGTACAGAATAATCACTTGTCAAGAACCATAGTAACCACGAGGTACGTGAGAACTATGACATATTAAAAGTAGGCAGGCGGAATGAGAGTGTAAGCATGGAAGGCTATCGTTACAAAAGGAATTTGCGTGATGATGATAACAAAATACAGACATCTCAACTTACCCAATATCTTCGAAGAAAAAACCTTTGATTTTAACAATATTTCTATGCCAATAGCATATTATATTCCACTTTTATTAACAAATCCCTGTCACTTTGCGTCATAACATGGACATGCCCTGTCCTCTTGAAAGAACGCGCCCGTCAGGTATAATTTTCAAAACATTGTGAAGCATTGCATCTTGGGAAGGCTTTGTATGACCAAGCCCCCACGGATTTTCTGGTACCGATGATTACACGAAAATATATGAAGAAAATGTCAAAAGAAATGGACATTTTAAAGCAAATTCGCCTTCTTGATATCTAAGAATATCTAAATTTCAAGCACGCAGTAGAAAAACACTATATAGAACCTGCTGAATTGAGAAATCCAAATAGTTTAGAAAACCAGCCAGAAAGCAAACAAAGTCTTCACTCCTTTTTTACCTGTCAATTCTCATTTAAAAGATAGTGTTATAAGAAAAGACTGCTGCTAAAAAATATATTTCTTATATGGTGTATTTTGCTTTAATTTGCTATAAAAAATCATGCATCGGAAAGGACGTTTGCTAGTTTTCAATTTCAGTACCGTCGGAACGAAATTCATATTGGGGAGGGGGGGGAGGGTGCTGCCCATTGTTTTCTTTTTCATTCATTACACTGTTATAAAGAAAACATACTGTAGTTTGACAATTATTTGGGGGCTCCAACCCCCCTAACCCCCCCCCCAGGTTCCGACAGGCCTGAATTTAGATGTTGGAAGCAAACAGGGGCTCTTTCTAGAAACTTGTTTGTGCCAGCACTTCTCCCAAGTCCCATCACCAGCAATAATTTCCATACAAAACTTCCTGATAGTCTAGACAAAGAGTTCAATGCTCTGTAAATGAAAACGAGCTCTCTTTTCTTCACTTAATCTTTTCCACAACAAAGATAAGATATTAAGACTTAAAACAACAAGCAACGGAGAGGGCAAATCTTCTACAAAAAAGATCCTGTTTGCACAAGAGACAAAAGTCATGCAGTTATTTAACTGCAATATTTTCACAAAAAAGTCCATTTTACTAAAGATGAGTATAGAAAAGTTTTATCTCTTGCGTTTTCTTGGTTGTACTCTAGTGTCTTTAATGGAAGGGGGTGTTTATTCCGGGCAATTTTTAATAGAAGGGGGTGCTAATAAAGGGGGTGTTCATGTCGGCCAGGGGGTGTTCAGGTTGGCCAATTTTCAATAAAATGTCAGCAAATTTCAATGGCAAAGGGTAGCTAATAGAAGAAGTGGATGTTGGTAAATCTTTTAATTAAAAGGCAATGGAATTAGTAGGATGGTGACACTGGTTATATGACAATGGATAGATGGTTAGAGATTAAGATAGACATAACAAGGGGAATTATGACAATTGAAAAATAACTACATAACATAACAAGGGGAATTATTGACAAGTGAAAATTGCGTGTTCTGGTCATGACAGATTTGTAAAATTTAATAAAAGGAAGGTGCTAATAAGCGAAGGGAGGAGGACTAATTCTTTTCAAATTAATACACGGGGGGCGTCTATTAAAGACACTAAGTATTGTGAAACCAGTCGAGGAGGCCAGTGATGTGTTACGGAGGTGAGCTAGCCCGGATAGTCGGTGTCTCAGTTAAATTTGCCAAGATCTCACCTGATGAGAAAGAAAGCTTCGATATCGGCATACTCGCCTGGTCAAGTGGGGGTATTTTCACGTAAATATGATAACTGATCTCGGGGGTAACTTCAATAGGCAGAGGACGGAAGTGTGCCATTTTGAAATATGAAAACATACCCAAAAATCTTTCAATTTTCCAAATACACTACCCAACAATTTAGATAAAAAATGAAATGCATGTTCTGAAATTTAATTCAAATTTTCAAACATCCAACAACTCATTCGAGTAAATGAAATCATGTTACCTTTCTTATCAAAATGATACACCAAAATATAAGCTCATGAAAAAAATCAACCCCAAAATTTATGACAATGTTTGATTTTACAAAAAACGATACCCCAAAATTTATTTTCATCTTGAAAAAAAATGCCCTGAAAAATGACACAAAAAGAATGCTTCATAGAGCCCAAACCAATGACGGCGAGGGTAATGGGCGTAGCCAGGGAGACCACACCCCTTCAGTGGCGGCTCCAGCCTGGGATAAGTGGGGGGGGCAAAAGGTGTGTCAGGGACCACGCTCATTTGGACCACGCCCTTTTCCCCTGTTTGAAACTTTTTCTTCGGGAGGAAACACCTGTTGTCTTCCAAAAAAGGTCATTCTTTGCTATTGTTTGCAGAACCCCAGAGAGGGAGGTGTAGAGGATCAACAGCCCCCGTTGATTTTGATAGGAGGGGCAAGGGGGTAAAATGCCCTTTTCATGAATATGCTCTTGAAATTGGCCTTTTGTAAGCAAATTGGCTGCAGCGCTTAATTCACGAGGAAATTTCTTAAAACTTCTCAAGACACCTGGAGAAGATCGAAAGAAATTTTGCAAATGCCCCTTTTACTTCAATTGACCCTTTACTCAAGCCTACTCCCATGCCCCTTGGTCGTTCTGGCGTCCCTGATTGTTTGATTATTACTAATTGTCCAATACATTTCAATTTTCAGTTTCTCGTTGTCCTTCGTCATCAACAAATAAGATATTCAGCTCATTTTCATTTTCTTCTTTTTCTCCCTCTACATTCAAGAAATTTGAGTTGACATCCTTGCCTACTTATCAGTTCCATTTATTGGGCTGACATCAAAATATTCGATTTTTGTAACTTTTATGATTTGTCCCCAAATAATTCTATGTTATGTTGACCATAATAAAACTCACATGGGCCCTCTTTTCAAATATGGGTAATTATCCATTATCCAAGTCATTGGATATGGGAGATGAGCATCTGTCAGGATTCAGCCCAAATTCTAAATTTTGTAAAGAAGGATTGAACCCAATTAGAAAATGCAGTGCTGTTGTTCTATGTTGACCTAGAGATTTTTTCTTTCCCCCAAAAGTTTTCAAGTTCTCACCGAAATTTAGATATAAATATGTCAGAAAATTTTCCAACAAAACTAATCCACCAAAATTTTTGGCACCGAATTTTTTTATTCTTAATGTATTTCTTTAAAAAACTGTAGACCAATAATGTAACAGAACTCACACTCTAGATTACTCAATAATTGTCATTTAATAACAAGCCAGTTAGTGAATGCCTAACCGTCAATTTTTGCTTTCTACGTACTGGTTACAACTTTAAATGCTCATAGTACAATCAATTCAGAGATTTGATGAGAAACAATTTGTTGGACCTCTAGAACGAGCTAGATTTGAAGAGCATAAAATGATTACAAGCTATTCGTTGACATTATTCTAGAACATCAAGGAATACCATTTAGGAAGTCCTATAAAAAGAGAAGGCCACAAACAATAGCAATTCAATTTAGAAAAATTGTGTTACATTGAACAGTTTATATAGACATTTTTAGTTGGTGGTAGCTTCAATCATAGACATTCCTACTAATACTTTGATAATTCTCTCCTATTTTCTTCGTGGCTCATATGAGTTTTTAGCTTCAGAAGAATTGACTTCGGCAAAAATTGTCAACGTGCAAAACACTGCTCTAAAAAGTTAGTATCTTGTGAAATGTTTGCATTTTTCAAAGGCATTTTCAAGTTCTGTACCAACAAAAATATTAACATGCAAGAGTGATCTTATTAGGCAATTATCACGCAAGTTAAAAAGTGTCTTAAGTGACAAAAAGAAGGAGTTTTTCAAAGCATCGCAGGGCCTATTTTAAGAAATTTTTAATACTGCACATTTATAACTACATTTTTTATAGGAAATTTTGTTGTTGCAATTTTTGGAAATTTCTAGTCATTTCGTTTTGTTTTAAGTTTTGATTAAAGAGTCTTTCCGATGGTCATACGAGATTTGCAATACATGACCTCTATATCGAACTGACGGGGAAAATTTACATTTTGTGAACAAAGCGAGAATCTGGGATAGCGGCAATTAGACATTTTCACAAATCCCAAAATTCAATACTGCACATTTTCGAAATCAATACTGCACATTTTTAAATTAATACTGCACAAAGTGTGTAATACTGCACACTAAAATAGGCCCTGAAGCATCGTTAACATGAATTTCGGCCGATTTTAATCCCCTTTATCTTTATCAAACATTGTAACATCCTTTCTGACATTACAAGGCAGCCAGCTCCATTAATTCTATAGTGATTTCAGTTCTGTAATTTTCGCTTATAGAATAGTCACCGTAACAACTTGCAAGAAGGCATGCTGTTAAATAGCTTTTGAACGGCCACGAATCAGTGATTATGTATATAATTGTCATAAAGAATAGATATACTAAAATGCGTGTGGTGCAATATGATGCTATAATGTGGTACAATATAACGTAATCAATATAAATAAATTTTACCAGAAAAACTTTTCTAAAAAGTTCCAGAATTGATCCAAAGTCTCTTTTACAAAAAGTTTCCCGCGAATATGATAACGAGGCCAAGGCTCTGGTTCAAACATGGACGATATAAGAAATTAAGAATGACAACTCTCATTAATAAACTTTTATTGGTTAATCGTCAGTATGATGAACGTAGTAGCTAAATCTGAGAATGTCGAAGTTAAGTGCTTATTATGTTACCGGTTTCAACGGTTTCCAGCAATTCACAGATTTAGTTGAAGGAGTAGACAGCTTGGAAACAGGTGTTGCCTCTTCTAAAGAAAAACGAGCTAAAAAGCAGCAAAATGAATCCAGAATTTGTTTCCTCAGCTTCACAAGGCTAAGGTATTTGAAATATTTGCTGTTTTCTTGGTCAACCACGTTTTTCAGTGAAGCTGATGACGAGAAACTTGTATCTCATGGCTATGAAAAATTGTCAGAACATTTCAATGCAGAGAAGCAGGGCATTTTCCCCTTTTCAACTGACACAAGCTGTAATGAAGAACGCGTTGTGAATCCTGAGGAAGAAGTTATTTTGGATTTTGCTGCTACAAGTTATGTTAAAATTGCCTATGCAGGCTGTCCTCGAGGTCATGGAACAGTACCTTTTACTGCCGTAGCAGAAGCAATTAATGGAAACGTTGCTAAGCATTTCATTATTACCAATAAAGAGGAAGTTCTTGTCTGTAATAGAAAGGAAGAAAGGTAAAAATTATCTGCTTTCTATTATAACAAGAGATTGAGTATCTGCAAAATTTTTCCTAATGGGTAGGGAAGTACTCTAGAGTCAGGCCCAGGCTAGAAAACAACTTGGGGTAGAGATATATCCAGCCGAAATTCATTTATGATGTTATTAATTTATTTGGCTTTCTTGCTCACACATAAAACTTTCATTATAATGTCAATTTGCAAACCGCATTGTAAGTATGAGCTAGATAACAAGTCAGAGATTGTGAATGTCCTTTTAATAAACATTTGGATATCTGCCCATATTTATAAATGATAATTATATAAGGTGTAGTATAAGGTATACAATTTTCATCCATAGCATGTCAGGTTCTTTGAGAAATTTCATATGAAAACAACATGTTCAATCAGCAAATAGCAAATCTTTATTTTTGTGGCAAATACTGAGAATTCCAATTAATCTGTAAATGAAATGCTTAATGTTAACAAATTTATATTTGTTTGTACAGCACATCCAAAGGTAGTTTAGGAGCACAAGCAGTGCCCAGATCCTTCCTCTTGATATGACCAAAGCTTGTAATTTCTATGCCTATAACTTTGGAGAGCTGGTCACTCTCCTCACACTGAATAAAAGTTTGGTCATAGCACAGACCCTGTGATATATGGATCTGCACTGCATAACCTTAACTCTTGAGCAGTCTACACAACCTAGTTATATTCTATAAGCCTTTACTACTCAAAAATTTCAAAGTATGTAGTTGAAGAGTCTTAAATGTGGTCACTGACTAGTAAAAATAAGTAGTTAATCAAACCAGTCCTTTGCTTCTCATATTACTTTATATCTGTACTAATATAATTTTCAGTTCACCTTTGGAACATAATGCAACATTTTATACTATTATTAGTAATCTGACCAAAATGTGTGCTTGTGATTTTATGTCTCTGTCCTTTTTGTGCCATTCAAGTAATTTCCTGTCAATTGATGGTTTAATTGGACTTTAAAGTGAAACATTGCTCTAAGCATACAAAAAACTGCTTTATGCTATGATAGAGCTTAATTTTTTGCAAATTCAGGAGATGATATTATAAAAATTTCATTCTATAGTTTAGTTTTTTGTCAAAGTGAAAATGTATATGTTTTATTGCAAATTTTCATTATTCTGATCTCTATCATCCTAGTGGTATTTAGACTTTGAAAGAGATTAGGTTGATAATTAGAGTGTTGTTCTTGCTCCCATTAGAGCAAAACTTGTAACCTTAATCCTTTTTCTGAACTGTAGCTACTGTAATATTGTTTTATATAATTGCATTTCATCCTGAAATGAAAATTGAAATTTGCTCATCATCTTTGGCTAAATATGCTTAAGTTTCCCTTTCATTCCTCTTTAGAGAAAAGATCAACTGGATAGAGAACAGAGTAATCAGAAAGTTTCATTTATCAGATGACTTTTCTGTAAAAGATGTAAGCTGTGGGAAAGAACACACTTTGTTGCTTACAGACAATGGTAGAGTGTACAGTTTTGGAACAGGCAGCAAAGGCCAGTTGGGCTTAGGTTCATTGGAGAGCCATAAAGAACCTGTATATGTTGATGCTTTGGAACCACTCATTATCAGGGAAATCAATGCTGGAGGTTGGCATTCTTTAGCACTGACAGGTATCCAGAGGTATTTGTTATAAAGATGTTTAGGTTTATGGAGAAGAACACTAATGTTCATTTTCCCAGAATACTACTTTCAAAATAACATACATTACAGAATATTTCAACTCTCATTTTGAAAAAAGTTATCATAAGGTAGATTCCTAGTCTGAGATTAGGGGGCAAACAGTTTACTGAGAAAGAAAACTAGGTGCAAAATGATTTGTAAGCCTCCATATCTACTTGACTGTGGTTGGCAACAGATGTCATGTTTTAGTTTTTACTCACTATTATCTTTCCATTTCAGTTTTCTTTTATTTCAACAATATCTTTTTTGAATAAACAGATTAACGGCCATTGCACTATATTAGAATTCTTATTTTATACAAGACACTGGTGATTTGTATAGTTGGGGTTGGAATCAGAGTGGACAACTTGGCATAGGCTGTTTTCCAGAAGACAGCAGTTGGGGAAATCAGAGGCCTTGTAGTACAGTGCAGAGCTGCAAACGAGTACTGTTTGGAACATTGCCAAATCTTGTAGATGTCACTGAAGACATCGTTTCGGTGAGCTGTGGATCAAGGCATTCAGCAGCTGTTTTGAGAGACAATAGTCTTTTAACGTGGGGATGGAACGGGTATGGCCAATTGGGACAAGGAGACAAAGTGGACAGGCATTGTCCTAAGAGCGTAGAAGGACTCAACACTGGAGCATTCTCTAAAGCAAAAGTTGTTTGCAATGCATGGAATACTATTATATGTTTACAGGCTTAAAACTTGTTTACATGAACATAAAACGGTTTAGTTGGGAAACAAATCCCAGTCAAACAAAATTCAAGTTTTGAAGTATGAACTCGTTTTTACTCCAAGTCGTTGATAGTCAGCTTAACAATCTTCTGGCAAAATATTTAAATATTTAAGATATCAACGTATTGAAATGGATCGTACCACTAGACCATGTCGTTTTAATGTAAATATCCGGAATTTCAAACGTTTACATTGGATACACGTCGGATGAATGTTTCTATAAAATCTATATATATATTAAAAAATTATTTATGCATATAGATATCCGGAATTTCAAACATGGGATAGGTCGGATGAATGTCTCTATATAGAAAATGGGGGGGGGGGGATATATTACAAACACCCCCGTGTACCCAGCCCAGTGAAAACTGTCGCTGGTGAATTCACGTCGGGCTTGTTACACAGAGTTGTTTTCAATTCCAAAATGCACTGCACCAGGTCTGGGCTGAAATCAGGGCACATGACATGCCAATAAGTAACAAAACCTGAACCCCCTAGGGTCCTATATAGTGAGCTGACTTATTTTGAATTCTGTTAAACCCTTGTGGTGTGAAACTTGTATTTTTCATTTTTAGGTATACAAACGCTTTAAAACGGCTTTATTTTTGCTGAAGGAAATCAAGAATGCCTTTTGAAAGGGTCAGGATAGCTACCATCGCATCCAATACCCACGTCTGCTATTGGTGTAGAATTGTGAACAAGCCAATAAGAAGTTAGAAGTATTCCAAACTGTAAATTTAAGTAAGTAAAGACTGTACAAGTAGGTTAAAACTCTTTTTTAATTAGTAGCAGATTATTTTTGCACTCATGGAAGCTTGATGTTCATATTTTGATAAACTAAGGCTTGGGAGTCCTTAAATATTGTTCTTATTCCTACACTGATTTTCTTCCATCGGTTGTTTCGCCAGTTTTTGCCGTATATTTTAAGTAGAACGGTCGATCAGCTGATAAAATTTATGTACTCTGGTTTCTTCACATTAGAGAAAATTTTTAAAACCCTTTGTTTTTTTCATCGAATTTTCCATCTGAGGCTAGGCACAGTCTAAAGTGGTTCTGATTTTGAGGCAAATCGAATCTCAGTGTTTTTAAAAGTCCCATTTTTGTAAAAAAAGTCCTATTCTGGACACATCAAATATGCAACCTTTGATTATCACAGAAAATGATGAGGCTTCCTACTGTAGTCAGAGGTGAAGGAAGACAAATATAGCAGTTTGCTAGAGCAAGTTTGGCCGACATTGTTGTAAATAAAAGGGTAATTATACGAAATGTTGCAATCTGAAGATGCTTTGCGTTGCAAAAGCTAGTAATTTCTCACATATTTATCCTGAAATACTCAGAAGAAGCACAGGTGAAAATTCAATCATGCTTCTTTTCTCCATTCTGATCTTGTATTCGCGTTCTTATCTTTTCTCCTGTCTTCACGAGCCAGGCAGAAGACTCGCACGCATTTGCTCTACGTACTGTGAAATCAATGCAGAATTTTTCTTTTTCCTAGCCACTTTTAAGTGATATTCAGCCTTTTTTTTGAGAATTTTCAGGTTAGAAAATTCCCATTTATTGTATGCTATTTTTAGATTAACCATTACTCAGAGCAACTCCTAGCTCAGATTTGAACTTACTTCCATTTTAATATGGTATTTAACCCGAAAATAAAGTGCTGTTAATCTTCAATCGGAATTCTTTCCAAAGTGTGAGTTGAATTTCTCCACGACTTCAACAATATATGCATTTGTCTCCAAGAACGAGACTAATTGCGGAACTGATTTAGAGAAGTGCACAAATCGTTCCTTTTATTATTGATTTTATTATATTCTTTATTACTGTTTTTCTTATATTCTTTTTTTGTGCGATTTTATTTAATTTTTTGATGCTGTTGGAAATTTTGAACGACAAGGATTTGCAGTAATAGTGGAACACGAGATTATGGGAATGGATTTGAGGTGCCAAAGTTGTAAAAAATAAGCAAATTTATATCGATTCTGGTGCAGTTCCAAAACGGTCCCAGTAATATTCCTGTCGTGTCAAATATCTGTGATTGAATGAATAGTACAAGGCTTTGTACACAGCTTCGGTATTAATGGGTTTATTACTTTTTTTTACTTTTTACACAATCTTTTCAGGCTTCCAGTGCATGTATTTATCGCTTCTTTAACGAACATTACTTTTAAGTTTCCATCTTAAAGGATTTATTCCACCTATTTTACCCTATCATTTTATTGACGAATTCGGTAGAAAATAGGTCAAAATTGAGTATTTAAACGTTTTCCGACAAAAATTTCATTTGGAGGGGGCCGTAGACGCAAATTTACAAAAGTATCACGTGTCCGCGTGACTTAGAAGTTGACAAGCGGAGACAGGCCTGCACTTGAAATGCATAGGGTTGTCGCTACTCGCGCACAAAAAGTTGATTTGTTTTGCAAAAATGAGTAATTTCGAAATAGATTTTATCACTGGGTGTTGTTTTGGAATGTCGTACAATACAGTTTTGAACCATGTTTAAAAACGGAAAACGCAGCCAATAAAAACATTTAACAACAAATTCATCAAAGGAAGGAAATGGATGTTGTGGTTGGGAAAACGGGACGAAGTTAGAGCAAAGAAAATGAAAATGATGAGTGGGAGGTTTTTTACTCGTTAAATGGAGAAAAGATTTGATTTATGAGTTATTTGCGGCTCTCCACTCTCTGTCCTTCATCCTTTTTCGGTTGAAATTTGGCTTGGGTTGGAAGGTTGCTTGAGCAATTTTTTGTTTTTTGCTTTGTTTTTATCGTCTTATGGGCTAGTAAAGCCTGAGAATAGAAATCTTTTTTATCAAAGTCTTTTTTAATTCAGCCAAGGAGAAGTAGAATTGCCTACCCGCTAAATGATTAAATATTCGACTACCACAACGCCCCCTATACCAGTAACATAAGTGATTCTTTTCAACTCACTTGAAGTTATTTACACATATTTCAGACGGCATTGCTTGGAAAATTTGTGGTATGTTAAATTTTACCACTCCGACAGTGTTGAAACCCGTACTGTCGCGGTGCATTCGTAGGCAGCACAACAAGGTATGATTCCCTAACTTACAAACATTTCTTTACTTTGAATGAATTAATAAATATTAACAAAACAGTCGACCTGTTTTGATAAAAAAATTCCTAAATAAAATATTTCCGAGAGCCCCCTCGCCAATAAGTCAACTGTAAGATGCCATGAAATAGCCCCATGCCCCCAAAAAATCGGGAATACATATTTTTCTCTTTCAATAGAAATACATTGGATATGCTTGCAAATGCACCTTTTCAGACATTGCTACCTCGTATTTTCCTTGCAAAAATGATTTATACAGTGATATGAAATTTCTCCTTCGACCCCCCATTTCTTGGAAACACCTCCACGCACGACTGATCAACATCCAGATTCAAAATTTACGCCCAAAACTACCCCAGGTCATCCACCCCAGAAAAAGCCAAGACCCCAGAAAAACATCATCCAATAATTTGTCCTCCCGGGAGCAATGCTCCCCATTCATCAACTTTCAATGTCGAGGTTGTCAACTTCTACGTCACAGCGTCACGTGATACGTTTCCCCGCCAAAATTTAAATAGCCGTTTTGGGGGTCTTACAAACCCCAGATCGTGGCAATATTTTGTAAGCATATTCAGATAGCTTTTAAATATCAAGAGGAAACAATTTGGCACCAAAATAGGTGGCATAAGTCTTTTAAAAGATTCAGATATCAACATCTGCTTTTGTACATTGGTAAAGGTCACCTTCTCATTTTTTTTGGTTCTATTTGAGGTGTTTTGTTTGTTTGAGCCTTCCTCACAAACGATCAGCTGCAGAAAGAAGAGGCCATGTTAAGAATCCAGAGAATATCACGGTTCCGCGGCTGTGAGTCGGAGGTTATCCAACGATGCAGTAGTAATGTGGAGGCTAATGCAAAACTACCAAACCATAGATGATTTATTTTAATTCCATTTTTAAGAAACTTGCATTCAAAATATAAAAGGAAAAGTTTGAGATTAAGGCATAATCTGAACTCTAGTTTTATTCTTCTGGATGTATCAATGCTTGAAATCTGCTACCTTGTATTCTATTGATGCCCGCAAACAAGCTTTGTATGCTTCGGTCAGTGTCGAAAAGACAACACCTAAATGTGGATTTTGGAATCAAGTTGAAAATTTACAGGACCGTCGAAACAGTGGTGGCGCCAGGGGGGCTAGGGGGGGCGACAGCCCCTCCGTCGGAAGCATCTAGCCCCCCCATCGGAGGAAATTTTAGGTTATTCTCGGAGCAAATTTGACAAAATAACGCACGAAAACTGCTTATTTTAGTCATTTTAGCCCCCCCCCTGTCGGAAGCTCCAACCCCTCTGTCGGAAGATTTCTGGCGCCACCTCTGCGTCGGAAGCGGGGGGATGGGGGGCTGGAGTCCCCCAATAATAGTCAAATTATGCTATTCTTACTTTATAACAGTGTACTGAATGAGAGACAATACAATTGGCAGCCCACCTCCCAGTATGAATTTTCTCCCGAAAGCACTGAGTTACATATTCTTGCAGCTTTTGAGAAACTTAAGCATGCTTCCACATTAACCTTTGCAAGATCTGAGAATTTACTCGAAAAAACTTGAGGAACACTCTCAACGGTTTAGATTTTCAATGCGACCCCTCAAGACCCTACACCAAACGTATTCCACTTCGACATGGAGTACAGCGATAAAGCAAAGTGCTGTAACTTGATATTTGTTAGGGGGGGCATAGAAAAATGACTTAGACCATTGGGCGTGGCCCCCTACAGACCCTGCCCTGCAGTAATCAGCATCATTAAGCCTAATACAGGCTTCTTAGCACTTCTCTTGGGAAGCTACCGAAAACAGAATAACTCGGCAAGCTAAACAACCTTTTATGATTGGGTATAAAATTGTTATGAAATTCATAACAGTTATGATGTACATACACAATTGTGGATTCGATTTTCAATGATTTACAACATTATTTCAAATATGCCTTATTAAAAAGTGGTACAGAAAGAGCCGATTCGTTCCATTGTTACATCTGACTGGTGCGAGATCGAATAGAGCCAGTAGTATAAAGGTATCGAATAGAGCAGTATAAAGGTATCGTGCCACCACCCTCCTTTCAATGACCCAGCAACCAATTAAAATACCGTAAAAGCTCTATTAAGCCCTCAAGGGGGCTTATTTATTGTTTTTAGTCCTAAGAGGGGGGCTTTAAAGAGAGGGGCTTATTAGAGAGAGGGGGGGCACGATACTTTTGATCACTTTATTAAAAATTTGAAGTAAAAAATGCTTTAAAAATGCCGTTATCTATTTTTTTGCAAAAATGTCATACAAATGTTCTCTGAAAATTTCGCTAGCAGCTTCGAACGTCTAATTAATTACTTATAAGGTCCTCGTCTTAATTAGAATCACCAAGATTAATTGATAGGGGGAGGTGGCTTAATAGAGAGTGGGAACTTATTTTAAGTTTTTGCTTGAAAAAAGGGACTTAATAGAGAGGGGGGCTTAATAGAGAGAGGGGGCTTAATAGAGCTTTTAGGGAATAAGATTTGATATACATCATATTTGGCACTTGAAGGAATTAACGTCAAGAAACGGGTCTACTTCCATTGGTCTGATTGATCAATACACAAGTGCTAATCAACGACGTATGGCGAACTGGGCCACTCCTACTCACTCAGATCCGTCAATTGTGTGGATCGTTATCGATTTGTACGGCCTGTGAAGCCGATGGAACTGATACCCCAAAGGTTACTACCCTAAAAGTCCTTCACAAGTCTATTAAAAAGAACACAAATGCTACACTACATTCTGGAAGAACGGTGAACACTACTTGAAATTGGCTTGGTTATTCTTCCTCAATTGAAAAGTGAACAACGTTCTGTCCATTTTTAGAATTTTTCTGATCTCCTGTTGCTAGTGCGGCATTATTTTCAACCACAAGACCCTCGTCACCAACAACAAAGGATGCGATTCCATTCTGGGACCTTTCTATATCTTTATGATTTGATGTTTTAGACGATTCGTTTGCCTCTCTTTGACTGCCGATATTTGACAGAACGAGGTCATTGATTATCTGCTCGTTTGGTTTGTTAAGCAAAAGCCTTGGGTGCAAGTACCAGAAATCAGCAACAAATGTCAGCATGAATAGCATTTTGCAGCATGCGAAGAACCATTCTCCTCCCTGACCAACTGATTTGCCCTTCTCGTTATATTTTAGTAGATCTGGATGCAAAAATATCAGGAGAATCAGTGTACCAACGATCATCCCAGCTGTCAGAAAAGGCCTGGATAGGCAGAGCAGATGCTTTACCTTACCGTACATCACTTTATTCTTCAATGTTATCAGCGTTTGCATAGCTGCATAAATGCAGGCAAATATGATATAGATACCAGCACCTGCAAAGTGCACAGCCTTTACACTTGAATTCTGAAAAGAACTCACCATCACTTTGCCAAATACGAACAATGAACCGGCAGCCAAAGTTGCTTTGTTGAACCTGTTGTCTAACCTCACGTAAGAGTGCTTCACCTGAAAGTACCGTACCAGAACTACACCAAAAGAACAGCATGACGATAGAATCATCCCAAATGTAAACAAACTACTCTCGGGTGTTTTATTGCCTAGGTCACTGATAAACGCAACGTCATGATTTGAGTCTAAAAAACTAAGTCCTTTTTTACTATAAGCGTAAGCGTAGGAGGCGACAACGAATATTAATGATAGAGCCACGTTCAATATAGGAAGAGATACTAGGAGCTTGTTCCCACATCTTCGGTTGTTTGTCTTGAATCTGGGAGTAACCTGTGCCATACTGTCGTTATTCCGTGTTCCATTTGCTGGTGTGCCAGGTTTTGGTAGTGGTGCTTCAGCTGGATTACCCTTTGGGCTTCCTATATTCAGGTTTACGTCTGATAAAGACATTACTGCACCGGGTGATCACTAAAAGGAAGACGAGAAAATGTTTTGTGAAATGTTGACTCGTTTGACCACCAACGTTAGATCACTTTCCAACATAAAAAAAATGTTGGGCGAAATGTTGTGTGAAATGTTGGATCGTTTGACCAGGGCTTAAAATAAATAAACAAAAAGACAAAATGAAATAAAAAAGACAATAAAAAAACAACTTATCACATATGAAACAACAGAATCATGTGGACATCTAACATCGCCCTTAGAACTCCAATAGAGTGACGAAGTGTGACGTCATCAAATTTTGTTTAGAATTGAAGAATTCTGACACCATGAAAGACCTTCAACTATGAAATTCATTCTGAACAGTTGAAACTGAGGCCTGGTTCAAACGTCGCACTTCTCATGTGCCGAACCTAACTCTGTTTGGAGCGACACTTGAGCATGTTTAGCGCGACTCCCGTTTCAAACGTCGAACTTAACCATGTCGCGCCTAATGGGTTTTAGGATTGTTACATAAAGTATCTTGGTTAAGGCGCACAATCTCAAATATTTGTTTGAAACGCATGCGCCCTCCAAGAAAGAAATGAATTCTGTAAAGGAAAATAAATTAAATATAATTATGCATTGAGTTCGGCACATGACAAGTTCGACGCTTGAAACCGTGCCGTGCTGGAGCCGTGCAGCTCGGCAAGCTCTGCCGATCCAAACTAGTCTGCCGCTCCTAACTAAATCTGCCGTACCAAATTGATTCAAACGTCGCGCCCCTCATGTACTTAATTCTCGAGTTAGGTTCGGCACATGAGAAGCGCGACGTTTGAACCAGGCCTGACTGTTGTAGACATAAGCTGGTGAAACGAAATTAGCAGTGGGTTGAAGAACGAAATTAACGAAGAATCCACTGCGTCAAAGACCATACGAAACCATAAGAAAACAGGAATCGTATGGTCTGTGGCGTAGACTAATATTTTCTAAACTGATGCTACCTTGGGAAGGTGACTACAGAGGGGCGAATAGAAAACAGCGCAATGCTAGCTTACATACGAAAAGAAAAATCCTTGCTAGAGAAGATGATTTTGGCAGGGACAGCGGAGCACATTACGGATTGAGTGGGGATACAAGATTTTGGGGCTCAAAATGCCAAAATCCCAGTGCCGGATGTTCCATTGTACATTTTTATGTGGATTTTTGGAATATTTGAAGGGGGGACAGACTTACCCATCACTCATTGCGCTGCTTGTCACCCTTGTAACACACTACTAAGCTCTAAGCGAGTTCGGTTAAATGTAATTAAACAAATTAAATATTGAATCAATATAAAATTAAAAAACCCGAAAGAAGTTTGTCGAGAAGAATTTAGCCTGCGTGCAGACGCGGAAATTGAAAAGAGGAGAAAAAGTAGAGGCTGCGCAACTGAGCCGCTTCTCTTGTTCACAGGTTCCTCAGACTCCGCTTACACTGTGCCGGATAAATTTTATCCGCATCAAAATTAGTTCAGATAGGCGTCGCGTTTACACTAGACCCACGCTATCTGCACGAATTTGAGAGCGGCTATCCGAACAAAATTAGTTCACCTAGGAAAGTGGGTTAAATTACTGCGGATAGCTATGTGGTACAGTGTAAAAGCTTTTATCTGGATTAATTTTATCCACATCGTATCTTGCTCGAAAGCGATTGGCTATTTCATCCAATTTAGTTTTCACTGTCTCCCAATCAAGACCTTTTGCCATCTTGGCTGTCTTGTTGTCGATAAATACTCGTGTTAAAAGTACAGTCCAAGTAAACTTGGTATCCTTGTCAGCTTTCCCTACTTTCGTTGCTAGTTCAGTAACATTTTGTTTCATGAACAAACTATTAAAACAAACTAGGCCTAATTTGTATTGACAATATCTTTGGATTTGGTCTAAAAGAGAAGCAGATGATTCTGAAGAGAGAATGAAATCTGTTTACGTTGGCGGGAATTTTGTTATTATTTTGTTGCCCAGAGAAGACTTCATTTTGGGCGTTCTGTGCATGATTTAGGTCATGTGACTGCAGTTATCCGGCACAGTGTAACGGGAGGGCAAAGAGGACAAAATTTGTGCGGCACAGTGTAAACGCAAATCAATCCGAACAAGTTTTATGCGGATAAATCTTATCAGGCACAGTTTTAAACGGGGTCTCAAAGTTAAGGAACCATAATTTATTGGTTGGGGGAATTTCAATTATTTTTTCAGTTTTCAAAGTGGCGCCATCGAGCAGAGGTATGAATAAATGGTATCAGGACAATATAATAGGCCTGTTTGTTCTTTAAAACAACTAAAATTGTCTAAATTGAATTTCAGAGCCACGCTCAAATTTCGCCATTAAAGAAAAACATTGCACACTAATGGAGTTATTGTTCTTGTGCTTAGAATATAAAATGTTGATGTCAGCCAGCGGCTCGGTTGCGCAGGCTCTACTTTTTCTACCCTTTTCAATTTCGGAGTCTGGACGCAGGCTAGAAGAATTCAGCTGTTTTTGAACAAGTTACACCATTATAAAGCAAGATAAAGAATTTTCACTAATCTTTTCCAAGTTAATTTTATCAATTGAAGTAGTTGATTAAAGGACCAAAAACACACTGTAAGTCTTGTTTATAATTTTCAGAGTGAGGTCACGCCCCGGGGTTCACGCTGCCAGTCTGCTGTGATGTACTGATGCTTCTAGTGTTTACAAAAGTAACTATATTACCATAGCTTCAAACTCATGACCGGTAAAATTCTCAGTAAAATTGAAGGCTTGAGGAGCCCTTTAGTAACCGTTAAGAAACTTTGTTTGACAAATGTATTTGCTAAGCCCAAACATAGATTACACTCGGTAAACATCTATGATTATTTATATACTCATAAAAATACACCTCGCTTCTAGCAGCTACCGAAATGTTTATCAGAATGTCCAATAAGAATGTTATTAGAAATATTTAAACACGGGGTCCTCACGAATTTCCTACAATGTGTACAACCTGACCCAGAGGTGGATTTAGTATGGTGAGAATAAGTAGAGTACTTGAAACGCCTTTTAGTCTGAATGTCTTACTTTGTGAACTTCGCAATATGCTGCATACACCCCTTGAAAATATAACCAAGGATTTGAGTCGTAGTGGGAATCGTGGTAGTGACCTTCGAAGCAGTCTAGTTTTGAAGCCCATGAGTAAAGTTTGGTCTTATTCGTTATGAATTTATCAATACTGCGAGTTATTTTCTATTTATAATGTACGGTACCTAAAAGGCTTATTGAGCCAAGTTGCCCCAACCTCCCCCCCCTCTCTCTCTTGAACGGAATGTTACCTAATTATGCATTACACTCCCTCTTTTTATAAGAACCAGTCAATTTAAGTTCAGGCTTACTGTTCTTAAATTAATAGGGTGTAACACGACCTCATTTGCCTACAAGCTTGAAAATTCACCGATAAAGCACCCACACATGGCCAAAATCCTCGTTTTTGAGATGAAGCCTTGCTAACAATTACATTTTATAGTAGCTCAGCTTCAGCTTGTTCTTAAATTGTTTTTAACTTTTGATCAATTTCGAGGCTCTTGTTCTTAGCAACGTTGAACAACGTTGAGCAGTACCCTAATTATTCACATTTGCGAAATTTTATCCTATCCTCGATCAGGATTTACCATACTCTTATCATATCCAAGTGAATTTGGTAATGAACTTAAGTGGGGACTTAACAGATTGCTACTAAGATACGTATTTTATGGAAATACATGAACAGAGAGCTTATGAAGTTTTATGCAATTTTCAAAGCGAAAAACAAACAAAAATTGCTTTCGAATATTATTGCGCTGTATGATTTGAGTTTTTATGCTGATATGAAGCGAACCACATTATATATTTTGCTAATAAAGTAGGAAAACACTTGCTTAATCATCTGAATATTCAAATTTGATTTTAAAGAGAGTGATAAATAGACTCACCTTGGACGTTTTAGCGCAGGTATTCCTGCTTTGTGAAAGACACCACAAATTCCTCCGAATACTAGCAGCCAACTTTTGTAGGGAAAAATGCCATTATGAATTTCTCAAAAAGTGGTAACATCTGCTCCGAAAGTCTGTCGAGTGCTGGTTTTAGTAGACGGTGAAATTCTACGTCCTTTGCCCGTCTGTTGGTATTTATTTTCAAATTTTCAGCATATCAACAAAAACCAACCTTTTCTTCATCGTCAATAGCGGCCTCTCAAAAGATGTGGACAAGAATGGAATCATTGAATTCACAAGAATACTCGTAGATCACGTGGACACTAAGCCTTTTAAAACCTACCCAGGCATATGAAATTATGGAAACGTAAATAGCGCAAAGTGCATCAGCCTTGTTCAACTGCAGTAATCATATACTGTCTGTAGTTGTTGAAAGGGCCGTTGGAGCTGTCTGCCGTTTTTAACGTGGAGAGCTTATGAAGGAGTCAGTTACGTAGCCAATTTTGCCACCAGCAAACGCAATTCATCAGCCTTTATATAATTAGCACGAAACTAAATTAACAATTGAATTGACTGACAACAAAAGCGCGCTCAAGTCGGTGAAATAATGTCCAAACAAGTTCAGATTTGACCTGCAAATGCTCATTTTGCTCTTATTCATGTTAGAAATTATTTGATATTGTTTATTCATCATCCAAAGGGCGTTTAAGGGTAGTGTTGACAGCCCTGTTCCTCCGTACAGTGTGGAAAAAAATCTACAAATTAGTTTTCTTATAAAAGTAAGCAGAATATCAATAGCGATTATAGAAATGTCTGTAAACGGTGAAAGAACGCGGAGTGTACTAATAATAAATAGTGTATTATCATGTCAGAAACAAGATGATATTGTATATTTTTCTGCGTTGAACAGTACCGTATAATGTAAGTTATTGTGCATTAGATTTTTTCAATGGCGATATAGGGAAAATTATTGATATTTACGTCGTATTGTGGTTATGAAAACAAATGACTGAATAATTAATAGAGAAAGGGATTATGCGTTACCAAAAACAGACGAAATTGTTTTATAATGAAAGCGAGGTTTGCATAGTCATCCTGCAATTACGGCTGTATTTATCTTACAGCCTTTAGCAACCCATCAAACAATTTCACAATCTCTTGTTGGAAAAGGGTGATCACTTTGCATTTGATTCTTTGTAATGTGGCTTGTTCCATAATGAAGCTATTCATCTCCATAATCTTCTGCCAGTAATCTTGGCAAACATCTTTGAAAAATCAACAATGTTTTAGTTTTTCAAGTTATTATGTAATTGTTTACTCACAGTTTTATCCATGCTTTGAATTGCTAAAACTTATCGTATCGTCCTAGCTCTGTCATTCACATTCATAAAGGTGATTTTGCCTGTCTGTTATTGCCATTAAATTTGTATGTTTACATTGCAGTGAAATAAGCCAATGTCCTTTTTATCCTATATTTGTTAACTGCATTCAATCAAACCAAATTATCAATTTGCATGCTTGTCCCAGAAAACGTTGAAATGATTTGTTTTGTTCAGTGTCATGCTGAACTTGAAACAGGCCAAAAAACTTGATGATCTTTAAATTAAAGGGGTTGCATATTATATGTTTGTTTGCCAACAAAGTATACCACTTCATTTTTTAAATTATTGCATTTACGAAAAGAAATATCCCGCAAGCAGTCTGAAGCTTGGAGGAAGGATATTAATTAATAGATGTAAGATTCATCTTATGTTCAGAATATACTCGATATTTTAGGAATTTATCACTTACAATGAAAATCTAGGATACTATGAAAAAGTGAACATGTAAATAACAGAACCACTGTGAAATGTTGTGTTTCTAGTGCTAGATAAGTATAAAGTTTTTCTTTACAACAGAATCATTATAATTTTTAGCTATGACAAGAACACAACAATTTTGTTCAGTTCAGTTTGTGTTTAATTTTAAAAATAAGCTACTACAACTACATTCCCGCCATTTCAAGAAAAAAGCTGACATCAGAGGTTTCGGAGGCCCTGGGGCAAAATCGACGGACGAGGCTCCCAGGAAGAAGCACTAAAGGGGTATTAGGTATCAGAAAAGGGGCACTTGTCCAAATCTGTTAAAGACGACACTTTGAAGAAATTGGAACTTTTCAAAAAGTAAGGGGGACGTAACCCTGATGTCCAATTGTTCCGATGTTCTTAAATTCTAGATTCTTATCAAAGTATGCTTGTCTCTAGCAAAGCAAATTTTCTTCAAGTGAAAGGTGTGGCTTTCTTTCATGAACGTAAATATGAAAAATTCTGAAGCACACGAACTACCTTACATAAATAAACCGGTAAAGAAATTATTATTTTAACATAATAGGAAAAAAACTCTTGTTATTCTAACTAGGCTAGTACCTGAGCGCATCAAGTAGGTTCATTACTTTCGAATATAGCAAAAGTGTTCATCTGCCATTAGAGCTTGTTTAGTTGGTATCGATACGTCACAATCATATGTTTTTCATTTAATAATGTACAAATTTGTATGCCATATAAAACACATTCGAAACTTGCTGTTTGTCTTCATGCATCAAAACAGTATTGTAGACATTTCCTTTTCTTTAAAACTATCTGTCTTTTCAACTAACTTCATGAATGAACATATATTTGAGTAGGCATATGACTACCCTGGGTACCAGACTCACTATATATAAAATAAAATAGAGATATATTTTATATATTATTTATTATATTATTTTATCTCTGTTATTTTATATAGTGAGTCTGGTACCCAGGGTAGCATATGACGTACCCCGTGCTAAATTGCAGAAAATTTTTGTAAAACAGATGTTTTCAGGACTTTGTTTACGTCACGTGGCTAATTAACTATTTTTCATTGACGTCTGCTTTCTTTTTTGCTGAAAAGAATTTCTTAAGAAGGAAATTATGTCGATTAAGTGAAATTATCCATTTCTGGTTTTTAGCAGACGCAAAGGTTTTGCTCATAACAGTTTTTTGCGAAGGGTGTATCACTCTTTCCAAACAGCATACAAGATTTTGTGGAACAATAAGATTTTTAAGGATTTTCGGAGGTTTTTCTCGAAATCAAAAGGATCTTTAACAAATGTGTACGAAATTTTCATGGAGTGATACACCTCAGTTGTTTACAAATTAGATATTTTTGGACTTGGTTTAAAAAATGCAGGGGTTATTCTAAGAAAAATTTACAATACAACAAATTCAATCACTGGTAATTCTTTTGTTAAACTTTTTAACTTTATTGTTGAGAAAAGCCAAAACAACAGTAGGATTAAAGCCACTGACCTCAAAAATAAGTTTCAGTGTCGGCATTTTAGATCGTAAATGTTTGGAATATGGAGGATGGTGTATTTTTACCCAATAAGAAAGCAAACACTCAAAAAGCGTTAAAACTTGGCTTGAATAACAGCATACAACCCTCTAGAATCTATGCACATGAGTGGTAGGAAATTGAGAATACTTAAAAAGTGCGAATAAAGAAAAGGTCACGATTGCAGTCTGCGCGACGGACTCCAAGGATTTCTTGCGGCGAAAAATCGATGAAAATGTAGCCAATAAGAAACACCGAACACCGCAATGCGATGAGAATGCACAACAATAAATTCCCATTAAATTAGTGAAGGCTAATATTTCGCCCCGGCATACGGGGCTTCGTCAGAGCAAAAGTAAACGGCCTAAAAACGATACATTAGCAAATTTTAATGGTCCAGGCACTGTGTTTTTTGAAAAAAATTTCCTGATGTTTGTCAAATTTGAAAACCTCGTGTTCATGCAGCGCGAATTTGAAGAGGAGGGAAACGGCCTAATTCACGGCCGCATGGATGACAATTTTCTTATTTGAAGGAGAAGATTACCTTTTCCACTAGGACGTTGTTAATCAGACAATGATATAAGCAATTGATGTAGTGAAGACAAAGTCGCTATGAGAGTTGTAGGCCTAATAAGGTTTGGAAGTCTTTTCTTTCGTTTAATGGTGAACTTGATAACGGGGAGCTCTTCAACAAACTTTTTTTGCAATGCAATTGCTTGATTTGAAAAATCCCGATCACTTATCAAATATATGTTGATATTAGTCCTAGCAGTTATTTGTTCAATTTATTTTTGTACTATTGATAATTATTTATATTGATTTACTAATGTGTTGGATCTAGAGCAGAATACTGAATGGCCACTGTGAAAATATTTGAATTTCAAAAATTTCATATTGTTAATATTTCATTATATTTTTACAAATAGCTTTATATTAAAGAGTACTCTTAAAGACCATAGTGCTAAAAATGGAGCACTGTGTTAAAAAAATACCTTGATATTCTTAGAGTTTGTCATATACCTTAATGCTGCAAAACATGTTGTTGAATCAAAAAGGTTTGAGTTTAACAAATTCAGGAGGGCACACTTAGGACTGTTCAGTTGAGTTTTTAGATTTCAGTTTCCACAATATGCCTACATACAGCTCTTCAATAGAGTATCATATAAACTATAAAATATTAGAAAAGACAAAGCAAAAAAGGTTTTACTGAACTAATAACAAGAATTCAATGCAAAAGACAAACACATAATCAAGAATCAGGACATCTGAATGCCAGGTTGGAAATTGTGTATGATTTTGGCTTTGTGAAGCTGCAAGCAACAGTACACTATCAGCTGTGATCTTCAAAGCAAAGGCATTTGAGCTGCATGTAGCAATGCTAGATTGATATTGTGGGCCAAGTGTGAGCACAAGAAATCCAGCATAAAAGGAGCATATACAGGTTTTCCAGTCTGGTTTGATGGAATTGTATACATGGATTTGCTTGAAGGAGAAAACCCTCTTAATAGTTAATAACTTATCAAATAAATTAGCCTTTGTATATTTGCGAATATATTTCAACAATGATATGGAATAAACAATGCTTTCAAGGCTAAAAGTTTGAATAATGAATCACAAATGCTTACACCTATTTAAACAGCAACAGGACTATTAACCTTACTAGGCTAGAAAGTATTTCAGGAATGCACACAAAGTCTAATGTGAATTATATACAAAGGTATGTTGCCTAATGCGAACTTCTGATATCGAGGGCTGTTTTGTATATGATCAGTGTCACTGATACTTTAACTCTATACCAATCATAGAATTTGAGAAATAGTTAATTTAAGAAATATGAGCTACGGTTAAGATGAGAGTCAATTCTTATACATACTCTTCCAGTGGTGGCAAGGACAGTTGTTACAATTTGATTGAATGTCTAAAAGAAGGCCATGACATTGTTGCACTAGGGAACTTGAAGCCAGCTGAGAAAGGTAGTATTTTGATAACTGATTTTTTCCATATAGTGTTATTCTTCATTTGTTGTTTATGATTACTCATTTTGTAAATTCTATCTATAATTATTAATAATGTAAAAGTGTAGGACCAGTTTTGCAGGAAGGGGTGAATTGCCATGAAATGATTTTGACCTGATCTATACAACCAATTGTTCAGAATATTTTTCTTAATTGATGCTAAAGAAGATTGAGGAGTCAGAAGGAATATAAATAGTACAAGTGACAAAATGCTTGAGCTGACTGTTTGGTTCTGATCAAAACGAAACCTCCATGTAACCAGAAGCATCAGTTAAATGGTCCACTTCTGTAGTCCATTATCAGCATGAAAAAGTCAAGAAAATTTTATGCTATTTGTAAATTCAAGTATATATGAGTTTAGGGGGTATGGCTACACACCATTAAAGACATTGTAAACCTACTTTCAGACTTAGCAAAAAAGGAAAGACATTTATGTGATCTAGATGGGAAAAAGTTGACCTTGCAATTGCAATTTTTCTTTTTATCCTCTCAGCAACAGAAGCAAAAAGCAGTGTATAGACAATCAGAACACTGAGAAAAATTACTACTTTATTATTAGTTTTGAGGCAGCATTGTTAGTTTTTTCCTTTATTTAAGCTAAAAGTGGTTTGTATAATTTTCAATTTGAAATTAGTCTGTGGTGAAAGTTTCATGCTGTTTGGACTGTCAGGCTGGGAATTACCCTGGTATTAAAATTTAGCTTAAATTACTATACATTACACTGATATTTGCTGCTACAACTGAGGCAGAAATATAAAAAGTTTTTCAAAACAAAGTAAGTCAAAACTGAGCATTCCAAACAAGATGAAGTTTTCAGTTTAGACTAATTTCAACATGGCAATTGCAAAACTGATTATGTCAACCCAAAACCAAGAACTATTATATTGTATTTATATGCTGGCTTACTTTAATGTTGTTGTCCTTTGATACAATATAAAAGTATTGCATGTGTTAACTAGATTCAACTTTGTTTTCTAACGACAAACTGCAGCCTTTGTTTGAAAAAGTTTGGGCAAATTTGTTCAAAGCAGTATGGCAAATCAGTATGAGTTGTGCCTTCTGTCTTTTCAGATGAACTTGATAGCTTCATGTTCCAAACAGTTGGGCATGATGTCATTGACTTGTATGCTGATGCCATCAGATTGCCATTATTCAGAAGAACAATAGCTGGATCATCAATTTGTCAAGAACTTGACTATGATTATAGTAATGGCGATGAAGTTGAGGATCTTTTTCTGCTGTTGAAAGAAATCCAGGTCTTTATAATATATTTAATATATTCTAAGTATTAATGTATTTGATTCAAGTATTAATGTGTCAACAAGGTAGACTTACTGTCAGCAGGCTATTTTTATGTTTGATTATTTTGTATTCTTTAGCAAAATATTGACTTTGATGCAGTTGCTGTTGGTGCGATTCTATCTGATTATCAAAGGATCAGGGTTGAGAATGTGTGAGTACTTGTTTCATACCATCAATAATGTATCATGTAATGTATAATGTTTCTTGAAAGCATCATGGTACTACATTTATTTTTTATCTGAAACTAAGCTCCAGATTACATATACGATTTTCTTGATTTTTTTGTTGATCTCAGTACAAAATTTTTTTAAAGTTTTCTTAGATACCAAATGCTAAAGAGCTTATTTTAGAAACACAAAACGAAACACAAGATAACATGAAATAGAACAACTAATATGTCACAAAGGTCCCTTCTTTCATTTTATTAAAACAGTTGATAGGTGCCTTATTGTTGAAAAGTATCATTTCTTCACCCTCTTTAAAAGATAGATTTTTTAACATTTTTTAATGTTGAAGGGTGATAAGGGCTAAGGTTTCTTAATTCTTGTAGACGGGTTCTTATGAAAAATGAAGGTACATTGAAACCTATATAGAAGTGTCTTATTCAAGTACTTTGCTAAATTTTCAAAGACTCCTAAGAAGGTGCTAATTGAATAGATGACTTTTGTACTATAATCTTCTTTATTTCTGTTTTTGTAGAGCTGGAAGCTTGCTCGTTTTGATTTTTGAAGAATCATTTGTATTAGGGTATTTGTTGTCACTTGGCGACAGAATCGCATGTTGATTATGAGAGAAAGTTACAGGAAAGACAGGAATAAAATTTATAAAACCAGATTTCAGGCATTATTGGCTTCATTGAGATAGATAACATTGATTTTATATCAGATAACAATCAGTTATAATCTATCAACTTGCTGCCCGTAAAATTGTTATAGATGTTTACGTTTGGGTATCAAATGCCTTGCTTACCTATGGCGAAGAGATCAAGATGAGCTATTGCAGAGTATGATCGATGGAAAAGTCAATGCAGTTCTAATCAAAGTTGCAGCTTTAGGTATTTATGGTTTCAATTGCTTTCTGGTAAATTTCACCTTTAAGATGGGCAAAAGTTTTCATTCACGCTAAGATGAACTCGCTGTTATTGTTAGGTGTGAGGATGACGCAACTTAAGGTTGACCCAAGCGTCTGTGGTTCGAGTCAGTGGTATGACAAAACGTCAAGGTGAACCTCGACAGAGTTAGCCGCTTCAACAAAATGTTTCCTTTGTTTTAATGAGATTGTTACGAGCTATTGGCTTTTGTTGTTTACATTGCCTTTATCGATTTAATGCCTATGTTGTTGAGCATGACACAGGTCCAATACTTGATGATCGCATCAAGCATGAAACTCGGAGTAGCTACTTAGAACCGTCCTGATGTACACACCAAATAGCTCGTACAGCCCTGCCTATACGGTATCGAGTACTTTATGACAGTCCGGTAAAAGTAATTTTCATTATGTTGTTGAGTTTGGTGTGTTCTTGCTATCCACTTTCACAAAAATGATCATCGCTTTGGACTAATATTCTGGACACTTGGAAGCTAAGCTAGAAAAATAACTTTTCGGAATCTTTTAGGTCATAGGTTATCAGAAAAACTGTTATTGTTTCAAAATTTATGAGACAACAAGCCAAAGAAAAAGCATTTTTTGCCTAAATTTTGTTAAATCGACTCTAGCAAAAAAGTTGATTTCCTTTTTTCTTCTTCAGGTTTGTATCCACAGAAGCATTTGATGCAGACTATCGAAGATATGCAAATTTCCTTACGGCACATGGTATGAAGTTTTTCAAACACTATCTTACTTTCATTAATATAAAGCTGGAGGTCGAAGTTTTGTAAATTTACAAAGCTTCCCTAAACGGACAAGTTACTTAAGTCAGATAAGAGTTGCTTGAAAACTGAGTTATATATGATATCTGTAAAATGGCTTTGAAAATGCAAACACTTCCAAACATGCTTAGAAATGTCAGATGTCAGATGTCAGAATCTTGACCGAATATTCAAAGCTTGGAAATACATATTGACCCAGTTGTGTATTGAAATAGGCCAATCAGAAACGCGAGCACATGACTGTTACAGTTGCCCAATCAGTGCCGCTTGCCTATTGAAAATATTACCAATCGAGTTCAAGGGTGGAAAGAAGCTCCCTCTGTCTCTAGACAATAGCGGTTCTTCATTTCTGTGAAGCAGTTCTCCCAGGGGGAAAGTTTTGTTTTTGCTCCACAAATGCGTATGTATAATTCCTAGTTCAGAATTTTTGATCATTATTCTTTTTTATTGTAGTTTTTAGTTTGTATTGTAATTTTTTATCTGGATATTAAAAAATTATTATTCTTACAGTCAGACGAAAAACTTAACCATGTTTTGAAATTTTGCTTTTTCAAAACCATCCATTTTTATATTTTATGCTGCCAAAATATATTTTGATATTTCTATATTGCAAGTTCCAAAGTCGCAAAAGTGGCGGCTTACTTTAAGATTTCATATACACTCAGTGGCGGCGCCAGCTACTGCAGATCTAACCCTATCTAGCGCTTTTTAATCCATTTCTAGAAGAAATATGTGGACCATGTTTTGCCAAAAGTGGTAGGAGGTTAATTATCCCCCCAAACCCCTTTAGCGGCGCAACTGTGTTCACTGCAAGTGATACTTTGATCGGAGATCGCATTGCGTTTCATGTAGTGTTTCTTCTGCAGAATGCCAAGTATGGACTGAACATATGTGGAGAGGGAGGAGAATATGAGACAATGACTCTTGACTGCCCAATATTTTTGAAGAGAATTATAGTGTGAGTTGAAACATTGAAACAATTTCTTCTTGAGTCAAACATCAAGGTCCAAATTTGTGAAGATGAGAAGTCTTTTGAATTCAAGAAAACACACTACAATCAACTGAAGTCTTTGTTTCATTTTTTATCTCCATATTGATGTTGAAAACATCTTGCCCAATTCGCATGTCAGGTTTCGAACAAGTGCATTTGTCACGTAAAAAATCAACCAATTTGACCCACAATACACGAGCAAATAACACTTATAAAGGAAAATATTGTATAGGAAAAATGCTCGTGTAGATGAGGTCTTTGATTAAGAGGCATTTTTTCCTTGGAAATTTAATAATGGTTGAAGCGTACATGGAGCTGGGAAAAAACCAACTGCTCACAATCATCAACCTGAAAATCTACTGTGCCAGTTTTCGATATTGACGCATTGGTTTTGTAGATGATAGCATACTAGATACTAATATTTAATTTTCCTACCATTTTAGAGACAAATCAGAAATTGTTATTCACTCAGATGACGCTTTTGCCCCTGTTGGTTATGTGAAATTCAAAGCTGTCCATTTAGAAGACAAAGGCATGGTGAGTTTTAAAGAGTACGCACAGAGAGTGGTGAGACTCTTTGAGTACGCACAGAGAGATTTGCATGGGCTTCAGAGTTCGCATATTTAAATTAATCTTTGAACCTCATTACTGGAATCAAAAGACGGAAAATTCTCTAGTTGGGTCAAAGGTATAATGGAACTTTGTCACACCTCTTCTTCACCTTTCTAAGAATTTTGCAAATTTTTTCGGCTAAATTTTAAGTTTAGTATCAAAATGCGAACCAGTAATCATTTTGATCTCACTCATGCATTGTAAATCCATGCAAAATTGTCCCTGTTCGTGTACTGTCATTTTTACGTCTCGGAACCAGCCGAAAGTAAGTTTCCATTGTTCTATTTGTTTCATCTGATACTGTAAAAATCTGCAGATAAAAAACTAACTTTCAAGAAAATGCAGGCTGCCTTTTTCAAGGATGTGTGCCAAACTATTAAAAACTGTTGTGCGGTTTGTTGAAACTGCTCAATTTGAATAAAAGCTTCTAAATTAAAATAAATGTAAGAAGCAGGTCAGAATGTATAATTTTCATTTCTTTTCCAGATGTTTCTTCTATTATCTTCATCTTATTATAAAACTCTTCTACCTTTACTTCAAAATTTGTTCCTTTTTTAAAAAACTTTGCGGTCGCATCCGCAAAATTGAGTTCCTGGGTTTTGCTGTATGATCTTCCAAGCAATTGCTTATTAAGAAATCGTGACATATGTTGCTTCTCGTATAATACTCTGTTATAAAAGTAATCGAGTATAGTTGGTCAATTACTGGGGTGACTGCAGCCCCAAAACCCCATCCGCTCCCCACGATCCTATTCTAGTCATTACTATCTTCCAATTTAAAGAATATAACTATACTTTGAATTTACTGCAGTTTGAATTTACAGCAGTACTCCAAAGGAAATTTACTTCAGTTTGACAATTATTAGGGGGCTTCGGCAAACCACCCCCCCCCCGCTTCCGACGGCCCTGTTATAGGATTCCATTTATGCTTGAAACTAGGCCTATGTTTTTTATTTTAGGACCCAAATTTATCACTGAAGCAGCGGCTGATTAAAGGAATCCACGAAGACGGGATATTTAAGAAACAGGAGAGCGAGGTGAATCTAGCAAGCACTAATAACGTGAGTGAACTGAAAAATATACCAATTCACAATGTGCTAACACCTTGATTTAAAAGAAACACCTAGTTATACCTTATTATGTTTTACATCATCATATAAAAATTAATCTTCAATTCTATTTGAACAATTTTTGCTACATTTAGTTATAGTCATTTCCAATTAACTTGATGTTAAGCCTATTATTTTATATTTTTCTATTAATTTTCAAACTTCGTAGGTTGAGTTCATTGGGTGATGTTCTTTTTTATATTAGATCTTGAGGCCTTGGATTTGATTCATTTTTTCAGAAATTCCAATCAAGTATCACTTTTTTATTTCCTTTTCAGATTAGCAGAAAAGCAGAAATGAAACTCAATATTAAAGGTAAATTATGTTACAATAACAATGGTCCCTTTTTCTTTGAATTCAAGATTGTTATTTGATTCTTTTGTTATGTGAATGCAATATCACAGCGAATGCCAAAGTATGTCTACGCCCTACTGCTAAAATTAAAGAAAAAATGTGACTTCCCTGCCGTAAGGCCTAAAAGAGACGACATAGAAAGCAATAAATACGCTCCTTGAAAGTTGATTGAATGTTCTAGAAAATCTCTAAAAATTTTGAGTTTGCTTATTCTGTCTTATTTTGTTGAAGTTATTTTTTAAAACTTTTGCTGCAAATTAGCTAGATCTCTATCCAATGTTCGATGTACTGCAAAATGTCGAATTTAATGCTGTTTTATGACTTCTAAATGCTTTGTAAAAGTGAAAGTGCAAGCAGTTGGAATCAGACAATTTTCCTACAGTCTCGAATTAAACCCATAGCGTTAACAGTTTTCAGTTGCAGAGTGTTAAGTTGCTTCCTTAATGTGAATGTTTTTACGAGAATCGTTATTTTACTTTGGAACTATCGTAAAGTATTTATTCGTAAAACAGGTATTTTCACAATCAAAGCATGGGATTAATCTTTCTTTAGCATTACTTTTGCAAAACAACAGAAATCTAACATTAAATCAATTATTGACTGCTTGAAGTTTTCCTCTCATTATATATTTTTGTTATGTCTTCCTTTTTGCACGAGGATTATGTTTATACAGAGTTTGTTACAAACTAACTCGAAAATGATGCCAACTGTTCGCAATTTTCTTCTGTTCAATTTTACAACATCGTGAACCTGTCAACTTGTTTTTCATCTTTGAGCGTGACAAGTTTTTGTCTTGATAACGAAATCTGTTTAAGCCCATATGCTTTTTCGAATTGCTTTGGGTGTTTAGATAGGTTTTTGTCTCATCAAGCAGAGAGATAACAAGCTTTTTTAGCAAATCGTGAAGCATCTCATCAGAAAAAGTCAATTTTTCTTTTATCATGTTCTTGATTACCACTGTAAATACGATAAAATCTTGTTACTAGGAAGAAACGAAAAGATAATAAAAGATCATGAATAATTCATGAAAATTGTATGATAACAGTTCTTTTCTTGCCCGTAAGCAATACATTTCTTTTGATTATCCTCAGAGCACTTCGAAACTGAACGACTGACGAAATAATTTTCAAACTTTCCACAATTTAAGATCTATTTTCATTTTTTTTCCTTTTCCAAAGTGCGACCTTTGACGACACCTTTGAGATCATCAGAACCCGCCTATATCAAAGGAAAACTAAGATTTTTGTTGGCAAAAGGAATTTTTTTTCTAACTAGACTCTTTAACTATAAGATACTTATTGGTTGCTGGTTGGTTGAAGCTCGGAGCCAATCAAATGCAGTGTTAATCCTCCCTTAATATATTTACCATCTGCACCTATCTGCACACTTTATGCGTGTTAGATTAGTTTGCTTTAAGCATAAAGATAGCTTTAAGCCTGTTTTTCCTCATTTTATTTCTTATGTAAAGTTTTAAGCAATATAATCTACAGCCCGAAACAAAAGCCTAAAGAAATAAAAGTTTTAGAAATAAATTTGTAATGTTTATAATGAATGATGACAATGAATTTATGAAGTCAGTGTTGACTGATCTGTTGTCTAATGCTTACAGGCACTATTTTCTGGCGCATCTCTATGGCCATTTAAATTCCCATCGGTTGGACTATACAATAGACCTATTGTTAGGTATCCAATCGTCAATGTAAGAATAGGTCTCAACTTTTTATTAAGCGTATTTGTGATGCAGAGCTTATTTTTAACTTTGATCGTCTGACTGACAGGATCTAGCGCTTTTAGTGTTTAGTGATTATTTTCATACAGCATTGTTTTTGCACAATTTTGCTGCTTCTTGTTGAAGAAGATCAGCCAATGTAAGGATACTGAGTAAAAAGTAAGAATTCTTCCATTAATACCAAATTAAATTTTATGGATGTTATAAGCTCTAGCAGACGTTGTTCTTATACACAGAGCTTGGAAATCCAACCGTTAAAAAGTGTGGGAGGCGGATTCATGTTCAAAATTTGTTTGCGGAATGCGGGGAAAGTGAAAGTGTACAGGTGGCAACTCGAAAGGCCCTTCAAAATCTAAAAGGTAATTTAATTCAATTTTGTTTATTTATTTTCAATTGGCCTAATGACAGGATTACATTTGTTAAAGAAACATCTCATATCACCTGTGTTTCAGTAGCAATCGAAGTAGAAATTGTAAGTTCTGTAGTTACTTTTGTAGAATGCAATTGTCTACTTTGACTAGGCCCTCAAGATATTATGTCCCGATGCATTTCGATGACCATTTATATTCCCATTGGTTGGACTATACAAAAGACCTATTGTTATGTATCCAATTACCCACGTAAGACTAATCCTCGACGTTCCCTCAATCATATAAATATTTTGTTCTTATCACTAACAAAATTTATATTTTTACTCCTTTGTGTTATCAATGAAGCTTATTGCGAACTGATCGTTGTACAGTGCACAATCCTCACAAATAGTACTATACACTTTTTTGTGTATGAAACAAAAAAATTCTAAGCTGCTTCTCCAGGGTTCACGCTCAATGCGATCAATACTTGTATTCGTAATGCTATGCTATTTGTAAATGAAAACTACGATCAACCGTTGTGTTTAACAATGCTCGATGCCGTTTTAAGAAACTCCACTTAGAATCAGATTCAAGCGTAAACATTAACATAAAGATCGTAAACGCTGTAGGGTAAGAAGTGCCACAGAGTGGTTCGAAGAGAGTTAAGTTCTAGAAGACTGTATATATTCAAAATAATTCTGAAATCACCTAGTTTTCTTCAGATATAACCATAACAGCAAATCATACAGCAAAGAATCATTCGAATAAGAGTTAGTCTTCGTAAGAATGTACGACGTTCGCAAGAGTTTTCAGAATATGAATGTTCTCCAGAGTCTAGATAATAGGCTCCGATTTGACAGACCTATTAACAAAGTAGCCTCGCTTTCATGTTTCGCTCAGAACCGTAAAGACAGAGCTGTACGTCCTCTGATGTGTAGTATTTAATGATTCTAAGATGCTACACCGAGTTTCCCGCTCAGTGCGATCATGTTGCCCAATGCAGAATGATCGCTTAAATTGGAAATGTGGTTGCTTAAGTAGTGGATATTTGAAAGTTTTGTAGATTATAGCAATTACCACGCGGAGGGTCGGTCTATCTGTCAAGATTTCAGTCTGGTGCTATATGGGCACTAAAAATGAATGCCCCGTTCGGTTGAAAGAAAACCTCACGATGCTTTATATGACATAACTAACTGACTAACAAGTTTATATCAGCATGCAATGTTGTGCCTAAGACCCGACAGAGTAAGAAATAACATCAAAATACGCGTAAAAAACGGGGGTTAGCAACTTAGAACCATCCTGTTCTAAACACGTGTTTATACCGTTATAATGCATAGTATTTCTTATTGTTTATAGCGCTGCTCAGCGAAAATGGCTGCAAAATGGCAGATTGTGTACGTGTTCACCTATTTCTGCGTGATATGAAGCTCTTTGCCAGTATCAACGAGGTCTACAAAGAATTCTTCTTTGTCAATCCGCCTGCGAGGTAGTGTTATAATTCTATATTGTACCAATCTATCAAATATCTTACAAATATCAAATACCTATCAAATATCTTATCTTTTCTCATATGTCTGTTTCGGAAACTAGCCAACAAAATACGATTTGCTTGGTTTTTCGTCACTTTCCAGGGTATGTGTGGAGACTCTGATGCAACCAAATTGCCTGTTTTGTTTAGACTGCTACGCATTGACCAGTGGTGGTGGTGACGAGGACTGTGAAGGAGCTGAGAGGAAAACCCTTCATGTGCAGAGTATCTCACACTGGGCACCAGCAAATATTGGCCCATACAGTCAAGCTGTTAAGGTACCTGGGACTATTACTCCGTTTTTCCATGTCTCTGTTCTATTTCCGTTTTCTCTTGAACCGTTTCCATTACACCGACCTACACCTTTTTTGTCTGTTTCGAAAATGAAGATGTTTTCATTATTTCGTTTCGTTCCGTGTTCTTACCTTTTGTTTTTAATTCGTTTTGATTTATCTGTGGATGAGTGCCTCGATTTTTAACATCGATTTCGAATGACCCCTGTTTTTTATCAAATGATTTTATCTTCGATCGTGTTAAGCCTGGTTTCCATATAGCCGTAAGGCTGCCTGCGACTACTTTCTGCCATCTTCCATCCCTACGGTATCGCCGGCAGATAATTCTTTATGGAAACGCTTTCTAACGGTACCGCAGGCAGCTGTTTGAAGTGCCGTAAAGCCTGGTTTCCATATAGCCGTAAGGCTGCCTGCGACTGCCTGCGACTGCTTTCTGCCATCTTCCATCTTCCACTCTTACAGTAGCGCCGGCAAATGGAAACGTTCTGTTTTCAATTGCCTGCGGTATCGGTAACTATGCCAGTAGCTAGGTAAAGTTTGAGCGGGAAAAACTGGCGGGCAAAATTCAACAACAAAGCCCTGTTTCAATTGGTTCTTGCACATCACATGATCCGTTTGAACAAAAGAATGCCGCAGGCAAGGCGTTTCCATTTGTAATTTGTCTGCCGGCGGTACCGGGAGGCTGCCATAAGAGCCGGGAAAAGTTGAACGAGTTCAACTTTTCCCGGCTCTTACGGCATCCTCCCGGTACCGCCGGCAGACAAATTACAAATGGAAACGCCTTGCCTGCGGCATTCTTTTGTTCAAACGGATCATGTGATGTGCAAGAACCAATTGAAACAGGGCTTTGTTGTTGAATTTTGCCCGCCAGTTTTTCCCGCTCAAACTTTACCTAGTTACCGGCATAGTTACCGATACCGCAGGCAATTGAAAACAGAACGTTTCCATTTGCCGGCGCTACTGTAAGGGTGGAAGATGGAAGATGGCAGAAAGCAGTCGCAGGCAGCCTTATGGCTATATGGAAACCAGGCTTTAATGGGGACGCAAAACCAAAAGCGGATATCGTACTTACATGATGATTGTCATATTTCAAACATCGAGGCTTTATGGTCGATACCTTTGCAACTTTGCTTCCTAAATGAGTATCTTGTATTGAGAGAATACCATGTAGCATTACATATCTGGTGAAACCAAGTTTGAAATAACTTTAATATCTAGAATTAGTGTTTTTCCTCACAATTCTAGCAAAATACTTTTTGGTCTTGACAAGTTCCTTTTCTAAAGTGTTTTAATTGTGTTAATAAAATTCTTTGAAGATTTGGTCAACAATATTTGTCTCTGGCTCAATTGGCCTCGATCCCGGCTCAATGAAGATGGCCTGTGGAGGCGTAGAAGCACAAGCACCACTTGCGCTGCGACACATTGACAGAATCCTCGCAGCAATACACACATCAACATCATTGCCAGACGCCATTATTGTCACGTGCTTCGTCGTTTCATCCTCTGATAAACCTGCCGTGAGGCAAGCATTTTGCGAGTATCCTGTGAGTTTTTATTAAAAAGTCAAGTATTTGTTGTGGAAACGGACCAGTTAATGTCTTATAATGAGTGAGTCGACCCCAAGACTTGAATCCCTGTCTTGGGGGCATCCTGATCCCCGTTTTGGAATCAAAGAGCAGGCGTAATAATGACTAAGTTCAACGTGCGTACTCTTGGAGACCAAAAGGGGGGTTGCAGAAGCGGAGGAAACCTCTTGTTACTCTCCTTAGAAAGGAGGATGCTCAAAAGATCAATTCAGAAGTCATTATCCAAGATCCCAAACCACAGGAAGGTTTTTGTGAAAAACGGTTTTTCAAAAAGCATCTACGAGGAGCTATCTCGTAATTCTCTGAGCAACAAGTGTGCATAAAGAAAAGGACGTGAAGAGTTTTAAACGAATGTAAGACTGGACTGTGATAAATAGATTCATGTTGTGGGTGGGACAATGTTATGTGTCCGCTATTTGAATTGTCGACTGTTGGGAGATGTCTGTTGATGGAAGCCTCACTGTGTTCGCGATCATTTTGAGATGACAATTAGCAAGCTCTAACTTCATCGACAGAAGATCTTTTCTCAGACAATCGTTATTAAACAAAGTTTCTTTAATATTTTATCCTATAATTCCTGTATTGCAAATGTTTGAATCATTTGAATAACTCTTTCCTTTTTTGAGGTATGGGGTATGTACATTGCAGTACTCCACATCCTAGCTTAGCTTCTTACGTAAGATATGTGCTCTGGTCTTCATAGTTCAAACTCTATTCTGTTTCCAGATCGACACATCGTCGATGATCTTTGAAACGGTGGAAATTGCTGGACTACCACGTGACGCACTTGTGGAATGGAGTGTTGTAGCACATAGGTGCCAAGAAAGAAACATCACTGGTTTGTATATAATATGTATCGGTTCATATGATACATTGAACAATAATCCTGTTGTCAAAATCGTTCGCAAACACTGCCGTAATGAAAATAGAAGTTATTTTCTAATTGATATTTATGGGAATGAAACAAAGGTCTCCTACTTTTGCAAATTTTTGCAAACTCAATTTTCCTTTTATCTGTGCATGAAACTATTTATTTGATTATCTATCTGAAGTTTCAGTTGTATCATATTTGTTGATTTTGACTTGCTGTCGATTTTCCAATGTTTGTGCTATTATCACATTAGACTATCAGACATGTTAGCTTGATTTATGCTAATTTTGACGATTGCCTTTTTTCCACAACCTTTTCTATTTTGTTATTTTGACAGTTCAACAGATCGAAAAAGCAATTGGAAATGCAAAAATTACGTCAAAGGCGTGCTATTGTACTTGTGGCAATGCTGGGTTTCTGTCAGCTGCAGTCAGTACGTCAATTTATTTCAATCTGTTTTTATAGTGACGTAGAAAAAGATTTGATGCCCGTTTGTTTATTTTTGTTTTGAAAAATGAAAGGTTTCGTTCAAGTTACAAACGAGAAAATTTGTCCGAGGCCATCAGGTAGTTAAAGGTACATTAGATTTTACCATCTTAATTTATGTCAATTTGGCTGGTTTTGTAGTACAATCACTGCCAAAAGTCTTGGGACACTAACGTAGGTTTTCAAAGGCAAATTCAGCCACCCCTCTCTCCCCCTAGGAACAATGTTGATTTGCAATAAAAAAAGAAAGGGGTTATGGAGTATGTTTTTTCTTGTGGCTTGTTTGATGTTTTTTTATACTTTCGACATTGTTTTGGGGGAAAGGGGGACGGAAGTAGTACGAGTATGCGGGAAAACAAATGAAAAATAGAAAAGCACAGCACAAAATGTTGGGTGTTCAAAGTAATTTTGGCAATGATTGTAGCAAAGAGAAGAAGATTTGGATCATACATTTACAAAAGCTATAAATACTATTGTTCTCATACATTCATAGGACAAGCCTTGTTAGAAATTAGGTAATTAACCTACCATATTCATTTGATTTGTCACTCCTAGATTAAAATAACATTTTTTGGGGTTTCGTCTTTGTGAACTGAATTGTTTGAGAAATTACACAGGAAAATTTATTGTTGTTTAATTTGTTTCGTTATTCAAACTCAAGAACATTTTAGAATTAAGATCTTCCCCCATTGCTTAGTTTAGTTGAAGTATCTGGTAAGTTAAGTTTTCTTTACTTGTTGCTTGAAAGATGTAAGATGTTGTTCCTTACGAGCTTCTAGTGCAGTTGCTTGAAATTCTTTTCATTGGATTTGAATTTGATTCCAGCATGTGAACATCCCCTTGAAAGCCTTGATTGGCAGGAGGCTGTTTCTCAAACGATTGATGTGCTTAGAAGAATCACCTTGCAAAGCGGATCCAAGGATGATCTGATAACGTATCAGATTTTCTACAATGTCCAACTGTCAGAAAATCTAGAATACTTTTTAGGTTTGTTTTTCAGTATTTGTAACTAAGCTAGTCCGATCTCTTATATCCGATCAGAATTGTAACTTATAGTATTTGGAATTCTAATCCATTTGAAACCTTTGCTTGCTAGTAAATGCTTTTAAACAATGAATGGATGTCTCGGCTGATGTGTTTCGTCAATTAAACGTAGATTATGAGGAGATCGATAGGCTAGCCATTTTAAGGTTAATCCTTTTAAAAAAGTGACAGTTTTTCGTTCGTAGCTGATGTTCAAATGACATGTAATTCAGAGAACTGAAGATTACCTTTCTCTCATCTAATACCGTCACTTGCAATATTTCTCTTCTTTTTGCACAGGATTATTGAAAAAAACTCACCAAAATGAGGAACCTGCAACCACTCTCATTGGAACCCAAGATATAGAAAAACCGTTGCTAATTTTAGGACAATTAAAATAGAATTTTACTAAAGAGGTCATTTCATGAATTATGAAATCTTTTGCGGATTTGAAATGTATATCACTTTTTGTACTGAAAAGCTGTATTCTTTATTGCTCCACCATAAAATATGATTTAATGTGCATAGATATTGTAAAGATTTTGTGTACAAATGCTTTTTAACAGTCTAATTATAAAGGAATTTATTTAGAGACAGGTATATATAAGTAGCAGGGCCTCCTGTTAGCGGGGGGTGTTAGTTTTATGGTCCCCACTATTTGGAAAACAAAATAGCTTAGGCTCGGGGGGGGGGGGTAACTAAACCTAGTTTTGGACGGGAAGTTCCATTTTGGTTCAAAATTTAGACCCATAATTCCGCAAATGTCTGGAAAAATGTGACCCATAATTCCGCAAAAATGAGTAAAAGTCTACCCATAATTCCTTCAAACAACTTTTGTATGTCCTTTGTTCTAAAATTTTAACATTACACGCCAATCACTCAATTCCAAGAGCATTTAGGGAACCCATTGGTGTAAGTCAGGTGTTCACAATATAGCAATCCAATTCATTATGTAATCCAAGAAAGTGCAAAAACTGTGTTAACATGCAACAACAAGGTTTCTGTTATCTTATTGGCTAATGCCTGACAGGCATCAAATCAAAGTGGCTCTTGTAACCTTTTACATGATTGGATTCCCTTAATGCAAATGGTTTATTGTGGTCCTTGTCCTTTGGGATCTACGAGTCCCATCAAAGTTGGTGCTTGGCTCTACAATTTCAAGAAATATTCCATTAAAATAGTTATTGGCACTTTTAGCCCTTTTACGTTGTGTAATCCAGGTTGTTTGCACACTATTTTTATCTGCATTTCCGGAAACTGTCTCTTTAAGAGCTTCAATTCCATTATAGCCATGGTTGTCAAAATATGATTTTTGCATGCTTAATAATGTTGCTAAATTCCTGGCTAACTGGTTTTCCAAAATGGTATCGATAACTCTGTATATTTCTTCAAATGGTACCCATAATTCCGCACATAATTGAAAAACTGATACCCCTAATTCCGCATTTTTTGGAAAAAGGTACCCCTAAATAATGGCACGTCCCCGTACGTCAAACCTATTAAGTTACCCCCCCCCCCCCCGAGAGCTTAGGAGTTTTTCCTTTAATTTCCTGGAAGTATAAACTGAATTTCTCAACATTGTCAATCAAGATTAAATTTTTGGAGTATGATATCATAGTATTTTTAAGTTGACAACATGACAATCGAGTTTAAACTCCAATGTCTCATTTCTAGCGGTTTGTAGATGCTGGGCTTTATTAATAACGTGATGATTTTAATAGAATCTTTTTGAATGAATAATATGTTTTTCTTACTTAAGTTTGATCTGCCATGAAAAAAGCTACTCCGACGATATTAGAGCGCTTCTATGTCCTTGAGCTACTCGTTTTTAGCCTACAAACTCGGAAAAATGAAAAAGGGAGAAAAAATGGACTACTTTTTGCACGCAGGTTACTCGTTTTATCCTTTGAATGTTGTTGGCCTCTCATTCATTTTCATGCATCAAAGATGGCGGCATTCTCAGGCGTGCTCGCTGGGCTTGCGGACAAACTTAAATTTAAAGACAACGGTGTTCAAACGGAAACTTCTGTTAGCCAGGTGGCGTATGATATTTGTGTAGTCTTTCCTTAACACTTTACCATTGAAGAATACTCCAGGCATCCATAGCAGTTTGGGCTTATCTTTATTTCTAGGCCGTCCACCCAAACGACCTAACTTGGGACTTTCCAATCAATCTGATTCGAACATCTGTCCCGAAGACATTCGAATTTTAGTAGATTTAAACTTGTTTCTTTCATTTCATTGTTTCTCCTGTCATTCGAATGATTTATTTGTGAACAACAGGAAAATTATTTATTTTCTAAAAACAGTTGCAGGTCAAAGGACAACTTGCTTTAAGCGATGTATGCAAAGCAAATATAATTTTTCTGGCTTCGATAAAAGCTCTGGCTAACCCCTTCTACTTCTACTTCTACATCGATACTGAGCAGGACCGAGTATCAGTATAATGCTCAGAGAAGCAACTTGGAACTTTGGCCCTGTTGCCCAAAATCTCAGATATTGCAGCCCTAAATTCCTAAAGTTTGGCCATTAAATTGGGACTTTCATTGTGCTCTGTGAATGTGTGTTTCGATATTATTTGATATTACTATTAGAGGCTCTCATGGGTTTTGGGGAATAAGGGAACATGACAAAAAATGGTACTGGAGCATGGGAACAGCTTAAATTCTCCACTGGAAACATGGAAGCATTGTTACTATGTTTAAGGGAACAAGGGAACATTTTTTTTTCAATGGGAACACAGAAACATTGCTTGTTGTTTTCAAAGGGAACACAGGGACAAGTACCCCTCCTGGAGACCCTCTGACTTGTTTCCAGTTTTTTCATATTTGTTCTGTTACAATTTTAAGGGTGACAAGTATACCAGAATTTTATTTTTGGGCATGCCACAGACTGTTAAGTATTTTTTCTGTGCAGAAAACGCCAGAACAATAATTTTGAAATTTGCAGATAACGAATACTTCCCGCAAAATCATATATGGAATTTAAAACTAAGGCTTTCAAAGATACCTTGTATTCTTTGTTTTTTCTTGTTATCAGAAGTGAGAAGTTTAAATGGTGGAATATTCACGAGGAAGATGACCAGATAAACAAATATTGTGCTAGAATTTCCCGCAGATTCTTAATAATGCACTGGCAGAATGAAGGATAAAAATTATTCCAGACCAAACTTTTCGGATTGAGAGGACTAAAACGTTTGGGGGAGGTTAAACATGCTAAAACCAAGAGCAGGGTGATTTTTCTGTATGCTTTCAAGTATAATTTGGAAATTTTTGCTGGAGCTAAAGCCCCTGTAGCCCCCCCCCCACTTCTCTGGTCCCTGGCCATAATCACCATTACCTTAACCTTCTTTACTTTTTACAACCCAAGGGGTCAATACAAAAAGGTGTGCATTTCATCACTACAACATTAATATTTGCTGAGATTGATTGAACATAAAATGAAATGGTATCAGACTTAGACTGACACACTATATAGTCTGAAAAATTATTTCAGTTTCTAAAGCAACTTTGTCAGTGAGCATCTTGTGCATAAATTTTAATGAAAGATGTACCCTATGTCCATTCCTAATTGGAGGTTAATGGGTTTTGTAGTTCCCGGCCCCCTCTGACACCACCACTGCTAATTGCTTGTAACTTTTACATGTGAAATATTGCTTATCCACTGCTTCCTATGGGCCAAATATGAGTCTTTTTATCACCATTTCAGTATTATGTTTTTGAATGGATTTTAGTCTTGGTAACTTTTGCTTGTTATTTTTGTTTTAGGAAGATGTTGAAGAGTCATTGCTCAAGTGCTACAATGCATATGCGGAGGTCCAAGATTTACAGCCAAAGTAGGATAATAGGAATTATTTTTTGAAATCCTAATGATTGTTTATCTAATTTACCTTTCTAGTTTACTGTATTACAATATTCAAATATTTTATCTCGAATCCTTTGACAGTTTGAAAGATTTTGCCACAAATATTCTGGCATTCATGACTTTAATGAGATGGTCTTCTGTAAAATCTTCTCTTTTGATAGTGAAAATGAACCAACTTTTTTGTTAGGAAATCTATAAGGTTTTGATTAGATAGGAATTATTTCTCCTTGCCTTGCAATGATTTGGTGGAAAGTACTTTTGTCATGTGTAAAAGACAGATTTTTTCAAGGGTAGCATTTTATCCCACAAATAAATCTGTACTGGGCAAGGACTATGACAATTGTCTGCATAAATCAATATATAAATGTCATGCAATGAATTTCTATATAAAACATGGCTGATGTTGCTATTAAAAAATGATATTGCATCATTCAGTTAATATTCACTTGATAAATTTTGATACCTTTCTGTTTTAGCCTGTTGTTGTTCAGAGAAAGACATGTTGAGTATCTGAGAAAAGGATTACATCACCTCTCTAGTTCTTATCAGGTAATATATACATTTTATTTTATCAGCTGTTTTATTATGATACCTTCTTATATAGATACAATATTTTAAAGGTAAGCTTTTTAATCATAACAACTGGCATTAGCTACTTAATTTGGTTCAATGAAGTCTAGCATATTTTTATGTTCAAACAATTAAAGAACAGTAAAAAAACTTTAGAGTTTAGAGAAGAAAAATTACTTCAAGTAACAGTCTCCTATATGTTGTTAACCTGTTGAAGATCTTGATTCAGGCTCGATTTCATCTTGGATTGCATTCATAAACACAAGTTTTATGAGTTGTGAAATATTGAATAGAATATATCTGATATTTTGCTGATATTTTTTTGTGCATTTGCAGTGTCTGGATGCAAGTCGTGCATGGCTTTGCTTTTGGATTTTACATTCTCTTGAATTGTTAGATGTCCCGATTCCATGTGAAGATGCAGAAAGGCAAGTTAAAAACCACTATTCACTGCATAATTGTTTGAAACTGTTTTGCTGACAAGTTTCAGTGTGTCCAAGAGCCAAAGCTCTTCTGCAAGGTACTGCTATTTTGGTTATGGCACACAGTTTTTGCAGAAGTCTTTGCAAAAAATGACTTATAATATGCCAGATTTATATTTACATTTCAATCAAGGTTCATTGAATTAATTGATAGTTAACTTGACCAACTTCAAAATGTTTTGTCTAGTTGCCATTATTATTTGCACTTATCAATCATGTGCGTGATGGCTCAGTTATTAGAGGCACAGACTACAGACCTTAGGGCCTGTGGTTCAAGTCCCTAGCATGACCAAACTTTCACCCAGTGTGAGGAGAGTCGCCAGCTCTCTATAATTCCAGGCACAGGAATTATGAGGTGTGGTCACATCAATAGGAAGGACAAGGACACTGCTCGATAAGCATAAGCTTCTCAGTGTCCTAAAAAGTACCTTCAGATGCTAGGTAGAAGCAAATACAAATACAAAAATATTGTTCAGCTTCTCTGTAGAGAAGAATTGAGTTTAAGTAAACGATTTAACCCAAAAGTTTGTAGGCTGTCAACAAATCTCTTTGGGCTATGATGGTTTAGAATCTTTATGAATGATGGTGGTGGCTTTGTTTCTTTAGAGTGGCACGGTTCTTGGATAAATGTCAAGACAAAAATGGAGGATTTGGTGGTAAGTAGGGGATATTGATTAGAAACGTTTTTGGATATGAACATCTTTAGATTTAAACCATTAGTCTTTTCTTGGCTTTCAGTAGATATTTCAGCCTTTGGGCAAAAACTGAAAATGAGACCCATTTTTGTGACCACGCCCATTATGTTTGCTGGAAGATGCATTTCGGAATATTTCTTGCAGTCATTTCCTCCAATTTTTATAATTTTTAACTATTTTTAAACATACTTTTGCTACACTTGAATAATTCATTACATTACTGTACCCCAAGGCCCTGGGGCGATTTACCCCCGCTCCCCCCTCTAGGTGCTCCTGGTCTAAAGTACAAAACTTTGTGTCTCCTGTCATTTTGAAACAACTATTGAGCGTAGACAGTGTGTGTGGGTTCTCTTATACAAGTCATGTACTATAACGAGCATCTTCTTGACAGGTGGACCTGGGCAAATGCCTCATTTAGCACCAACGTATGCAGCAGTTTGTTCTCTTTGCATACTCGCCAGGTTCTGGGAAGGAGCTTATGATATAATTGATAGGTATGAAAAAAATCTTTATTACGAAATTCGTGAATTTTACAACACATGATTGTCAAGACTTTCTTGCTACTAGTCTCTCTCTCTCTCTCTCTCTCTCTCTCTCTCTCTCTCTCTCTCTCTCTCTCTCTCTTTCTCTCTAGGAATGATCCTTCCCTCTCCATTTTCTTTTTTATTTCTTTCTTTATTTTTCAGATTACTAAATAAATAAAAAATAGAGAGAGACTTATAGCAAGTCAATGTCTTACTGAAAATTTTGTTTTTTAGGCCGGCACTAAAGCAGTTTTTAATGTACAGAAGAACTCCTGAAGGATCATTCACAATGCATAGAGATGGAGAAGTCGATATCAGGTGCTGATTGCTTTCATTGCATATTTCAAGTTCTTCTAAATGTAGATTAAATACCTCTGTTTTCCATATCGACTATTTGGTTAGCTTTGTAGTCGAATTCAATTTACTTAGGCTGTAGACCTTTTATTTCCTATTTACGTGTTCAAATCATTAAAAGCATTTTCTTGGCTAATGATTTGAGATTTCCTTTTGCTTCTTTAACCTCACAGTATACTTTCATAGTAACAGGGCAGTCTGTCTTTCAAAACGATTTGTTCGATAAAAGTATATAAAAATATGAACATTGATTTTTAAAAATAATCGTTTTGACAGAGCTATGCACGTTAACGTTTTTCTGAATTATACCATGACCCTCCAGTTGGCTTTCACCTTCTTAGTTCAATGGTAACCATGTTTTGCTTCACCTTCATATCACATCCGCAGAAGTTTAAAGTTCCATGTTATTTCTTTATCACAGAGGCGCATACTGTGCTGTTGTTGTTGCAAGGCTAACAAATATTGCTGAAGGCCTGTTTGAAGGGACTGCTGATTGGCTAGCAAGGTAAGCATTGCTGCGCAAAGATTGTGTTGCAAAAGGGAAAGGACTATCGTCCCGAACTGTCGACAATTCACATGCCTGGGGTCAAAAAAACCAATGAAAATGGCCAGTTTGTAATTGTTGGATTCTGCGAGGAAGCAGCTATTTGATGTTATTATTTACGAGTGTTTTGATGATGTTTGTATTTTTACAATTTTGTTTTCATCTGAATTACTGTGATATGTAGTATTCAATGCCATATAAGCAAAGCTGTACTCGTTTTAGTGTGTAGAGTCAGAAAGCTCATGGTTGCGTTTCAGAGTTTAATTTGTTAAAATTTTGCTGCAGTTTCTAATGTAAATCTGACTTTTAACTTCGTTTTCATGTGTTTTATTATAATTGTTCTACAGTAAGTCGTAAATATAATTCATTATACATGGGACTTTAATCAAGCTAAATATTTTCACTTTTTATAATTATTGTTTTTTCTGGTGTTTAAATTTGCACATATTGTGTAGAAATCTTCCAACTCGATTCTGTTTTGAATAAATTTTCATCAAATAAAGGTTATCAATGTTTCCGAACTATCTGCTCTATATTGGTTAGGCAGATGTATTTCAAAGCAAGTACTGTACTTTCCATATTCACATTATAGCAATACTATGACTCGCATTCTTTCGATTGCAGTTGTCAGACGTATGAGGGCGGATTTTCAGGCCTGCCAGGTAGACCTCATTTTAGTCATTTTAGCAAATTTTTGGAGTTCTTCATGTCTGTTTTTTATATTCACTTTTGGAAGCAGTGATCGATACAAAATGCTGAAATGCTAATTTAAGCCTTAATTTTGACTGTTTGTTTTATTAGTTTTTTTTTGGTCTTCAGTATGATTTATTTACGCCGATTTGAGTTCCATATTTTGTCATCTTTCAGGGCTTGAAGCCCACGGTGGATATGCATTCTGTGGTTTTGCCGCCCTTGCCTTGCTAGGAAGCGAAAACAAAGCTAACATCAAGAGTTTGCTGGTAAGTCATCCATTAATCGTCTGACTAGCAGTAGCTTGTATCTATCAATTTTTGTAAAAGTGTCCTCAAAACGTCGAGCACAATTTGAATATTTGTCCAGTTTAAGGGTGGGCGTGCAGTCCCTGCTTCTCTTCTGTTATCCATACCTAACGCCAAATTTTATATGGTAGGTTCTCTTTATCAGGCAATATATGATTCTTTTATAATAATTTGATGATGAGAATCATGATCTGCGTATTTTATGTTGTCAGCGCTGGGTGGCAAACAGACAAATGCGACTTGAAGGTGGATTTCAGGTAGGCAAAACGAAACTTTTTTAAGTGAGAAATATTTAAAGAGCTTTCAAGTTCATCACCAAGGGCCTGCTGATGCCTGTTTAAAATGTCTATTGTACTTACTGAGAATGGTTTCACTATTGTCTATGTACATTCATTTTTCTTGCAGACTTTCTTGCAGACTTTTTAGATTCAATCAAACAAGTCGCTCTTACTCTAGAGAAATTTGTTATTGTCTATTGAAAAATTTACAAGATAAATGTTTAAATTCAACAACGAATGCGATAATGTTTCTTAAAGAAATTTTAAATTCTTGTTTTGTTTTCCACTAAGTCGGTTAATAAAAATATTTTAATTTTGTCTTTATCCTTCAACCTTTCTAGAAATTGTCTAGCAAGGCTGTCCCTTTTTTGTGAAGGTTCAGTGAATTAATGAATAGGGGAAGGAATACATGTGCGAATTTTAGTGTACCAAAGATCAGCTAAAGAAAATATGACATGTTAGATTCAAATTTCCTTGCCATGTTTTTCAGGGAAGGACGAACAAGCTTGTTGATGGGTGCTACTCGTTTTGGCAAGGTGGCCTATTTCCTATTCTGCACAATGTGCTGCAAATGTATGATGATGAAGAACTTAGTCAAGAGGAATGGCTTTTTAATCAGGGTGAGTCATTGCGACCAAAAGCAACGCCTTATTCATGAGGATCTATACAAAGAGTAAAAATTCGCAATCAATTTCTAGGCAGTACAGAATTAGACAAAGACTTTTAAAAAAGCAAACATTTCGAAACATACTTAAGCTTTTTGTCTGACACGTCTTTCTCAGGTTAAAAACTCTAAGGTAAGAAATATATATACCGATTTGTGGATCGAAGTAGACCAATCAGAAACGCAAACACTTGACTGTGAAGGTTGTCCAATCAGTGCCAATAACCTATTGAAAATATGCCGGTTTTTTTATTTTTATGTAAATTAATTCTAAAACGACGACCAGGCTCTTCCTATTATCCGAAACACATCGCCATTGAGTTTTTCGCACAATTTGGCTAGTTTGTCTAAGGCCACCAGGATAACATTTCCTTGCGATTTGAAAGTCAGATTGAGCAGGCCTAATTTTTAATTAATTTTGTTTCAAAATCAAGTATTTTGATCGAAACCTGTAAGACAGGGTCTTTTATCCTACCAGTTTGTATTTCGATACCTAAGTAAAATTTTAAGCTCGTGCAGCTTGGTCTTTGCTACTTTATAAACTCAGTCCTTCAACTCATCTTTTGTCAAGACAATCGTGCAGATAAATTACTATTTGCTAAAATAATTTATTTGCTTAACCATTTCACAAACTTTTCAGATGCACTTCAACAGTATGTTCTTCTTGGGTGCCAAAATTTTAATGGCGGGCTCCTAGACAAACCAGGAAAGTGAGTTATCAACTTGCGTGTTTTATTTCTACTAATTTCGTTTAATTTTTTAACTTTTGTTCTTATTTAATGTATTTGGGTAAATCCCAAAATGGTGTGATACCAACTTATTCAATTTTTTAAGATTTCTCCGAGAAGGTAAATCCTACTTAACATCTTGTCCTTTTAGGTCACGTGATTTTTATCATACATGTTACTGTTTGAGTGGCCTGTCGATCGCCCAGAATTTCATAGGAGACGAAGTCCAAAATACGAAAGTTGTCGGTTCAAATAAAAATTTGCTGGTAAGAAACCTATCAAGCTTTGCAGGATACTTACATTGACAAAAAGTACCTTTAATGTGTTCTTTGAAGTGCCTATGCAGTGAAATTCACCATTTAAATATTTTAAAAGAAATATGTAAAATCCTTCATCCTTGTGCGTATACATAAATAGAGTTGCGGTAAGTTGAATGGTTCTTTTTTAATGAGTCTCAAGGTATGCACATTTTGCAGTTGCATTATGAAATTTTATTTCCCGCTGTGACGTCACAGTGATGAGTCTATGCGAAACCATTTGGGTTTTCAGGCATTGCGAGCATAGCAACTTCGAAGCGTGCTTCAAATGGCGGTAGTTCTCGCGTTGCTAAATAATAAGTTGGGACCAGCTGCACAAACACCCAGTTCACAGAAGGTGTACCGTTTTACTATTTGCCGGAAGAAAAAGGAGGCACCATTAATGGGTGCGTTTTGTTAGGGGGCACTGACCTGACTTTACCCCTTCAAATTACTCTTCCTTGTGCTCAATACACTTTGAGGAGAGCTGGTTTTCAAGAAGAAGAGATCACAGAATTATTCTGCGAAGAGATCTAGCCAGAAGAGCTCTGTGTCAGAAGTAGACTGTTAGATGACGCTGTTCCAATCATCGATATTGCGAAATAAAAAGATACAGGTCTAATATCTCGAGAACGAAAGCAAGTTGGTTGACAAATTCCCTGATTTTATACCGAGTTAGGGTTGTTAGCCTTTCTACGGGTAATGGGCTATCATCATCATCATCATTACATTTACATTTAACAACCCTTTGGGTCATACAAATGTCTGCCCAGTCAACTACAACATTAAAATTTTAAAATTTACTGAGGTGATTTCGACATAGGTTGTAAAATGTATCCGAATTTGCCTGCTTCACAATACTTTCTGGCAATAATCATCGTAAAACTCGTAAATTAAACGATAGGCTTGAATTGAAAGAGGATGGGAAAATTTAGGCTTTGGGAACAAATAGGAAAGAGGGCAGAATAGGTAAATTAGGAGTCAAATAGATAAAGTTAAAATTGTTTACAGTGGCGGAGTTCAGGGGGGGGCGTGGGAGGGGGCTCTGGCCTTCTCATCGGAAAATGTATGCCATTGGTTATTAAAAGAAACTGCTTGTTCGTCATGCTATAATGATAGGTAACCAATGACACGCCTAGGTTTTGAACACACAGGCATATGCATGCAACTTATTTTTAAATGCATTCTAAATTTTTTGTTACCAGATCAAAATTCACGACTCTGTAGTCCGCCTCCGATTCACTCACTGTCGATGGATGGCTTATTTAGATCATCGATCGTTGTTCCGATGTACACTAAGATTATGAAATTAACAGACAAAACCAACTTCTATACGAGCACACTAAACCACTACCGATTCTGTACAACCGCAGTTTCCTGGTTGCTGTCGAGCCGACTGATCACTGTGACGTCACAAAAACCTTGTTTTTCGCAAGCACTACCTAATTTCAAACTCTGATTAAACCCACTTTCGCTGGTCAAGTTATGACAATTTTTGTGCCAAACGTATCGGGAGAGATGGGGAAATGTAACTCTTAAGGAAAACAGGATATAGAATTTCGTTGCATAGACACTTCAAATTCTCAAATGATTTTACCCGCTTTTTCAGCCCATAAGTATCCCTTACAAATTCGTACTTATTCCGTGACTAACGTTCGTACTTATTTCTTACTTCTATGTCGTCGTAACCTTCGACTTCTGACCTATGATATATGACACATGAACTTTAACTGCGTTCTGTTGAAGCTGTCTTAGTAACTTTAACTGTTTTTATATGAATTTTCTCACTTATTCATTATTTTATGGCCTTAGAAACCGACACACCCTGCCTACAACATCTGTGTAGAAAGTGCATATGAAGCTTTGGAATATTTCAGGCAGCGACCTCTGGTAACTATCGTTAACGAAGAAAAGACAAAAGGTGAGGAAAAAGTGCAGCCACAAGGACAATGCTCTTGCTCCTAGTCCTAATTCAGCAGTTAATATTCGGTTTTTTATTAGCAAATATTTTCAGTATCTAATATGTTTTGGTTTGCCAGAAAGATTAACTGGTCTAGAAAGTCTATGAAATAACCACAGATCCCAATGTAGAACATTATTTTTTTGGGGTTCTTGACTCGCGAATTGCATCTACTGGTTTTTTAATGTAGCACTAAAAATCACCAAAATTTGGTTACCCTGCCCAATAACAGTGTTGATTTCTGGTTTGTGTACAGAAGAGGCCGTAAAAGATCCATGAAAATACAATCTTAAAAAGAGTCAAGCATTTTTAAAAGATTGCCATTTTTTCGTGCACTACTTTTACAATTTTGATGGTAAAATCTTATCGTTAAGCGTCAGTCACTTTATTTGGAACTTAGGCCTCGCATTTATACTAGAAAAACGCGCTTTTTCTGGAAATGATAAACGTAAGCTTTTCAAGATTTTGATCTGTTCATAAATTCCGTCAATACTAGGCATCAAATATCTGACTCCTGGATTTCGTATTTTATCCGAAGGTTCGAAGTACTTCTTGTTATAAATTTTTGAATTAATTATTGTCGAGTTTTTAATCGATTTTGACAGTTCGGTTATTTAACAAACTGATGGGGATAGTTATTTATAATTGTTTATGTAATTGTTCATTTAAACGATTGGGGTTTATTTTGCTTTTATAGCAATGTTAATAATTGCAAATTGGGATCTTTGTCTTTTTTGAAATATATCTTGATTAGCAAAGATTTTTCTGTTGGTTCTGTCAGTGTTATTCCTATTCCTGGACAGGGTAATACTCGCTAAAGATATCAAGCCGGGATTTTAACGTCGCTTAACCACCCTAGCACGGCAAATTCTAGAGAAGATAACAGCCATAAAACCTTACAGTATCAGCAAGACAGACCAAACAACAAACATCAAAAGAGAGATGCTTGAATAGGTAATCTGCAATGTTAACAAATTAGAAGATATATTGATTTTTTTACATGCTTAAATAGTTTGAAGCAATGGTGTGTCATCCAAGCTTTTGCATTATCTAACCTCAATCCACTTGAATTTTAAACCATATTTTCTTCCTCAACTCGGTTTTTATACATAGCTAAGACGTTTTCAAATAGATCATGTATGCATCAGACAACAACCTTTGCTTTCGTGTGACTATTGTGAATTTATTCAGAGAGCTTTTCCCGAAATCTCCCGATATCTAGCTTTTCTCCTAAAGGATTTCGACTTTGTTTTAATTTTCCCTAATATTTCGACTGTTTCTCCATGGTAACCCTAATTTATAAAGAAGAGAGTACATCCCATTCAGATTATCAGATTATCTTGTCAAGGGACAATTCATTTTTACCAATAACTGATTTTTTTATCGATAGGTTGCAATAAAGCTTTCGCAATGTATTCATACTAATAACATTCCAATTTTTCATATTACTCATCCCATGCATTATGTATATTTTTTGACAATTTTTTGTCTTTTTCGATATCATTAAACCTTCATAGCATCACACACTTTACTTCAGTTCTTTGTTTCAAATTTTTGTCTGTACATTCTTAAAGAATTAATTCATTGTTTTAGGAAAGCATGATTATATTTCATCATTTTGATATAAAGTTTTCAGTTTTAACAAATTTCTGTGAAATAATGATATACACAGTCATAAATTTTGGACGCAGATAGAGATGGTTTCGCCAGCTTTAGGCCAACAGCTTCCTCAGCCAGAAGCGCACGAGGTAACAACAACCGGTCTCAATAGCATATACACCCCTGGTTGTTTATAAAGTGTATAATTTTTGACCACCTTCTAAAGCATGCTTATACGGGGCCTTTACAACAGGGGGGCCAGGGGAACATGCCCCCGCGTTATTGGTAAATAGGATATTGAAATTAGCAGGGTTTTCATTGAAATTAGTCCAAACGTTGATATAGATAGACCTGTAGATTGCAAGAAATACACTCAACCAAAATCAACAAGTAAAAATAGCGTCAGCAAAAACTTTGTCCCAACAGGGGTAAGGGGTAAGAGGACGATTTATTTACACTGCTGCCCCTCTGCAGTTTAGAATTAAAAGGAACATTTAAAAGGAACATTCAAAAAGATGTGAAAAAGTGAATAAATGTATATGTATTTCTTTATATGCAACGATGTCCAACGGTATAAGTTAACTGTAAGAAGAAACCAAATTAGATGCATGGCAAATGATTTTAAAGCTCAGCTGTGAAGCTTTGTGGTTTTAACAGATCAATGTAAATCATCTTGTCACCTAGCACTCTTCTGCTTGTTCGCTAGATATTCCAAGCTCTTTTGATCTTTCTTTCAAAAGTTCCAGCCTACAAATTGATTATGTATAATTATTGGTTTCAATGCAAATATAGCCCAATCGCTTTAATAGTTAATTTTTTAGCCAGTTTTCTTTTCCATTAACACATTAAACTTCTGCTGCCATTTTCCTACCCTAATATTTTCCATGGTACACGCATTTTGTATAGAAAATTGTCTAAAAAACCGCAGGGACCGTAGAAGCAAGGGGGCTGAGGAGGCCCAGCCCCTTTCAATAATTTACAAAAGGTAGTTAAACCATACAAAAAATCGTCTTATTTTGTTCTTTCGCATATTCAACATCCCCCCCCCCAAATAAAACTTTTTAATCCCCTCAACTTGTAATATGCTCTGCAGTCCTTGTAAAAAACCGAGCCCAAGGGTGGCAAAAGAATTAAGAGACAATAGTTTACATCATTCTGAGTCTTTGAAGATGCTGGAAATGATTTGCCTGTTTCTGGCTCAATAGATATCATTGGAAAATTTTGTTTCGCGTCAATATATATTGCCATAGCTTTAGTTTTCTGTGCTTTTGTCTTTCTTTTTTACTCTAAAAAGTATTTATTTAGCACTTTGGTAGTCAAGAAACCTTTAAGAAACTTCAGGTACTAAAATCAACAACAAAATTAAGAAACTGATTACTAATCCCTAGCTTAGTTTTTTTTACAAAAAATGTGTGTTTTTCATAATATTCAGGTAATCCCTGAGCATTTTTTGTCTCTGAAAATCAGTTTATTTCTATTGCAAATCATAATCTACTATATTCTTCATAAAATCAATCTACTGGTTTGCTTTTATGTTGAAGTGTGCTTATGGCAACCGCTTTTTGAATTTAAGCATCAATTTAAGCATAAGTCCTTGCATCAATTAAGCTGTTTGCCGTTGTATCAATTAGAATTTCCATGCTTTTGTGTCTTCATGTGAATTCCATACTTGGGAAAGTGCTTATGGGCAAGTCAAACTTTGGTAAAACGGGGCTGGTAATATCATAAACTGTTTTGCTAGCCTCGTGTCTCATTCCATATGTCTTGTTTTATCAACCGGAAAGTAGCAGCTCATATTAATGACCGTTACTCACTTTTCTCTTGCAAACTTGAGATCAACCTCACTTTTATCAAGTGTTTCCTTTCCGAGATTAGCCTCTTCTTCAAACATCTCTCTATGAAAGCGTACGTTGTTAGTGTGAGAAGTACAATCCATTGTAGAAATCTATAACCCAACTTTGAATGAATCATAAACTTTGTTAATTGTCACTTTCAATGACAATGTCACACTTAGATGCAATACGAATGTCAATATGGTCTTGAAGGTCAATGAATATGGAGTTTCTTTTCTTAACTGCTTTTAGTTAAAGTTTATAGGTTTTCTTCAAGTCATGTTGCTTCTAACTGAAAATGATACTGGATCAATGACACTGATTTTACAGTGTCATTGTTTCATCAAATTTGATGCTAGTTATAACTATAAGAGAGCTTTAGGTTCTGATGCTACCTCGTGAAAACGTTTTTCTCAGGAAGCATTAATCGTAATAGTATCAAAGTATACTCATCGCCACAATTGTCCTATGACGTCATCAAATTTTAAAATAACATTTTGGTACCCGCGAATCCGATATTTTTTCCGCTAATGAAAATTTAATCAATCACAGTCTTTGTGGTTATTGTTAGAGATCTTTCTGCTCGATTTTCGTGAGGGATGGATTTCCATCTCGTAAGGGATAGATTTCCTTAATTTAGTTTTACCACAACGATAACGGAAACGATGATAGTAGGTTCTATCGTTATCAGTATCGTTATCGTCGCGTTTGCTTAAACTCTCTAATGTCAGTCACTAAAATTGATGGATCTTTCAAGATCACCTTTGTGGACTGATAAAATCAGCCTCTGTTCCTTGCAGATAAACTTGTCTGCTTATTCTCCAGCAATTGACATTCTTGTGCCATACCTGGTGTTGCTGAGTGTTAATCTTGGTTAGTTTCAAGCTGTTGTACTTATAATTATACACACCAGACTACAAATGAAACACTTTGCCATGTATCTTCTAGATTCAAATTTCTGTATCATTTATATGCCCGTTAAACTAAGATTTAATTTTGATCCATTTAATCTCAATTTAATTTTGATCTAAGTTTAATCTTATGTCAGAATTTAAACACTGCTATACTTACAAAACCATTTGGACCTCATCAACAGTGGGCCAGTCATCTCTTGATTCCTGTTTTTCTTCTGCAACAAATAAGTAAAATTGTACATGTTATACTTAAGTGACAATTGCTGTTTACCAGTTTGTTAGATAGTGTTCGTGATGAAGCTGTTCACGCATTGGCATGCAGAACAAGACGGTGCATTCACCATGGAACTGTTCTGTAATATTTGGCATTAACTTGTGCTGTTTTGAAATTTATTAACATTGTACTTAGTTTATGTTTCTCATTTTAAATATCTGCATACGAAAATCGTTGAAATAATTTTACGGAGTGATTTTACAAATGTTAGCAGATCCTTGCTGAAAATGATGCCTTTTCTTTCCGTTAATTCTTGGCCAATCTCTATCACCATTTTTTCTTTATTCTGACCATTTCAACTCGTCTAGTTGCTGACCATTTCAAAATGAAGTTTTGACGAGGTATTTTTTTCTTTCCTTGATATCATTAGTTTTCTTACCCATTTATTTTCAAATTGCTTTGACAATATTGACACAATTTACCTTCTACTTTGATCTTTGAAAACTCTTCAGTCAGTTCATCAATTGTTTGTTTGCTCTCTTGAACTGTAAACAATGTTAAAAATGAAGGACGAGTGAAGGTGTATATCAAATAGAAAAAATTTCGCATAGCAACCTTACCTAACTATTTTCAATTTCTTTTAAGTAGCAAAAATACCAGGTTAATGCAAGTGATCTAACTGAAAGACAGTATGAAAAAGCATTCTAGTCCTATTCCATATCGACGTGCATCTGTACCGGGTTGATGATTATCTCGTGTCTGTAATAGACAGAAACATTCTTCTTCCTTTGAAATGTTGATCAGTTTGTGTTGTGTAACGAGTGACCTGAATTCTCCTCATTTTGGAACGTGATGCTATTTTTACACAGAACAAACCTGCATTCTTTGTTTCTTGTATCTTTTTCTCCAAATCTTTTTGCTCGCCATGCAGTTTTACTTCATTCTTTGATTTCAATGATAAAATTGATAAATTGGTTTATAATGAAAAGCATGTCGAGGCGATTAAAAGGTACAAGGCACATGTTTTAAATACAATCTATGATTTTTAATTGCTCTAACACTGCGTAAATAATAAGGAGAATGTCGTAAAGAGGACTAAAATCAAAAGACATATTTAGTCTTATAAATTTCACTTACATATTCTTCGCGTGCACTAAAGAAAGTCTTTGCCAGGTTCTGAAGTTGCTGTGCAAATTCGGTGCTGCATAATTCAATTTAATTTTGTTAGATTAATCGCAACTAAATACGATTTCGAAAGAAAGAACAAGCAACTTATAAGAAATTGACAATGTAATTTCACCTACTTCGTTGGAGTTATTAGCCAGATATTTTCTTCAATTCTCTTTTATCATTGACCAATTAAAATTTTATTTATTATATTTCTAAGTATAGAATTTAATTGGACTCTGGTTTCATAGCCATGCTTACCTCATTTCCTCCCTTCGCCTCTTTCCCAAATTTATCTTTTCTCTCGTATCATTAATAAGGTTTTGCTTTTCAACATGAAGTCTCTGCAATCTGGCAATATTATAAAAAATACGCTAGAATATTGAACTAAAGAGGTATTTCAAGTTTGTTTAATAAAAATGGTTACTAACAAAATCATGTGCATATTCGATTTGTATTTCTTCGTCTCTCCCTCCATTGGTGCTTCGGTCCAGGGAGTGAAAAGTAGCCCCTAGTGATGCTTCATGGATATTTCTGGATCATAATAATTGCTTCTTAATAACAAGTTCCTGTAAGGCCCGTGCAAGTGCAGCAAATCTTCTGAAATGTCACACAAAATGTTATATCAAATGTACAACCGATTCTTAGAGGTTGGTCACTCCAGATAATGCAAACTTCTGGTAACAAAATCACTGAAACAATTTTCGCTGCAGTACCTAGCCTGTTATTAAGTTCTAATTATTTCTATTTTCTTCAAAATCGGGTGTGGTTGACAGGTTATACAGTACCCTTCAACACAAAAAAGCGATTGTTAGGCTGGCAATTTTAAAAGAAAACAATTGCTTTACGTTTTTACTTCACGTATTGGTAACAACGATAACTGAAAACACTGGGATATGTTACCAAAGATGCAAAAATTTGAAAGCTTCATCCGAAGTACGCAAAGATTTGAATACACACCCTCTCCTTGTAGGCCTAGAGTTTTTGATTCGTTTTAATTTAGACGAGAGAGCAATCTTTGAAGGCGTATGCTTTGGTTCGTTGGTGATGGCAGCTTAGAAAAATCTATCACAAATCTAATCTTAATCAAATTCAATTAAATAACATTTTGTTACTGACCTGTTTATCAGTTCTTTACTTTCATACATCTTCTGCCTTGCAATGTCTCTTGTGGCTGAACACGTTTGACGTAAGATTTGTTTAAATGGCGATTTCGTGTTTGGAATAGTTACTCAATTATTAGATAATTTCTTGTCTCCCTAATTAATTCTCAATCAAACGATTATATAAAGAGTTGAATTACCTATTGATTTTGATTACACTGTAAAATGATTATTCAAATTTAGAGAAAACCATCACATTTAAAGTCAAAACCGTCAAATGCCATTTAAAGATTTTGGTTTTGTACCCCAAAAGTGGTTCCTAAGATTTTTTATGACATTGTAGAGAAACGTGCATCTGGTTTAGAAGTTTTTAGGAAGCCATGTGTATGGGTACGAATATTAGATTATGGTCATTAGTAATACAGCTTATAGTCTCGTTTTTATGTTTTTGCACTTCTTGTTTTTGTGTTTTAATGTTTTTTGTGTTTCTCATCGATATATAATTGTTTTTCTTTGAAGAACATTGTGCAAGAAAGAAAGCTTGTCTGAGACACACACACTTATATATATATAGAAAATTGATTATAGGGACCATGATTTTATGTCTATACTTCTTCACTCATACCTGATAATCGTGAATACCTTTCTTGGACATTGCTGTAACGTGCATTCACTAGAAGACGAAGAAATTTATGAAAGTAAATAACTAGAGGGGTTTTTTAAAGTGGCTGCGAGTTTAGCGGAGATTTTACCTATTGAAAAGTCTCAAATAAGGCCTTGAATAGTCATAATAGGTAGAGTCAATGTTTCGTTGTAGCCATGACATATCACCGTATCTAGGTTTTCACGACTGTGAAGAACTAAGGCATGAAAATTTTCGTTTCTGTGAAACTAAACAACACTAAACAACAATGGCACCTCCAAGCAACAGACCGAATTATTCAATCAAACAGAGAGAAAGCTTTCAATAGCCAAATTCTCTTCAATAGATTATCATAGCAAAACAATCAATGATTTCAGCGTTCTTACCGAGGTTGAGCTTTGTTTCTGTGTCTTTTCTCCTTGCCTGCTCATTGTCGAGAAAGTTTTCAAGTTTTCGTTTTTCTAAAAAGTACAACCAATATGAGAGGTAAATCGACTAATATGAATAAACAAACTGTTGGCAGACAGATGGAAAGATATATTTTTGAACAAATATTGTCATTTTGCTATCTGCAATTAAGATTTCAGAAAATGCATGGAAGTTTAATAATACGTTTCTGCATTTGTCTTTGTTATCTATTTTCCCTTTGTGTTGGCGGTGCTCATCTGAGAAGATATTCTACTAATAAAATGTAATTTATTTAAAATGTTTTCTTCTCAATATGTTTTCCCATGGCTAGTAACAATTGATGATAGACCATTGCAGACAAAAATTATGTCCTTTTTTATTTTACCCCTTTTTTCCAGGACCCTATCTCAGACAACTTTTAGTATTTGAGCCTATCTTCAAAATTTATCAAAATTTATTGTAAATTACCTTGCTGAAGCTCTCTCAGGCTTTCAGAAATAATTTCTAGTTGAAAATTTGTGTTTTTCTTGGTTTTATCCATGATTTGCTCATAACCCTTTGACTTCTTGCTGACGACTAACGCCGAATTTAGTTTTCCCGCCATATGAACCTCGTTTTGAAAAGCAAATGTTCTGTCCTTCAGTTCAACTTTCCTTGCAAATATTTTCGGTATAAATGTTTTCAATGAATTAGTGCGACCAACAGTATCAGGCAGGCACGCGAATTGACGGATATTTTTGGGAGGGTGAAGGGTACAAAATTTCTACCCTGGGGTCCAGAGCCACAAAATTTCGAGCGCGAAAATAGATGATAAAAGTGGAGAAGCGGAGAAGAAAGATAGACGCTCCTCCGCTGCTCCACTTCTATCTTCTATATCCGCTCTCGAATTTATGTTGCTCTGGTACCCAGGGTACAAAATTTCCGAATGACGATGACAACTGCTATTAATTGTGTATTAAAATTGTAGACATTTAACATTAAAATTGTAAGCCTTTAACATTTACGTGCCGGGAGAGTCATTTCAAAGAAGGAAATTCAAATAAGTATTGGGTGCAGTTAGAATTAGCATAATCAGATCTAATGATATCTGAGTTTGGTAGTATTTTGAACATAGCTTCGGTAGAGCGTAGACGTGAATGAAACTCCATATCGTTGATTTTATCTTTAAATATATACAAAACGTGACTTTAAACAACTATAACGTAAACGTAACTTGTTAGCCCATCATAAACTTGTAGCGTGACTTTATCGTAACTTCACTACTTCGAAAAACTTGACCTTACAATAAAGGGCGTGAATATATAACGAAAGAAGACTGGGACGAGTAGGAATCCCCCATGATGGCTTGGGCTGCGAAATATATATTGACTTCACAACAGGTAGCAGTAGAAGGAAATTTTCCAATTTAAACAGAAAGAGTTTGCAACATTTCCGCAGAGACTGCAGCTTCCTTGAGGTGTCAATATATCACTTGGATACATGAACATTACTGTTTTACCGTTCTGTCATATTGTGCTTGATGCCGTATAGGTAGATTCATCAATGTTTGGTACATAGGACAAAAAAGTTTTAAGTTGCGACTCTGTGATTCACGCGTAATGCGATCATAAGACACCTTGTACTCGTATGATTGTAGCCTTTTAATACATTTTTCTCTAATATGTTATCTTGTGGATGCGAGTGGGTCTGATATAACTCTGGGAGTGATCCTTGCTGGCAATGAATTGCATTCTTCAGTAAAAAGAAACACTGAGTTATTTCAGTTATAGCTCTGATTGGAAATTGAGACAAGTAAATTTTTAGCAATAATTTCATTTTTACTTGTAAAACTATAGTCATCCCAGGTGTAAAGCCAGGAAACTAAGGGGGTGCGCGAAGCAAACTGAATCAGCAGTTTCACACTAAGAGAAACTCGGTCTTTTAAACTTAACTTTCTATCATTTATCAGCTTCGTTTACATTTGACCTTTACACCTCGGAACCCCTCCATGATCATAATGATTAAGCTTTTATAAATACACTAAACATGCGTGGGTAATAATAATTACCTACATGTAATCAGCAAATTATTTCTATTACACTCTATTCAAGCAATTTCATCAAAAACAATGTTTCGACGTGAGAAATGAATTCTCAAATAGGTATCAATAATAAACACAAATGTTAAGCAAAGCAAAGCATACTATGATGATACTTTAGCAAATGAGTCCATATTTACGGAATGAGATAGTTGCACCGTGCTGACCACCAAGTTTGAGGTATGGACATGTTAACTACACCACGCAATATGCCATGTCTAGCAAGAATTTCGCGAGCTGTAACTTTCTACTTGTAGTCATCAATTAAATCCTAATAAATTGAGTCAGAGAGGGGTATAATCGTCTAGATTAGAGGTTATATTTTAAGACGAATTAGGTAAACAAAGAAAGGAAAAGGTGGAGGTACATTAGACTGTCACGCAAAATAACATCTCCATTGCGCCACAACTGAGTGTCCTTGCATCCTTTCACGATCCAGATAGTTTCATTGTTTTTACCTACTCTGTTATTCTATTTTTTCCCCTTCCTTATATACACATTATAATTGCAATTTATAAGCTTGTACTTTTTATGCTTTCATCATTATGCTGTTGTCACCGCTCTTAATCTTCAATTCTTAAAAAGCAGGGCCCCTTAGCTCGATAGCCCTTTTTGGAGTTTTTTCTAAGGGTCCTAAAGAACGAGAAAAAATGATACATGAAGTTATGTATTACTGTTTGTGCATAAGCAATTATTGTCATTAGTTTAAATTCAGAATTTGTCATTTAATCTCTTCACATAGATGTATTTAAACTTTATCTTGTATTTCTTGTTGTTTGAAATGAAAATGAAGTTGAATTTGAAATTTGTCTTCTTCCTTCATGATTCCTCCAACGTTTATATTCTGAATTTTGTGAGGCGAGGAAGCTCTACGTATAAAATCTGATTTTACAAAGTTGTAAGCAAATATCTAAAAAAAATAAACAGTATCTAAAGGATTCAAACTAAGTCCGAGCAAAATCCCTGAATAGCATTTCAGAATCCAGTTTTTCAAGGATTGAAGAGCTTAGCATTTAACTTCTATTTTATTGGAAATGTCTTAAGAGCGCGAAGGACGTTCCTATATAAACCCTAAAACGAGAGGAAATTGTAAAACATCCTGTAGAGGTACAGACGAGACATCTCCCGAAAATTTTTGCAACCATGCCCTTTAGGTTAGCTTAAAATACATCTCGGAATATTTCTTACAGTCATTTGCTTGATGTCTTTTAAAATGTTTTGATTTTGTTTGAATATCAACCCCCCCCCCCTTGAGGTATCAATTTATTACACATTTGCACTTTTCACAGACAGGAACTTTCTGAGCATTGGGGGGGGGGGGGCGCCCCTTGTTCCCCTCACTACGCTACTGGACGCCCGCTAAAAAGGAGCAAGGGACATACTTGGGAACATGGCATGAACATTTTCAAATGTTTCCTGTTTTTTTGTTTTTTTAAAAGCACATTTTGCCCCCGCTGGCTGAAGGCATTGGGCTGTCTCACTGATCTCAAGAGGTCTCCCCGCTGCAGAGCAACAGCTGCGAGGGCATCTTTTCTCCCTAACCGGAAGATTATGTTGTTGTTGTTGCAAGGCTTTATTGTTTACAAGGTCATTTGTTATGGATTCACACCGAAGGTGAGAAGATGGCATCTTCTAAGCTGAAGATCGAAGAACTTTCCTTAAAAATCAAACAGAGCAGCTCGTGGAAGTTTATTCCAGAACTTTATGGATGTCTTTACATAGGTATGGTTTTCAAAAATCGCCCTTTTTCTTCAGTTCTCATCATAAAACTTTTTAGGCCCTAATTGTTTGTCGATTTAATGGCAGAAATTCTAACCGCCAATTTTTTTAGAGTAGGTATTATATAAATCTAGCGTATATATTAGATATAGTATCTTATCGGGAAATGGATGAATACTCAAGTTCAAGTTCAAGTTTTCATTTTAAAAATTCCAACATACAAATTCCAGCTAACAACAAGTACAAAACTGCATACATTACCAACAACAAATAATATCAAAGTATATAAAAAGAACTAAACTAATACTTGCATGCATCTAATTGTACCAGTAGAGCTGTTTGAATATGTTAGGTGAGTTGGTTGTGCTATTGGCTTCTTGTAGACTTCGGCTCCTTATTCTTGTGTGTACATTCGTTTGTTTCCTTTTGCGATAGTTAAGCCTGACAAGTACGTCGGTTGGGCACCCTTTTTGAAGATCGCACTTTTTGTTTATGGCTAATTCAAGTCTGAAAACTGGTCCTGAACTGTAACCGCCATGCCTGTTTAGTTCATTTTCTTGCAAAATAGACAAATGACAATAGACATGCAGCCGAACTTTACATTTTAAAATATATTTAGGTGAACTGTGCAGCCTGCCTGTACGTGGGGAAACTCAAATCAATTTTTCACACCACTCTTTTGTTAATAAACTTCTGGTGCATCAAAATTGCCCCACATTCTAGCCCGGGTGATAGCCAGACTGGAAACTTTGTTTCTTGCATGGACAAGTTCATTTTGAAAAATTTGCAACTACACGCTTGAAATCATGCACTTTTAGAAGATTTGTATTGTTGATAATGTAAAATGTAAACAAATAGGGGCTTTGCACGGCCAATATGCAAAAATGGGCAGTGAAAAATTTGAGTGCACCAGCAATCCATTGTGGGCATGCAACAAAGTTTCCAGTCTGTGATGATAGTCACCCTGCCACATTCAGAATGAATCACCTTTAGTAAATATACAGCCAAGGTAGCATTTGTTAGGTTTGTCACACAACCATTCATTTTTCAATGTTACCTGGGCTATGACCTTATCAGCTTAATCAAGTCTTCTTTACCAGTGTCTATTCTAAGAACTTAGACTCAGTGGTCTTCTGTATAATTAAATATGTTGAATGAAAAACTTCTATTTGGAATTCTGCTAATGGATTATCTTTCCGTTATAGACATTTCTTGGCTGGACCTGCTGTATACCATTTGCAACACTGCCAGATTCTTAGATCATAGAAATGTTCAGAAAGAAATTGAATGTTTACTTGGAGGACCAGAGAGAATCCTTATATCTCTTTCTGTAAGATCATCATTTGATCTTTTTCTACAAGCAATGAAGTATCCTCAGGACTCCGAGATTATAGCCACTTGCATTAACATTAAGCAGATGTCTGAAATAGCTGAATACCATGGGATACACATGAAAGGAGTTGATTTGGACTTATCTAATATGCAGCCTGATATTTCCCAAATTGAATCCAACATATGTGAAAAAACTGTTGGAATCTTTGTTGTTCAACTATTTGGTATGAAATTCAAAACAACAGAACTAAAGAAAGTTGCGAAAAAGCATAGAATAGTGTTAATAGAAGATTGTGCTCAAGCATTTTTTGGTGCAGATGCCATTGACAGCATTGAATCTGATCTTGCATTTTTTAGTTTTGGTTCAATTAAAAGATCAACTTGCCTTGGGGGAGCTTGCATAGTTTCAAATAATTCTGTTATATTGCACAAGATGAGAACTATTCAGAGCAGGTATACTCTTCAGGGAAGATGGGTATATTTCTTGAAGCTCCTGAAGTATTTAGTTATAATGATTGCCATGAACAATCCCTCCTTTTCCTGGATTTTGTCGTCTTTACTTTCTTTGATTGGCATAGACTATAAAGTTTTTTTCAAAAGCTCACTAAGGTCCTTCAAGGCTTCTAATAACTCTTTAATAGAACTGATAAGATTCCAGCCATCACTCCCACTTCTGATTCTTATCAAAAGAAGAATGCAACATCTCCTTCAGTTTGATGACAATTACCAAGATGGAAGACTGCGTGCAGAATATGCCATTTGTAGTTTGATTGAGAAACCAGTCTATGTGTTGGGTTGTCTTTCTGAAGTCAGAGATTTTTGGCTGTTTCCTGTTCTTGTGGTAAGGATTTTTGGTGCTTACAAGACTCCTCCAATCTCCTAATTTGACCAAAATTTAATATCTTTTAAAGTGCTTTGGTCTGTTAGAACCCTTTATATACACCATTATAGTACACAAGAGCAACAAACAGTGAGAAAAAATGAATTCATTTTTATATAACATAATATCACACACTAGCAACAGGTAGGGAAAAAACTAATCTACTGACAGCAGGGTGCATTAATAAGAGTAAGATTAACTTTCTTTAGTGTAACAATCAGTCAGAAGGCAGATTTATTAGCACACCACAAACTTTCAAATTTCAAATTCAATGAAAATGCTCTTCCACTTTGTTGCTAGCATGCCAAAAATCTTTTTTCGAGAGGAACAATATACCTTGGTGTTGCTCCTCTGTACATAGCTTTTGCCATTTGCCTTCAAAACAATATGCGTGTTTTGGCTGTGAAAGAAAGTGTGAAAATTATCTTATTAGGGATCAGTCATAAAGTATCTACTTTATGGGGGTTGACAATTTTCCCAAAATTTAGCAAAATAATTAATAACCTGTCCTAGATTCCTATTTTATCTTTGTGACCCAATAGCTAAATAGTGATCTTTTTCATGACCCCATTAAAAATCAGAACCCATTACCTGTGAGCATCATAGACTGATTTTTAAGGCAATTTCAGAGGGCATCTTTGCCTCCACCAGCTACTAGGAGAGGTCTTGTGTGTGACATCATGAACATATATTTTTTGAACGTTTTTACACTTTGACTACATAACTGAAAGGAATACCATGGGGCTCATTTATAAACTCTATGAGATTGGTCGTTTGGGATGGAAAGGTCATACTAACATTGAAAGGATCGTGAATACTTTTTGAAGGATAAAAACCCTTTTTATAGCAGTATTTTTATTCCACAGTTTGAGCCACCAATGGGAAAGTTTCAAGTCTGAACCTATGTGCATCTGTAAAAAAAAATTCCGCAGACAGGTTTGGCAGAATTTTTCATGGTCCACCCAAAAGATTGTTCACCTCCATATAGCAGATACTTAACAACCGTTCCCTTACTTTTTTCTCATTTTCATATGTTATGTTTACTGTCGATAACTAAAACTAGAACATTGTGCTGCAATATGTTGTAAAGAACCTTTTTTATTCTCATTGCTTTATTTGATAATTATGTAGTAATATTTTGATTTTAGGATGAACCTCTTGAAGTGGAGATGGAACTAGAGAAGCTAGGTGTGTCAGCATTTTCAAGAGCAAGCTCCTTGGAATTTAACCACAAGCCATCAGAAGATCTAAGGTCATCCCAATTTGTCTGTAAGCACGTATTGTACTTACCAATTGATAGAAGATCACCAAAGTGGCATATAGATAACGTATGCAGGAGTTTAATCACTGTACTACAGGAGAGGAGGTCAATTTTTGATATAGCTGAGAAGGAACATGTCGTTTTAAAAAGGGATATCGAAACACTTCTGAAGTGCTCTTCAACGATTTTTGAATCTAGCAAAAAGGTCCCTAGAATTTTAGAAATTTGACAGAAGGTTTTTGCAGATGATGTCGCATAGCTTGTTAATCAGAAATCAAGGGGGAACCAAGCCATGTCCTAAATAGTTTGACCCGTTAAATAGATATCGTGTAGAACATAAACAGTTATATTATGGAAGTAACATATTTACGTATACTTTGCTTAATACTGACAGGCTTTGACATTGAAACAAAGAATTTTATCCGTTTATCAATATTTGCACATAAGCAAATGAACTTGGTTGGCTATAGCCCCTAACCACATGTAAAGCTTCTGAGATAAGTGATCAATCATTTGAAAAGTTGTCAAAGTCAGACAACAATAGGACATCCTCTGATATTTTCCATCTAATAAGTGTAGTCTTTTTTGATAACAAAATCACACGAACATTAATCAAACGAAACGTTTTTAACGTTTGAAAGAAGAAACGAAACGTTAACCTTACCGTTTAACGTTTGAATTTGACTATTATTTTAACAAAGAGGGAAATTAGTGTAGATTTGCTTTATTTATTGTTAATGCTTAAAAAAATTAAGTAGGGTAAGGCTTCATTTTTTTGTTTTTAGCGTCAAGATTTTTCAGTTTGAAACCAATTTAAGCTTTTAACTTTGTCAGAGTAAATATCTTCCTCAGTTTATGAAATTAATTAGTTTTTTCTCCGATCATCCTTTTGCTTCTAACTTATAATTACTAGTAAGGGGGTACCAGGTATTCATGTCGAATCACGCATTCATGCGTATAATAATGGCAAATCACGTTTTCACGGTACTGGAAATTAACTTTCACGATCACGCCCCAAGAACCCCTCTGAATTTTAAAAAGGGGGCTGAACCATCCTGAGCCGCCCTGGGCCACCCCCTTCCATGACATCACTGCTCTAGCCTTAATTGTATTTATCATTTTTGTTCTTTTTGAGCAGCTAAATCTTGATCAACAGCTCCCAGAACACCATCTCCTGATCGACAGCAATAAACATCATCGTCTCTTACCGTTTGTCGTTTCTTACTTGACAGTGCGCTGCCTCACTGCCGCACCATTTGCTGCCGCCCATTCTCTCATCTCATTTTTATTTCATTTCATATATATATTTCCAGCAATTAATTGCAAATCTGTATTGATATAAAGAAGCTGTATTTTGAAAAATATCATCAAGATAGAGTTAGATTGTGGAAAGCTACATTGAAGGTAATTAAAAGTGCTAACGGGCACATGAAAATAACTCTAAAGAGCTTTTGAATCGGTGACGTAAGTTTAAATCATAATAAATATGGTAAAATGTCATTTTGCTAAGAACAGTGTTTCATTTTGGAGAAAGTTTGATAATAATCAAATATAATGTTTATTTTAAAAACAAGAACTGAAAGATCAAAAAATGCAAAAGATTAGGGGCAATATATGTACTACATTGCCGGTCTGTTGGGCAATAATCGGTTTAAAAGCAATCTAATGCGAGGAATTTCTTGAATTTTTAACAAAATCTTTTCTGATAAGGGATCTTCTACATGACAATATTCTTCATGTAGATTTTGTTTGCCGAGCCGTTGGCTTTGGAATCTCTATCTTGGAGACATTTATCTTGTCTGGTACCGGAAACCAAGACTTTCTGCTGATAAAAAAGTAATCCCTCCATTTCCAAATTGGCTTGCAGCAATTATTTTCATGCAATCACACCATGAATAATGCTAATTCATAGGTCATGAGCTAATGTCTAATCACGAATTCACGCATCAGAAATACGCTGATCACGCCAAAATACCTGGTACCCCCTAGTAATATAAAGGACGTCGCTTTGGCATGCCATGGGGGTAACTGCCCCCTTAGGGTTTCGTCAGTTTAGATCTATCTCCGATGAAAGTCATTGGGAAGTGGAAAATTTGAATTTCATGAAACAGGAATACTTTATCATGCAAGATTCACGTAAGAAGCATTTGCAGGAATGATTTAAGAATTTACACTGACACGGTTAAAACCCAAATGAATAAAGGAGATGGCAAAAGACAACAACAATACCATCTGCCTATATAGTAGCCACCTTAACATAGTAAGTTAAAAACCGCTAAATACATTCGGTTCATAACGATAATTAATGGATAAAAGTTCTTGTTGCTTAAAAAAGAAAATGTTATATTTTAAAAAGGATCTGTATGTAGAATTGTTGTCTATCTAATGATGAGTACTCTGGATGCCAGAGCCACATCAGTTCGGACAAAAAATGGAAGAGAGGAGCGGAGAAGCGGAGAAGCAGAGGGCCGTCTGTATTTTCTTTCTCTCTGACGCTCCTCCGCTTCTCCACGCCGCTCCGCTCTGGGTACCCAGGTTATAGACGTAGAGATCGACAGTTTATTATGTGTTGATTCTTTTAAATGGGGGAAAAGGGTTGGTACCAGGATCAGTGGTATGGTATAGAAGTTGTTCCAAGCGGTGCAAAATGAAAGGCTTCGTATTAGACTGGATTTGCAATATTTTTCGAAAAAAGTAGGACATGTTTTTATTGCTTTCGATGAGCTTAACTTTATGAGCCTTTCTCGCCAGATCATATCGACTATCTTTCTAGTTATGGTCTTGAAATTGTTATTTTTGGCGCTGTCAAATGTACACGGAACGAGTGTTACTTCTTCAATATATGAATAGGCGCTCAAAAAGAATTGTAGGCTAATTAAGCTTCACCAGCTTCACCCTGAATAGCTTTTTCAGCTGGTTTCTTGTGGCAACAGGGTGTGATGCAAGATGCCTCCCCGATCGATTTGAGATAACCGCATATTGCTTGAAACTGTGTGAAAGATTTGGGAAGCAGCCTTGTATCTGTACTTTTCGTGAACCAAAATATCGTATAAACAGTAAATTAAGTACGTGGAAAGAACATTTTAAATTGCGCTTTGGTTTATACAACAGGACGGTTGTAGGTAAGGCAACTTAGAACCATCCTGTTTTATACCCCCCTCCCCACCCCAAAGTGTTTATAGCTCTGTCTATACGGCATCGAGCACTTCATGACAGACCGGTAAAACAATAATTTTTATACATTAAAATGTTTGGGGTAATTTTACGGATGTGTGTATGATTTCTCGGAAATGTTGATAACGTTTCTTTGCGCAGGGGATTGTTCACCGCGCTAGTCGAAACTAAAACTTGTGTTTTGCCTACTGTTTTAAACATTGGAGAGTCTCTGTGACTGGAGGAACTATTGCCCCCCCCCCCCCCTAGTAAAAATGTTAGTCTCTACAAAAAAGGCACGTGCGTTTGAGCGGGGTAAAATTTTATTATAGCTCCGATGAACTAACATCACATATTGCCTGTTGCCTGTCTCAGCATAAGCCTTTTAAATCCTAGAAACCGAGGGCCATTTTGCAAATTATGTTTTAAGTTTCAGTTTTTGAAAATCTTCGCTGTACCTCATTTTGAAAGATGAGCGAAAAAAACTTTACATAAACTATCTTCAGAGATTTTTGGCGTTTACTTTCTCGTACATTTTTTGTAGGGATTGTCCGATCTATGTTCGTAAAAATTTGCTCTTTCTGTTTCATTCTTGGGAAATTTGTGCGACGCGGAAAGTTGTAAGCTAAAGGTGTTCTGTGCGTGTGAGCAATCAATAAGTATTCCAATTTATTGTTCATTCAGTGGCACCCATTCGAAGGCGATTTACAGTTCTTACATATTTAGCCCTCTGGATCACAATACCAAGATTGTAGGGTGACAGGTAACGGAGCCAGACAAGAGCCTTGTGGAGTACCACAATTTAGCTTGTTGATTTTGAAAATGGCATTTTGTTTTTGAGAGCCTTTCTATCAAATGAGAAGACTCAAGCATTCTTCAGTTGTAGAATTTTATCCACAGAGGCAACTGTGCTACAGTGGCGGAAATTATGGGGGTTTGCGGGGGCTCGGGCCCCCCCCCCCCCAATCAGCGATGTCGTAGGAAAATTCGGGCTTTCGTCGGATAATTGACAACCGTTTAACGTGTCGAAATTACTTCAAGAAATCGTTCTGAAAGGGAATTTTAAGCTAATCTAAGGGGCGTAATTGCCAAATTTTCTGCTCGCTTCGCTCGTAGGTGATCCACGTTTCCCTTTTTTTACCCCAGGGGCCTTTATAACCTCTTTGTGCCCTTTCTGCAAAATTTAAACATAGCATAGCTGATAAAATATTAGCCATTACCAAATAATCAATCAAACAATATATGACCAAAATCAAAACTGCTTGTGAATTGTGTATTTAATTTCAATTCCGTAAAGATCAGCCAAAATTTCTATCGGATTCTTCTGAACAAATATTATTTTCAAACGTATTTCTCACTGACGAAAACAAGATAAATGCATAAAATGAACGTACGATTTGTCAAAAGTGTTATCGGTCTACCTCTTGTATCATCAATTGTCTTAGATAAGATATCAATCTTGATATCAAAAATCATAAATGGATTGTTCTTCTTGCTACTTAATTATGGCGTGGTCAGCAAAAATTTCTAAAGAGAAATCAACTTTTTTTATCAAAATGTGCAGTTTCTTTGAAATTATACACGGTCCATGATGTTATCTTGTCGGAAAATCGTAGGCCTGGGCCCCCCAAAATGAAAGCCTGAATTTCCGCACTGCTGTGCTACCCACTACTCACAGATATTGTGCTACCCACTACATATATAAATTTTGCAAAAACCCTACCCCAAAATTCAGATATAATATGAAAAACGTACCCTTAATTTAAATTCAAATTTGTAAAGATCAAACAACTCAAGTAAATAAGAACATATTACCTTTCTTTAAAAAATGATACCCCAAATTTAAGATCATGCTTAAAATAAATCCCAAAATTTATGACTCTGTTTAATCTTACCAAAACTGTTACCCCAAAGTTTGTTTTTTACTTGAAAAAGGTACCACAAAAACTCCACATCCTGTACCAGTGTGTGTGGAAATTACCCCCCCCCCCAGGTTATCAGCCAGTTACGCATGTTTTCCCAGAAACTTTACCTTATAATATTTTCACTATGTTTTATAGAGACGAACGGTGTAAAACCACTGAATTTGAGAGAATTTTACAGGCTTGTGTTCGTGTTGTGTAAGTTTGCTGTTACTGCGTATGCTTATGAAACTGCGCATATCTGTTTTATAACTAACTAGAGGATAATTTACCATAATGCGTTCACAGTTCTTTTATATTATGCCGTGGGAAATTTAGCGCGTATCATATTTACTTAAATTATTCCACTTTGATTGTATTTAGTTTGTTTATTTTGATAACCATAGATACGTTCACTAATTGTAACATAAGGGAGTGTTTAAACTATTTTATTGAGATTGGTTATGAGTTGTTGAAGTGTAAGTAGTAGTGATTTTGATTGATGAAATGTTATGTTATTTGAAATGAAGTTATCTCCTTGAAAGTTGGAATCTGTACCGCGGAACCAGTAAATATATTGTACAGTTCGCAGATTTGACAGTAAAAAAAGTTCAAAAATTGATAAGCGTGTTCGGATTTCTTGGCTCGACGGCTCTTATAGCGTCATCTAATTCAACAACGGCTAAACGCTCACTTCGGCAAAACTGGTATGCTTCAAACTTCTCGAATTGACAACGGCTATCTGAACATCCAAAATCACCTCTAAACTCTAGCGACTAAATTAAACGACTGAATTACTTAAGCTAATTAGGATGATTAAAGAAAACAGATTAAGGGTGCAGATCAAAAGACAGGATGTTCAATTGAAATTAGCCAAGGTGTGAACCAGTGGCGGCGCCAGGGGGTGGTATGGGGGGGGTAATTACCCCCCCCCCCCCACTTTTATCGAAACATTGTCTACATATTTCTTCTAAAAACGGGTTAAAAAGCACTAGGTAGGGGTAGATCAAATTTTTAAGGAAATTTGACCTGGTACAAAGCACTGGAACGAGGCGATTAGGGCGTGGTCAGTGAGACTACGCCCATTACCCTCCCACTCGGCAGTAGCTGGCGCCGCCACTGGTGTGAACGAAAGTCAAGCAGGCAAATAAAATTCAAACAGCAAGCACGTGAAAGTTTCCTTCACGAAATTCTATCCTTTTACAACAGTAAATAGTGCTCAATCAAAAAAAACAAAAAGAATTGACATTATTTGTTAGCTTTATGAACAGCACCCGGAATGTTTCCCAATCGATAACATAGCTATTTGCCATTGCCTTTATTACGAATGTATTTAAAAAATTATGGTCACCATGGCTTCCGTTGAACCTGTTGAAAATATTAGTTCAATCTAAACCGTGAACCGAGAAGTTTGCGTGTAAACATTTACCCTGATTTCCACCGTGCCTTGATATTTTGATTGAGAATCCAGAAAGAAGCATCCTTTATATCGCCCTCGTGTATTTTCGTAAAAAATCGACAAAAAAATCTTCTGGGAGAATCATCCATACAACCAACTAATAGAGGGTTTAGAATAAACAGGGAGTTGGGATTGATTTCAATACAAAGCAATGGTTTTCGTGGTACCGCAATAACAACTTTTTCTGCAAACGTAATACTTTACTTTTCGAATGAGCGGATTAAGGTGATTTGCACAAGCCTCAAATTTGATCAAAAATCAAGAACACACAAAAAAACAAGCAGAGGCTGAAGTTTTTGAATTACAGAAGAAATGCAAAAAATAACTTTCGCTTTATTGAAACAACGAAACATTTCCTAACAGTTTCTATAAATCATACCTTAGTTTCTATACATCAATAAAAGAAAGGATACTGTAACTGTATGATTTGTGAAAGCTTCCAAAAATCAAGAGCCAAGAGGGTCTGATTATTCTTCCTTTTCCTGTAACCCCTCCGCAATCCCGTAGGAGTTCTATCAAGGGAGTGAATGTATGCTTTTATTTGATATTTCAAGAATACGGTATCTATAGGAACCAAGGATTGTGCATAGGCACTAGTGCTTATTTTTACATTGTGGACATTTCTGTCATTCATATAGGTTATCTCTTAATTTTATCATTCCTTTCTTGTCAAACCTTTGGATTGATTGATTGTCTCCCTAGTGTTTTGCCCCATCCCACGATTTGTCTCACGGATTAACTTTTTCTATCCACTTTTATTATGTGTAAATGTAGATTGGAAATGTAAAATTAAAAGCTGTTTTTTACGTTATGTTATCAGTTATGGACAAGCAGGTACTTAACCTCTGTTTTTGAAAAGGGGGGCACGTGCCCCTCGCGCCCCCTGGTTACTACGTCTTGTTTTTGAGAACAGTGCTTGTTAAAGACTGGCCTACTGATTGCGAGAACATACGACTTTACGACTGTTGACGAGGCTGCTAATTTTATCAATTTGCCATTGTAATTTTATTCTACTTTATTGTTGTTTAATCACAGTGAGAACATACATGGAACAAAACATTACTATATAGATTCTTATAGATGTCGCCCACACCTTGGAAACTGTTCTAAAACAGATGTGACTAAGTGATGATGATGATGATGCACGGTCTCTTGTCGCGTCTCGTATGCTTTTTTACAACGAAGTTTCTGTTGGATGTTAGGAAGCTAGAAGTTGCGGTACGGTAGTCACTGACATTGCTACTTGAACCAAGCGTGATTTGAAAAATAAATCATATTAATTAAATTCCAGTTTTGAATGGACGAGAGACCTCATTCTTTGAGACTTCAGATACAATTAGTGGTTAAACACAAATAATCGATCGTAGGCCTGTCTGTAATTCGTGGCCTAACTTGCATTCCGTTGCATTCAACATATTATGAGCGAGTAACTACTTTGATATGGCTTTGGGTCGTACTGAAACATGGTTCTGGAGAATTATTGGCATTTGCGCACTTGCCGTTTGTTCACTAAATGTAATGGTTTTGATGAGAGGTAAGAAATTGCTAGAGATAGTTCAAGTTACATTGCCTACAACCACGCGGCGTTTGAATGCACTGAATTTCGAAACGCCATTGAGAAATATTTGTTAGATAGAAAACCGATTGTTGTCAAAGAGTAACATCAGATATTTCGTAGAATATCATTCTTATCAGATCATTCATGTTTCCTAGAGTATGTACCGAAGAATTTTGAAAAACATTCTAGCTAAAGGCACACTTTCCACTGCGTTAGAATGTAAACAGGCGGGTCAACTAGATTCGGTTGTCAGTGCTCATACAGGGTGATGGGGGGTTTTGCAACTTCAGTCAGAGAACCCCTCGTCTTTTAGCCCTCAGTAACACTCACAAGGAGTGCCAAACTTGTAGGCAACACTCTAGCCCCTTAATTAACCATATTCTACGTTTAAAAAGTAGTTCTTACCTAGTGCGTGTTGGTAGACTTTTCAGGTTAGGGCAAACAAATAATAGCAGATTTGAACGCCTGACTGATTAAATTTAAAATTAACTGCCTTTAGCAACATTCCCACATGATAAGTATGAAAGATATATCCAGTTTAACACGATGGATAAGAAAATTATTGAATTGGCCTCCTTTAAGTTTAAAATTTGTTTCCTAGTACCTAACAATAATGCAGTCGCGGAGTGACTTCTACATCCTGTGCTATCTCACAATGCCTAGGAGAGTTTTTCATACATATTAACAGCCATAAATAATAATAGCAGCTAAATATTGAAAACACGTCCCTGGTCTGTGCTACCGTGTCTACTTATTGACTAGGTCACAAAGGCTCCATGACTTGAGAAGATAAAACATAAAACAGAAAGAGATGTAAAGTTTTTCCTCCTTCTTTTCCTTCTTGATTTATTGTATGAAGTTATTTTATTTTAAATTGAAGGACAACCAAGAAGTAGCGACCAGTTGCTGTTAAACTATCTCAATAGCAATGGACATGGCAGGATAGATGGAGAAGGAAAATTTTGTAAGTAACAAAACAATTTCATATTATTTTATTGTGGAAAATGAATATTTTGGTAGTTTCATAATATAACTAGACTTTTTATTTAAATGCCTGTAAACATTATGAAAACCTCAAATAAAATTGCTAATTATGAACTTGACATCTTCTTTTTTGTGCAAATAGTTGAAGAAAAAAGCCAAAATCAAAGCAACAAGAAAACTGTTCAATCTCAACCAGGTGTGTTTTTCTGTCATGTTCCTATTCCATATTTCTGTTGTTTATTGAATTCAGATATGACAAAAACAAACTAAGACAATCATACTGAAACAGTATTTTTGCTTTTTTTAAGATTGTAGCTGATCTTTGCAATGCATAGTCCTAAAATACATGACAACATTTAAATCATCAAGCAGTGAAAAAACCTTTCTAAGGGCTTTTTTGTAAATCAACCATTTATGAAGCCTTAAATTATCAAGCTTTGAAAGAAACGCAATCTTCAGAAAATGTGCAAAACAACAAGTTTTAGCTAGATCTCAGTTCTTTTTTTACATTTTATGGCGTATTTCTTGAACCCCAACATTTTTCAAAGTCTTTTTAACTTATCCCCTTAATTGCTTCTGTAATTGTTTGGAGTAGTTTTGTCATTTTTGACAAGCAATTGATTTGTCTCAGGTTCATCAATACTCAATACACTCAAAAGAACAAATTGCTAAATATTTAAATTTGCCACCAGCAGGTTTCCTGAAAGCAGATGTAAAGGAGAATGATTAACTTTTGTGGGATAAACTCTTGTTTCTGTACAATATAATATTTTTAAAGAAACTCTGTTGAAACTCCATAATTCTGAGATTTGATCAAGTATTCTTCTAACTCCCCTAATTATACAATGAAAGTGGTATGGATATTTCCTGCAATATATAAGATTTTGAATGACCAGCCTAAACTGAGGTTTCATTTGGAGCCATTAAAACTGCTTTAGAAGATGTGTTTTTCAAGGTACAGATGCTATTATGTGCCAATGCAGCAGCATAATCAATGCCAGACTAAACACTGTCTCAGATTAGGCAAAAGCAGGGAAAATGCAGACAGGGAAAAGCAAGTCACTATCCCAAAGAGCCATTTTGAAGAGTAAAGAATATCCTACATTTTTCTTGGCAAACAGCATAGGAAACCAATCAAACTTAGCAACAACAATTAAAATTAAATGTCCTAAAAACCATTTGAAATACAAATAAGAAAAATTATTGAATGCTTATTTGCTTATCTGAATGAATATTAGCTTGGATGATTGAAGAAATGATAATGATGTTTGCTTGGGTGTTTCTGCCCATGTTTAACCATTTGCATCAGTGTGGAAATGGGCATAAGTAATCTCCTGTGTCTCCAGGTAGGGGTTGATATCCAGTCTTTTTTGAGTTTCTTTGTGTATGAGTTAAAAAAAATGTCAGTAGAGATTAGTTTCATTTTCTGCATTTTAAGAAAACATTTTAGTCCCTGCATTCTGCATCTTTTCAAGAAAACATTTTAGTCCCTCCTCTGAGGAGTTCTTCATCTCCTCCAAAGCAATATTTATTGCCTGGTTTCTAAGAACTTCAAGAATTCATTGGATAAAACTACAACAAATTTTTTGTAAGAAAGAAATAATGTTTAAAGAAAAATGATGACATATTTTCTACTGCTTGAAAAAAGCAGATATCTAGGCTGTATGCCTGTTTAAGGAGAGCTTTTTATTTGTAGTTCATGAAGCCTTATTGAAATATTTTTATTATGGAATTTTTTATTTAATAGTTGCATCTGATTGTTATATCATTTCTTTTGTGACAGTTAAGCTCCCTCCTCCTGTCAAAGTACAAAATGACCGAAAGCCTGGACCACAGGAAGTACTGAACAGTGTCAAGAAACTGCGTAAGTGAACCATTTTACTATATATGCTCAACATACTTCCTTTCCTTTAGAATTTAAAACACTTTCTATACATAAGTGATTAAGGGAGAGCAGAAACATTGGTAGCGTTTAAATTTACTTGCAGAAGTGTAGCTGAAACTATTGTGCATTTCTTATTAAATAAACTCAAGTTTATAGTTAACCTTAATCCTACTAATTTATGGCAGTCAGTGGGCTTATCTACAAATTCTTATCTACTAAATTCTTCTTACAAATTCATTGTAATTCTCATCTACAAGATTCTTCAAAACTTCCAAGGGTATAACAGTAATGAAAAGCCTATCTTTTCATCCTTTTATTTGAAATTGTTAACCCTTCAAAGTTGCCAAAGAAATGTTTCTCAAAAACTGCTTCTTGTTTATTCTTAGAACAGAAGTAGAAAAGAAACACATCACATTGTGAAGCTTTAGAAAATGTTTTTATCTCCATACCAACTAGTCCTGTTCTAATGGTTGTTTGCATAATAGGTGCTGGTTGTGCAAAATTATTAAAAAAAATTAAGTCTTGTAGTTTTGCATATTTTAAATATAATGTTTTTGTTAAATTATGATCTAGCAAAGTGGTGCGACAGGGAAAATATTTACCACATCAGTTTTTTTAGTATTTTCAAGTTTATAATTTTGAAATTTTAAGATGAACTTGTGGTTGTCACTTTGATTGTTTTGTCAGCCTTACCATCTGTGTTATTTTTTCTTCAGCTTTCTTATAATCAAATTGAAAAGTATGAATTGCATTTACTTATGAGACCACATATTTAGAAAGGATAAAAGATTTTAACCAGTTTTAAAACCAGAATTGGTTCAGTTTAGGGCAATTACAATAAATGTGTGTTTGATAAAACTTTTGTGATGAATAAGACATAAATTTAAATGCATCATGAGACACCAAAAGCTGTGGTATGCATGCCTTGATGGTATGTGGTATTCGAGGTATTTTGCTAAAGCTGTCCATTGAAGTATTATTTTTGCTAAATATATTTGAGCATAAAGTGACCCAGTTCTTTGAAATCCAATTTTTCTTTTTCTGTAGCTTTTCTGGATGTTATGTCAGTGTTCAGATTCATGAAACCATCAGATGTGATGCTTATGGGCAGGCTAAGGTCTGAAAAATGTAAGTTATTGCTGTTTTGATAACACAGAATGATTTTGCTTGAGCAAAATTTAAACAGACCTTATTAAAACTTTCTTTCAGTGCAGTCAAATATACCATTTGATTTAGTTAAACATTTAATTGTAAAGCTAACGTTTTTTTGGAGATTTAAATTAGCAGTAATGGAGTCAATATTGGTATTTACTCCAGTAATTATTGTAAATCAAAGCTTATAGCCTTTCTGGTAATTAAAGGTCCTAAACATTCCTTTTAGGCTGTGATAAAATATTCCTTTTAGAAACCTGTTACACAAAAGAAAAATTTTCTGCTTCATGAAATTATTTCATTGAAAAGTTCCACAAACATTTTGCACAAAGTATTAATTTAAAATAATTGAATGTTTCAAATGAATTTTATCTCATGCTGTGATTACCCACAAAATAATTGATTTTTATCTTATCTTGTGTAGTTTAGCTTGAATCAGTGTTTTCTAAAATACCTGTATAAAAATGTGCAAAAATAAAACCTCTTTTTATCAAAGGGTTTTGGTTTCTGGGAATTATCACCCTGTCTGTTCAAATCAGCACCTAACAAAAATATAAAATATCATTGTTGGAAATAATTTTTGCATGTGTTTCTAGGATCTAAGTTAACAGAATTATAACAAAGTCCTTTCTTATATGTGGTTAACTTAGTAGTCTAATAAAATACCATAAATGTTGCAACAAAACTTATTTCCCTTATTTATACTTTGAATATATCAAAATAGAATTTTTAGTTCATCACTTCTTTGTGCAAAAGTAAAAAACTCTCATTTCAGAGGAAGGACTGTATCTTCTAACATGAGCTCACATTCAGATTTCACTGAGTACATAATTTTTGTAACTGTGAAATTTGTCTATCAACTCGGAAAATGCTCTGGGAACCTAATCCAAATGCACAGATGCTTTTACTGATTTGGAATGCAATCAGTGATCTGAATTTTCGTTGCTCCTTGCCATTCGCCACTTTCAGTGACCCTCAGTATTATTATATATATACAAGATAATTTAGCTTTAATTGGCAGTACGTTCGCAGCTTTAAGGATCAATGAGTTTGTTGATCTTATGCTCTTTTTTCAGCTTATCTAGTTATTGGGGTACCCACAGTCCATCGAAAAAAGGCGTTCTACGTTATAGACACAGTGCAGGGTCTCGTTAGCGGTTTATCAAAGAATGAGCAGTCTGAAGTTGTTATTGTTGTTTTCGTCGCCGATTTCGATACAGCTTTTCGAAATCGTGTCAAGGAAGAAATGAGCCAGAGGTTCCCGGAGGAAGTACAAAATGGCCTAATACAGATCATCGTGGCACCACCTGCCTATTACCCGTCATTTAATAATTTGCCCCTGCTTTTTGGGGACTCGGCGTCTAGAGTCGCCTGGCGATCCAAACAGTCTCTGGACTATTCTTTTCTGTATTTTCATTGTGCAGATATAGGCCGTTATTTTCTCCAGTTAGAAGATGACGTACTAACAGAGGATGGCTACTTGCGTCACATAAAAAGCTTTATAAATTCCCGCACCGCTCCTTGGTCGACCCTAGAGTTTGGAGCACGTGGTTTTATTGGTATGATGTACGACGCCAAGAACTTAAAGTCCCTTGCCAAGTACACTCGCATGAATTTCTTTTTGATGCCGGTCGATTGGCTTTTTCGTGTCTACAACGATATATGGCTATATGGAAATGAAAGGGGGAACATTAGAAAGCCGCCCCTCTTCAAACACATTGGAACGTTTTCATCCTTAGACGGACAGGTCAGAAAACTTGAAGACATTAAAGGTGGTGCTGTACTTGTGTCAAGCCCTAGGATCTACAAAGATGCTGACAACCCGGCCGCAAATTTGGAGACAAGTATAACCGATTTTGTACCGAACTACCCAATTCAGAAGGCATACGCTAAAGGCAACTTCTGGGGAAAGAAAGTGTCCGTTGGCGATTACGTTACTCTGACATTCCAGTCTCCTATAACTTTGAAACGATTTGTTATTGTGAGTGGCAGTCCGACATACCCTTCAGATTGTTTAGAGAGTGGCGAAGTTTTCGTGTCTTCCGCACCCAATGGCGTTTGCGATGTATATCGGACAGTTTTGAAGTTTGTAGGCAAATCTGTTGTGGACACTGGCAATTTGGACCTTGGACACCCAATTAAATGCCTAAAACTCATTTTAGATTCTGTTAGACATGATGATCATGGTAGGCCTAGATGGCTAGTTATAAGGGAGATAGATGTATGGTCGAAGTAATAATAAATTCCTTAGAACTGATTTTCTAATTATACATTTCCAGTTGCTATAAACATATCCCAATTTACTCTCATAGTCATTGATAATCTTTAAACATTTGGACCCTGTTTGGTAATAGCTGACATTGGCTACTGAGGTGTCAAATGAATTTTTATATCTTTGCTTATTGAATATTCTATGTTACTTGATATGTCCTGCATAAAATATGCACGCAGATAACAGTTGTCGTTGTATCAAGTAGTCAGTTGGGGCTTAAAGTTATATTTATATCTTATCAGTAAATTGACTTCGTAACAGCACCCTAAGCTTACTCTGAATAGGAAATCTATCTACCCTTTCCTATTAAGTGTACTGCTATTAGCAGGTGACATTTGGCCCCTTTTTATCAGCTTGACCTGAGTGAAAATACGTTACTTTTCCACCTATTTTGGTTTTCGCTTCTATCAGATGTGCCTAATGCCCGTCTAAGAAATAGGTTAGGAGAATAATTTTGCATAGAAAGCCTCACAGATTGCTTGAAAAACTATTAGGTTGCCCGAGTACATCGGAGGGACAATAATGCCACAGATGTTTATCATTCTGTCCATAGAAGTGATTTTCGTTTCTTGCTGTTATTTGTAGCAATAATTATGCTTCATGTTTTGATAAAAATTTCACTAAGAATAATTTTATTTATCAAGCACGTATTGTATTAACTTTCATCAAAAGTATTAATAATAATAATTGTTGTGGCCTTTGTGGGTTATAAGTAACATGTGGGGCAGTTTCTACTAAGTGCATCGAGTCTGCAGCTAACTTGTTGCTCACAAAGTACACTCTTGATAGTTTTTTTTGTTGATGAATCGCTCATTCTTCGACCCATTTTTTATATAAGAAAAATGCTATAAAAATGATTACAGTGCATTCCTATGAAAATAAGAAACTTTAGTACTCAAAGCAAAATTAAGAAACAAAAGAAATTTAAGACACAGATAACGGATATTTTTCCAAAATTCAACAAATTCTTTACAGCTCATTTCATTTCGCCTTATGTCTTTATCTTCCGTTGTGAGATAAAATGTTGAAATATGACATTAAACTTTTTCCCAGCATGAAAAATTGCATACAGAATCCCACAGGTTAAAATTAGTGACATGAAAATTAAGAAGCTCGTATGAAACAATGAGGTGTGAGCATTAAGAAACTGACACAATGCGTACCTTTATTCTTATAAGGATGAGTGTATTACTGTAAAATTGCCTACTGAAAAAATTGTGAGGCCATAGGGTTTGAGTATAAAGGAGGCTGTGTTGAGCATTCAAAGTCTATAGAAAGCAGCTTTCTGGTCAATGAAATTGAAAATTTGCTGAATGCTATTGCAAGATTATATGTCTTTTGGCAAGTGACTGATGCAAGAATACTGTTATGCTCAATGGAAAATGGAAAAATCATATAAAATCGTAGACCAGTTATAATCACTGCCATTTTATCTTTAACTTGGCAGCAACAATGATTCTAAAACCCTTTCAAGAAATTGCCTCGGAAGGGTAATTGAAGTTTGTGACGTAACAGTAGCTTAGAAAGCTTAGACAGACCCACGTGTAATGTTTTTGAGGCAATGTTATTTAATTGTTTAAAGCGGAATTCTCGTTGTTTGTAGTGATCATAATTCTGTCTTAAAGAGTGATTACTAATTGGATTTTAAAGATTTTTCTTCGAATACAAGCACAGTAATTATGATCACGCTCTTGTTTTCTTCATACTGCTCTACCATTTAGTTTATCCATTTGATGTTATTTTGCTTGTTATCCGTGTATGCCTAATTCTTGAGAGAGAGAGAGAGAGAGAGAGAGAGAGAGAGAGAGAGAGAGAGAGAGAGAGAGAGAGAGAGAGAGAGAGAGAGAGAGAGAGAGAGAGAGAGAGAGAGAGAGAGAGAGAGAGAGAGAGAGAGATTAGAATTCGTGCAGAACGATATGGTGCATTTTTAGGAAGACACCCAATCCCCACCCCCCGGCTTAATACAGTTTTTTCAAACACTGCTCGCTGTTCTTGTTTATTTCGATTACGTTGGAAAATGCATTCCAAATATTGGAATGATTTGATCCCAAGGTCATTTAACAGTATGCTTTTTGGTTCTATCCGTAAAAATTGCGAGAGTGTTTGTTATATAATACTTCAGTTGTGACTTTCGTGATGTAAAATATTGATGTAAACTTGATTGTGGCTTATGTCAAAGATTTTAAGGGCCAATAGGCGTATAGGTCAAATGTGAAGGATACTTTTGGAAGGCTGCAAAACTTAGTCCTTGTATTAGAATTGTAATCTGAATATGAGAATGTCTCCTTTGCTGCACAGCATTTAGAGACACTTGATAAAGAAGTAATGATTCTTCCTCATTTATAACCAAGATATTGCTAGTTTTGCTAGATTCACGTTTTGTCTGCTAGTTATGCCCTTTCTGCTAGTTTTCCCCGCATAAAAGGAAAATGGACAGATAGAAACTAGACAGGCTGATTTTTTCCAATTTCTTATAAATTAGACAAAATTGAAAACAAATAAATCAAAGTAAAGATAAAGAACTTGTCTTTTCTTCTTTGAGAATTCCACTAGTATTAGTTACAGTGCACGATTCGTATGTGCTTCCGGGGCCCTTTCTATGAAATACCACATGGGTCTTTCCTTGGGCTATTCCTTTTTACTGTTTGTATCTCAACAACTATTTGGACAAGAAATCCCACTCATTGTACATTCCACGTTGACGCCAAAGGTTATGTTGATTATACCTTTTTGATTGATTTGTTCATCCTTCCTTTGATGTATGGGTGTTGCTTTTGTGCAAACTACTAATCTTTTCCACAGGTTTCCGATGAAGCTCTTCCTATGGACTTACTTACTGACCGTTGTCTCACAGACATACCGGAATATTTCCCAATTCCCTTTGCATTTAGTTTCTTAAAAATTTATATTCGAAAGGCATCACATCGTGCAAAAGTAAATTATTATAGAATGCCTTAATATGTTTCGTAGATATCACAAAGTATTTCCTTCATCCTAGTTTCGATTCAAATTGCTTCCTGAAGGCTTAGTGTTTTTCCTTCTTGGAAAGACACCTTCCTGATAATAAATGCCATTTTCTCTAACATGTCAAGTACTTGTATGAACAAATAATTTTTGAAATTTTCAACACTTCTTTGGAATTAATGCCAAGCAAAACAATATCTTTCAATCCTCACAATGCTATGGATGACGAGATTTATAAAAGATGCCATCAAAGGAGAATAATCTTTATTTGGTCAAGTATTGTCAACCATAGGAAAAAGTAGAGAGTATAACCAACATTGTGCTTCGCCGTTCAAAATCAACAGAGATTGTCAAGGAAGTTGGCAATAGCCAGGACCGCCGACAGAAGAGGGGGGGGGGTAATCGGTGCCCAGGCCCATTTTGGGGCCTTTAATAATGGAATACATATCAACTTTCATATTCTGGAATCTATATTCGATGTCAAGCAACAGGCCTGCATGCATTGGTTGCCCGGGGCCCGGTATAGATTCCATAGACTCTCTGCTAATAAACTAAGTATTTAGATGTCTGTTTTTCTCAGCTGTGCTGCAATTTTGATCATGATTATTCTGATATTACAATGTTGGAGCATGCTTGGTGATACTTCAATTGTTATTATGGAGCTAGAGTCTGCTAAGTAAATAAAAGGAAGCCAAACGTACAATCAATAATGTTTCATCAAAGAACTAATGATTTCATTTCAAAATGCAGGTACAAAATTAATTACGATCTGCCATCTATGAAAAATCAAAATGTGCCTGAGCAGGCTTATGCTATGGTTATAAGGAAAGTCTTAGATCCTTTTGTGAAATCCAACGATTGCTTTGCAGTTTGGACATGTGTGTATTATGTCTTTGAATCGGTTGCAGCAGAAAGGAATAAAGCAGCAGCCAAGCCAAAGCCTAGAAAAAAGTTAGATGTCAGTATTTGTGAAATTCAATTTATGATTTTAATTTTGTTCTGGATTTTTAAAGATACCATTTCTGTACGTTTTTTCTTTTGCTCATCGCGAAACGCTGAGAAAGGAGTTTAATTTGACCAAATTAAATTGAAACATTTCAAAATGATAAAATCAACAGAAGGGTAAACAAACGGTGAAGACAGTAGCGTAGCGAGAGGGGGAGGGGCAAGGGGGGCGGCCACCGTAAAAAGGATTCTGAAATGTATTTTGAGCTAATCTAAAGGGCGTGGTCGCAAAAATTTTCGACGTTTCTGGGACCCTCGTTTGTTACTCTACAGAAAGTTTTACAATTTCCCCTCGATTTAGGTTTTAAATACTAAAGGTTTTGAATCCTTCACGTTTCTTAGACATTCTCGATATAAAAGAAATTAAAATGCTATAGCGCTTCAATACTTGAATGTTTGTCGGGGATTTTGTAGATTTTTTTTCTGGTATTAACTTTAGGCTTTATGTTCAGAACTTTCCCCCTGATTACTAGATGTACTCATCCTATAAGAGCCTAAACAGACTGAGGTTAAACTCTGGTTCTTTCGTTTGGCTCTTGCTGACTACTTACCCAGCAAGGCACATTCCTCCAGCCATGAGGTAGGTCATAGTACCATTCTTATAGCTCACTTCTGTTATCACATTGGCTTTGCAGTTTGTACAGGTAATGTTTGCAGGGAATGGGGTATTCACTTGCTGTTGTTGCACAGCTGTTACCATTACAGTCGTTGTTGTTGCAGCCGTTCCCGGAGGTGCTGTATACTGGGGAGGTGGGTCTATGGCAAAATTGAGAAAAATAAACGCATGAAAATCGCAAAAAAGAAGATTTAGTTTCAAGGGTATAGTGCTAGGAAGCTTAAGGAGGCTGGGAGGCTAAGCATTATTCTAGACGGTGAAATGTGACCGATTTTTACCTTAATATCTAACAGTCCACCCCTCGTTATTTATGCTGGGGGAAAAGCAGGAACTGGGAACTAATTTCCTTGATTCACATTTAAAAATATCAACTAGCTAGGCCTATGTAAACCACTCGTCACAAAGTCATCAAAGGCTTATTTGGTTATTATTGGTTATATTATCTGGAATACGTTTTTTAACGTAAACCTGTGAAATGGACGTTTGAAATGGTGCGATGCTCCGCAGAATTTAATTTAAGAAGAAAGACAATTTCTGCTAGGCTACTCTTCCTATTTCCATTATCTAGCATTCGAAGGCTAACATACAGAACGACGGTTCTTCGCAAACTCCATCACAAAATACATTCTTATAACGAGGCACAGTGCAGTCCTTCTCAAGAATTGCCTGTCCTAAAAGTGCCTAAAATCGAAAACTAGTACACTTAGGCTGCAAGAGCTTTCGCAAGCCACTTTGGCGAAATGATGAGCTTTCTACAAGTGTTTAGCTGAACATGTCTGATCTCTCCGAAGCTCTCTCCGAATCCCTCTGAATGTCCTCTTAATAGCAAAATAGAGGCATTTCATTTGTAAAATTCCTGTTTCCTACTTTTCCTGAAATATTGCCTTTTCTATATAGGCACCATCATTCAAGAACACATGACGTCATAATCCACCCAGACATGTTTCTAATCATCAAAGCAGATTTATAACTGAGGCAGTTTTCTTCCGCGTAAATTTATTCCGCATAGCTTTTTGCCGCATAAACTTTTCCGCTTATATTCTTCCGGCGAAATAAAAATAATAGGTATAACCGTTCTCTAATGGAAGTTGCTTTGCCTTGCCTCAAGCATTTCTGTTACTTGATTATAAAAGGGTGTTGGTGATGAGTGAATTCGTTGTTTTGATTTAATTTACGAAGAAAGAAATTTCTGGGGTGGTCAACAGACTCGGAATCATTGCCCTCTGCCCCAAGAACCGCAAAGGTCCCTGGAGAGGCGTGTAAAAGAAAATCAGTTGCTCTTTTGAAACATAAAGCAAATTCTTCAACACAAGCAACACAAACAAAACAACAAAGCACAGACAGACATTCATAATCCATTCAGCATTCATAAGCTTCGGTTTCAGAAGCGATCTCCCAGTCCGTCGTGCGTGGACAGTTGCACGTGAATTGAACAACTTCCAAATAAAGAGAAAGGGTAGAGAATCTATAAACAAGGAATTAACTTCTGAAAATACAGTAAAATAATCGAAGTGATTCATGAAGTTTTAGAAGATATATTCTCATAAAATTTTACAAAACAGACAAACTACAAGACGATGCCACAAAGAGCATGGAAATACATAGCAACTCTGTGACCATTAAATGAAACATGTTTACTTGAAATTAGAATTACATTAAAGGTAATGTGTCCATATAAAGGACTGTGTATACCCAACTTGTCAAGCCACCCATCAAAATAACGGCTTACGATTGGTTAGTATTCTCGCGCGATGCAAAACTGTAATGCTATAATGTTGATAACATCTTCATGTTACTCAGCCATTTTACTTCCTATGTTTGTTTGGGTAAATCTAAAGGAATCAAGGATAAGACAGACATATCACTAGCCAAAGTTTCCTAGGATACAAACTAGCCAAGTTTGAAATTTTCAACTAACCTTGATACCCTTGAGCTATCGCTTGTTTCTCTGTCATAGCCATACCTGCTTCGCCAAACTTTTACTGACTTTCACTTTTGGTCAGCTTGTTTATTTGTTTGATTTAGACACGTGATTCTGTTGTATTTTGCGGACCACAAATGATCGTCACGGTGAAGGAGGACAACAAAGATCCAAAGATGGGTCGGCTCTAGATCATAGCAAGATGTACACAGGTACATAACGTCATACAAACTATGGAAACCTAATGCATGCGTGGTAATATGACGTCTTCGCATTCCAACCTTTTGATGAAAGATTTATTGCAAACGGCATGAAAATGAGGTTCAATACCTATGTCAACAGTCAATACGAAAACTGGCACAATGTTTCTGGAAAAGGCTTTTAGGCTTGATTACAGCAAAATTTGTCGGGGGAACTCTTTAAAAGGCTTGATAATGATTTAAGACTACTTTCAAGTTAGGGGTCTGGGACACAGGCTAGGCATTTGTGGCTTCTATATAAACAAACCAAGTGCTGTTATCTTTTGTCCTTGTTTCTTATGCTGGTGGCCGCTGCTACGTTTAAATTGAAACAACAAACTGAGTTATGTTTGTGGTATCATTTGCGAAATTTTCTTCTCTGCATAGTTTCATACAATCACCATCATACTCTCAGAAAATTTGGTTTTTTAATCTGATATTTTTTTATTTGGGCTTATGGATGGAGATACTTTTCTTGCATATTTTGTGCTGTGTTGGAAAGGGAATAATTTTTTTGGAGCATGTTTTAAGTGAAATGCTGCTACGTTTGAATTCTACTATGTTTCTATATTTTCAGCAAAAGATTAAGTTTTATGTGTTAAAGCGAAGGACTGCTGCAAGCAGAAAAAGCAATGCACACTACTGGTGCGACTGAAAGTTAGTCTTGTTCCCTTTGTCAGTCCGTGTTATAGGTATGTTTCTTGGACCTTCTGGTCTTTGACTGTTGACATATGATCCGCGAATTGTTAGCCTACAACACAGAATAGAAAATACATGCAAACCCAGCGGAGGAGAAAACTGGGGCATTAGACGATTTTATTTAGGGGGGGGGGAGCAGTCCATTGGGAATCTGCCCGTGGATTATTGTGAGACTTGAGTACCGGAGCAAGTACCCTGGGTACCAGACTCACTATATAAAATAATAGAGAGTCTGGTCTAGTGCGCCCCATTCTCGTTCTGGTGAACTTACTTGAAAGAACTGAAGTCTATTTAACAGACTAGGCCTGTGAAACAAGACTGTCAGATAAATAACAAAGAAACTCAGTAGTCAGAGGAGTTTTGGGAAATCTTAAAGCAAATGTGTTTTATTTAGTTCTTTAAAGTCGACCTTTTTGATACAGTGGTAATAGACTTTTCTGCCTCAAGATAACAATCAAATCAGGTTTAAAACGCCCTTTGGCAGCAAAAACATGTGCGAAGCATGAAATTGAAGTTAGCACAATGCAGTTATTAAATGTTAATCATTATCAAATTTCGTATACAACTTAAAATAAGTCTTTTGTAATTTTCCTCATAAATTGTGTGTACTTTGAACGTCTACTTCCTCACTGAGAAGGCAGCGCGCTTGGACACCGCGGCGGTTAGAATCATCACGTTGGAAGGTCACCACAGCAAATATGGCCAATATGACAAGCGAAGCCCCGTATGCCAGGCGAAATATTAGCTATAACTGATTAACTGTGTTTGTTGTTGTTTGTTCTCGGCGCATTGCGGTGTTTCTTATCTACTACATTTCACTACAAGGCCTAATTTCTTGCAACGAGAGGCACAGCCTGAAATATCAGAGACTTTCCAAAGCCAGTTGGCAATATGGCGAAGGTGTCTCTTCTCTTTACAAAAAAGGCTTTCAATGCTGTTCTGTGTTCAGTTCCACAACATGCGGAAAATATTCTTTGAGTACAGTTTTAACAGCATCTTCAAACTCAATCGTTAAGGTCGCTAGCATTTATTTATGTTCTGTTCAATGTTTTACACCAGAGCTAAGTTTATTGTTTCGCTGTGACCTTTGAACGTACAGAGATCTGTACATTCGCTCCTGATTGGTTAATATCAGCACACCAGAACGAGAATGGGGCGCACTAGACCAGACTCTCTATTTTATTTCATATAAAGTGAGTCTGGTACCCAGGGTACGGAGCAAGTCCCTTCAGGCGGTACTTCAATGGCTATGCTGCAAATTCTGGCACAGGTTTCTGCACCGGTACGGTACCTAAAGGCAGTGGTGGCGCTAGAAATTCTCCGACAGAGGGGCTTGACCTTCCGACAGGGGGTTCTCGGCAATCGGAGTGAAAACATGGAATCCCAGTTGAAAATGACGCACAAACATTGAGATTACGACAAGATATGAATTCAACAAACAAGAAAGAGCAGATCTTTAGAGCGGGATTAGTATTTTTTGTGGGGACTCGCTTTTTTAAGAAAATGTCTCTAAAATAAAACAGACATATTAAGAAAGCTCTTTGTAGATCTTTTTCCGTGATTTTTTGATATTCCCAACGCTCTAAATTTTTCTGGGTAAGGAAAAAGGCTTCATTTAATCATTAAACAGAATAGGGATCAATTTTACTTAGGTAGGTTAGGTCTTTGCTAGCTTGCAGATGCTCGTGTCGCAAAAAACAAGCACACGAAAGTTATTACCTGAGGTGGGGAACTTTTTGAATTTTGATGATTCCACTTCGCTGGAAAATGTCTCATTGAAGCAATATTTTCTACCTTTACCATGAAGCCCTTAGGCACTGGGGGCAGGGGGCAATGCCCCCCCCAATAATTTGCGAAATTGGTGTTTGAAGATCATATAAGCGCAGCTTGATCTGACAGTATAACGTAAGGCAGATATAGAAAAATCTATATTTCTATCCATGCCCCACTCCCCGAATCCAGTTTAGCTGTCTACGGGCCTGAGGCGGAACACTATTCTCGTCATTCGCGCACCCAACCCTGAAACATTGTAATTTAGTTCTCACCGGCTTCGGTTCACCGGCTTAGTGGAGTTTAGTTCTCACCGGCTTCGGTTTGCCATTTACGTTAAATTATTGACGTGCCAAGAAGAGAAGAGGATCAAATCGAAATGAAAATAAAAACAATCAAATATACCATCGACTATCATGGATTCTTTAATTGATGCAACCGCCAAGTTTGCCGAGTAAACACCGAAAATGCCGAGTCTGCTGAGTTAAGAAAAGATTCAGAACTCCTGGGGAGGGTAGGAGGAGGGGGGGGGGTGGTGTCACCAATGTTTCCCAAAGTGCTGGTTATTAGATCTCCAATGTTTTTATGTCTTTTTAATGCTAGTATAGGGGGCTGTTTTCATACTTGTTCAGTATTTTATTTTTTAAAATTATGTCCCAGTGATCTATAAGAATTTTACTTATATTGATAATCCGATTGCCGTTTGGTATGCCGAAAAAGAGGGTGAGTTTCCCGAAATGGTGTTAAATTACTTGGAAGCTACCTGTTTGAACATTTATACTCAGTGGGATTTCCGCAATCGTAACCATTTCTCCTTCTTTTTCTTCAAAACTTTACAAACGGTAGCAAAATCTTGCTCCGACAAAATTATAAATTTACTTCGTTTATCTTCCGACCGGTGAGCTAAGCAGCTCTGACGGGGAGGCTGTAGCCCCCCTGCCCCCCTCTGGCGCCACCACTGCCCAAAGAGACGCAGTTGGAATTATTTTTTTGGGAAGGGCGCTAGTCGCTAGAGATAAATGTTTCTTCAAACCCTGACTAAGAGCGAAGTTTTTTAACAAATTTGGCGCTTTAGGGACCGTCGCAGCAGGGTGTTGAGGCTGCTTAGCCTCCCAAAATTTCAAAAATACACCCAAAACTATACAAATAATCTCCTTACTCTTGGTCCTTGAAGTCCTATGATTAAGAGAAGGCTATTGGGCGATTGATTACTCATTCTTGGAGAGGCTGTGAAAAATATTCATACCTCAGTCCCGCAGATTATTCAGACTATTACAAAATTGCTTCACAAAAGTTCAGGACTCTGAAGAGTTTATTGTAAAAACAATGCCAGCTTTTTAAATGCTGGAAGGCATGGAAAACAATATATATATTTTGCAGGGACAGCTTTATTTGCACTTCTTCCCAATCACACATTTATGTGGCAGGCCGCTGGTAGCATTTGTGGACCGGGTCGCAGGCTACCAATTACAAGGTTCGGTCCGTATTCGAACATGGGATAATCATAATCATGAATAATCACGATTACACGTAAAACAATTAATCTTTAATTAACAGTAAACATGAAATAGGACTGATAATTAGTATCGCAAAAATCTAATGAAATGAAATGATTTTCATTGCTTGAGAAGTCTCCTTAGCAATGGTGTGTCAGCGAATTACTTATCTGATTATCAGCTGATTACTTGTCATAATTAAGGATCTCACTTAAATCATGCTCTCTATATTTATTACCATTCTTGAGCTTCAAAAAGGTGCACGCACATTTGTTAGTATCAACTTGCAAGCTTGCAATTATTGTGTACAAATTTATAGAAATTGATAGGCAGAATGTAAACACACACATGTCTTGGAAATCTCCTTCTAATGTGGATTAGTTCCTTCGAACTTTCATCCTTTTTATAAAAGACCAACATTCTTCAGATGACCATATACGAAGTTTCCAGGAAATTCCCAAACGGGCGATACCAAGGAACCCCTGCCCCCTGTTTATCCCAACAACGACGCCCCGCAGAAACTCCAATAGGGCACTCGGTAAAATCCCCCACTTCGCCGAGATGAGTACCCCTACACCGTCACGCAAACACTCGTTCCAGGTTTTTTACGTCAATGATAGGGGCTATCGAGAAGCCTCGTTTTGAAATTTGGCCTTCTCTTTGCAAAATTCAGCGAACCTGTACATGCTTTGGTTCTCAAAAGGCAAATTATTTTGCCTTGCATCACCGTTTAAGAGGATTTTGCAGCCTGCCAAAAGTCCTACAAGACCTTTAAAATCAGCAGGACTCCGGAAAGGTATTGAATTAAATTGCCGGACTTTCAGCAACATGGCAGACATCATGAAAGTTACGGCGGACAAGAAGGATCCTCCTTTTGGTAAGGTTTACGGTGATCACATGGCCTATATTGCATCAGTGAAATTCATTCAATGAACCATTGTGTTTTTACCTATATGTCGTTTAAAAAGAGTCATTTATTTCTCATACAGTTAGTTTTTCCATGAAGCTGAGTTTTTTGAGCTTCTTTTAGGGTACTATCATCATGTCTCATGCCGTACTTTTTCGTCCAGAATGGGGCAAAACCCCACCACCCTTTGAAATTCAGTGTTTTGTGGTTAAAAGCTATTAAATTTTTTATTGCAAACAGAATATTTCACGAATTCATCCCTAACCTGTTTTGAATTGTGTAGCGTGTATAGTATTGGCTTGCAATAACGAAAAAGCAGAAAAACATTCAGGCCTAAGCACATAAAATATCCAGCCAGGGTGTAACATAACATATCATTAACACATCATAATTTATATTGGCATAGGATGCTTGCCAACTTATTGTGATTAAAATTCCAATTATCCTACTGATTTGCTTGTAAGAACTTCAAAATAAAGACTTTGCATTAACATTTTTTCTCCATTATTTTCATTCTCTAAAATTGCTTTTTAAAGCTTTAGTTCATTTTTCATTTTAAATTCTTTATACACGAAAATCCATTTAGCTTACAACTAAATACCAAATAAGAAAATAAATACCCTAGTTTCATTAATATGATTTATGTTAGTTAAAGCTAAATTATGCACAGTAATCTATCTTATAGCAGCTGCTCTTCCAGGGAATTGTGTTTTGTGTAGTGTTCAGCTTGTACAATAACTGTTCAATTGCTTTTTGCACTAACTAAGTGTAGAGAGCTCTCTGACGTTGTAACCAGGATGTCTGGTTTGTGTACAAAATTTAGTTCAGATCTGAAGAGTCTGACTCATTTTCATGATTTCAAGCATCCAAGAGGTGTAATAATAGAAATGTTGATAGAAATTATGGAACTGGTAAGGTCAGAACAATAGATCTCACACTTTTGGCACCATGAACTTGATAGGTATCAGCACCCCTTAAACTCAAGACCAGGAAAACATTAATCTGTTCCAACATGGCTACAGACTTGTCAACTTTCAGTTGGAAGCAACATTAATTTTTTGAAATCTTTCATTAACTTGGGTTATTTCACCAAAGTCAGATATTTTGTGTAAGCGTGGAGCTGTAACTGAGTAAGTTGCCATTTGTAACATACATCAAATAAAAATTTAGAGAAAAACATCTCAAGAATGTAAGGTGTTAGAGAAAATATTTACTTTTTTGCTATTTCTTTTTTAAGAGCTCTGCCAAACAGACAACAGAGTTTATATTGAGGTTAACATTAGAGAATTACAAGGAATTACATTCTCCATTTTGCATTGTAAAAATATGTTCTGCATGCCAATAATGTTTTAGGATATCAAATTGTGTAAATGGACATTTAAAACTATAGGCCTTTGGAGGGAGGGGGGTGAATCTACCTTGTTGTCTCCTTTGCTGACTCTCATGACTCCATTATTAGAAAAGATCACTGTATTCCAGCAGAACACATTGTAAAAGGGAGTTATATAAAATAAAGCTTATCATCTTGAAACTCTCACGGCAAAGCACTTTTGAAAATATTATGATTACATATAACCACCAGAGACAATTTATTGTCAGCAGTGAGTTTACTAAGTATATTTCTTTGTGCTGTAAAATGTTCACATTCTTTCATGTACATATAATCACAAAACTTGATAATTCCATTGGGCTTATTGTTGCAAAGAAATTAATTTCTTATGTACTTAATGTTGTTTTAACATTTAATTGAGGCAATGAATTTTCCAATTTTTAATTTGCAGCTGCTATTTTGACTGTGGAATATTTAAATGGTACTTCAAAGAAGACAGAGGTTCACTGGGGTGAACACACATACATTGATTTACCTGGGTAAATTTTTAACTTTCAATATCAGAATTATATTTGTTGATAAATATTATATGTGTAAAGACTGGAAGTTGTAGAGACAGCTTGATTTTTCTTAATGGTGCTTATAAAGATGATATTAAAACCTTCTTCTGTTTACAAGTAATAGACATTGATTCTGTTAAAAAGTTTTTTCATGATGAAAGCCTTTGTAGAAAGAGTTTTCACAGGCCTGGCTGTTTGTATTTTCATAGATGAGCTGTGAATTGCTCCCCTCATTTGCTGAGGTGAGCTAAATCAGTAACACATAGAATGTACTTTAAAGACAATCAACAGATGACTTAATAAGCCCTTTTAGTATCTGTCGGTTGCCTTTAATAGCCTCAGTCAGGAGTATGCTGTTTTACTTCTTTCAATTTGTATTTGCTTTAACCGTGACTTAGGTACCCCCTTTACTTGAAGTATTTAAAAGAACAGACTCTTTCAGTTTTATGTAAAGCTGGCACAACGCAGAAACAATAATTCTCTTGCAAAACAATCTTTTTGTTGCACAGAATTTGAAAATGGCTTTGAAAAACAAATTTTGAAACAAACTAAAGTTATACGTCTAGCACTCTTCAGAGAATAAAACGTCAGAACATAGATAGAAATACCCAGTTTTGGTTCGAAATAGGCCAATCAGAAAACGCGAGCACATGACTGTTGAGGTTGTCCAATCAGTGCCGCTTTCCTATTGAAAATGTTACCAACAGAGTCCTAAGGTGAAAACGAACTCACTTATGTCTACACAAAAGTAGTCAGTCATGTTTATATAGTAGATATGTTCACAAACTGCTAGATGGAACAATGATCAGGCTTTGCCAATAATGCGAAACATGTTGCTGTTATAGTTTTTCATCCAATCTGGGTTTTTCAGTAAATGCTGCTGGATAGTGGAATTCCACGTTTTGGTTGTCATTTTTGATCTGCAAGACAGAGTACCTTGTTCTCTTTGAGGGATAGTTTTATTTCTATTGCTAGAAGGGACCTGCTGTCTTATTATATCCCCAATCTACAATTCCTACCAATTTCTTTGACTTTCCTTCTAAAAATATTCCTGTTTTCTTAAGATTGAAAGGTTCTAATCACTACAAATGTTTGACTATCTTTTTCCAAATAGATCGAAGTTTATGCCTATCATAAAAAAACTGCCCAACAAGCAAAAAGTTAATTGCAAAAATGCAATGATGGGAGAAATTGCTGTTACAAAAATAAACCAATTTACCCTTGTACATTTTCAGGGTTTTCTGAATAAGAAAAGGGCAAGTTTTTTCACATGTCAATCATGTGGATGGTCTGCTGGGCATATGTTTTGTTGCTATCATTTGTTCATACAACTTGTAAGTTGTAGCTCATTTTAAATGTGTAGCTATTATTGTTTCACAAAATTTCCAACAGTTATACTCAAAGGTCAACAATTTACTCTCAACTTTGATATCACCATAAGCAAAAAGGCAGATAAATGAAAAAGTTTCTGCTTGCTCTTTTCATGTTGTTCCTTATAAGAAACACAATTCTTTTCAGGTATGAGATAAATGATTAGTTTAGTAATTAGTACTTATGTGATGTTTTTCATACAGTATTGCATGCTTCAAGTAACAAAATGATTTTTTGTCAACTGCAGCATGATTTGTAAGAAGTCTGCTTGAGTTTATTACCATTGGTGCTTGCTTTTATGTCATTATCAGTCACATAAAGGTACACAATTGCAGCCTAGTGATGCTCTCCTTTGCAAGTTTGTGCTATTCTCAAGTAAGCTTTGATTCTGTCTTATCTGCAGATCAACCTGTTTGAATGGAGATATGGCTGTCACTCGATATCTTGCAAGAAAGTTCTCTAAGTCAGGATTATATGGGAAGACCATTCTTGAGGCAACAGAGGTAAGCAAAACATTTTGTTTACCTTGTATGGAGAGTTATGTCTGTGCTGTTTGTAATTGTTTTAAAATTTGTTCTGCTTCTTCCTTGGAGTTTAATCATACAATTAACATGCATCGAAATAAGAGGTGTTTATTTGTACTTTCTAAGGCATCTTGTTTCCCTCTCTTTGAGGATCATTTTGCCTTTTTTACTTTTGCTGAATACTTGTTTTCTGATATTTTACTTGCCTTTATGTGTTATTGTGTAACATACATTTAGATAAAGCAATACCCTGGTTGTGCATTTATGACTGATCAATGTTTGAGACAACAGGAAACAAGACTATTGTGAAACCTGTAGAAAATTAGCTTACAGATTGAATAACTGGAGTCACAACCAGCAACTGAGACTAATTCAAAAAAGTATGAAATTATTGAAAATTTCTTATTTGATATGTATGCAGTGTGTGCTGTTCTCTGATGCTATTAAGTCTAATCATTACTTAATAACTTAATATACATTGTACATATTTGTTATCAAAAGGTTTCTCATTGAAACATTATGAAGTAGGCCCTTAGCTGTACTAGCCACCTGTATTTGTGATGTCAGATAGTCCAATGAAGCATTGAAAATATTTGTTTAAAGTTATTTGCATTGATAAAGGTACTCATTTTACAACTGCATATTTCCTGTTTTTTTGACAGATTGACCATTGGCTTGACTTCAGCTCAGCAAACTTGAAAAATTCAAACAGTGTCTGGACAGCTGTACAGTATCTTGACAGTGTTCTTGCTCCTAGTACCTACCTAGTGGGGCACACCTTCACTATTGCAGATTTTGCAGTTTGGGGGTCTTTACAGGGTAAGGTGAACTTGATGGCAGATCAGTATATCCTATATGATCCAGCAAGATCAAATATGTCAACTGAGTTGGTTTATCAAATGCAAACTCTATAAAAAATGTAAAATGACAAATATAAATAACTAGATTATGTTTAGTGAAAAAACTGATCAATACCTCTGTTTTAGATGGTTTTTTCCTTGATGTTTTGCGATTTTGCAGGAAAGTAAAACACCAATATGAAATAGCAGTTATTTGCTTTTTTAAAGTAAATACACTATTAGTCAGGCCTCTCTGGGAGAAAAACAACACAGGCTATAAAAAACCCTTGCCAATTTGGCTGCGTGGGCTATTTAGCCCTTGCAGAACTGTCGTTAAATTTTTTATATTTTTTTATTTACAAAGGCAAGAATACATTCATTACCTTGCCAATTCTTTAAACATTATTCACCTTAAGAAGGCATTCTTATGTATATTACTATCATTCAGTTTTGTATTATCACTACTTAAAACAAGACAAAAGAGGAACATAGCTTTTTTGGAATAAAGTAAAGTTTTGTTAGGTTTTGCCAGTCAAATGTGACTTTTTGGGGATGCCTAGTTTATATGTCGTGACTTGAAAAGAGATTGTTTTGTATTTGACAGCATGGTGTAACATTTCTCACCTTAATTATTCGTAGCATTAATCATGCTATATGTTATTCCTTTCGTGCGAACACATTTTCTATTCCATTGCAAGTTTTAGTAGATAAAACAACAGTTTGTTAACATGTGATAAACACATACGACGTGTAAGACCTCTTTATTAACTAACGTCCTGATATTTAACGGTAAGTAGTACAAACATTGGGAAGCTAAACTGCACAGATTAAAAGAGAACGTTGGTTTGAAAAACTGCGCTGGCAGAAAAAAGCCCTTGCAAATTTATTTTGCGTGGGATTTGTGCAGGCCTGGGCTATAGCCCTTGTCTTCAGGAAAGGCCTGACACTATGTTTATCAAGATTTTTGCAAGAGTGTGGCTAAAAAGAATGGCACTCCTTGCTCTTCATTTTACAATATAATTCAGGTCAAAACTTTTCATCTGGTAAAGGATGATACACTAAGGGAATGCAAGCTGCCATGTTTATTACCTCATCGAAAAAGTCTGTTTTGTCATAGCAGGACAAGGGTCATTGTGTTAGAATGAAACTATGTTGCAATATCGTCCACCTGGTACCTTGATGAAAAAAGTTAATGTTATCAAATTTAAGCTAGCTCATCCTCGAAACATTGAAAATATTGTCACTTTCCTGTTACAGGGAATAAATCTTGGGATGCCCTAGTCAAAAAGGAAACCATTGGCCAAAACATCAACCGTTGGTTTTCCTACTGCTCCTCACAACCAGGGTTTAAGAAAGCTCTGAAAATGGTCCCCAATGCTAGTCAAAAGCAAAGCGGAAAGGATTCATCAGACAAGCAAACAAAATCATCTGTAAGAAACTCATTTTATTTTTCTCATCATATGGAATGTACTCATCAAATAAAATCATAGGGCTATAGGCTTGTTTAGTGGTATACCTTTGTCTGATGGGGCTTAAGGATCCAGTCACAAGCTAACCCCTCCTAATGTGCAGTTACTACTAGCTTATCCTCTGGGCGACCATTTAATGAATTGACTGGGCACTTCTTGTCTTGTCTGTAGTTTAGCTATTGATCACAAATAGCCATACTTTGCAGTAGATTTGTAAATTTTATTCATTCTTTCTATTCAAATAGTTGCAGGCTGCAATATTTTTCCCAGTTAAATAATAAAATTTTTGTCATTTGTGTAGTTACTTAAGCAGTGCTTTTTTCTTCCAAGATTCATTATTTCATTATTCTTCCACAAAAGAAAAAAACATTTCCGTGACCTACAAAATCAGTTAGATTATTGCTTGTATGTCTTTTAGGGTTTGCAGAGCACAATGGAAGAGGGTGGGAAGTTTATTGATCTTCCTGGTGCAAAAGAAGGCGAGGTTGTCGTGAGATTTCCTCCAGAGGCTAGTGGGTATGCTCTTTCTGTATCATTTTTTATGGTCCTTAAGGATTGAAAGTGCTTTTCATCATAGTGCAGAAATCCATAATTTGTTAAAACTTTAAAATCAAAAATTGTAAATATGTTATCGTGCAATCAGCACAAGCTTGTACTCAAGCTTTTTAGCAACCAGGTTCAAGATGAATATAATTAACAAGATTAACAATGAGGTGATGAATTTTCAAAAGTCTCCCTTCTTTATAGAATTCTGTCTCGGCCATAGAAGCCCTTTTCCAAATCCACTGAGAAAATTCTTACTCTTAACTGGCAAAATTTCAATGCAAAATTCATATATAAACGCACACACAGACACACAGACATTACGGTGCAATATTTGCTATTTACATGAGTGTATCTCCGTGTCGCATTGATAGCTATCTTCATATTGGACATGCAAAAGCTGCCTTGCTCAATCAATACTACAAGGAAAATTACAAGGGAAAACTGATAATGCGCTTTGATGATACAAACCCTGCCAAAGAAAACGAGCATTTTGAAGAGGTATGAATGGTATCGTTTGTAAGCAGTGGAATTCTTGTCAAGTTGTGTGATAAAGTTTTCTTTATGAAGTAAGGTAATAGAGAAGGTACTGGTTTCTTTAATCACGAATTTTAATTAACGCTACAGGCCTGATGTTTATCAAGTACACCTTGCAATAGTCAAAAGTTATCCATGTTTAAAGATATCCCATCAAAGTTCAATTTTTTAATCAGCAATGTTTTTTCGGTTCAAACCAAATTAAAGTTATCTGTAAGAATCTATGATAATATCTAGCTTTTTATCTTATGGCTGTAGCAAGTCAAATAGGGTAGAAAGAAATCCAGGCCTTCTCTAAGACCACTTCATTGAACTTAAATAGCGCCTCTAAGTCAGCAAGTAGGTAAATGAACAAGGCCATGTCAATTCGATAGATATATGGACGTTGGACATGCCAAGGCCGCCTTGATATGCCAACAGTACAAGGATAGTTACAATGGGACATTTATATTTCGCTTTGACGATACCAACCCAGAGAGAATAAAAGCTCATTTTGAGAAGGTAATCTATTCCATTCGCATAGTAAGCATTAAACCATCCTTGTGTATAAAAACGTTTAAAATAGTTTTATTGTGATCGCAAATATATCTCCCTGTTTATGAAGAAATACCCTAACATATGTTAGCTAATTTTTCTGTTTTTGAATGAATCGTATGTGCTGCTAAAGTCTGGTTTCCAAAAAGTCGTTCCAGTCCTGCAGATCGGATCTTACCAGTCATGTGAGACAGAATCAATCCTACCTCCGAAAGATACGACTTTAGAGAATAACGTCCTGCTATGGAAGAATTCTTCTCTTTGGAAGCCGTTTCCACAAATTATGACTCATTTCCAGAAGTCTATAAATATTAGGCCCTTAATTTATGTATTTTGGTAAATACGCAAGCCATACTCGTAAGCCCTCAAAGGCATTACGTCACGACGTATTTCGATTGTCATTGACATCCCCATTGATTGAACTATTCTATAGACTTAATGTTTCGTATCCAATCAGCATTGTAAGACTAATTGTCAACGTTTTCTTAATCATAAGGACACCACACAGAGCCCATTGTTAGCTCTGAACGAGACAAAGTCCCTTTAACTTTTTAGCTACAAAAATGTTTCGATTGCTCCCTCATCCTTTGTTAGGTATTTTAGCTACCTGTGTATCATCCGAGAACCAGTACTGTCTACTTATGCACCTGAAGAAACACCAAGACGCTGTTGCAAAATTTAAAAAAATCTTACGTATTTTTACAGTTCCGCTTTAGGGATATTGTCTTTTCCAGGTCATTTTGGAAGACATCAAACTTTTGCATTTGACCCCAGACAAATTCAGCCGTACCTCAGATTATTTTGATGTCTGCCTCAAAGCTGCGGAGAAACTTATAAGAGAAGGCAACGCATTCTGTGATGATACACCAATGGAGGCTGTGAAAGAATTGCGAGAGAAGAGGGAGCCATCCGCAAAACGTGATCTGGGTACGTTCATTGTTTTAGAATGCCTTTGTGGCTGTCAGGAATGGGGAAAGAGGAAATGTGATTGGAATTTGCTTAAACCCCAAAGAAAGAAAGAAGGGATGAGTTAAGTAGACCAGAGAGCTGGTATTCAGAGCCCAAACAAAGCAAAATTAGAAAATGCTATTTCAATTTACAGTTGATGGGTACAGAAATTGTATGGTTAATCTTCGTTACTCTAAGGGCAAAATCTAGCAGCGGCTTGAAAACTCTATCTAAAAACCAAAAACATTTTGTTAGAACGTTTGTGTACAAGATTCCTATTTGTTTAAGCATAGGTTGCCATTCATCGTACATGTACATGCTTCTAAATCAGTAACCCCCACAGGCGTGGAAGAGAATCTGGCAATATGGGCAGAAATGGTGAAAGGCAGTGAACTTGGTCAGAGGAACTGCCTAAGAGGAAAAATCGATTACGCAAGCGACAATGGCTGTTTAAGGGATCCTGTTCTTTATCGATGCAAAACAGAGCCTCATCTGGTGACTGGAACTCGCTTTAAGTAAGTATCATTTAGTTCATGCTATCCAGTAAATTGGTGACGTCACTTCAGGTAAGTTCTTAAAAGAGATTGTGGATGTAACGACCCTTTAAAAGCCGGATATCTGTCTGTGAACCAATGGTAGTAATGCTATTGCATATTTGAGAAATTTGTTTGCTGATGCTATTAGGCAACAGGTCGGTAGAATACTCTTACGGGCAAGATCCTAGTTTACTTCAATTGATTTTGGGAGGGGAATGCCAAATAAACATTGATAGGTCTGCATTGTTTGGATATATAGGCCTTTTTCCGAGCGATCACTGCTATTCATTTAGCGGACTCCTTTCTTGCAGGTTCCAAATATTGTTTCCTTTAATTGAGGTTTTATTGGTCCATGTTTAGCTCTATTGAATTTTGTTTAGAACTAGAAGAGAACTGTTGCTAAAGTATTTTTTAGAATTTTGCAGAAGGTCATGTGACCATGCTCAGAATTTTGTTTAGGGATCTGAAAATCTTAACTAGGTCGTATTCAAGAGGTTTTCGGGGTGTGTCCGTCTCGCCCAACATCTGAAATTTTGTCAATAAAATCTTATACAATGGGAAAAAATTTTCAGCAGAAAGTAAAATTGTTTCGTCAAAATGATGGTTTTGCATATATTTTCATTTTGTATAATATTACCATTTTGCAAATATTGTAATTTTGCAAATATTATCATTTTGGAAGTATCATCATTCTGCATATTATCATCGGAGTGGATTGCTTTACTTGTAGTCGTCGAGAGATTTTTAAAACTGTCCGAGCGATAATTATGAGGGAAGTTCTGCGATTTTGACTGTGCAGTATCAAATCATTCGACAAAGCCTTTCTATTCTTGGGAGTAGTCAAATAAGGTTTTCAATTAAACTTTGCTCACCTAAGTTGTATGATTTACGACTGTTTTTCTGCCTTGACTTTTTATCAAATTATGCACCTCTCTTGATTAGTGTGATTATAATTTCCAAGAAAGTTGATGCCAGTTCTACCATAACGAACCAAAGGAGATGCACTAACTTTTTATAGCATATCAAATGCACGAGCGACATTTTCTGTCAATCGAGCCTTGCCAGTGCATATGCCGTCAACGTTACTATATTTTTGCAAATTTGAGTATCAAGTTTTTGTAGAATGTTGCCGGAACATGTGTCATGATATTGAGTTGTATGCAGCTGCTACTTAACATAGCAATTCACTAGATCCACTCCTAGGTCATTGGAAGTACTACAACAGAATATGAATTATGTGGTACTACATCGCAAAATACATGCTTATTATCCGATCGAGGCTCAATGTAAAAATGAAGTGGGCTTCAGTGCGCAATTATTACTGCAAATAAACGAGGGAGAAATCATTCGATGGGGATTTCGTACACCTTTGATTGAAGTCATTTTTTAAAAATCCCTGGAAATCCCTTTGTTTTCGTGGAAATCTCGTATGCTATTTGCAAGAGTGAATTGTCCCTCGCATGTAAACGTCGAACTGGACCCTTCAAGTTCGCCAGATAATCTCTCTTGAAATGAATTTTTCTCAGTTTTTCTATGTTTTGAATTAAAATTTCATGGCAACATTCACCATACGTGCTGCAGTTTAGATCTGTACTATGATAGTGATTGAGTAAGGCCTGGTTCAAATGTCGCACTTCTCATGTGCCGAACCTAACTCTGTTTGGAGCGACACTTGAGCATGTTTAGCGCGACTCCCGTTTCAAACGTCGAACTTAATCATGTCGCGCCAAATGGCTATCAGGATTGTTACATGAAGTATCTTGGTTAAAGCGCGCAATCTCAAATATTTGTTTGAAACGCATGCGCCCTCCAAGAAAGAAATTAATTTTGGGAAGGAGAAGAAATTAAATATAATTATACATTGAGTTCGGTACATGATAAGCTCGACACTTGAAACCGTGCCGTGCTGGAGCAGTGCAGCTCGGCAAGCTCTGCCGATCCAAACTAGTCTGCCGCTCCTAATTAAATCTGCGGTACCAAATTGATTCAAACGTCGCGCCCCTCATGTACATAATTCTCGAGTTAGGTTCAGCACATGAGAAGCGCGACGTTTGAACCAGGCCTAAGTGTTATGACTGTACTTGATAAATATGTGCTCATCCACCATACTACCTGTAGAGAGGATAGCACCCTGGGAAAAGAATTTTAAGTTGTAAGCAATGACCTAACCGTTTGAAGCATTTTGCCTCCCTATAAATTTTTGTGTTTGGATCGTAAATTTGCGAAAGTTTTGGCGTCGTTTACAAACTACTTTTCCTTCGTGTTTTGAATCAGCAAGACATACCTTTTTTGCCTTTCTTGCAAACATGTCAAGATATAAATTCTGTGCACCAAAAAGATCAACTTTAAGATATTTTTCTGCACCAAACAATGCACTAAAAATTCCCTCTGCAACGCACTATTTTATTCACACTAAATCCTGTCTATTCTGGTTTCACTTTGCGGAACTTGGCACGAATATCTTTGTGCCCCCTCCATCCAAATTCACATGCTACACCACGTTTTATCAAATGCATATTTTGGAACATTTCTGCGACGCCCTACCCTCAGGCCACAGAATAGGCATTCCTTTTCTGTGTTCAGGCCTCAAGCTCCTGCGGCCTTTGGCGGGCCAGGGCGGTCAGTAAATTTCGCGCCAAAACGAGATCGTCGTGCCCGCGGAGCAGCCATCGAGTGTTTTGGTGGTTCCAAAAAGTGATTTCGAGAAAGATTATATTGCTTGTTTTCACTCACTTGACCATGGCTAATGGTGCAGTTCTAGAAGATTTGAAGGTTAGCGTAGATCTTTGGACACCAAACAAATATCCATGGGTTAAGTACTATTTTCTTACTCATATGCATGCAGATCATACTGTTGGCCTAACTCCATCGTGGCGGAACAAGATTTACTGCTCTGAAATGTCTAAGAGGTTGTTGATGCAGAAGTTTGGATTTGCTGATGATTTGGTAATATCAATGGAACTTGGAATACCTGCAGTTTTTTATAAAGATGGCACAGAATCATTTAATGTAACGTTTTATGATGCTAACCATTGTCCAGGTTCTGTAATTCTGGTGTTTGAAGGACGCTTCGGAAGAATTTTATATACTGGCGATTTTCGATGCGATCAAGCATTCCTAGAGAATTTTAAGACTAGTAACCTTAGCAATGTAGATAGATTGTATCTAGATAACACTTATTTTAGCAAGAGAGTCGATTTTCCGCCGCGTGAAACTGTTACCAAAGATATAATCAAAATCATTCGTAGCCATCCAGGGTTTCAAGTTATAATCGTCTGCTACAACTTAGGGAAAGAAGATTTGTTAGTAGAAATCGCCATGGATCTTCGTGAGTGGATTGTTGTAAGCCAAGTGAAATATGACCTGCTGGAGATTCTTGAAATGCCAAATGTTTTTACGATTCGAAAGGATGAAGGAAGAATAAGAGCCATTGTAGCTAGAGACCTTGCTGGTCGTGAAATTAAAGATTGGATTGAGTCAGTACCTACAATTGCGATTTTTCCTACAGGTATGTTTAATAAGGAAAATAATCCATATAAAACCAATGCATTTGAGGAGACATTTTTTGTACCTTATTCTGATCATTCCAGTTACAGTGAAATTGTTGAGTTCTTAAAGTATGTGAAACCAGGCCGGGTAATACCATTAGTAAAAGATAAAAATTGGGACTACAATGAAATTGTTAGGATAACAAAAGCAGACAGAAACCACATGACGACTTTGAAAGATTTGGCAAAGGAACCTGATGTTGTACAAATGGAAATGGATGATCATCAGAACTTATTAATGGATGATGAGTTGCTATTTAGAAATGGAGATATAAACAATGATGAATTTAAAGCTGGTAGAAAGAAATCATGGTCAAAAAGAAGGCCTAAAGTACCAGCAATTAAAAGAATACCTTCAAATAAGGGTGTTGTGTTTGACAAGATAGGAGAAGAAAATGGTGGTTGTGATGTTACTGGTAGGGTTCATCATTCAAAATCTCACAGTAAAGACACCAGTGAAGGCTCTGAATGTACTGACATGAATATTGTTAATGCAAATAATTTTTTGTCAGGTCAATTGAATTCTGCAACAGAACTAAATGCTGTAGCAACTGATTTTGCAGAAGAGACTTGTATTAAACCTTTTTCAAGTAGAAATAGCCCTGCTTGTGATAAAGATATTAAAGATCCTGAGAAGTCTTCAGCTTCTGAGTGTATGTATTATACAAAATTTAATAAGGACCAGGCTCAAAGTGGATCAATTGTATCTTTGGTTGACAAAGATGATGTTCGGGGCACAGATGATGATAGGGCTTCCCAGGATTCTGATGAAACTGATATAGACAATGAATGTAATGAACATAATGGCGCGTCTGAAGACACCTGTGCAGAAGTTGCGGAAGATAGTGTCTCTATTCTTTACTCAATTGGCAAAGAAAACTCAAAGAGAGAAGAAAACAATTCTGATGAAAACGACAGTCATAGTACAATGGCCAGTAACAATGAACATTCTCAAAGCATACAGAACCCCTCTCTTTGGTCATTGCATTATCTTTCAACATTATATGGTAAAGCGGATGCAAAAAATCGTAATCCCTTGAGGGCTTTATCTTGTGCTACCGGGATGTTTATGAATAAACTTAGAGAAAGAATAGAACTTTGACAGGGAGTCTCAAGGCCAATTTGTAGTTGCTAGTCAGTTTGTGTTAAAAATGTACTTTGAATTTTGGATATGTTTATATGCTGATAAAATGTTGTGTTTTGATTTGTATTTATATATATATATTATATACATATGATATGCATATTATATATGTTTAAAATGTTGTGTTCTAATTGTTTGCATTAAATTGATAAAACTTTAGCATAGTCCTATTTTTGACAACCATTTATTTCTCTGGACACAATTATTATATCTAAGCATTCTTTTTAAGGACTTCCATACATTGTTTGCATATTTTATGCAACACGGTTAAAAAAATTATCATCAAGAACCTTAGACAAAGAAAAAGACAATTATGTGCTCAGGATTCTTGTATTTAACAGAGATTTGATAATACCTAGCTTACTTTGATGTATAGAATAGGTCGATCAATACTTTTTAATGTTTAAAAGTCCAGCTATACTATTAGCTCTTTTATTCTCTTTTTAGAAATTAAATATGTGTGTGAAATTCTTTGGATTTTCTAAGTGGGTTGGCCACTTAGATAATATTCATTAGATAATACATCAAACACGTCAAATGATCAACATGCATATTCTGGAAATTGTTTAAGTCATAGGTTCCCATTGTTCCCCTTACTCTAGAGTTTGAGTTATTCATGGTTCTCCATTTAGCTAATCAAAATAACCAGAGTATGCATCATTAAGATTTTGTAAATATACTATTTTTTATTTTCTTGTTGACCAAAGTTTTGAGCAAATTGAAGGTATTATTTTGTGGAAATCTTTGTAGTTTTTCTTTTTGTTACTTGTAGAAAAGGTTCTATGTGATGTGCATTAGGTCATAAACCACTTCCTTTTAACAAGCTGTGTCATATGCAAGTTCCAATGTGATTATGTGCTCCACAGACCAGGCTTCTCTTTTACTGTTATCTATCTTGGTAGTAACTTGAAACAACCAACTTTGGTTATTGCATTTTATGAGAATCACTTCAAGTTTGAATCACTGAAAACAATCTCCTATTCAACTTGGAAGTCAGTAGTTCATAATTTACAGATTATTATGATAAATGCTAGTTTCCTTCTCTGATTTCTTTTAAAACCAAATCTGCACAAAAAGGTATCAAAGAAGTTTTTACTGTTCAGTATTTTTAATGTCTAATGTTAAGATTCTAACTTTGGGTTTAAATTATAGATCTGTTAAGTTTTTAAATTCTTGTTATTGATAAAAAGTATTAGATTTTCTAATTAGATAAATCTATTAAAAAAAGATTTAATAAAAAAGAATTGACAATTTTAAAATAGGCTTAAACCTTCAGTTTTAGTTTTCAAAATGTATTAGTATTGTCATATTCCAATATGTTATAATTCACTTTTTGTAACACTGAATGAACACAGAATTTCCATCACCTTGAAATTTTGTATTGAAGTAAAGAATTAAGAAAGTTTTTCTAAATGTGTTTTCATTTGCTTAATTTTTTTATACTGACATTTTATCTTATTGAAACTTTTGTCTTTAGGCCTTGTCTTATTCCACATATAAACAGATATTTTAATAGTGAATTCGTATCTCAATTAATATGGCTTGATGTTGTATGATGTTGAGTTACCAATATATTTTTATAGTATAATTTTAAATTTACAAATGCAGGATATGGCAATTGGCAGTATGTCTAATTTCCTTTTAAGATCTGTTGCCTGGATTAAGATCTTGTGCCTTTGTGCCAAAATACCCTTTGCTGTTTTGCAATTATCATTGTATTTAGTTACAGTAAGCTAAACACTGACAAGTTATATTTCTGGTTTTCATTTGTACTTTGAATGGCATTCTGATTGAGCCATTATTTCTACTGAAAATATTTATCTATGAGAAAGGTAGAGGATATTTTTTGGGGAGGTAAGAGAATTTAATAAGTCAGTTCATGAACTTAGAACTTTTAATTACATTAATTATTTTCAAAACATTCCCCGATTCCCCGAATAGAAATACATTATTCATCTTCAAATCGTCCACTTTTTTAAATATACACGCATTTTCTTTTCTGTATAAACTTATTAATTTGGTCTGCTTGGCATATTTGCTCCAATTCGAAACCATACGCCTATATCAGTGAACAAATTGGCTTAAATGGCTTGTTTTGACGTAAAGGGTGGTGTTATTACGCCCCCCAAGACACGAGGCCCTGTGCCTAATTTTTCCCTTGTGCTTTTTAGATCTGAAAACGTCTGTGGTCAGGGCAGTGATCTATGTAGTTTGTTATAAAGTTTGTTTTGTCCCTTTCAGGGTTTATCCGACGTATGATCTTGCTTGTCCAATAGTAGACAGCATCGAGGGAGTGACGCATGCGCTCAGAACGACCGAGTACCATGACCGGGATCCCCTGTATTTTTGGGTGCTGGACAAGCTAGGTAAGTTAAACAAACATCATGAATGAATATAGCAATTGCAACCATTCCAGTTAACACATTCTTAAAAACTGTTTATATGATTTGAGGCCCATCTGTTTAAATTATTAGCCAAAGCACTAACAGAATATTTCAATACCTCCATTGGGTTCCAGCTAACTTTCATCCGAAAAATATTTTTGCAAAGCAGTTAGAATTCTCCCCAAATGAAGTTCGAAGTAATTTTGAAATGTTGCCTTTCCCTTGGATGCAATTGGTTTTTTTCTATGATCCGTAAATCTTTGAAAAGTACGTTGATTAACCATATGTTGTGAAACCGATTCATTATCTCCATCTTTTTTGATCCAGTTCCAGAACCGGTTGATTTTTGAGGGATTCAAATGCTGTATTTTTATTAGCTAAACCCTCGTACGGCAATTTATAGCTAAAAGGCATGAATTGGAAGCCTGAAAATATTAAATTAATAATTTATTGATTGATTCCTGAGTAACTTTCTACTTGATCTCGTTCTCGCTAAGTTTTCTGTTTTGCAAATAGAAATGAGGAAGCCCCATATTTATGAATACAGTCGACTGGCTATGACGAACACCGTTTTGTCAAAGAGAAAACTGACCTATCTTGTGGAGCAAGGAATGGTCGACGGCTGGTACGTTTTGGTTTTTCTTCTCGATTCTTTGTAAAGCAAATGTTCGATACAGTTGCACTTGCAGAAATCTTTAAATAAGACCCACAGGCTTATTTCCTAGAATTGGGAGTGTTAGAACGTTTAAAAAGGGTGAGAGCAGATGGTGAGAGTTTAATTATAAATAGTATTTCGCACTTAATACATTTATATTCATTTCTAAGGGTATTCTTGTTTACTATGCAGCATGATCCTTGGATTCAATGATTCTTTTTTAACAAGAAAACGTCATGAGTTTCTAAATGAACATTTAGGAAATCAGACAGCTATTGTTTACAGTACAAAAAAGGCCCTTCCATCCATTCAAAAGGATTGCGCTCCTGCCACACAAAAAAGTTCTGTTGTATATGAATTTACGTGCCAGTTTGATTCTGGCTACGTAGGAAAACACTACCCTAAGATTGGAGGATAGAATAAAACAACATGTTCAATCTAGTATTAGAAATAAAACTCATCCCCAAAGGGAACAGCCACCTCGGTCTTGCAGATCTAAAAGTACAACTAAAACCTGCGATTCTGCTATCGGGCAGCATTAACTGGAAAACCCAGATTGTGCAAAAAACTATATTGGCGACATGTTTCGGATTATTGGTAAAGCCCGATCGTCTTTCCACCTAGTAGTTTTGGAATCTATCTACATAAGCACGAAAGAACCTCTACTGTGTAGACAAAAGGAGTTTGTTTTATAGACAAAAGGGTAAGATATGAAGGACGGTCAATTTGCTTTGATATTGTCATTATACGACCTTCGTGAATTCACTTTAATTTTTTACTGTTTACAGGAACGATGCTAGATTCCCAACAGTGCGTGGCATAATTAGACGTGGTATGACCGTTGAAGGTCTTAAAGAGTTCATTATAGCTCAGGTACTCGGTTTCTTTACATTGCATATATAAACTAGAAATTTTCATCGCATTTTTATAAATTGATAGGTTCTAACCAGTATAATATAATCTGTCAAGAAGACATTTTTTATAATAGGGAATTCTCGTGCTCTATTTGGCGTATTGACGTTAAATTTTTGCGTATTGATGCAATACTGGTTACTGATGCAATACTGGATTTTTGAGTAATAAATAAATTTTTGGCGTATTGATGCTGGTGCCTTGATTTGTGTCTACAGCAGAGGGATTTTATGTGAAATGAGTTTATTTGCCATGTTTTAGGGCTCTTCACGATCTAACGTTCATATGGAATGGGACAAAATTTGGACATTTAACAAGAAGGTGGGTTGTCTTTTATTTAACATTTTTGATCTCAACCTTGTGGATTGTGATTGAGTAATATGCTAACCAAGGGAATCCCGCCCCGCTTGAATTAGGGTTTTTCGTCCAATACTGTCCAACTAATTCTGGTCAGTGTGGCAGAAAATGTTTTACTGGTATGCCATAATTCTAGGTTCAATATAGACCAGAATCTTTGTTCTTAACTTGAAGAACAGTACTTTGAAAAAAGTATATCTGAATAAGCGAATCAGGTATTTATGAAATTAGAATCAGTTAATACTATAATTCGTTTTTTATGTATTTTATCTTCAGTTATGTAAAGCAAACTTACATATATTTTATTGTCTGTTATAGATAACTTTTTTATACAATATAAAGGTTTTACAAAAGCGAGGTACTTAAGACTATACTTTACAAACTACTGGATCTCTTACAAACTTACATATATTTTTTTCTCTGTTATAGATAATTGACCCAATCGCCCCAAGATACACTGCGCTAATGAATGATGGAAAGGTTTTAGTGAATGTCACTGATGCCTCAGATGGAACAGCACAATATCCTTTGCACCCCAAGGTATTTGCTTATGATTGCTTTATTGTCTTAATCATCATTCATCATTAGTAATCAACCAGCATAATCATTACAATCACAATTAGTATCACAATCTCAGTCACCTGCCATCATCAAAAAACATATAGTGGCAGAGTGATGACGTCACAAAACTCTATCTAATAATTTTTGGATTTTGAGCACAAAGTATCTCTTAATGTGTAGAATCAGTTAATCGGTTATAGATTTGCTGATATATTTCCACAAAGTACAGGTTTCTTCGTTATCAAACCACTATAATTTGGCTCTGGCTCTGAAACTTATATATGAACCAACATGGGGTCCGACACAGGCTGGAAAGTGGGGTGGGCCAAGGAAAAATTAAGCACTCGCAACAAAGGATTTTGGAAAAAGCTCTATAGTTTTGCAAAAGGTGGGAAGGCCATGGGCCACCGAACCCCCCTCCCCCCTCTTCGTCGGAGGCCCTAACCTAACCAAAATAGGTAATCGGTCAGTAAACTTCAAATCTTTCATTTGCCATACATAAAGAAATCTGTAACAGATTTAACTGATTTTGGATATTTTGGAGATATTTCATTTAACTGTTTCCTTTTTCCCCAAATGGGCAAAATCAAATGCTTTCAAAATATATATTTATGTAGTTATGGCTTTGCCCCTGTATTTGATGCAGCCGACAGCCAAGTAGGAAGTGTTTCTTTGGAAATTACCAAATTTTTTGCACATGCGACATTTTCATGTTTTAGAATCCAGATGTTGGCGCCAAGACCATTTTCTACTCTAAAACAGTTTACATCGATGGAGCCGATGCAGAAACATTTTCAGAGAACGAATTGGTCACTTTCATCAACTGGGGAAATCTTCGGATTTCAAAGATCAATAAGTGAGAAAATATTTTCTTTTTCGACAATGTTAGTTTTATTTTCATTTTTTGCAAGAAGGCGCATGCAGTGAGTGTCTTTAATGTTGTTTCTCTCTTAAAAGCTACAATGCCTGCCAAAAGTCTTGGAACACTGGTGTCAATTTTCAAGGTCAAAATCAATCATCCGCCTCTCCTCTACAGAACAATGTTGGTTTCCTATTAAACGGGTTAGGATTTTAGGAAGCACTTTCTTTTGCGCTTCTTTTATGATATTTCTCTAAATTATCAACACTGTTTTAGGGGGAAGGGGGTGGAAGTAGTAATTTTTTTCAGGGAAGAAATGAAAGATATCAAATGGAACGCAAATTCCTTGGTGTTCCAAGTACTTTTGGTAGGCATTTACATTGATTATAAGCTTCATTCAACTTTTTATAGGGCAACGAAATTTGTTTTTTAGCAGTATCTGGGCCTTGCAAATGTTAATTTTATTTTGGCGCTCTATGATCTTATGAATTCGAGATTTTTTAGACTCAAGCAATTAATTGCTTTATAGGGGAAACGACGGGAAAATCCAATCCGTGGATGCAAAACTGGAGCTTGAGAACAAGGTATTTGTCTCACTTTTTTGTAGACAAACAGAACAAAATACCGTAAAGAAATAATATAATGCGTCAGGTTGCGTTGCATTAGAAATGATACAGAGGTGGGGCAAAAATGACTAGAGAGAAAGAATACTATATTAAGTTTGTTTCTTTCTGGACCTGTGTGCTAACGCAAACCTCGGACAGAATGCATTAGGTTTCTGCCCGTTTCTTCCACTTTGAAATTTTTTTGAATGCAAAGCTTATTTCCTTATTTGTATGTTTAGATGTTTTTATTGACCCTTTCACCTTCACCCTGAATTTGTACCAAGCGAATTATAAAAATTTTAGAAGTATTTAACTATTATTGTGACGATTGTTTTGAGAACTTGCCTTTTTGAAGAATTCTGTGTGTGTCAAAGGATTTAACGATGCACCTTTTTTATCTAAATTGATCACCACACTGCAAAGTCATGAAATAAATGTCCCCTTCCCAAACTCTCTGAAGCCTTATTTTCTTTTCATGCTCATAGGATTTCAAGAAAACAACCAAAGTAACTTGGTTGGCAGAACACCAAGAAGGTCCTTTCACACCAACAGTGTGTGTCAACTTCGATCACATCATCACCAAAGATGTTATCACAAAGGCTGACGATTTTAAAGATTACATAAACAAAAACACAAGGGTAATCTGCCACACTATTTGCTTTCAGTTGCATCAGAGACATTCCCTACATCTGTGCATGCGTAACTCTTTGCCTTTTATCAAAATTCAAATTGATCATGGCATTTGATGTCTCAGTCTACTGGTTTTTGTTTTCTTTCTTTCTCTTTCTCAATCAATGAAGAATGTAGGGAACAAAAACATGTAGAAACATTTTTATAAAACTTCCTCATTTCAAAATGTTACTGAGCATCCCTTCAAGACGGAGATTCAATTGTAGCACATTGACATTTGACAAACGTCGCAAAGTTGTTCTTTGCGTTGTTCTTTGCGATTCTGCTGCTCAAGCAGTATTTGGTATTGTATTCACTGATGTAATTGAGTGAGATAATTAAGGTCATAATAAGATGAATTCAATCAATTTTCTTTGCAGACTGATACAGTGATGCTGGGTGATCCCGAACTCAAAAATCTGAAGAAAGGAGACATCATACAGATACAGAGACGTGGCTATTACATTTGCGATGAACCATACCAGCATCCTAGGTATGTGAATAACCTATTTTACTTTTTTCTGGAGATATCAGTTTAGCAGTTCAAAGTCTCACGAAATCATAATTGATAACGTCGTGGTATACACGTGCTTAAATAAAATTTATTGGAAATTAGAATCAGTTTGTTTTAGAATTTCTGTTAAATTATTCTTTATAAAATAACCAGGCACATTAAGATCGAAGATTCCATTTTTTTAATCAAAACTGTGAGCTGCAAGCTTTTTATGGAATTCCTGTTCTCCCCTTTTATATTCTGTTCTAGCAACAGCTCTATCTATTTATATTCATCCTGCAATGTGACTTATGACTTTTGACATTGCAGCCGACACTCAGGTAGAGAGGTGCCTTGTGTCCTCTTCAACATTCCAGATGGACATACGAAGAACATGAGCAACACTGGATCAAAGGCCAAATCAAAGGAACAGGCCAAAAACCAAAAGTCAAGCCAGGTACATTTCTCAATTTTCATCTGTCTATTTGATGTTCAAATTTATGTTTAATTCTTCAAAATAGTGGGAACAAATCATTCCCCTAGTACAAAGTCCTTCACTTGAGGTTCTGGCTGCCAAAACTTTTCAAATATTTGCTAGATGCCTAGCTCGGCATACCTGTAGTGTATTTCTGCTGCGATCAAGTAGGACCGAAAGTCAACTGCAGTATTCTAACTTGACATATTTGATAAAGTAAGTAATGAAAGTATATAAAGTATATAGCATCATGTGGAAGTTTAAAAGAGATCAGTTATCTTCAAGTCTTTCTCTGTCTGTCGCTGCGGCTCCCTTTCTAACTACTGGAGCTGAAATGCGTGAAAAAGCCGCAACAAATTTTCTTAATTTGGTGAAAGTTTTTTGCACTCTTGGTTTTGGAATTAATTTATTTATGTCAGAGGGCGTTGTTTGTGTTATAAGATTATCAAATGGCAAAGTATCGAATTGGGTTTGTTTTCAATCCTTTTGAGTAGAATGAATGGATTCAATGTAGTATGAATCTATAAATATTGCCTGAATTATTGTCATTTTCGCAAACATAGCCCCGACAAACGCTCCGATTGTTCCAGGACTGCTAAATCTTTATTAAACAGCTCCGAAAAAAACGATTTAGACTGCCAATGTATTTTCCTTATCGCCGGTTTTTATCAAAATATAATGAGCACTTCCATCTTAATATTGAAGAACAATTTCTCATATTACTCTTCTTTCGGCATTCTTTTGAAATTTACCCCGACGATAAGAAGTCGTTTTTCAACAGACATCGCTAGCGTTAGCCCGTACGTTACCCGTATGGTAATACCCGTATTGATGCCAATGCCAATGTATATTCAGCTCTTTGATTAATGCCCGTTAGCCTGTTTTGTAAGTAGATGAGCAGACGCTGCGTAGGCGCATGGTCAAACAGGTTTTGCAAGTCGCCGTAGATATCGTGTCTCTCATAATGAAGCACCTGTTAAAGCCAGTGTTTGCGATCGATTGACCACGTTGATTGATCTACAACATAAAACTAAAGAGGTTTATTTTCTTTTCTCCTTTTAATTCTGCCTGGGTAAGTTTATTTCAAAACATTTTAGCTCGCGACGATATAACATTATAACGTTTCTATTCATAAAGTTTCGTATTAAATTTTAAAAAGTCACATCACACAGTTATTGTTTGTTATCAATCTTTCGTTCCGTATAGACCAGGACTTGACCTGAGATACTTTGAATTTTGATTCACATTTGTGACCTTGATAAATTCTTGCTTTTTTCGTTTGGTGCCAAGAAATCTTAATATTCTTTTTATTTCGTATTTATGCCATGTCCCCTTAGTTTTAATTGCTTTTGTTTTATAGTTGAACTTGTAAAAAATGAGAAAATGTTCAAGGTTTATTTCCAGAACTAAACTCTTACATTTGAAATCTAACAACTGCATTTTTATTGCAAGATTATTAATAATGCCTCATTTAAAATGTGCAGTCAGTTTTTGTGCTTGTGTCTTGTGGCTGTTGTAAAAGTACATTTCCCCTGTAGGCAATCACAAAATCCCATGTATGTAGGACATAAAACCACATTTAAATTTTTTCTTTTATTCTGAGCTAACCAAGCTTCAGCCATAACATTCTTTCGTGTGTTTGCATGAACAATAAGCTACCAAAACACCACAAGGCAATATGGGTTTTCGTATCCTTAAAAAATTCCTGCTTTCCGATCTCGATAACTTACGTACATTCCTCACTTTCCCGTTAGGAGGATTTTTTTGATAACGTTGTATATTAAATCTCCTTTTTTGTGAACGGGACCTCTTCAAACCGATTCCACAGAAATAAAAAAAGTCATCCTTCTCTAGAAACAGTCGTCAAGTCAGAAACGAGGAATATCAACAAGTTCGGCAGCAGCAGCAGCAGCAACAACATCTAATGCCGATTCAGTGGAGGTGCAGCAATGCATTGACAAAATTACCGCCCAAGGTCTGAAAGTTAGGGAATTGAAAGCATCAGGTGCTGCTAAGGTAATGATTGTCTAGGTTTTTTCCTAGATTCTTTTGGGCAAAATTCTAGACCTAGATTCTTAGGGATTTTCTGCTTTTAATCGGTTTCATATTTTTGTCAATGTTACCGCCAACATAACAATTGCTGAAAGGGAATGCGTCCTTTAAGCCCCGCGTTTCGTAACTAAGATCGAGTTTTTAATGAATAATATAGGATTCTCTTCCCACAATATCTGCAAAAAAAGAGAATTTCAGTTCACTCACCCCATAGAAAACCGGTCATCTCCATAAACCGATCTGTTAAAATTTGGGATTTTTACAAATCATTTTGCAATTTTGACATCATGTTGAGCAACCTAGATAGTGGATAGTAAGTGATATGATTCTGCCATTGTGCGGAGATCCTAGTCATGGGCTTAGCAGAGGCTAAACATTTAGAGGGAGGGGGGTTAGTGAGGGTCCCGCCCGAATATCATTGTTTCATTTAGATACTGAAATTGGAAGCATTTGGCCCGATTGAGCCTCCCCCCTCCCCATCCCAGTCCTTATGTCTCCTACGCCTAAGATCCTAATGTGAAGCGTTCACGTCTTCTTAAGTCACCACAGTCTTCTTAAGAGGTCGAGTGAGCCATATGGATGGCTTTTACTCGATACTTGTAAATGGCTCGAGTGTGTCTCCAAAAATAGCTTTTTTAGCCCTTGGTGTGGTTGATACATCTTTGTTTCCCTGTGCTTGTCTGCAGGGTAGAGAAAAAGATAGTAAGCTACAACAATACAAATACGCTTTCGTCAAGTTATTTGAGTATTTCCGATGCCCCTTGTGATTCATCGATTGAATATTGAACAGATCATGCGCTCTTATCACCACACTGCCGGAAGTAATTTTGAAGGTAAAGAAAAGTGTCATTACATTTTAGAATAATTTGCATCACTGATTTGTTTTTTTATTATTTTTTGCCTTGTTTAGGAGGCCATTCAGAAAGACGTAGAGGCCCTTCTTGCGGCTAAGGCTGAGTACAAAAAGTTGACTGGAAAAGACTACACTCCTGCATCTGATAACAAGAGCAAAAAGTCAGGTAAAGAAGAGAAGAAAGACAAACCAAAGAAAGAAGAGAAAAAAAAGGGAGAAAAAATGGCACCAACTGTCAGTACTGGAGGTGAATTGTCCCCAGAAGCCCAGGAGCTTTTAAAGAAAGTTAGTGAACAAGGGGATGCTGTTAGAAAACTCAAGGCAGACTCTGCAAGCCAAGTAAGTTTATTTAATTTGTATTTCTTTGACAGCGATGTTATATATTAAATATGACAGCGATGTTATAAACTAGCATAGTTATTTTTCGCGTTTCGCCTGTCGCTCTGTATTATATCATTTTTCTACTCACCATCCCATCATGAAAATAGGCTCTCAGCTCCAGAAACTTCCCTTCAAAGATTCAAGCCTGGTCAACATTCCTCCAGCCAATCATTGGTAGCAGTTTAAAGTCTTTTTTAGACTGCCAATGGCTGCCCGTATTCCTAGGACCAGCACCACAAATTTTGACATGTTATTGTATCATGCAGCATCACTAATTATGCCGTATATTATTCGTCTCTTCTGAATTAGTCTTCCAGTCGACGTACTACTTACCAATTAGGTATATAGTTACAGAGTTTTTTCCTGGGATCTCCTCTTAGATTTTTCAAATGTCGTTCACCTCATCAAAGGCATATTCCGTTCTTCCAGAGCACAGGTTTTGAATCAGAAGCCATTATTATCTGGGCTATGCCCCTTGTTTCTGAAAAGGGCATCCTGTTGTGAAGCAGCACCACTGAAACGACACTGTCGCTGGGGAACGTGCCCCAACTGACATTATGGAAATGTATAGTTTGCTATTGCCTCGACTGATTCTACGGTATCAGGATAAAGGCCAACAGTGTATTGATCTCGTAGTAATATTTTTCTACTCTGAACTCCTCTGAAAAGTCAATGCAAAATATGAAGATGGTTGTTTCTTGAAATTATTTAGATCGGAGTCTGTCCCTAGAGCGAGAGACATAGCCTCGCCTTAGATACAAGTTTGATAGGGATATGTTTGTGATAAAAGTCCACCAAAGTCAGAGTTGGCTAGGAAATGATAGATTTAGACAAGGTGCTGCAATAAGCCTTCCTCGTGACTAAAGACCTGGTCAACTAAACGCGCCTTTCTTCTTTTGACATTAATTTGAGTGTCACCGGTGAAGTCTTTCTTCTTGGATGTCCATTTTGATTGCCTGTTTGTGCATGGACTTATAACTACCTCGGTATTCCCTTTTTAGGACGTAATTGACAAAGCAATTAAAGATCTTTTGGACTTGAAAGCACAATACAAGACCCTGACTGGAGAGGACGTCCCGGGGCCTGCGAGGAGCAGTAAAAAGGACAAGAAACAGAAGAAGAAAGAGGAACCGAAGCCAAAGGAAGAAGCCAAGCAGAAGAAGCCGGCTGCAAAGCAACCAGAACAGAAGAGCGCAGAACAGGAGACCGATGCTGGAGGTGCAAAGAAAATCACCAGGTTCCACTTCAAATTTTTATGATAGTAAGCTGTCATCGGAGACAACAGATAGGGCCTTTCAAAACTCAACAGTTGGGTCTTTTGGTTCAAGTTATTGAATGTGAATGTTAATTATAGATCCAGCTGAGCTGATAATTCCTTATTGTTAGAGTATATTACACTTCTCTTTTCACAAGGACTGTTGCCTAATGCTTTATACTCTCACCATAGACAGGGGATATTAATTAACGGAACTTGCTCATTCTCTTTCTAACATCTATAGATAAAAAGAGAGTGTGACATTTTAGTTTTAATGTGTACCGTTATAGAGAAATATTTTTATCATTTTATACCAAGTTTCTCATTTTAACAACACGTCCTGTGATTTTCAAGGTCATGTGCAGCGCGAATTCAAATTGATTTGATGTATTTCTTAAAACCTTGCTAAATGTTTTGTTTCAGGCTTGCTTTAGAGGCAAAAAAATCTGAATCTCTAAGCGACTGGTATTCTCAAGTAAGTAAAAATACTAGGTCTATTGAAACGTGTGTACAATAACTTTGAAGTTTTGCCACATTACACAGTCTGTCAATAACCTCACCCCAGCCCTTCAAGCAATTTTTAAGACTCTACAGCCCACAATGTTTTGGGAAAGAGGGACTACTTTGGCCTTTTCTTTTACCGAAGACTGTTAATTATTTCAAAGAGTGCTTTGGCTAAAGGGCATTTCAAGAACTATTTGTAGTGACTGTATCCTTTTACAAATTATGCAAATCACACCCTCTCCCCCTCGCTATTTCGAAAGCAAAGATCCCAATTTGATGGAATTCTGTGAATCGGCTGAACCATCATTTAATTTTAACAAACACCTGGGGGAGGAGAAGGGGGCGGTTGTCCCCAATATTTTGGAAGACTATAGTCTTTTGTTCTAAAACAATCGGAAAATGTGACGTCATCTTATCGAAACAATATTTGCCCCCCCCCCCCAATATTTGACCAAGTGTCCGCCTATGTCAGAGTTCGTTATTCAGTTTAGGTGATAGAATGATGTTGACTGCTGTATCCTTTGTATGGAAAATAACATTGGCATTGAAAGTTATGCTGTTTTTGACGCTTCAAAGTGTGAAATGCCCAATATCATGAGAATTGTACCTTCCCCCCCCCCAAAAAAAAACAAGAACTGCATTGCAGAAATTATGTTCCAGGTAATAACAAAGGCAGAAATGATAGAATACTATGACGTCAGTGGGTGCTACATCCTGCGCCCTTGGGCCTACAGCATCTGGGACAAAATCAAGGACTTCTTTGATGCCGAGATAAAAAAACTCGGCGTAGAGAATTGCTACTTTCCAATGTTCGTCTCCCACAGCGCTCTCGAGAAAGAGAAGAAGCACATCGAAGATTTTGCTCCAGAGGTAATCTTCTGCGTATTTTTCTGCGTCTGCTCCAATGTGTTTATAGAATGCAAAATAATAAACTTTTTAGCTAATAGAATGCAACATGCTAAACCTTTTAGCTAATAGAATGCAAAATGACAAACGATGTACGAAAAAATTAAAGGTCGGTTCTGAATCTGTAAATCGCCTCAATTCAGCTTCTGCTAAATGCAAATAAAACATTTCAAAAATTCAATAAGAAATTGTCGAATGTTTTTGAAGGAATCCAGTCAATTTGCAGAACATGATTATCTAGAAAGACCGAACATCTCAGGGAAAACTGCGCAAATTGTTCCAACATTTCTTAACTTTCCATTAATCAATTAATCCGGTCCATTAATCAAAAACTATACAAGAACCGCAGAGACATGATTGATCTCGCTGACTACAGACCCAAGGGTCCGTGGTTCGAGTCCCTGGCATGACCACACTTTCACTCAAGAGTGAGGAGAGTCACCAGCTCTCTGTAATTACAGGCGTAGGAATCACGAGGTGTGGTCACTTCGAGAGAAAGCACCAGGACACTGCTCGATAAGCATAACTTTCTCAGTGTCCTAAAAACCATCTTCGGATGCTAGGTAGAAACAAATGCTATAAAGAAAACAACTTTAAGCTAAGATGAAGTGATTTTTGTATGGTTTTAAGTACATTTTGGAATATGCTTTCTCAGCCTACTTGTTATTATGGAAACATTATTATATACATTATAGAAAACAATACTCTTTTAGGTTGCATGGGTAACTAAATCAGGAGACAGTGACTTGGCAGAGCCTATTGCAATTCGACCCACCAGTGAAACAGGTATCTGCTTTTACATAATTAAATCCGGAAAGCTTTGATAAGAATGCCTATCTTTTCTTAGGTTTTTACTATAAACCTCTATCAAGCGTTTTTACTATAAACCTCCCATCCTTAGAGATTCTATCGTAGGGTTTTTATTCCTCTTTACCAATGAGATTTACATCGCATTTCAACCATAATTACCTCATGAATTGTATTAACATCCTTTATTATTATTAATGTTATGTAGTTTCTCATCTTAAACGTCCTTAGCTGTTGGCACATAGATCGTAAATAAACCAATTCCCCTTCATTCTTAATTCTCTACTCTTACCTGCTAGTTTTAAAATTTCTTCTTTGTTATGACAGCTTTGACTTTTCCCCGTAGTTATGTATCCAACATATGCAAAATGGGTTCAGTCCCACAGAGATTTGCCTATCAAGCTTAATCAATGGTGTAACATTGTTGTGAGTATTGCTCAGAAGTTCTTTATTGAAAATGCTCGTTTTTCTCCCTGTGTGTGGTTAAGTGCTTAGTTTTTTCACTGGAAAAGGTGCTTTAGATTTTCTAATGGACTGCTTATTTTCTCCGACCCCATATTTACAAAGAATGCCAAATCTATCCACCCCATAAGCTCCACTGATGATCCTTTATTAAGAGATTTCCCCCTTTCAATAACCCCCCTCATAAATTTAATTTTGCCCCTGTTTTTATATTCATGTATCTTGATTTTCAATTGCATATTTAAAAATTCCTGTTTCTTATGTTACTCTTGTAGTTTAGGTATATGTTTTGTTAGAATTTAGTTTTTGATCTATGCTGCGGAGCTTAGTACAAATATGAACTGAACTTTGTGTTCGCCCTCATCAAAGAATCCAACGCATAAAACGTCACTCAGTGTTTCTGTTTTCTTCTAGCGATGGGAATTCAAGCACCCTCAGCCATTTTTAAGAACAAGAGAATTTCTGTGGCAAGAAGGTCATACTGCGTTTGCTACGAAAGAAGAAGCCTGCGAGGAGGTGAGGTTTTAGACAGACTGTTAGTGATTCAGTAAAGGCATTCTGACTATTGATTCAATGCAAACGTTTGATCAAGTAATCCTGATAATTATATATTTACTATAGACTCGGGTTGAGGAAAATTTATCAGGTAGATGCGTAGAGTTGGGAATTTTTCCAATTGTACTAACTACTTGCTTATTTTCTGCCTACTCTAAAAGTAACATTTTCTGTCTTTGGACTCTGTGAGTTGACAGTAACTGCAACATTTTGTGTCCTGACACTCAATCCGAAAGAAACACGAATAAACACACTCGTACTTTTATTTAAATTATCATTTCAAGCATCAACCAAACAGCGTGTAATCCACGTTTAACATTTTTTAATGAGTAATTGACCCGGGGCCAGCCCTCATTGTTTCTTAAAGCATCTGAAGTGTCAACTTCCAAGGTTGTTCCGACCCCAGCCTTGGGCGGCGTAATATTTCTGGTCACATATTAAAAAAAGTATATTTTGGAATATCACTCCCTTTGGCCCCCTTTTTCTTTTCTGCTGTAATTTCCTCTTTCTCTATGTTTATAGCTGTGGGGTTTAATTTGGCCACGAAATTTTTTAATGGGAAAAGCAAAAAACGACCTGTGACTTACTTGTTAAGACGAGATGTCTCATTTGCTTGCCTTTTGCTACATCTTGCTTGCTACATCTACATCTTGTTGTGATAATCATGATGTCTTGTAGCTACCCTGAAATAAATGACTTTGGATTATTGAAAAAATAATAATCGAGGTTCACGAGGCTCACGAGGTTCACGAGGCTCACATGCTCCGTAGGTAATCTAATGACTATTGGCTTCTTTTTGATTTACTGAAAGTATTATCAAGACTACTGGTCAGGTATGTATTAGTCTATTTAACAGGAAATGTAAGAGATCTTGTGGTTGATAATAGTTTATGTTGATTTGCTCAGGTGTACAAAATTCTGGAACTGTATGCGCAAGTTTACACCGATCTGTTAGCAATACCTGTTGTTAAAGGAAGAAAAACTGAGAAAGAAAAGTTTGCAGGAGGAGATTTCACGACAACGTGCGAAGCATACATTTCTGCAAGTGGAAGAGCTATCCAAGTACGTATTTTTGTGATTACAACCCTTATTATACAGCTTGAGCCTCTGGAACAGCTTGAGTAGGGAAACTAAAGTGGCACCCTCCCTCAGTGCCTATAAACAGCTATCAAGAGTACATTTGAAAAAGAGTACATTTCTTACGTGTATAGATATTATAAAGTGAAAATATAAAATGAATGAACAATGTATAAAAGTTCAAAACAGCAACTGTGTTGCAGCTTAGTTTTAAAAAAGAATTTTCCTAACGCGTTTTATGACTTTGTTCACATTTCATTCAAATTTTCATCGTGTATTTTTACTAATTACTTATCTTACTTCTTTACGGATAATCTTGAATATATGATTGTAGTGTAAAGCATTGTCTTCAATTTATATCAAAACGTTATTTCCTTTGCCAGGGTGCAACCTCGCATCATTTAGGCCAAAATTTCTCGAAAATGTTTGATATTGTCTTCGAAGACCCAGCTAAACCTGTGAGTATAAATTCTTTGTATATCACCGAGAAAGCAGTATTATCCTCAGATTGTGCTTCTCTATTGCGCCGAGAAACGTCTTTAATTTTGTTGATTTTCAACTGGTTGCCATATAAAACTAATTTTTAGAAATGGAACTTTAATCTGCGAACACATCTGATGTAAAGTTGTAAACATGCTAAAATACAGTATTAGCATGAAAGAGAGTTAGACAGAAGAAAGAGAATTAGTGTTCGAAATTTTCACAAGAATTTGTTTCCATAATTTTTACATTAAAGCTGCTGTTTTTTGTTAAATAATATTTCACCTTCAAATAGGATTCGAAAGAAAAGCTCTATGTGTTCCAAAACTCATGGGGTATCACCACAAGGACAATTGGTGTTATGGTAATGGTTCATGGGGATGACCGTGGTTTAGTATTGCCTCCCAGAGTTGCAAATGTTCAGGTGCGTTCTGTTTTTTCTCTGGCAGAAATAGTTTTTTGTATATCACATCAAAACAGCGACAAATAAGTTATTCTTATATTGTTTATACTTATTAGTGAAAGTCAACAAGCCACTAAATACATAAAGGTTGGAAAAGATTTAAGATCCTTTTGGATTTCTATGTAGTAAAAATAATTGCCGAGCATCAAAATGTGATAGTTTGCAGTGGTGGGGACTGCTGATTATGGAGCATGGCAGAATGGTTAAAATCCATTTGTGTTATTCTAAGAAAAAATTGCATATTTTTATCAGTAAATGTTATTCCCTGACTAGTTTGTTCTGTAACTAGATAAATTGACAGTAGATATCAAGTAGATATTTTTTGCTGTGTGATGAAATGGCCTCTGCAACGTGAATTTTTTTATTACAGGTTATTATCGTGCCCTGTGGCCTAACAGCTTCATTGGCTGAAGAGAAGAGCAAAAGCGTTATCAATGCTTGTGATGAACTTATGAAAGATCTCAAGGCAGCAAACATTAGAGCTAAGGTTGATGCTCGCGAAAACTATTCTCCTGGTTGGAAATTTTATCACTGGGAACAAAAGGTAAGTTCATATTTTAAGTACAGTGGAACGAACCTTAATTGTTTGGTTAATTTATTGGTCATATGTATTGTTGATATTTCTAGAGCTATGTTCGCTAGTGTAATAATTTAGGGTGTAGATAAACCCTTATAGATAAAGTTGAAGAATTCATTTCATGATTTCATTTCATGTTTAACGAAGCCACCAAAATAAACTTTTGGCATTTCAATTTTCCAGCATTCGTTTAGCATTCCTAAATTTTTTTTTATCATGACAATCATAAGTTACAAAACGTTTACTCGTTTTTTCTGCCGCCTACCCTGGAGCTACCCTCTTCTGAAGCCTAACATATTACAACCCTAAAAACGATTCAATTTTTTTAAGACTGCTAAGATACAATTCCTTTTTAAATTCCTGTTCTCACCATAATATTAACAGCCAATCACTGAAACGATAATTATGAAATTTATACAAATTGGTTTGTCCTGAATTTAGATAGTTAGTATTATCACACAAAGACATGCAAGGCTAGTGTTATTGTTGAGTACGGTATTGTTATTCTTAGGGAGTTCCAATTCGTGTGGAAATTGGACCAAGAGACGTAGAGAAGAATCATTTTGTTACTGTGAGAAGAGACAATGGAGATAAGGTTCTTATGTTTCTGTCTTGTTGTCATTATCATGTTTCGAAAGAGTCCATGTTGAAATTTTCAACAGGATGTACTGCTCTTTTGAATTGTCTTCTATGTCGTGCATTGTAACTGAGCCATTGTTTGAAATGGCAATGTATTTTTGGTCCAGGCGTTTGTTTTATTAACTTTAAAATATGACTTTTTCACTTTCACCTGACACACCAATGTGAATAGGCTAGTGTGTGTCCTCTTCCGTAAATTCTCGAAGTTCGCGAACATTTTGAAGCAACCATATTTTGATTCAGCTCAGTAAAAAAGGTATTAAATGACAATAATAGATTTGTGCTCTGTCTGTTTCATCCTTAAAAAATGAGAGCAGTTATCTTAATTTTAAAAACAGATGCCAGCATGTGTATTGCATAACGCTACTATCAAGCAAACGTGATAAAACAAGTAAATAAGGGAACCGGCTGCAGTAGAATAATTCGTTTATCAGGATTCAAGTTTTATAGCCAATGGCCTATTTATTTTGAAATTAAGAACTTCTCTTTCTATAATAGATATATTCATACCGACTTTTGTTTATCGACCTTCCAATAGTAACGAACCTCTCTTTACAGAAATTGTTAATTTTCAAGCAACAATACCTCTGCGAATATTTATTATTTGTTTTTAGTTGTACATATTTTGACTGTTCATTATATTTTACCTGCACAGGCAACCATAGAGAACGATGGCAGAGTAGGACGTCTTGCAAATATGCTGGATGAAATACATGCAAATATGTATTCAAAGTAAGATATTTATTATCAAAATGCGTCTTTTTTTTAAAAAGGATAATACATATTGCTTAGTACATGTGTCGTTTTTTGTTCGGCCGGGAAAGATGTTTATCTCCCCCACCAGTCAATTATCTCAAAGCTGCCGCCAAAAAACCCCGTCGTCTCGGTTTTCAGTGAAATGCTGTATTCAACAGCCTTCCTTGCGATTGTCGGCCGTGCCAACGTCCATGTTTCTTGGTCCTGCCTAAGGCTTTTGTTGCAAATGGTCAAAAAGGTACAATTTTTCTCTGACTCTCGAAATGTTTTATTCTCAATATACAGAAACACCCAGATAAAAGAAATTGCAGTTATTAACGTTAGCCCGTGATTTTCAAAGTGTGAGCTTAAGTTCTTTATGGAGCAAGATTAATCTGAATTGGACTCATTTTACGAAGAGTGATCAGATAAGGAGGATATGTAGCAGGGAAATCTGGCCCACCGTAATTACTGATGACACGTGTATTCATTCGCCTTAAAGCCTTTGAATGTCCAGAAATCTAATGATCATATTGGTCATAAGCTCTAAGTTTCATGGCAGCTACCATGAATCAAGGGAACTCTTACTTTTTGACAATATTCAGATCTACTGCCACATGTACTATGATGAATCTTTATTTGCCTTTTTCAGAGCTGAAAAGGATCTTGTTGAGCATCTAGCTGTCACTACCTCATGGGATGAGTTTTGCACGATGTTGGAGAATAAGAAGGTATTTTTATCTTAGTTTTATCTAGACATACGGCGTCATGGGGCCTTGTGAACAGTGAGAGCTGAATTGATTGGATTTTAATGAACAAGCCAAATGTTTTTGGAAATTTCTTTCCCCTCTTCTTCGCATTTTAAAATTTGAATAAAGATTGGAAAGGTAATGCTGAAAAACTGATTTGCTTAATAAAGCTTTATGTTGACTTTGTATACATTTTGCTTATGCACATTTATTTAATCAGATCATCCAGAGCCCTTTCTGTGGCGCAATATCATGTGAAGAGAAAATCAAAAAGGACAGTGCCAGGTACATTTTATTACCTTATTTGAAGTAGATTGCCAGTTTCTCTCTTCACCTTTGAAACGCACTTTGTTCTCTGTTATACTGTGGAGCCTCCATATAGTTGATACGTTTCGGACAAGTGTAGTTGTCCGTTGTATAGAGGTGTCCGATGTATGGAGGATCTTTTAAGGGCGAAATTGTCTTGTCTATTTGTAATTATCTTGTCTTATTGTCTTGTCTTTAAGGACAAAATTTTCTTGTCTATTTGTATCTGAGAGGTGTTCGTTGTATAGATGTGGTCATCAACGGAGGTCTCGCTGTACGGCTCTTGCGCCTTTATGCTTAGCATCTTACGGTTTATAGTTCAACGATGGAATTTGCTTGTGTTTGTTGATTTTTTTGCCTTTTAAATGGTGACCAACGCTTTCATGCAAGTCAAATAAATCTGGCAGCCAAGTTTAATGCAAAGCAACGAAAAGAAATTTAATAACGAAATAAATGTTCTTGATTTCCAGGGAGGAATCGACCGAGGTAGGAGCCCCAGCCATGGGTGCAAAAGGGCTGTGTATTCCATTCAAGCAGCCAGCTGAGATTACAGATGGTTTGAAATGCATCCATCCTGATTGCAAAGAGCCAGCCAAATTCTATACACTCTTCGGAAGGAGCTATTAGTAACATTCAATAAAATAAAAATGCCTGGTAAAACCATATTTTATAATATTATCTGGTTAAGATTTGGGTAACTGTTAGACTTTGTAGAAAAGTTGTGAAGAAATTTTGTATTGAATGAAAAGAATTGGTTGATCAAAAATTCTAGAATTGGTTGAAAAAAAGCAGTTTGAGTCGTGTTCTTATACTTTGATTTATTTTTCCGAATATTTCTAATGCCGCGCCCTTCTCTAGATCAATGTCATTTTGGAGAAGGAATGGGTGAGAGAGTGGCAGAATTTACCCTTGGCAAATGACGTTAGGATACCGTGATTTTTATGCAGTTTTTACTCTAATATCCCAATCTCTTTGGCATATATTTAACAGAAAAGTTTTCTGTTATACCGGGCAAAAGAGTGAATTTTTGTAGAAAAAGGATTAACAAACGTGGTGAGGCCAAATGATGTGATTTCAACTTTAACGTATAGTTTTTTGGTATAGTTTAAATAAGGTTTTTTTGAAACTTCTCAATTTTTAAAATTTTGAGATTAAACAAAAATAAACATCATAATCATCATTATCAACGCAACTGTGAAGATCAAGACTTGAGACAAAAAGAACAGTTTGGAATCTACAAGAAGTATCAGTTTAAAGCTAAGATACGATCGTACAATCCAAAACCTTAAGAACGGCTAAATTTTTGACAACAAATATTGATATTTACAAATTTCATTTTGAAAGAGTTATTTGTTTCTGCATGTCAACATTTTTAAGGTACAGATATCTATAAATGTTTATAAAGAGGCGGTTAATGAGTGTTGCTGTGTTGGGAAACGCAAAAGATTACAAAGAAACGAATACTGTTTTATATGTAGCCATAGTGGTATTCCTGCATGCTTCCCCTAGCCTATGCCCTCGGTATCGTATAACAACAATCGTTTGAAAGACAATTACATTGGCCAATTTGAAGAATTCAGGGTACCTTGTTTAAAAAGTTATCAGTATTTAAGGCCCATAACAACTATTGTTTAAATTGAAAAATTGACTCAACACTGTGAGAAAGAGAAGATTGATTGTACAATCAACACCTGGATGTTTCATGCAGCCATTTTTGGAAAGGAATGCTCCTTTCAAACCCCTTGAGGGACAAGACGTGGGTTTTTCAACACTCTTTTGCAAGGATCTAAATATTTCTATATTGTAAATTTGAATATGAAAATGCATTCCTATTCAAACCAGACACCAATGAATTCCTATTCTTTACCTGATCTGGTTTAGGGCTGTTTGCGCGTGTATATTTGAGAATATCTTAGTCCATGCTACCACAGGCCAAAACAAGATTCAATAAATTGTGCCTTCGGAACCAAGTCAAATCAGGACCTATATACATCGAATGCGATGCACATTTGGAAGTCGTTCAGCGAAGTACCATAATTTCGATAAAGGGCAAGTAGTGTTTAATATTACCTTAACAAAGCATCCGGGTCATCTACATGTAAAATTAGTGAGTCTATTTACTTTCCTTAAGTGCGAATATTCCATTTACCTGTTAGCAAAAGTACTGCACCTTGAAAATTTGCCTAACTTTTTCACTATTAAAAACAATAATAACAGACATCACTAGAAATTTAAAAAAAGAATCTGCGACGACTCCACTAATTCACCAATGCGACATAAGATCATTCCATAAATATTTATTATACAAGAAACTCGACAAATATAACAGGCAAGATCTAGAAAACAAATCTAGTCTACAAGGCAACTAAAACCCTATCACTGGCTATCCAGTACCTGAAAACACAGCGCCGTCCTTCGAATTTGTCAAAGCCTTCCCCCACCCCTCCTAGCCTAAGATCATCTAAAGCTAAAAAATTCTACCATAAGCTCAGCCAACGACAAGATATCGTTTTCACATTCTATTTATAGAGGGCTTCTCTGCTTCACTACGAAGAAAGAAATGAAATAATAATATTTTCCAATTAAAATTCAAAATTAAAGCAAAATTATTCCGTGCTACATATAGGCTGGAGGTCCTGCGTGATACCAGCCAAGATTCTGCGTGTATGCGTCATGTGGCAATCCTTGTCGAGATACTGCTGCCGAGAACGATGTTTCTACATTATCATATGTTTCTCTTGAACCAGAATATGGGACACCGGAATATGATCCTGGTTCAACAGGAATTGCGCCATAAATTGGTGCAAACTGTCGCACTTGATCGTCACTATCAACAGGACTTGCAAATTCGGTATTTCTCGACATGCCACTAGGAACAGGTTGGTAAGGAGACGTGCTTGGTGACTTCGAGTTTGAGCCTTCGATTACTGAACTGGAAGCGGCCTTGGACGCTGTGGCTTCTCGGGGCGAGAAACCCTCCGATCCCTGTGTTTCTTTTCCATCCTGGTCTTCTTTTACTGCTGTAGCAGTCCCATTAGCCAAATCGTACTTTATTGCTGCAGAGATGAATAAGACAATCTTATAATTTGAAGGACTGGTAAAAATTTGAGAAATATCATCTCTTTAAAAACGTTCCTAAAACTTCTGTTCCTATGGCCAGTAAGTTGCCGTGAGGAAATGCAGTCGTCATCCACTTTCTGAAAAATGGCTTTATGTTTAGGGAAAATCTCTCAACAATCAACCAACAGAAATTCACTACGGCATCGTTGTCAAGGCTTCTCAAGTAATATTATTTGTCTATTAATAGGCAGTCTCGTAGAAAACGTAGAAAATAATAATAGGACCGATCTCGAAAATTGACCGATCTTGAAGTTAATTAGAATGCACCGTTTATACACTTGAGCTGTATGGTGCTTAGTTCATTTGACAGGGAATATTTAAACCGAGTTTTGCACATGTAATGACTGCAGGTGCATCCTAACCAAGCCATGTGACTCGTTAAAACAACCGTTCTTCGAAGAAATTCGATATCTCGGCAGCTGCAAGTGAAGTCACGAGACTCAACCAAAATTATAAAGATGTGATTTTCCAGTTGAAGAAGAATATGCTTTCCATACGAGGACCATAAAGTTGAAAACTTGCTAGATTTAGCTAGGAAGTTTCTCGAGAGACAAAAGGTGATTGTAAATACCTTTAGGACTTCTTGAACTGACATCAGATAAGTTTGGGGATCCAGCTTTTCTTTGAATAGGCAAATCTAGTGTGCTTTCTTCATACTGGTCATCTCCATCTTGGGTAACACTCTGTCTTTTTCGGTAGTTATCTCTACAGGGATACAAGTTGCTAAATTCAATGCATACTCTTTAATATTTGGGATGCGTCGTTAGCATCTGCTTAGAAAAGACTTTCAAAGTCATAAGGATTTTTGGTTTACAAATAGCATAGAACTTCAAGTTGTTCAAAGTCAGGTTACCAGTTCGTTTGGTGCATGCCGTAACCTTACGTATCAAAACGTTCACAGGCAAGCAAATAGCTTCAAAATAATCATCAAAAAATAACGTACCTTCTTCCAGCACCATTTTCCCTGAATCCTTTTGCAAATGGGTTATTGTCAATCTTCAGTTGAGTGACCTGATAAGAGAAGGGGCATCATTAACAAAACTGCAAATGTCTTCCTCTCAGGTAAAGAAGCGAAGATAAAACAAATGACTGCCTCGTATGTAATGAGTCCTGAGACAAAGAAACTGCGAGCAAATGATGTTGCCTACCTTTTCGTTTTGATACGCAGTAACAGCAATAAACTTTGTTTCTGGGAAATTGAAAGTGAAGAAAGGTTGGTAACGCAGGGTGTAGATGTCGCTTGCTTTGACGAAGTGGATTCTTGGTTGATATCTATGCATCGAGTTGAGTATGATCTACAAAAAAACAATTAACAAATTAGCTACTTGAATATTTTAATCGTGATGATTTTACACTGCAAACCATAAATCTCAGTGACAACTATGTCATCGCTTTTATTATGTCGTCTTCATTAGCCATCAACATCAACAATCATAAGAAATTCAAAAAACTTTAAAATGTATGAAAAAACAATAAAAAGATCGTCAAATAAACAAAAACATCATTGTAAGCAATAATCACATTCAGAAAAATAATCATAATCATGATTATCATTTTTGCTAAGATCATCATAAGTCCAAACTAAGAATTCAGCTGCTCGGATGTGAGTCGGAAAAGGTGGGGGCAAAGGACAATTGAAAGATGTGTAGCAAAATAAATATCTTTTAAAAAATACTTTTGTTGAAAACCATTGGGGTGCTATGACCCCCGCCCCACCACACACCGCCCCCTGTCTTTGGTGGCTTAGTAATCTAATATTTGTCTCGTTAATAAGCAAGTCCTTCTACTCACGTGTCCCTGACTATCCATGGTGCTATTTGTAAGCTTAACTTTGTGAAAGGCAATCACTTGCTTCATCCACTGTGCTCCTGTGCTTGGCGAATCTGGATGGATGTACAGCCTACTTGGCAAGCCTGGCTCTGCCTTGCCTGCTACGACCCATTCACTGTTATGGTACTTGTAACGATTGTCATCAAGAGGGATAACATCAAAGAGAACAAAGTACTTGGTCTGTGGTTCAAGACCTTGCACACACAGCCTCATTGGGGGAAACATGCGCCTGAAAAATAATTGGAATTTGATAAAGAAAATGGAATGTGAAGAAAAACAGCCACTGGAATTTAAGGAAAAGGCAGTCATTAGAGTCTGAGGAAAACCTACGGAACTTGAGAAAAACCTACGGAACTTGAGGAAAACCTACGGAATTTGAGAAAAAATTCCCATTTACAATTATCAAAAATTGTAAGTTTACGGAATCTGAGAGGGTTTCGGAAACCTTAATTCACAAGTCATTGATACGTACACGTATGTGAGAGTATGAGTTCCTTAATTTTCTTATTTAAGAGATTCAAAATTAAAACCGATGCCGCAGAAAACCATCTTTCTACACCTTGTTGACCTCGTTTCTATTAATGCTATGCAAATGTCTTAAATCTCGTTGATCTCCTTTCTATTTCTACTAGGCAAATTCATTCATTTTTTTTTTCTATTTTTAATCTTGGCAACTTCCTTCTGAGAATCAGGTTTTGAATAACCGCTTCCTGTAAATAATCTCTGACGGGGTAAGAAATTATTATTGGCAATCCCGCTCAGAATGTTTCAATTTCAACGTATTTATGCAAGCAAAAAAACAAAATTTGCCATGGTATGATGAAGGCACTGGTCTGATCAAATCTCTACCATAAAGATGATAAAATTAAGATTGGAAAGAAATTTTGGAAAGAAATGATAACACAAATCATACAATAGACTCTATAGGAGCAAGTAGAAGCAAAGTGATTGCTGAGTTTAGAAGTGGGACTATGCCACGTCAGTGTAAATTCTTTACTAGGTAATGTAAATCCATAGCCACAACAACTGATCTTCAGAACTTTTTTATGTCATCTGTCCTCTGGCATTATTATATAAGACAATTCTGCAGGCAGATGCATCCTTAAAAAGACTGAACACATGTTCGGTTTCCGAGCAAAAATTGCTTTGAGAAACACAATTTATCATTAGGCTACATACAAGGCAGTGTTTCTATTGAATCTGTCCAGTATAATTTCCTCCAGTCACATTAATGAATCATTAAGATTAAAGCCGAAAGCGAGAAAAATTGGGCATGGTCACACTTAGGCCGGGAGAAAAGTGTGCATCAACACACCCAAGGTGTCACCAAAACTCCATGGCTATTGCAATTCTGTTTTCAACTGATTTTAAAATTCAAAACATGTCACATGTTTTCCTCAATAGCAACATACGTTTCTTTGAAGCGAAGCATATATGGTAACCGGGAAAAGGTGTGAAATCTATGAATTATGTAACTCCTTGCCTCGCCGCTGAACGGGGGGTAATAGAAAGGTCTAGTCACTTCAAGAGTAACGTGAAATCCTTAAATTACGAGCATATTTATTTCAAATTTTCTGAAAATTTATCGAAAAAACTCATCTTTTCAAATGATGAAAATTTATTTTTTAACGGGTTGGAGATTTTAATAAATTAGTTCCACACTTTGTTCTCAATATACACCTATCAATCTTTATTATGCGCATTCTCCGATTTTAAAACATAAAGTGGGTGTGATAAAAGCCTTCCAAAGTTATTTTCTCAAAAAGCCAGTTTTGATCGGCTTAGAGTTTTGGTTTCCAGAAATTTGGAAAGGTTTATTGGTACTTTGGGATTATCTTGTTTTATCTAAATTTGACGTATCATCCTACTAATTCATTCAACGCCGCTAAGCTGGGTTGATTTCATCATTTCATGAAGCTCCGAAGGAGCATGAAAAGGTCGAAGGTCGTAACCCCCGCGCTAGGCCGGCTTATTGATTCATTAAAGGTCAATTCTTCTATTCTCAAGTGGCAACAGTTTCTGAACACGGCAGAAGGTGCGGCTTGTTTACGTAGAAGCGAGCAGCATGTTTTTGCATTGTGGCTTTTGTAATGCAGATGAGTTCACGGCTTTTTTGAAAAAACCTGGTCATTTTCACAAGTTGGTCACTAGGGAAAATTCACTTTGAGGACAAAGGACAAACAATCTATGCAGGTTAAACTAGATCAAAGGCTATCAATTAGCAACAGCGGATACAAATGCCTTCTGGGATTGTTTAAAAGTCCCCTGCCTTTGATGTTCTAAGACCAACATTTTTTATTGAGAAAATTTATCTTAAACAATATGCTAATCAAAGCATTTTCTTAGAATGAAGCATGTTCCCTACTGACTTGCAGAATTCTTTTTTCAACAAGAAATGCTGCTTTAAGAAGCATAGTTTGCAAGAATATGATCCTGCTACATGCAATTTTGAAACTTAAATAAAGACAATAAAAAATAAGTCACTTAAATAAAGACACTTTTTATGAACAAAGATTTCCAAAAGAAAATTCTTCTGAGATGCAATCGATTTACGAAAGTGCTCAAAAAATTTGCCACTAACGAAGCATCAAAGTGTCTTTGTTTCAAAGAAAAAGAGCGAAATTTCTCCCCTTTCTTATGACTAGTGTAATGTCTGCTGTCCTAACTGTCCAATACCTTTGAAATCAGGCGTTGAAACTCCCAGTTAGGTTCGATCCAACAGCCTAACGTTTTCGTACCTTAGTGAAAGTGGGCCTGACACATTAGAAACAAGGAATCATTTGCACAGGATAAAAGCCGTCTCGCATTTTGTTAAGTAACATGTCTAATCTACCTTGTTATGTGCAAAATCTTTTTACTCACACGAACCCTGAAGACTAGAGACTTTAACGCTTAGCTCAAAAGCAATCATTAAGATACATTAAACACAAACGAGATGGCATCCTAAAGCAAGCCAATTGCGTAGATACAAATGCAAAGATCATATTGTATAGAAAAGTGAAAAACCAGAATTATTGGAGAAGAAAAAAGCAAATGTAATACCTTCCAGTTTTGGTGATAATCATTTCGGTACCTAGTGAATCAAACTTGGACCAAAGATCTTTGTTTTCAAGGTGGATGCGTATGTTGTTATCTCTGCTTGGTGGCATTGACGGAAACCTGGGAGCAGGACATGTCGGAAATGGGAGTGCTTGAGGCAGTTGGTCTTCTGGTTTGTATTCATCGAAGCCTCTTGCTTGGCCCATATCGGTGTAGTCAGCTGAAAGGAAAAATACAAATAAATACCAAAGTAAACTTCTTGCAGACCATCTACCGAAATGCAACAATTTCCTTAAGCGCCGTCTTTGATAAAGTATTCTACAAAAATTACAGATGGCTTATTTAGGCTTTTTTCATTCCTTCTTTCCTTAAAGAATTTCTTCAAGGACACAGGATAGCAGGAGCGAAATAGCGATTGAAAATCTATAAAAACGAAAAGGTAGATGAAAAATCTGAAAAAAGAAACTTCAAGAAATGTCAGCAATGTGCTCAAGAAGTATCGACAGAATATGAAGACAAGTTTCCTGCTATTCTTGGCATCTTGATCACAATTTTACAAATAGCCCGAGCAAGAAATGCAGAACGAGAGCGAAAAATTATGCCGAGAAGAAGCTACCAACAAAGAAGCTACATTCATTAGATACTTTCTAAAGTGCGTTTCTTGATATGTACCCTACTCGTATAGTCCTTTATACTGTTATACAGCAAGATCTTACCGTTTCCAAAGATTGATTCGGTATGGTTGGAGAAAGAGTTCTGAAAGCCCGGATATTGCCCAGTGAGTCTTTGCGAAACAAGAGAATTGATAGAAAATGCTCTTGATCTGGCGGAGAAGTAGTCTTCATTTTCGTAGAGGCCAAGAGTTGGACAAGAAGGCATAGGATACCTCGCAGCCGATATGGGATTCCAGTTAGTCTCCATCGATTACAGACTTGAATGTTTTCGACACTTTGAAACGAAGTTAGCAAAGCAAGGCGATCGTTCTCACAAATTTTTCACAGATTGTTTCGCCAAGACAAGATTCAACTGCTAAAGAAGTGTCGAGGCTCTTTATTTAGACACCAGCACCATTCAAATTTGCATTTCCCCAGAGTGCGCATTGTTTAGCGTTATACAGAACAATATATCAAGCATTGTTCAATGTGTCGAAATACAATAGGAGGCCAAGCAGGATGATGCCTTGGTCGATTTGTCAGTAGCCAAATAACAAAGAGAACCCGACAAAATTTCCTCCTCCATAGTGGACGTCAATAAAGTAAGGATGGCTGTTAAGCAGCTCCTACGTAGCAGCTATTTCTGAATAATCAATCCTGAATTCGACACATAAAACAAAGAAGTCCTAAGGCCCTCTATGTATCCATTCCGTCATCAAAAATGAAATAGGGTCCAGTCCTATACGATATTATACTAACAGTATATATTTTGCTGAGCCAATAACTCGTGGTTGCATAAAATTTACGGCTCGGCTATTCAACCAACCTTAAATAAGATCCTAGGGTTATTCATATCGAGTTGATTGAACCAAAATACAAAAAGCGCCTTCTTTGAAGCCATTGGCTAAGTCAGTAAACCAACTTATACCATGATATAGCCTAGGGAAGCCAACATACTATTTTTCTTTACACTGCCTAATTCGAAGCGAAGGTTAACCATCGTTGATTTTCATTTGCCTCATCGGTGTTTGTGAGAGATATAATATAGCCAAAAAATCGCTAAATTTGAAAAGTTGAAGACTAAATTCGAACAAACATATAAAAAACGTAATTTTAAGGGGCGAGTGTCTAGATTTTTACTTGTTACCGATAGACTTTATCAATGAAAAAACCTTCTGACCTTCATTCTGTCAGCTTCTTTCTCCACCATTAACTGATAAATAAACACTAAATCTGGTAGATGATTGATATTTTAAACACTTCTGAGATCATCTACGTTATGGATTTTACTTAGATCATGTTTGGCTAATCTCACCTAATGGATTACACATGGCAAAATAAAAAGGTCCAGATAGGAACCTTGTGTTGATGCCACAAAACTTCCAAGCCAATGACCATAATGAAATTTAGTTGAGATTTCGCTCTAGAGTGATTTTGGGTTAAAATGACCCTTTGATATTGGTTATCAAGAATGACTATCAAGCGTGAACTTAAAGAAAGGAAAAAGCAGCAAGTAGTGCAGAAATACGGCTGCTAAGAAAAACACTGCGAATACCGAGGACACTTTCACTACAAACGAAAAGGTGGCACGCAAAAAGGCAGATCCAGCAGTGTTAGCAGATCATACAGAGGCCACTTTCATACAGAGGCCACTGAGGTCATTGCATGAGGAAGGGCGGTGTCGCTTTCTGGTCATTGCACGACGAAAGGCGATTAGTACGAGGGAAGAGTGTAAGAGAAGACAAAGTCAAACTTTTATCGCCTGCTACTGAAGACTGATAGCGTACCGTGGTAGCCTACATCGCATTATATATCACTTAGGCTCTGACAATGCTAACTTTACATACTTTGGCAGGCTGAAAGTGTGTAAAATATTTTTTGGTTCTCTAGGCGGAGTTCTCGACAAAATTCTAGCTAATTGTGGGTAGTTAAACAACGAACATAATTTAACATACGCAGCCATTCAAACATTAACGACACTTTTGCATCTAGCTCTGAATTTTGTTGGTTGAACAACTTTAGAGGTTTTTCAAATCAGAAAAAAATATACAGAGGCTGTTAGTAAGAACCCTGCAAAAAATTCCAAAGCCAAAGGACAGCTTGTGAAGAAGTTATGAAAGACACTTCGAATAACTTGCTTCTGTTCTCCTTTTTGTTTGAGACAAAGACACGTTTTCAAACTGGTTAGGTTCACTGTGGTGTGACCAGATAGACGGAGGATGAAGATGACCCCAAGATTTTAGAAAGATAGAGCGTGAAAGAATCAATCATTTAATTGCTGCGCAGAGAAGAAGAATCTTATTTATTGGCAAATTCATTTCAAGCCTGTCTGCCTGACTGTTAACTGTTTTGAAGGTTTGAAGAGATTTGAAGGTAAATTTTCGGTACAGTCCTTTAGAACCAAATATTGATTGTGTCTGCCTAATTACAAAACGTTGTTGCATTTATAAAGAACCACCGTGACTTCTTATTATAAATAACTTCTTTTTTACTGTTAGAAATTTAAATTATCAATCGTCTATCGTTTTATTATTGCATTTTATCAAAATCCAGACTAACAAAACTGTGCAGCTAACAAAAAGACCAAGAACTTTATTAAACCACATCTACAAACCGCCATAACTTAGCTTGATCGATTTTCTACGGTCCCTGATACCATGTGGTCATATTCAGATCTAAGTGTGCATCGTTCTAACTTTTGCTTCAACGTGTCTTCTGCATAAAACTTCATTTCGAGATCGACAAAAAGTTGAATCTTGCCATTCCGAGGCTAATGGGCCTCCAACCCATCATAGCATGAACTCATGTTTATCCTTAGAAAGGACTGGTTTGATATCACTTCAGTTTTCATAGAAACTGACACCCAATCACTCAATGACCCTTCTGAGTTCTGCACGGAGTAGTTCTCAGAAAAAGCATTCTGCCTTTATACAAGAAAGTCAATCGAAATATTTGCGGTTTAGGAAAAATGACAAGATTTGCATGGCTAAATTAATGGCCAAAAACGTCAATTAGAAGTCATCATTTATGCTACTTATTCTTTAAATAGTTTCATTGTCTCAGGACCTTCTACAGTTTTCTTGATATTACATCCATCCCCGTGATCGCCTCTTTGAATCAAGTTCACTTGGTTCGACGTAGAATTGAATAAAGACCAGCAGCAAGATCCTTCGAAACCTGGTAAAGCATCCGACAAAAACAAAAAACAAACTCAACCGCAACGACAACAATAACAAGACCTACAACAACGGCAACAGTTAATTCAACCCCTTGTAACTAAGAACATGACGACATAGCTCAAAAGAACAGCTCACAGGGCGTGGTGTCGTTGCTAAACGACTGAGGAAGACAAAAACTAATATGGAATCACTAGCAAGAGAGTAGGAGCCCCAAAGCAGTTTTTGATTAAAAATTGTCTACACTCTTTGAGCAGTGAAGAAGTGTTGCAGTGAAAGGAAAGTTCTTTGAAGGAAAAGGATTCAAAATATTCTTCAATGAAGGATTTTTTTGGATGGTTGTGTGACTAAGAGACAAGGGGCACAACTAAAAGACCATACGCTCAAATCAATCTTCTTAAAGGTCCTGCCGCCTGACTTTACTAGCAGCTAGTCGACTTTGCTCTAATAAATTATAGTAATCTTCAGCTAACTTAATTCAATAGGCAGTTACGTCTTTGCAGTTTTCAGATGCTAGTGATATGTAATACGTTCCAAAACATGCACATTTAAAACTATTTTTAAGCTATAAAGTACCATCATACCTTTTTGAAGCTTATTTGATGTCACAGAATATATATTAGATTTGGACAGTGCCTAAAAATATCAGCGGAGACCCGAATGAAGGATTTTTTTCTTGCTTAAAGATAGACGAGGGAGAAGCCCTTTTTGTACCTGTTCATGATTAAGAAGGAATCTATTAGACTTTTCACTGAATTTTTTGTAAGGATTTTTCATAAACCAGGAAAAAGCCTTTCTTGAAAAACCAACACGAAATATTGTAGGTTTTCATTACGAGCAAACATTACCCTTGATTGTAACATCAGAGAACGAAACTAACTGACAAACCTTTAGTCGAGTCAGGTGATCCCATACTATCTTCTGGAACATTTGCCTCGATTTCATCAATTGGTGACGGTGTCCTTGGTTCAACTTTTATGATTACCGAATTTGGGGAATGGATATCCTGCTCATTCCACAACATCGATTTATCAGGGTTACTGTGTGGAGAGTGTATAGGTGGTGGGGTTTTTGGATCAACTTTGAGAATTTCCTGTTCCCCGTTGCAAAGTTCATCTTCAGAATGACCCTCTGTCCGTTGTGGTGATCTGTACGCATCCATACAAGGACTGCTAGAGTAATGCTCATCCATTGATGTATCCGATAAATATGGTTCTGTTTTGAATATAGTAACAGGCGGAGGAGACATTTCTATTTGATGATCAGGTTTTCTGTAGATGTCTTTGTCGACGATGGGCGGTCGTCTTTGAATGTCAATGGATGTACTATCGAGATCAATCATAGTTTGTTTTGCAAGAGGCCTTTGGCTAAAGCAATGCCCTATTCTTATTTGGGGAGTCCGTTCCTTTCTCTTGCTTTTCCAAACGTCTCTTCGCCCACTTGGTTTCCAAACAGCGCCATCTGAGTGGTATCTGTCACATCCATGCGATCTCCCCGTTGGCAGTATGTCCCGCATTGACTTACTGCCATTGTCAATCCTATCGGTATCAGCTTGATGGCATTGTTCGCAACCATGATCGCTGCATTCGGATCTTGACTCAGAATAAGTCTGTGCAGTATAGGGAATGGGTCGGTCCTTGTCATACTGTGGGGGCCTGCGAAAAATACAAACAGGATGAGAAACTTTAAAACATTAGAATCCAAAAGTAATAACGTCATTAAAACTTAATTTAGAATTTTCAATTTTGACCACATAAGCAAAAAGAACAAGATGAAATACTTTTAAATTTGCAAAATCAGTAACTTACGTTATATAAGATTTCATTATTTTTAAGTAGCCTGTACTAAAGTAACCCGATCTCAGGCAATTGAGAGGTAAAATTAGTATAAGAAAAGTACGACGAAGATAAGACTTTGTACACGAACAAAAGAGAAGTACGACGTTGCGAACATAACTCTTCATCATAACTCTTCTTCCTGATGAAGAGATATGCTTGAAACGTCGTGCTTACCTTTCAATCGTGTACAAAGTCGCTATTCAGTTTCATTAATTTTTGCTCATTACTTTTGCTCATTACTCGATGTACAAGACGTTGAACTATATTGAGTATCAATCCGGCTTAATGCTAAAAATCCAAAATTTCTAAAACCAGACCTTTGTGACGTTATCACTTTTCCACTCTTTATTCTTGCCGAGAATGATATGAAGAGGAGGTGCAACCCTAATATACAATTCTTCCTTGAAGTTATTTTCATCAATTCCCATTTCAGATATTTCCGATAAAAGATGGAAACAATCGAAAATGTATACTCGGTAGTGTGAGATATTAATATATTTCGAATACTATGAGTCAAGATGCATTGGAAATTCAAAATATAAGATATCTTGTACCTCGTTTTATGAGCAACCTACTAGGAGCCAACACACTTTATTCAACCATTAAGACATAGTAACAAAACACTATGCACGAGGATATCAAGTATTGACCTCTCCTCGTAGATTGAAGGAAAGTCATATCTTCATCCTCGTTTTATTGTTGTTCGTGCGTGTTGCTTGTAATTTTGATCTCCCTGCAACTTATATCTACCATCGAAAATTCACAAGCAATGCAATTTCAACAGTTTAACTAAACAGACACTCAGGGGATTAATAGGAAGAAAGGAGCACAATTTGAGGGTTGTGGGATTTTGAGAATCCTCGGAGGTTTTTATGTTTTGGATGCTCAAAGTTAAAAGCCCGGAGAGTTTTTAGCTTTAAATTACCTGTAAAAAATTACAAACATGTACGTAAGACGATAAATGTAAGTAAATTGTACCAGGAAAATTTTTTTTTAAATAAATAACATGTTATTTTTTTTGAAAAAAGTTTTTCCTGGTACAATTTACTTACATTGATCGTTATTATAGCATCATATTGTACCGCACGCAATCTAGTATATGTACGTAAGACATCATCAAACATTGTTTAAAAAACATGTTTTATTCGTTTGGCCAATATGTTTTAGTGTTCTTGTGATGTTTTGAGACAATTTAAGGAATTAAAATTTACAAAAAATTTCATAAACACTTCCTTATCGTTTAATAATTCAGTTTACCACGAATGGGAACAGTTTTTCTAAAAATTTTGTTCACGAAAGCGTTTTAACTCAACTTCCTATTAACAAATACACGTTTTGAAAATATTCTTGTAGAATCTCAAAAAATGAAAAGCAAAAACGAAAAACTAGGTCAACAAAGGCAAGAAAAAGGCGGAGAAAAGAAAACAAAATTAACTGGGCCACCTTTAGCTTGAGTTTGATGTGTAAACTCCCTACCTCGCTTTACCAGACTCCCTACCGCGCTGTACCAGACTCCCTACCGCACATGGATGCTACATTTGCTTGAATTTTTTTGGTTTAGGTCACAAAACATCTTTCTATAAACTATAATCAAGCATTTTATGATAAACCGTGTTCAATCAGTCATTGATAAGACATCAATTAACAACATCTGATAAAATGTTGGATTACCGTGTTCTATGCAATTTCAATTCGTTTTTCATTTTGGAGAATTCCAACTTGGAAAACCAATGCATTTTTAGCCAATTCTCGATCCATTTACAGTTCTCCCTTAAAGAAATAGCTACGAAAAGTATTTTAAGTAGAATTACTGCAAATGTGTTGAAACTAAAATTTGATTCTAAATTTCTAAAAGAAAGTTCTTGAAATTAGTCAGCAATAGGAAATTTATGCGTGTGAAATATTCGATTTATCAAGGAAAGGCAGAGTTGTGAAAACGCCTCAACCCCCTTCCGGATGAAGTATACCCATATTTGCCTTCCCAAAAATGTTCTTGTATCGGTTGAAAACGTTTAACAGAAATGGAAATTAAGTTAAATTAATATAGTTTGGTAAATGAACATTAAAATAACAAGAAATGAATGTTTGGTACGACGTTTCAAGCATAACTCTTCATCAGGTAAAAAGGGTAAAAGGAGAAGGGTTAAGAAGATAATAATAGAACAGTAGAATCGAAAGATAAACTATATGGAATGTAGTAGGAATACGACGTAGAACGTAAGACAAGATGGAAATAGGTGTGGGGGTGGAAAGCGTATATACAACGTACGTAGAAATACACCTTCAAGAATCAAGAAGAGAGGACGCCAGATGCCACAGTCTTTATTCATCTCAACAATGATGGCCATACACCAGCCAACATGAAAATCACTGGACTTTGCTACGCACCTCATAACAACACTAAACGCAAAACCCTCGAAAAACATATTATTTTTAATTTTGGTACTCTTATTCCTAATGGTCTTAATAAGCAATTTTCCTTTCTTTCCTAATCCAGCTATTATTAATTTCACTTTATCTTATCTGTACGCTTTCCACCCTCACATAATTTCATCTCGTCTTACGTTCTACATCGTATTCCTACTACGTTCCATCTAGTTAATCTTTCGATTCTACTGTTCTATTTTCTTCTTAACCGTCTCTCCTTTTATTCTTTATTTACCTGATGAAGAGTTAAACTCGAAACGTTGTACCAAATATACATTTCTTGTACAAAGTCGTTATTTTATTGCATCAAATTTTGTATATCTTACAGCGAGAAAAACAAAGGGCGAAACAAAAAAAGCCAATAATAGATACTGCAACATTGCTTGCATTTGTTGGGAAGGGAAGACAGCTTTCGAGTGACTTCTAACTTCTTTTGGCTAGGTGGTAGTATGCAAACTGCTTTGGTACAATAGAATTAAGACTAACGTTTGCAATGAGCCTGAAACAGTAAACATAAATCTGACCAGATTGTGCACAAAAGCACCAATTTCTAACAGCTTTGAACGACATCTTGCTCTTGCAGTTGTGCACAGCACAACACAACGACTTAAACAAGTAGGATCCATCAACTAGCACTTTTTCAGTTCCAACACTTCGTGTATGTATAAACTGGTAGAAGGAACGATATCTTAAAAGCTAAGTTGATCTATAACACATTTCAATGGATCGATACTGATGGCAGTATGATGAAAATTGGGCCTTGATAAGTGAAGCAAACGAGTACTCGAGAGTACGTGTTAATGACTTAAGATCTATGCCTTGTCTTTACTTAGTATTTATCTGGTGCATGCTTAGTTTCTACCTGGTTTATATCTAGGTATTTATCATGTATTTATTTGATCTATTTTATGTATTTTACCTTTTATATGTATTTTTAACTTTTATATGTAATTAATGTATTTTAACTTTAAATTTTGTGGAAATAAGGCAAGTTATTAGCAGCCTACTGTAAATAAATCTACTGTAATTAAATTGATAATAATAATTATATCTTTCTGATAAACTCCAGGACTATTCCTTGTCATACTCACAACTGATATACTGATATACTCACAACTGGGTATATATATTTCCTAGCGTAGAGTTTTCGATCTATGTTCTGACGTTTTAAACTCTGAAGAGTGTCAAACGAAAAGCTTTAGTTTACTAAATGTTTGCTTTTTTCAAAGCCATTTACTATTCCTTGTCTATGCCTGATCTAAACATGGCTCATTTCCTGTTTAAACCTGGTCTATTCATGATCAATGCTTGGTCTTTTCCTGGCATAATCTACAGATCATGTATGTTAGCTCTATCCCTGGGCTATTATTTGTCTCTATAACTGGTCTTCAGGTGGTTCGGGGACAATTCCCGTAACCTTTTTTTGATATATCTAAATAGAGGTTTGATTGAATTGGCATGTCGTATGAGCAAGTAAATAATTTCATGATTAAGCATTTGTTTCATACTATTTTAATTCATACCAAAATATAATAATAACACACAAATAAAAGTTACGTTGAGTCTGGAAAAAAGCAAAATGTTTGATTAAAGCAAATTTTGTAAACGAAAAAAAAATATAGGGAAAAAATCTTCTATACTAAACCCTCTATATACTATACGCTTAAACACTCACACTCTATATACAATACGTATAAACAAAATATAAAATACACTTAAAATTCATTTGCGCTGCGTTGCTACACCATTTATGATTTTAAAATTCGAATTATATATTCCGTATCAAATAGGTAATATATGGACCCTTTCCAGTTTTGGGGGATAATTTTGTTGTGAAATGTGAAAACCACAAAAAATCATTATATTTAATTGCAATGAATGCTGATCCCTAACGACTAGATCTCGCGACTTTTCACTGAACAATAATCTAATGAAAAGTCTAGTAGTTTGGCCACCTTACAAACGACCAGGAAACTCCCATCAAAACCATGGAAAACTTGTTTAAAATCGAAGATAAAAACTTAAACTATCATAGTGAGAATGGAGAAGATGAAGCAATGAATGGATTGCTTTAACAAACAATTACGAAAATAAAAGCACCGAAAGGATGAGAGCTTGCGTCTGGCTCCAAGCCTTCTAATCCTCAGGAAAGAAGCTTTGACCAAAAAAGTTCAGTTAAGAAGAAATCTTTCTGCAGAAGAGAAAACTTTGTAAAAGCGAGGTTCAAAGCTCTGTATAAAGAAAAGTCTAGCCGTTTGGGCGCAACACGAAACATCAAGAGATTTTTAGAGTGCAAATATATAGCAAAATGTCGAATGAGAAATCTAGGCGTTTGACCAATCCTTTAACTATCAGGAAGCAGCTACTTAGGTTTCTTATAAGCGGTTTCTCACTTAATGAGTGTAAACAAGAGACAAAGCGAAAACCAAGGGAGACATAAACTCCTGATATTCAGCAGATGAATACATTGACAGTGCCAAAGGGGGCTTCAGTCCCCCTTAATCTTTTGCAAAAAACGTTTTTAAGAAAAACAGAAAAGAATAGAAAAGAAAAAGAAAAAAGAATAGAGCAATAATCCTTCTATTGCTTGATTTCTAAAATATGAGCCGAGGTCTAGGGAGCCTTATCATAAAACAATGAATTCTATTTAAAGACTAGAATTAAAAAAAGGTAACAAATTCATGCCTAAAAACTAGTAAAACGTTTTAAACAATTGCGAGGAAATGAATGCAAGAAATATTCTGGAATGTATTTTAGGCTAAACAGAAGGGCATGGTTTGCGACCAATTTTTTGCTTGCTTCGCTCGCAGGGAAGCCTTTTCTTTCAAGTATACCTAGGGCCTCCGATGACCTCTTGGCTGCCCCTTCCAATGTAAACGAGTGCCCACAAAATCATAGGCATAAAATATCGTGACGCAAAGTTGGTCTTTTAGTTAAATAATGCTATCAACTCGAGCCCCATCGCCCTGAATTTTTTGGCGCCGTCCCAAGGATACAGTAGATTGATTATCGTATGAAAATAGAACATAGTCGACACACCACTTCACAAAAAATTTTAAAGAAGAAAGAAAATGCACGACTGAAAGAGTTAGAAGATTCAAATGGTTTATTACCAACCGAAAATTGGCTTATTCAATTGTGCATTATATTTGACCAAGCCCTGGAAGGGAATTACTGGGGGAATTACTGGGGGAAGGCGGGGGCTACAGCAAAATCGGATGATTCGGAAATTTAACTTTCTTGGAATGCAGAATTTTGAAAACTCAGTATGTAGAGAAACACTTTCTAGGGATTCATCCACACCTATGACCAATACCCCCACCCCATTTCGCGACCGAACTATAGTCCTTTCTGTCTGTTTTCTGTCAAAAGGCAAAAAACTGGTTGATTTTAATAGACTTCAAACCTCAAACCCCTGAGGCAACATGCCTTCTGGCTTCCTCCTCGGTGTCACTGACAGTGATCTGACCAATTGATAACCATTACAATTTCGTGATCAACTTTTCGGGCTGTAACATTACCCTCAGCTCTATTAGCTTGAGCTGCATTTTACTAGGATGTGGAAACTGGTATATGAATTGTCCATATTTGTCACAAAAAACATCAATTAGGAGAAGGATTAGATTTTCTTTATGCAAATTTTCAAGGGATGATAAGCCAAGCTGAAACAGACATCGTGAACCTAGCTGAAAACCGGCTGAAACTTGAGTAAATCTCAAGGGGCGGATATATATCCAATAGGAACGTAGAATATACCATTCCAGAAAACATGTGCCATAAATTTGAACGATCCCTTTACTTCCAAGATCTTGCATGCACACACCAGAAAACCTGGCTTGAGAACGACGAAAGCTCGTCGATCATACAAAACATGAGAATATATGCTTTACATAAAAGACCATGCCAAAGCTGAAAAATTATTCAAATCTCCCACCCTTGAAAACCTGGCTTGAGAACGACGAAATTAAAAGCTCGTCGATCATACAAAACCTGAGAATATATGCTTTACATAAATTACATAAAAGACCATGCCAAAGCTGAAAAATTATTCAAATCTCCCTCCCTTGAAATCCATAAGTTCAATGTTTGACAGATAAAAGAGATGGTGCGATACACTAAATTTTTTGGGACATAAACACAACTTAAAGGCATTTGACATGCATCAGTACAGCGAATCAAAAAATAACTTAGGCCAAATTGATCAGAGCACGCGCACAACAATGGAATTGGAAACTGCTCACGTGAAACCACTGCGCGCTGCTCTAGGATTTCACCGATTTGCAGAAAGACGGGAACTGTTTATGTGTTTTTTCTCTATGCGAAATGTGATTGGTCAACCGCTCGTGGTCGAGTGGCTGTAAGCCATTTTTACCTGGTCAAATGTCTTTTATGTCTATTCCCTGTCTTTGTGATGAAAAACCTCATTATAGCAAATAAGCAAAAACTCATATAAAATTTAATTTCTAAACTTATTTTTTCATTGTTTATCTATTCATAGGGACAGTGGTCCGTCAGTCGCACATTTTAATAAGACAGATACTGATGATAAACATTTTTTACGCTTCTTTATTTTACACATAATATAGCTTGTATTTTTTATCACAAGGACAATTTTTCAATGTTGTTATTTCGATAATATCTAAATTCCAGAACTAAACAAATTTCGGCAACTCTTGTATTCCAAAATATCTCACCCGTAAAATAAAATATCTTAAGCGATGACGTCACAAATACCTCTTTTTCGAATTGGATAGTAAAATTTTAAATAGCATTATGAAAGATATCTAAATATTAGTTAAATATGATACAAATTGGCCGAGAAATGGCAAAATGAGCTTATGCTCTTTTCTTGTCAAATCACTAGAGATTGGCCATGGCTTTCGAAATTATGTCCCAGTACAGGCAAAAGCAACAGAATATAAACAATTTATATCCTTCGCTTACTATTCCCAGTCAATTTGCAAATGATTGGTACTTTCTCATTTTGTTCTTTCAGGTTATGTGGCAAAAGTGAAAAGTTTTAAGATAAAGTTTTCATCACGCCCCTTTGACACACAGATACTTTAAATAACATTCGTCTTAGAAAGCCTCTTTCAAATATCGATATGTTTTCATTTTTTAATTTTTGTCGGGCTCTTCCTCATTTTTGTGGGTTTTGAAAAATGTTTGAGGCAAGTGACATCCGTGTTATAAATACGAAAACCAATGATTCGCAAGTGTGACGTCACAAAGTGCTTTGAAAAGTAGAAATGTCAGTAAACAGTTTGGTTTTCTTTTCTGAGCGTATGTTGCAGTTGTTATATATCGACAGTCCAGCGTGGAGTGTACACGGATTGAGAATTGCAAGTGACTGTTCATAAAACACGAAAGATCACCAGTACATTTCGAATGCAATGAAATTAGGGAAAATATTGAACGGGCTTTGATCGAATTTCTCAGATCTTTGGATGGCCATGCTGTGAATTTTGCGGCGGAGTTCATCAATTTGATTTAGCTAATTATCTCCGCATTCATGCAAAACACATTGATAGCCTTGGAAATTCTATGAGATCCCAATTTACGACTGACTTTGTAAACAACAATTTCCTTGAATCTTACTGCCTTTACACACCTATAATTAACGTTAGACTTAATCACACCTTTTTTAATAGTCCTCTAGTAATAGTCAAATTTTTGCACCTTGCCTCCCAAGGGAGCAATAAATCAACAAAGAACGATGACTTGACTACAAACATTTATAACACTCTGTCCGCTACTAGTATACTTACGGTGTTTTAGCGTGGCAAGAGCGGCAGAATAAGGCGTGAACTTCGAGCAAGTGCAGAGCAAAGTCTCCGTTTCGTGAGTTAGAGTACTTCCACGCTTTCTGTATTTGCCAGTCTAAGAAGGCGCGAGCAAGGTACACCTTTGTTTCGTCTCGCCTCCTGTATGACTTATAACGACTTTCTTTAGCATTTTCACCGTACAACAGCGGTCGGCCCCGCCGTGAAATCGGTTTGTGCAAGTCGTCATCTTCGAGCGCCATATTTACCTGTCGAATAGTGGTTTTGTGAGACTCACTGGATCTAAGAAAGATTAATCTAGTTCGTGAAGCATCTAACAGGTTCTAGACATCTGTCCGGTCCTTTGTTTTATGAGACCCACAAAACTTTTGAATAAGAAAACCATCATAGAGGCCGCGATGGCTTTAGGACAAAAGGAGAACAAAAGAGGTGCGGAGAATGACGCCATATGTTCGACCGCATAGTGAAGAAACAATGTGAATTTTCGCGCCCTGTTGAGCAAATGAGAAGTTGTGAAAAGCTGAATAGAAAACAGACAGTTGAGCAATAAAACTGTACAAAAGGTACGAAAACATCTAAGCGATGGAAAGAAACCGAAATAAACGTTCACTTGCTTTGGAATTATGCGTGGCAACAATGGAATAAAGAGGTGATCTAACACGCGCATTCCTATCGCCATTGTGAGCCGCAACAGAACATCGTAAACAAAATGAGCTTGTTATGTGTTCAGGAAGCTCTAGGTGCTGTGAAATTGAATGGTTATCTGAGCAACGCTTTATTTTGCAAAGCATCCAATTGATTATGCAGCAGATACAAAAGTCAATTCGATGAGATTCCTCCTTTGATCAAATATTTCAGAAGTAGCAGGCGTGAAATGTTTTCTCCTCCGCAATAGCCCTCCATGTTACTTTCCACGCAGTCCCTCGTAGTGTACATAAACATAATATAATTTTCAATCATTATAAAGTACGAATACCGAATTTGATCTTTTAACCGGGCGTTTATTAAATTTATGGCTTCTCGGGGGGGGGGTTAATATTTGAGAGGGGCGTTTATTTGTCGAAAAACCCTTTGCAAAGATAAGTCTTTTCCAAATCAATCAATGCAAAATCTGAAAAGTTAAACATTTAATCAATTGTTAGAAAAATCATCTTCCTCTTTATCTGAACCAATCTGTTCAGTTGGTAGATTCTCTTCCACGTTAGAACCCGCTATTTAAAATGGATCCTCTTTCTCGTTTTTATCACAAGATGTGACGGTTTTTAACATTAAGATATTGTAAAGGAACATGGAAAAAATTCGTATTTTTAACGGGGTCAAGATAACATTGTCGCAAAATCTTGAGAGATTTTTAGGAAACATGCAAGAGACATCATTGAGGATGAGGAGATTTTTTGAGAATTTAAGAGAAAATAGGAACACGGGCCTACGTGAAGCCACATTTTCCAAGTTACCTTCCTCCACTTTTCAAAACCGGTTGCCTAAACCCTTAAAGTAAATATCGTGCCAATTGTCGTAGGTTCTTAGCGTGTTTCCCATTCCAGACAAACAGCCAAAGATAGATTACTTTCGCAAGATAAAATAAACACGCAACTTGACTCGGACTACCAAATTATCTCGAAATCGTTCAGAAGTAAAAAATAACCACTATTTAACTGGCTTTACACCAGTGTATAGTGTCTTTCAAAGACCGAGGTACAGATTTTTGTTTGGGGGGGGGGGGGGGGGGTGGCAGCCCTGATAAATAAGTGCAGCCATTTTTTACAAAATAAAAGTATTACTATCAGTAAAGGCTTTACTGATTTACGTGTTTTTATTGTTGTTTATTCTCGGCGTACTGTGGTGTTTCATATTTGCTACAGTTTTATCGACTTTTCGCCCCAAGAACTCCTTGGAGCCCGTCGAGCAGCCTGCTACAGTGGCCTTTTCTTCATTCACATATTTTACTTATGCCACTCAGTTCAAGTTTTTGGGGACCAAGGCCCCCCGGTATATCGGTCCATGGTGCGTTTAGCTGTTTTTCGAATGCATTTCCACATAATATTCTGTGGTACTGCACCTATTTACAGCCTCGTTTTGATAGAAACTCAACAAATTTAGGGCTTGCCTTAGCATTTAAGTTGAGCTTTCTTATTTTTCCTGGTACAGAAATTAAAAATAGGTTTGAAAAAAGCAAGCATTTAAAAAGAAACTGGATTTTTGCATCTGACACACTTCATAGAATATCTTAGAGAAATCAAGAATGCAAAAAAGATATCCACTCATTTTTGCAAACAATATTTGCACTCATTGGTTAGAAGGCCTAAATGTAGTTACTTAACTTAGGTTATTATGTACGACGATTTTGTACAGTGTTTTTTCTCTCCTCAGTGCATAAAGCGATGAATTATGAGCAGAAAGTGAGCGATATGTCATGCCCATTCAAGGAGGTCTGTTGGCCATTTAACAACTTAAAAAATTTTCAAAGACAATATTTACTTTACATTTATCATTTCCTACCAATTACAATTGAAGACCATAGCTTTCAGATTCAGCTAGCCTTCTAGATTTTCATGAAACATGAAATCGAAGCAAGAGCTTTTCAGATTTCACTGACATAACATAGCGTACACTTTTTTTTATAAGAACCAGTAAATTTTAGTTCAGGCTGACTGTTCTTAATTTTTTCGAAAATCTGAGGCTGGATTGTTCCTAATTTGTTCTTAAATAAAGAGGGTGTAAGCAGTACTATTGCTAGCCTTTTCGCTCTAAGGAGGTGTTCAGGCCTCATTTGCCAACAAAGTGAGTGAGACAGCCTTAATTTACTGACAAATTTGAATATTCACCGAAAAAGCACCCAGACATTGCTAAAAATCCTCGATTTTGAAAAAAACGTTGTTCAAAATTGCATTTTGCAGAAGCTCAGCCTCAGCTTGTTCTTAATTTGTTCTTAAATTTTGACCAGTTTTGAGGCTCGTGTTCTTATAAAATTGTTCTTATAAAAAAAAGAGTGTACATGAAAACTAAAAAAATCAGAAATCTTTATAAGCAGGAGATCTATTCAAAATGTTCCAAAACGAGGCTTATACAATCAAACCGAGTCGTTCGTTTCATCATGGCTGCCAAGGAACTTGCTTGTAATGATTAGTCAGCTTACATCAGCTTAATCTTTACCAGTTGCGTCGCGATAAACTCTGAGAGTGAGATATGTTACTAAAGGCTCAGAATTAAGGAAAGTTTCAAGCAATTTTTGTTTAGTTTATTCACTTACTTGGATATTGTGTATCGATCTGTAACAGATTACTTGCCTCTGTGACTTTGCCTTTTTGATATAAAGATTAAAGCCAGTCTCGTACAAGCTAGAGTTTGTTGTAAATTTGTTATATTCATGATCGTCAAAAGACAGAATGCAAGTTATTGGTAGATGAGCTGAAAATGCATCGATGATCAGTTTTGATATAAACATTCCACCTCGACGTTTTTCTACATACGACAAAGCGGTTATTGGGGCTTCAAAGAAAGTCTTTTGTATCATCGAATACCAAAAGAGGGGGTGTACGTCTGAGAACAGAAGGCGGTTTTAGTCATCACCCACAAATCGATCAAAGAAATGGCCCTTGCAAAGAGCGAATTGCCGTTTACGCCGCAAAAGGAGGTCCCATACAATGAATTGCTGCCCTATCATGACAGATTGGCTGAAGATTCAACACAAGCTCTCTCTGAGATCAAATACAATCTTGGAAGAGCAGTTATGTTTGAAGAGCTGACTCCTGGGGTTCTTGTTTGGTGCAATCGTTTAACAGTGTAAGAAATATATACACATATATAGTATTTGTTCCCTAACTAAAAGAGAATGAATCAACTGCAGACCTTTTCTAGATTCCTTGAATTTGTTATTAACATTTGTAGACAGGCTGGAAAACTTGTATATATTTATTAGCAGCTACAATGATTTTACAATGACCCAAATATAAATTAATTTACCTATATTGTACTATAGTAACCAAGGGTGCCAAAGCAATGGGGGCAGCAGGGGCAGCTGCCCCTGTTGTTCTATTGGTGTGGGGGCATCAAAGTGCCCTTTTAAAGAAATTGATTTCCAAGCAATATTAATTCATATAAATATTTTGAATTCTAATAAAATCTAGGTTTCAAGCATCTCTTGATAGCTACATGCAAGACAATTTGCAAAGCAATTTGGAACCAGGGGGCACAGTGGGCACATATCCCCCCCTTTCCCCAAAATTCAGTTTACTTGCTCACAGAGTTGCTCTTTTTGCCAACTGCATAACCAAACAGTGCCCTAAGATTGCTTAGGTGCTATGCAAAATGAGCAAAGGGGCAACCATATGGGGCAATGACCTAAATTTTTTTTTCCAATCTGCTTTTAGAAACACCAAAAAACAAGCTCACAAAAAGGGTTACCAAAAGGTGGTGACAATGGAAAATTTGCCATGGGCCTTGAGTTTAGGATGCTCTTGTGGTTTCCAGTTTGTGAAAGCAATAGAAAGAATAGGCAAGAAGGTGACTGCAAAAAAATTCTGAAATGAATTTTTAGGTAATCTAAAAGGCATGGTTGCCAAAATTTTTCTGCTTGCTTCGCTTGCAAAGGGCCTCCTCTTTAGATCCTGCCACAAGGCCTCCGAAACCTCTTGCGAAACTGCACACAACTAAGCCAGAAAATTATATTTATATAATTGTAACCGGGCTTTATGTAACAGCCTTTTTAACAATACTGAAGCGGTATGATTCCTTCTGCTCTCAAAATCTTTGTCAAACATAATGAGTCAAATATGGAACTCATTTCAAAACGAAGTGAGTACTCCCTGACTTTAAAAAAATAAAAGAAAAACCTTAGAATTTCCGTTTTTCAATACTTGTGATATTTACAAGACATACATATGCAACATCAGTTGTATTTGATTCAAATTATATTTGATTCAAATTGAATTTATGATTGGTCATTTAAATGTACCAACTTTAAGTAAAGAAAGAACATATTTTTACATAAGGTAGGATTGGGTCCAGCCTCCCTTGATGGTGGGTGTTGTGGTGAAAGAAATTTCAAGAATGAAGTTTGACTGTAGTTCTGATTCAACTATATCTTTATGCGTGTTGTCTTCATTTCCGAGAGTTTATGCGTGTTGTCTTCATTTCCTTTCTGTCAGTCCTGCTCTCATTGCATCATGAAGCTTCCAGCGCCCCTGATAGTAACATATATATGGGCATTGTTGCTTGCCACTCAAATACGTCATTCCCAGGTTGCAGCTGATAATGTGCCATTGGTGGCAGTGATGTGTCTGCAAAACCACATTGCATGTTTGCAATGAAAATTCCTTTACATGTTTGCATGGCTGCATATTTGCAGTTAGTCAAAAAGTTGGGCTGAATCAAATAATAAGAAAAACAAATGTTTTGAAATTTAGCACCTCCCATTGTCATGTTCAAGAGGCAGACATTTCTTCTCCATGCAACCATCCAATCTGAATTTGTGCTGGTTTTACCCTTTGATTTGGAAAATCAAATTTTTTTCTTGTCAGACATCTTTCATCAAAGGTGTTAGTTTATTATCCTTTAAACTGAAAATGATTCAGTGAAAAGGATATATGTAATTATGAATGATAATCTTTTTTGTTGGGTTATAATTGTTTCTTTTTGCAATCTGATACTCAAGTGGCAATGAATCTTCAGAGACACATTCATTTTGAAACAGTATAGCCTTGCTCTTGTACACACAAATAAAATTTTATTCAATGCTCTTGGAATACTTTATTTAAACACATATTTTGATTTATCATAGGTACTTGAAACTTTATGGCAGAAAGTTTTCCAAAGAAGATCATTTGCTTTTCATTAATATGCTATATGAGTTATTAGCAATTCCAGATTTGGAGCCTCAGTTTGTGAGAGGTTTTGCCCATGGACTCATGCATTTGCTCAAGTAAGAATGCTTTTTGTTGTCAATATTTCCTTTCAGTTACAGAATCACTATTTATTAAAACAGATTCAAAAATTCTTTCTTTCATGAGTATTTCTTATAAGCAGATGGCTGATTATTTGAGCAAAGTGTAGTGGATTACTACAGAATAATGTGTTGGTAGAGACTAGCTCTGTATATTTGTTGAATAAGCACACAAAGATTTTGTCTGCTGACACATTTTTTAGCAAATTGACCATATTTTTCTATTATACAATAGGCCTTTGTGTATAAAGTGGTCCCATGCGTGTGTGATTTCTCTTGTGTGAGCGATCAGTCTAATAATAATGATAATAATCAACAATGCTTGAAATTATTTACAAATTACGTAATTATTTATGTAATATTTACAAAAACTGTATGATCCTGTCATGAGGTACTTTTGTGCAAGGTAATATCAAATGAAAACTAATGGTTATGATGATTTTTAATGTACTCCAAGAAAGGTTAAATACCAATTATAAATGTGCTTTGTTTATAAACTTTATGAACATCACAATGGTCACAAAATGTTGTTCTAAACCTTTTTTAAAAACACTTTAACTGCCAAGACAATTGTCATGTGGCTAATCTAGTTCAAATACTAAGTGATTACAATTTATCTTAACATTTGCAGTGGAATTGATTTTCAATTACATTTTTCTGTTGAGATATGTTTAATTCAGCGTACTTGTGTTTTCTGTGTTTTGATATCCCTGCTTTGTATCAGCAATGTCACTTGCTTGGGTCACAAAAGATGACTGGAAATGTGTTAACTGATGAAAAATTGTTTCTCACAGTTGAACATTTTGCATGCATGATCAAATGCTCACCTGGTTGGGTTTGCGTGGATGCTGACATGATTGTGAGTGATCTTTTGTGTCAAACCAAAAAGCCTGGTACATATATGGTGTAATACATACATTGATTTCCAGTGTCACTGAAAAATAAGCATAATGACATTTTCCTTGCAAAACTTCTTTAAATCAAAACAATATCATATTTTATTCTAGAAAGAAAGAGCTGATTTCAAGAGAAGACTTGGTGTTACCATGGCAGCCACTATACAAGCTGATACATTCTGCCAAATACTCAAAAGCCCATCAGCTTGGTCTCACTCGCTTTCCACAGTAAGTATCTTTCATATTTGCGAATTTCCTCCCAAGTTTTTAAACTGCTTTTTACAGGTTGTCATGTATTTATCAAGCTGCTGTTTTAGGCAACATGTATGATTGTTTTTACAAAATTTATTAGAAAATGGGAACATTTTTATGAAGAACTTTATGAACAATCCCCGCAGTTTTTATAAAAATCTTAAAACTTTATGATGTTATAGCAGCACTGCTACAATTCCCTGTTCTGCAAAATGCCACCCAAAAATTAGAATGTAATTTCCCTTCAATTTTAAACTGCAAGCAGCTAGATATCAACATGTACCATTACCGTAACAAGGGTCACAAAATGATTCCAAAGAGTTTAAATCGCAAGAAGGTGTTGCTTTTAAGTAAGCTTGATAAGTATTCATCTATGTAACAATTCTAAGAAACAAAAGTCGATGTTGAGTACTCCAGTTTCTTAATGTTCTGGAAATTTCAATACTCATTGTTTCTTAAGAGTTTCTTAATTATGATATCATGCGTGATATTATTAAATGTTTGTGACCTTTTTTCTCACGTCAAGAGATTTGCTTCCATTCTGATGCTGTATTTAGATGTGGGAAGTGTTTTTTATCCCTTGTATCTTAAGTTCTAGGCCAACAGGGCAATCATGTTTTTGGATTTTACAAAATTTTGTTGTTCTCTGTTTTATCACGATTTAATGGTTTTTAATTTTTTTGCTTTGAGTACTGAAGTTTCTTTTTTTCTGACTCTCCAGTACTCTTTTCTTATAGCCAGTTTCTTATTAAAAAATGAGTGTATGTTTTCAAGTTGAATCCTGTTGTAGAGACCTGAATCCTTTTGAATGTACTGGAAATTTTCATTCAAGTTTTATGTCAAAGTGAAAAACTGTTTTTGCTAATGATAACATTAGAAATTTTTTATCATGATAAAGGTTTAACACCTGATGTTAAATTGATTGACAGAATTTTCCAAAACTTTGCAGAATTAAAAGTTGCTTCAACTGTTGATTGAAAATTTTGAAAAATGGAATATTCGAATTGACACTTCATTGATATTTGTTGTCTTATTTGTGTGCCACTTAGGGCTGTCCAAACCTTCGGATATTCCTATTCGGTTATTCGGCTTAAAATTTAACGAATATTCGGTTATTCGGCGAATATGGGTGTGGTAACATGGGTGTGGCAGGGTGGTGGTAAAAAACTGCAATCTGGAAATTTTTTTGTAATTTAACCAACCTGTGAATATAGCTAATCAGTCTTTACTATTCGATAAGTCAGAACCATTAATTTTTTGTTTTCCTATTGATATTTCATGTGTTTTACGTAACTTCAAAGGGTGTGCTGCAAAGCAATTTTTAAACCGAGTTTTTGTCAAAAATAAATGTTTTCTAGAACCTTCCCTAGCATTAGTTGCCCCTAATGGCCAGAAAGTCAGTATCATATTAACGAGAAACCATAGTCGTACGTTTTCAAAAAGGGTCGTTTTCCAACATTTTTAAAAGTGAAAAGCTTTCTAGCACGGGCTTCAACACAGGTTGGGAAGAGAAGGGGGGGGGGCAAAAGAAAATTTAACACTCACAACAAATGATTTTGTGAAAAATTATATTATTCTGCAAAATAGTGGTAGGGCCATAGCCCCCCGGCTTCCCCTTCGTCGGAGGCACTGTAGCACAACAATTTTCCGAGAAAAAGCCCCATGACCCCCACCTGCAACCCAGGCTCCACTCTCCCCTGCCCCCTTCCAATCTTGCTTCATTGGCTTTGTAACTATTTCTTGGGATTGCGTTTTTTAAAGAAGGCCGGTATCCATGAAACTCTCTCTAAGATTGAAGATAGGAAGTTGCCTTTCTCCTTTAGAACAATCCTTGCTATTCGACCAGTCAGTGCTATTCGGTTGGCAATTGCTATTCGATCAGTCACGGTTATTCGATCAGTCACGACTATTCGATCAGTCACGGTTATTCGAATAGTCACGGTTATTCGAATAGTCACAGCTATTCGATCAATCACGGTTATTCGAATAGTCAACGGCTATTCGACGAGTCACGGCTATTCAAACAACCATTGTGACCTCCAATAGTGAGGTTATTCGCACTATTCGTCTCCAACCGAATAATCGTACTATTCGAACTATTCGTTTGTAACCGAATATTCGCTTTGGACTTCAGCTAACCGAATAGTGAAACAGGTAACCGAATACCGATTATTCGACCTTCGGTGGACAGGCCACTGGCTGATTAAACAAAATATGAGACAACAGACAATAATAAAAGTTATTGTGTGAATCTCTATTAATGGTCTTCACAGGTTTTGCAATACCTGGTCTGTTAAATACAGTTTTTTGATACCCTTTAAATCTCTATTGATTGAAAAGGGAAATATCTCTACCTCAATAGTTATCTTATTCATGATAAAATCAGTTATCATACTTACTTGATGCTAACCTTTTTGTGATTGTTTTTAGCAAATATGCAGAATCTCTACAGCAGTTGCTACGAATGGCAAGAATGTAAGCGCATATTGCACCATTTTTTATTTCTTTATATGGTTATTGTAACATGAGATTTATACATTTTTTTCATTTTGATACTGTTCTATTATGTCTTACTAATATTTAATTCTTTCTCTGCCTGGGGGTACATTCTATGGTAGTTAAATTGCAATTGGTTAATCAAGTTGGTTTTTTATCCCTTTTTATTTGAAAAAAAGTTGTGTGAGAATATATATCTACCAGTGGAAAACCATCATTTTGTTTTGTAGATATTTTTCTGCTGATTCGACATCCGAGATGCTTGAGGAATGGCGGCCTCTGCTTTGCCCGTTTGATACAATCATGGTCCAAGGTGTTAATTATTTATCCAATTTTCTTCCAACCTGCTTTACAGCAGAAGAAAATGACCGTGGTTTCAGGTAATGCTAACTTCCAGAATCAGAATATGTGAGGGATGTAAGGGTTTAAGATTTGTATTTCATCTCGCCATCTTGTTAAGTTTTCATTTGTCATCTACCCTTCGAGCTAGGCTTATCATTCATTGACCCAGACTCTTCTGTTTGATAAGACAATGTTTGTGAACTCCTACTTGTTAAAATTCAACCATCTTGAAGAACCAAGTAAACATTTTCTAATCTTTTGATGAATTCTCCCAAATTATTTTGGCAATATTGACGTAAGCACAACGATAAAGACTGGGGATTGATTGTTTTTGTTATCCAGACCCAGAGTGCCAGAAAGAACAATCGCTTTTAATCTTAATTCGGCTCTACGTTTATCACTGTTTTCACTTGAAATCGTTTTGTTTAATTGACTTCATTTTTCAATCAGGCTTTGGTTTACAGAATTGATGGACTTTTGGCTCAACTGTACGCACCATGTTCCAGAGACTCAGGAGGTAAGAAAAGCTCTTTTTGGGTATGGCGGCATATAACAACTTTTTTCCTGTAGGTTCACGCATTGTCCGTCTCTAGTTCTCTGCCACTGGTTAAAAAGTTGTGATTTTAATCGGTAAACTTGCATTCGTTTATAAATTTGACAGGGCCCAGAAACTATGGTAGTCAGATATTCAACTATATGTGGAAGAACAAAAGAAAATAATTGCTGGAATCGAGTCCCGACTCGTTTTCGTTATTTTTTCAGAAATATTTTGGAAAGAAGAAAGACTGATAGAAGCTTCTTACTCTGTATTCCTTGCTTGAATCTGCATTTTCGCATTCTATATAAAAGTTTTATTATTATCAAAAGTAGAAAGTACATTAAATCATTAACATGCGGAGTGCATTCAGCGCTTGCATACAGCATACTGTTTAAAACCTAATCTCACTGTTTAAACCACAGTATACTGTTAAAGCGATAGCGAAGGCTTTGCCTTCTATGCATAGGAATAACTGTTAAGTTAAATTTCCATTGATACTGAAATATTTCTTTATTTAAATCTGTTTTTATTGTAAAGGATTTGATGAAACTGTTTGCAAGGCTTGCGGAGGAGAATGTTGGTTACATCGACTGGACGGAGTACCTTCCAAAGGTATTGTGGGAGTTCTCTTTTTGCCTGTTGTTTTTAGTTTTATTTACTTTTCACTTACCAAAGAAACCTATATTGAATTTTAGTCCGAGCTAATGCTGCTAAATTTGCCGCCACTTGGCTGATGCTTGTTAAGTTTTGTCCTGAAAGGCTCCTCGGAGCTAAAGGCGTTGCTTAAAATTTGCTCATCTTTGCTTATTAAAACTGGGATTCTTGAAAAACCAGCATAGAAAGTCTTTGTTGGTATATAACATGGAAAGTTCTTTGATACTGTAGAAATGCTGCAGTAATGCAAAAAGGCTATTTTCCTTTGCAACTATACCGGTATACCCTGTCACCCTCAAGTCTAGAAACAACAGATCGTTTTTGTCAATATGCTTTGTCAGTATGAGTGGGACCGCTAGTAGGAATATTATACAATTTGTCGTCTTTGTCAATTTTACAACCTTTTTAAATACTATAATACCAACAAAATCGTATCTATCAGCCTCTATAATTCTTTTGGAGGCTTATCTTTATTTTTACATCAGGGCCTGAGTGTGAAACATTTATAAAGTTATACTTAATAACGAAAGCAAGCTAAATCATGGCTTTATTTTTCATAGTTTTAAAATAATGACGTTTTGTCAATGTCTAGAAGGCTATTGAAAGATGTCCTACAGCTGTTTTGTGCCTCTCCAAAGTTTATCATAAAGAAGTCTTGTAGTAATAATATTGATTGCCTTTCCTGTTGAAACTTTTCACTCACACACTCCTGTTGTGAACCATGCGCTACTTTTATCTTTTTATATTTTAACTAGATATTCAACCGGTTTCTGAGTGGACTCCATCTGCCTGTCGGAAAATCGAGGCCGGCCTACAATGGCAATTTTGAGCTTCTGCCGGTTGGCACGTCCGCACGTTGGATTGTTTACATGATAAGCGAAGAGAACAAGGGGTTTGATCACCTCAGCACTCTCTTCAAGGCCTTGGAATCCTTTTACCACCCATCAAATTATGGAAAGCATTCGGTAAAGCCTTATTTTGCCATTTTACCATCCAGTTTGTTGTAAAATTCAATTATGAATTCTGTAAAATTCTACCATCAACTGTTGTGCAGCATCTTTTCAGTTTCAGTTATTCAATTATAATTCGGTAATTTCATGAAATAGGCTTGAGTTACTTTTAGTTTGTCTAATGAACAGAAATTAGATGCTGATATTTTGATTATTCTTTCATCAAATAAGGTAAGATAGCAAACAAAAGAATATTAGGCATTTCCACCTGTTTGCTCTGGTTGAGATCTGATGCGTCATAGATAGTTAAAAAGAGTAAAGTTGCAATTAGAGTAAAGAGGTTAGCCGATGTTCCGAAAATTTCCTGAAAATTCCTAAAATTTACGTTCAAAGTTAAAAAGGTTTCTTTCTATTCAGAGCGGGTAATGGAGACTGGAGCCGGGTTACTGGCTTCATAGCTGTTCATATTTGAAATCCCTTCCTCAGAGATGTTTTACAGTATGGGATGCTATTTAGATAGGAAGTCATAATTGGAATGTCAGAGGGGGGAATTTCACTTTTAAGATACAAGTTTTGTCGTTTGCGGTTGATCGCTTTCGCAGCCACAGCCATTTCAAATAGTTTCCCTTTTCTTTTCACGCCCTCACATTATCTCTCACATTTTGGAAGTATATTTTTACAAATTCCTGTCCATTTTCAATACCAAACATCCTTTTAATACCAAACATCCAATTCCTTTTTTGTCCTAGACACGTCTTTTAAGATTCTTATGCCAGCTCACGGAGAACTTCATCAAAAGGCTACACAGAGAAAGATACCGAAAGTCTAACTGGATGAATAAAACTCCGGAAAGTGCCAAACTCAAAGACTCTGAAGTCGACAGATTTGTTATGATTCTAAAACCCATAGCAATGCTTGCTGTTTATAGCAAGACAGGAAGTTTTGATGCAGCTGCAACTTTGCAGAATTTATCGCAAATTAGGCCTGGTTTGATTCTGCCACCCTTAGTTGACAGGTAGGTTCCATTCCTCGGGTTTCGCTGTCTTTAATTTCCAAGTACCTCTTGTACAAGTTCGCTTATTGGTTGTTGTCACTTGTACTGTTGTAATATTTCTATTCATGGTCGAGTGGAAAGGAATGCAAAATAACCCAGTCGTTTATAGAAATGCGCGCATTTTGCAGTTAAAGCTGTAATATGTAATGTTTGATATCTTTGTTTTGTCTTCATAAGTCGTAGAATGTTACTTTAATTCTCTGCTATGCTGAAATGAAAGACGGTTAAAAGCTTTAGGTAAAAAAAGTTCTGCCAACTTTAGAGACTTCCCATCGTAGTCATGATTTTCTCCAAAAAACTACCGGATGATATCAGATCATCATTAACAGGGACTTCTCTAGATTGTTTGTTTATGCTAGAGTGTACTAGAAAATTTCCTTTTGTACCGCAACTTCTTTCAACTTGCTGCTTTTCACCGGCCAGCTCTGTCAATCAAGAACGTGAAATCTTTATAGATCAAAGTAAACACGATATGTTACAGTCTCCGTAATTACATTAAGTGATGATTTGATATGAATAAATAGACATATATATGTTCTTTAGATCCAAAATATCTTGCATGTTCTTAAGTGCTACAGCTTTGCTCTGTCTTTCTGGAGCTTTCTGGAGTAATATCTTTGGGATGTCTTAGTTTGTGAACTATTTTATTATGGTATCCTTGTCATTGCTATGTTATAAGATTAATTTAGCCATTTATATGGAATTCTAAACATTGGTATGTTATAAACAATGGCAGAATATATGTTTTATGGCTTTCATTGCTAGTATTTCAACAAAAGCTTAAACCAGAGTCATTAATCCATGATTTGATGTGTAGACATGGCTTTTCTATGATTTTACTCAAAGTTTATGCTTGATATGTTCACCTGGCAATTTCTGATAGCGATCTTTATCAGCGCTTAGCTGCTGTTTATATGTCACCGAGCACTCTGCAACATACAGGCTAACAGTGATCATTAAATTATTGAATAACTGACAATGTGTGTACTCGTCTTTCTACTTATATTTTGCAGGACTTTTGAGGCCCTTGGTGCTGTTATTGAGCCTCACCAAGTTGTTGCAACGTTGTCGTGTATCACGTCAGTGTCCAGATCGTTAGTTGCGGGTGGAGAATCATTCCCAGCAGGCCAATTGCATGTTTTGACGCTGCTAAGAATGGCACTTCCCGGAATAGATACGAATGATTTCCGCAAATCAATGGTAATGCTCGCTCTCCTCGTTCTCTATGCTATCACTTCGTATCGTTAATATTTCATGTATACCTTTTCAGAACTCCACCGAAGTTTGTGATACCCTGACCAAAATAATGTTATGAAGAGACTGTTTCGATATCTTTTGGTCATTTGCGCCGTCTTATGCTAGAAAAAAGGTCAAATTATGTGGGGACAAGTCGTGGCCGGGGCTCACCCCTTACAAATTGATCTAAACTTAATGCTGTTAAGGCTTCGTGTAATTGAAATGATATTTTTAAAGACATATTTCCAGAAATCATAGTAATTTTAACACTTGACACTGACTGTTGTTATTAACATATTCATGATTGTAGGCTTTTTCGCTATAAATGCACAATTATGTGTTGATTTCGATTTGAAACCTAGTTATTTGTTTACTGACAATCCTGAGATTTGTTGCTGCCGTTTATGCGTTGCTCCGCATTCATTTTGATGCCTCTTTTTCAGTCCACTTTCACATTAATCACATCCATTGTCAGCCTCATTCCGCTGGTGGACTGCTCACCAGCCCTGGTGCAAGGCATCAAAATGACAGAAGTAAGTATGACGTCTTAAGTTTTCCTCTATTTTATTTGCCTTCATCAATTTGTTCAGTTATAAACAGTTGTCTTTGTTTTATAATACAATAAATTAAAGAGAAAGGTCTATTAAATGTTACTGTGAGAGTCGTACTCCGAATTTCATTGCCACTTCTACGGGTATTATTAGAACTGGTATACATGTATACAGGTCTGAAGTAGCATCTTGCATATTAAAAGAAAATAGGCATTTTTATTGAAATATATGGAAACAGCTTTTTTGCAAATTAATTGTGCTATGTTGCCTTTATTATCTTTAAATATCTGAAGTAACTGCAGTTTCAATGCCAGAAATTATTCGCCAGTATGTCACATCGATTTGCTTGTATTTCTCAACCAGCACGAAAAAGAACTCTGTGCCGTATCTGCAAATTTCGAAGATTTTGTGGTGGAACTTCTTGACAGGTAAAGTGCTTCAAACTCAGGGCGCACTTGCCACGAAACTACTTCAGTTGTTTTAATTGGTTCTTCTTACTCATAAATTCAAGCACAGTATTGTCTTTTAATTCCATGGCTGTATGGTAAATTATAAATGAATTTAGTTTCAGATGACACAGTTCTATATTACCTTTTTACCTTTTGTGAAGTGAAATGCTGTTTTAAGGCTCGCTAAAATTGTACTAATTGCCATGTACCAGTTGAATGATCTCCATTAAGGTTCCTTTTCCTTATTATAGGTGCTTTAATATGATTGACAATAGCTCAATGGAAGAAGCCAGCCAACATGATAGCGTTGCTGAAGGCATGGACACCCAGGAGGGCATCATTGGCATGGGCCTAGCCTCGACATTGCATACTGTCCTTATACAGTCATCTCCAAAGATTTTTGCGGTACTGACCTCTCTGTATCAATCTCTTTTCGCTGTATCATGCTCACATGCATCTTTCTCTTTTGATCATAATTATCTATCGGTATTGATAACTGATAAAAATGTCTACTTAACGCGTACGGATCAGTCTTTAATCGGCGTAAAAAACATTCTCGTTCTGAAGGCTTCTCTCCAGCCTACAAAATGGTACAAGCATAATGATGTTTATTTTTCGAAAGCTATTTTATCGTGTTCATCTTTCGATAGTTTATCTTTCCTGATCGTAGGCCTAGAAGACATAGGGGCTGTGAGAAGTGCGAAACCCCGCTTCAGGCAACACATCACATTTCAGGGTCTATTCGACACTTCTATCACAATTATGCAATGATATTCCGGCAAGCTCCGTACTAAGCACCCCCTAATCGATTAGCATCTGATTTGCCTATGTTCCTGGTCATCCTTCTATTATAGCCATATTCTCTTCTATTATGATATTTAATAGCAATTTAAACCGCTTTTTATAGGTATACTGTTTTTACGTCATGATTTATGCTAGGTTATCAGAACATCAAAAAATCAACTCAATACTTTTTCAATTTGTAGCAAAGTAACGCCAATATGTACCTCATGTGCTAAAGTATCTTTACCCTGTTTTCAGACTGCGCTACAAAGATTGTTTAATTATTGTGAATCAAGAGTCCTCGAGGTTGCGATTGCTGGAAAGATGGTTTCTGATATGGTTCGAGCTGCTGTCAAAGTAAGCCATTTTATATTGAGGGCTTAATAATCAAAATTCCAATTATAACATTGAATTTAAGCAAAGTTTCTTAAAAATTTTTAATTGTCTTTAAATGCAATTAATGCCAGCAGCCACTCCAGTGTGCGCTTCTCGGACCTTGCTTAAAATTGTGGCTACATAAATTTATTGGTTAGAATTACTAGCAGTGCTTCAACGAAAGACAGGTAGTTGAACAATTTCGCTAGTTGAGATCAACCTGTGCAGTAAGAACCTCACTTTATTTTCATATTAATTTCATATTTATATAAATTAAACACAAAAAATCCCTCCAGCATATCAAAATAACTATCTAATTGAATTATATATACAACCTAAATACAATAAATTGTTAGGGCCTATTTGCTGCTCTTACAGGGAGTTGTGTTTTGATTTGACTTCAGCTCTTGATTTGTGATTTGATTTCAATCTCAACTGCGGGAGGGTTGGCAGTTCCTTGATTGAAATTGGGATGCTGTCCCACGCAGTAAGAGCTGAGTAGTGGGAGCCTTTTTTTACATATTCAAGGTTATATCTTGGAATTTGGATGTCCTTCAGTTTCATGTTCTATAGTCTGAGTGCAAGGATATCAGGGGAAATTAATCCCAAAGACTCTCTGGGCACGTCCTGTTCACAATCTTGTAGGTCATGGCTAATCGATCGAATTTAGTTGGCTGTTTTACATCAAACCAACTAATAGTTCGGGCTCGGTCTTGTAGATTTTGCAGGATCTTTATTTTAGAACTAGGAATACTTCCCCAAATAACATTTGCATAGCACAAGTGACTTTCTATAATGATCCCAAGTGATTTTGTCTGCTTTACACTCCAAGTGATCTGTCACGAAAATTGTTGTCACTTACAGCCTTGTCAACCAGTACATAAAGCTTTGCACTTGAAGAAATAGATTGAGCCAATCTCTAATGAACTAATAATCGAAAAAGGTGCAAATTTCTTATATTATAGCAATTTATTTTAGATTGCAAAGATATAATGGATAAAAAGATGTAATCTTTCTATTGACAGGCGTATCCTGCTGCAACAGTGAAGAAATTTCTTCCACACTGTGCACGGATTATAAAGAACATGACTTCATGTAAGCTATTTCTTTTACTGAACTTTCTTATCCTGTCGATTGCCCTCATACTCTGACCAGTGCATAGAATCCTTACTTTCAAATTTGATTTAATCACTTTCAAGTCTACAATGCCCGCCAAAAGTTTTGGTAGTCAGTTTCAACAGCAAGCTCAGCCATTCCTCTTTCCTACTGGTAACAATGTTGGTTTTCCATAAAGAACGTTGGAGATTAGGAAACAATTTTCGTTTGATTTCTATGATGTTTGTCAAAGCTATCAGCGATGCTCTGGGGGCATGGGGACGGAAGAAGTAATATTTGGAAAATCAATTGAAAAATATAAAAGAGCAACGCCAATTGGTAGGTGTTCCAAATAACTTTGGCAGTACTAATGATTCTGCAACTGGCTCAGTACTGTAGATACTGCATGTTGGCATCTTCAAACGGTTAATTTCCTGCCAATTTCGATTGCTTTGTTCCAAGGCCCCGTCTATTCCAATGGCCTGCGTGCATTCCTTACTGTTTCGATCACGTCACTGACTTGAATTGTTGAACAATAAGCCACATGACGCGATTGAAGAATAAGGGCTGCGCGCAGGATGCCACTGCACGCATACGTTTTCAAATGAAAACAATGTAATTTCTTTGTGTTTTTTTCTCTCTGTTTATGCATAGTCAATGGTTCATATGACAACAACAAATTTGTGACTGAAAATGCAAGCATTTCTAAACATCTTACAAGGTGGCAAACAGTAATTAGAAAATACACCGTTTCATTGTAGACACAAAGTGTTTGATTCGTTTTTATTGTGGCTTAGGCTCAGAATCTCGTCACGCAAAGAGTCTCGTGCAGGGCGTATTTCTCTGAAGAGGTCTCTAGCATTCGTACTGAAGACTCAAGCGGAAAATTCATCATTTCCAATGCGCGCCAGGATATATATTTTTGGTCAATTTTTTGTCACTATCCGATGTTTTATATCCGAGGAGGTCGAACAGGATGCCTCTATGTGGCTCAACGTTTTGGCTTTCTATCCCATGCCATTTTGAGAACTAGCAGTTTGATATCCTTATTAAGAAATACTTCTATTTGTTAACGATTTAAAGATTTTCATAAGTGGAACATTTAACTGTAGAATTTGAGATCATAGGTTTACTTGCAAGGGATCCCATTTTGGTGATATACCGGGTGGGTTTTCAAATGCGGCAATTGTCAAAATCGTAATCATATACCAAGTGAATCCAAATTTGCTTTGAATGGGTGCTTGTATGTTATTGTGAGATTTTCGGTTGATAAATGCACTTGGAATAGGGTTGTAATCTATTGAAACCATCGCATCTATCTTTTTAACGCGTTTATAGAGGTTGTTTAGTATGGCCAAGTGTTATAACGCTATTTAGTACAGTATGAGCTAGTATGAGGCTAGAAATAAAATTTTTTGGAGTCCAGGATTGTGGTGGTCGCCTGACCGACTGCAAAAAGAAGGCTGCCTAGAAAAAGGAAAATGATTTCAGTAACCCCCCCCCTTGTTTTTATTTTTTCTGAGGAAGCTTTCAAACTTAGGCTTCATTTCAAAGGAAGAATGGACAGTTTTATGGGCCGTGAGCTCTTTTACTTACAGCAGTTGTAGGTTTTCTGATATTTAATGTGCTTAAAAGAAGTATGTTATATTAAGGAACACGTTTTTGCAAGAAGTTCTTTCCATTGCAGCTGATGAGATAAAAGATGAGGAAACTGTTGACGGTGAGCTGGTTTGGAACCTAGAGATCCTGTCAGAACTCGTTCGATGCACTGGAAAAGAACTGCTGCCATACATTTCAGAGCTAGAAAGCATAATATCATCAACGATCAATCTGAAATGCAAAAAAGCATACACCAGATCTGCCAAGGTATGCCTCGATAAGCTTGCTGAATGTAGAGTTCCAAACCATTCTAGAAGCAATAGAACCATAGCTTGAAATAAAAGTCTTCTTTGTCTTATGATGACCTCTTTAATACTGTGTTTTATGCATGATCATCGAACAAGGTCTGTTCTACTTTTCCATTTTTATGTTCGATATACCAATGTATACCAATTATTTAACGTTGTTGTTGTAGTTGTCCTTCAGGTCGCTCGACCCCTGGTGATGTTATGAACCTGACGTCTCCATTCAGCTCTATTTTTAGTGTCTTTGTTGAGCTGATAAACATTTCTTGTTGTCATCGTCTTAATGTTGTCAAACCACTTTGTTGCAGGTCTTCCCCTACCTCTATTTAACGTTATGTCAACTTAATAACGATAAATTGAAGCCGCTCAATGAAATCTTTTTAAAGCCCAGCACTGCCTAGATCTTTCCCCACTTTAAAATGTCAACCGTTTCGAATATCTTATCCTTAAAGTTCAGCTACTCCACCATTATTTTTTTTATTGAAAGACATTCTTAAAGAATGATGCTTTCATTACTGTTAGAAGACCTTACTGTTAGAAATATATAAAATCATTGTTAATTTTCATTGCAGATTCTGAAAGGTGTTTTCACATTTCTCACACAAATATATCCTGACGAATGGAGAAGCATTCCAGATACATTTGATCTGCCTGTAGACAAGCATTTGTATGTTCGAGTGAGTTGGTCTGGTTAAGATCGTTTGATTTTTTTATTGTTCAGATGATTGGGAGAATCCTTAGTGCCACATATTTATAATATGAAGAATTACACTGCTCCAGTGTTTTTGGGAAAATGAAGGTTGACATGTGAAAATTCAAATTTTATTTGTCTCGTTATTGTGATTAAAGTAGAACCTTGGTTTTCATAGCAGTTTCTGTTGCCGTATGTTGGTATTACATTTGCTAGCAATTAATGGTGAGGTACCTTAAAACACACTCTTGATTCCAAAAGAGAGTAAATTTTGAGAGGACATTGCGAAAGCTTGAATCAATATATAGTATAAACACTTACTTTTAGGATTGGGGGAAGGTTACTGACACGAAGGACCTTGACATGCACTGGCATGTGCCCTCCTCGGAGGAGCTTGAAGCTGCCAGTAGACTATTAAAGAAATTTGTAGTCCCAGAAATGGATAAGCTAAAACAATGCATGAATGGAAAGACATTCACAAGGTTTGTAACTTTGATGCATGAATGGAAAGACATTCACAGTGTGCATTGTTTTTATTTGCCACAAGACGGCTTGCTACAGGTCAGTTTGTAACAGAAGCTTCTCTTCACCTACAATTCCTCGAAAAAGAAGTAGAGATTTCGCTACTTCTCTCTCTCGCAAAATGCCCCCCATTTCAGTATTGATATCTTTGCTTTCCGAGCCATTATTCTGAAGCGTGTCTAGCTGGGATTGCTCGCATCCCAAGATCTCTGTGATTGTTCACTTTCTGGCACCAAGAAAGAAAAAGAGGAAGAGGAGAATGGGGGCTCCTTTTCCACCTTTCTTTCCTTTTTCTATTTCCCTTTTTTGGTACTAGAAAGTTTGTAGCCAGAGATATCTGAGGATAAGACTTGGAGTAAGTCCAGATTGTAGCTGTCTTGATTAGCAATATTCGTCATTTGTCTGTTGGAAATGAACATTTCCTTATGGAATTATGATAAACCATTACCAGATAATTGTAGGGGTAGTGTATTGAGGCAATATTTTTAGAATACTTCATCCATTACAAGATGAATTATTGAACCAAAGTACCCCAAAAATTATTTTTTCGTATTTGTTCAAAAAAGTTCGTGCTTTTAGCTCTAACTGATATTCCTTTGTTTTCATCAGGGAGCAAATTCATCAGACCCTTCATATTATTGTTTCGTGCATATGTGGTGCTTCGTGCTTGCTGAAAACCTGGACTGATGAACCGAGAATAGAGTCAATGTGAGTTTCTTAATTTCGAATCGAGCATGGGTGTGTCTAGGATCTCAAAGTCAAACTGTTTTAGTACTTTTCTCAGTCTGTTAGATTCTCATCTCTTTCATTATTATTATAGTCTAGTTACATGATGTATGGTTATGAATTTAAGTCATCTTGTCATTAATAGTGGTCCAAAAAGTATGGTGCCAAGAGATCGATCATTTCCTGTCACTACCGTTGCTTCTAACGGTAAGTAATTTGCTTGGTTTTGCTATTTTTGCGTCTATTTAGTTTTATAGGTCTGTTTACTACGTCATCCAGCCCTGTCTCTTATTTTTCATAGGTATAGCTGCGTTATTCTATATTGATGTGAATCAGTAGAAAAATGCATAGATTCTAGAAAATGTAACGTGTTTCCATTCAACTATGGTTTTGTTATTTTTGTTCTAGAAACCGTATTTTGTGAAGTCACAAGAAAAGATCTTGCATTAGTTGTTCACCAATTTCTTGGTAAGTTTATCTTCCTTTTAATCCTTGGAGCTAACCATGATTGTTCTACCAAACATCAATGGCTTCATCAAACATCAAAGTCATTGAAACTTGTTGTGCTGTCTCGAAGGTGGAAGCTACAAAGAAAGTAAAGGGGTAAGAGAGAAAAGAAGTTAAGAAAGGGGGCAATCAAATATAATTATAACAAAGAGGAACTGAAAGAAGGGAAAGGGAGAAAATTTTTCAGCAGTATAATAAACAGTTTCTTCTACGTTGGTAATGAAATACATATAATACATGTATAGTTTATAAGCTATAAAACGGCAGCATAGAACAACAATTTTATCATATCTTTTAAATAGAGGTTTGCATATGTTCCAGATATTTTTCTAGAAATATTCCGCTGTTTTATCCAGGGTGGAGACCATTTTAAGGGCTCTGAAACTCTTACTTAAGAGAACGTTAAGAAATAATACAAAAAATGATTCGAAGTTTGCTGAAGGGAATTTGATGCTTAAAACCTTGGAAATTTTAATGAGTTCCAATAGTTTACTTTGCTTGGCGTGTATCAGGGTTCGTACCTGTTTGATTTAATTTCGTTTCCATGATTTTTTGTTGTAAATTAACGATTGCGTAAGAGTGATTTTTGTAAGTAAATATTCCAATGCTTGCTGTTAACAGAATACCTGCTCGAGAAGCAAGAAGACGACACAAAAGCGTTTCACTTCATTATTAAGGTATGTCGAAATGGAGTCCTCATTGACATTTTCTTTGTAAGGGTAAAAAATAATGTAATGTTGTCAAAGTAGGCAAGAGACAACAAGAGGTTTTGGGTGGTGTTTTCCTATCAAATACAGTATGATTTTGTTAAGGAATGTGCCGAGAGAAACAAAAATTAGCTCATCAAACTTGTAACCTATTTCTTTGAATGAATATCACTAGAGTTGGGGGCATATACAACCCTATACCTTCAAATTCCTAGAATAGAAGTTAAAGAATACTAAAATTTCTTCCTAAGACTTACCATTCAAGGCCTGTTTTAAATCACTAGCTAGGGGAGGACAATCACCCCTCCAGCCCTGGTGTTCTTATTTTTATCAGAGCAAAGACTTGATCCCCTTGAAGTCCCTTTGAACAGTTCTTGTCACAAGTATCTTTGTTTTCAGATTTACAGCTATCTCATTTTGTATCATGGAGTGGCAAGGGATGATTTTGATATGAGGTAAGGAGTTTTGATATATGGTTGAAAGGTGCTTTCATTGAAAAGTAACCTAAAGTTTGCTAACGGTCGTACAAAAACTTTGTTTAGTGGCCTGTTATTGAATCTGAAGATGCACGTTATAGAAAAGGATAGTTCTTGAATTTTTCTATGGAACCTGAGACAGGAATAATGTATTGAACATATTTAGCACAAGAGGCAGACGAAGGAGTTTCAAGATCAACATGATAAATACGAAACACGATGCTGCAATTACGTCTTTCAAGTTAAATGCATACTTTCTACTTTGACATCAACATTACATGCGTCACTTTGGCTGAGACTTTGTTTAATAAGCAAGTTTGAAAGCTAGCCCTTGATCCCGAGGTTTTTAGACCTCAGAGTCTCTTACGAGTTGCTTGACTCTTGCATCTTGCCCCAACTAGGCAACAAATATCACATTATGCACATTGAAGCATGTCAATAGGCGAGGGGATCAACTTCATTGAATTAGGTAGCTAGCCAAAAGTATGTCACAAATTATGTTTGGGGTATTATTTCAGTTAATGGGGGCAGGAAATAGGCGAGGCTAGACAGATTTGCTCTTTGAAGCTACTTGGAGGCATCTCTATAGCTTTGCCAAAAATCTGGGGCAGTCAATCTTAAATCCACAGTTTTTTTATGCCTTGGCTTATTTCAAACTACAGCTAGATTCATTTTCCAGGTGGACGAGTACGACTGCAGTTAAAAAGACTTTGGAAAACAAAGTGAGCTACAGCTTTTTTATTGTTTCTTTAACATGTATTTTTTATTTGGCCATTGAAGATTCCTTTCCTTGGATCAGGTCGAATTTTATGTAGAACCGTAAGCACGTGTCAATAGAACATTTGCTTTGCAAAACAGCAATCAGACCTTACTTACTTACGGTTACGTATAGTTACTTACGGTCGATTAGTTGTCTTGGGTACGGAGTTGGGGAATTTACATAAACAACCTCTTAGGTCATTGCGGACTTGTTATTGTGGATTTTTCATTATGAAGTAAAATCAGCCGTTAACTTTCGCAATAGAGGTGTTTTTCTACGCACGTAGTATGATTTGAACCCTGTTTATGATGAGAACACGTGACTTAAATGCTAAAGGCTAAGAACTGAAATACGGGCATCGTATCCAGGCTTGATCCATGATTTTTACGCTAGTCTCCTTTCCGCAAAGCAGCTAATGGGAACCCGGTTGCAACCTAGGGAGGCTAAAGGCAGTGACAAAAATACCCGTCACCAAACATCTTCATGCTCCGAAAAGCTCCAGACACTTGCCCTACTTACTAACTGTAACTTGGAGGCACCTTTACCTTTGATCATTGTATGCGGGGGATATTTAAGGGATATATGCCTCTTCAGACACTCGGTTTAAATCATGCAGAGTCGATAACGTCGACATTGTCTTATTCGCATGCCTACGAAATCAGGTTAATGTACTAGGAAGTTGTTTGACTTTGTCTGGAGTAGCCATTGTACTATAGGATTATAAAGTTTGTTTCGTTTACGTTATATTGTCATTATCCTTAAGCATCATATGACATTGATAAAGTCTATCGTTGTCAACGCAAATAGATCTATAATAATTATCCATTTGTTTTCTTTCAGTTACACGGAAAAAAGAAACACGTTCGCTCACTGTTGATCGAGCGCGTTCAACTGCAGCACGATGTAAGTCCCATGCATTTTTCCGCTTTTCAGTTCATCAAACGAATAAGGGTGTTCTCCCACTAAGGTAAGAAGGGGGGGGCAAACTTGGGGGGGGGGGGGGGGGGTTAGCAAAGCAGCTGACTTCCCGATGAAACGAAAGTTGGTGACTAAGAGCAACACAATTTTGCAAAACAAAGAAGTGCAAATCTAATGACATTGGTTTTTCAAATTTAATTTTTCAAAAAAGGTTTGCCTAACATCTCTAAGGGCGTGGCCACAAACGTTTCTGGGAAAAAGCCCCAAAACCTAGGCTCACTACACCTTTCTTTGAACCCCAGTCTTGCCACCTTGGCTATGTTACTGGGCATGATAGACCCAGAGTGATGCACAAATAGGTTTGCTAGCTGGATGCATCAGGTACATTACGACAGTCAACCTCGGTTCTATACAACTGGCGGAAACATCTACGTGTCTTTGATTAGCGGTGCTGGAGTTGACTTTTGTAAAATGAATTTTCCAAAAGCGACAAATTTCAAGAAAAAAAGTCATTTACGCAATATTCAAACCTCCACCTTACCAGGGCAAAATCCAGGTTAGATATCCGGCTTTTTATAGAATAATAGCTCTCCGTGCTCTCAAAAGAGCAGTCCTTTTCATGCCATGAACCGTTGGTTCGTGTTCCTGACGTTTCGAAAGGTACTTCTCCCATAACATTCATCAATTATAAAACAGTCTTTTGGATGGTAGAACTGTTTCATTGTACCTTAGAACAAGACAATAGGATAAGCAAGGAAATTAAGGCTTTATAACGGATAGTATTTATAACGGTTTGTCGTGAACTCAATATTGCTTCGAACGCAACAACTACTTGAACAGTCCACGAAGCAAGATACCTACCGTGAAATACCTACCGTGATTACATCATACTTGCTAGATTACCATCGAATGTTCCAGAAATTTCTACGCACACTAATCATACAATGAATTATAATTACAAAGCAATGTCAGCGGGGGGATAAACAAAGGAAGTCTTAAACAAAACAACCGCATAGGTAATGTTTCTAAAGATTATGTAAGTTTGCATCACGTGTCTTCGTGGCACTCAGTGACTCCGTCACACGGTTTACAACAAAACTAGATTATTGTGGCATGAAGGAGAAACAGAATGAAAACAACTAATTTTTAATTAGCTTGGCTTTTAAGATTGGGCGTTTTATGCAAGGATTATATTTCAGCAAGTTTTAGTATAGAATATTAGTACATTGAGATAGCAGAAACTGGAACAACTGTCTCTTTGCTTAGTTCCGATGTAACCAATTTTGATTTTGTTGCATTCACTGCCATTTAATTCAATGTGAACAAGCATTAGCAGGAAAGGAGACACTTGAATAATATCTAAGGTTTGCTTCTCTTGGTTTGTTCAATCTTAGGCCCATTTTCCGTAACGCTGCAAATTTGCCATTGTTTTTCATGGCGTGTCAATATTCATTAAACATAGCATTCTTCGTACACAAAAAGCCAGGCGTTTATAGGCGTCATAAAAGGTTTATTATAGGCTTCTCATCAAATAATGTGCTTTATCGATTTTCAACGATTCTGGGACTGATATAGAGGAATTTTGATACTGCCTTTTTGTTTATCGTTGCTAAATTACTATAATACATCACTCTAATAGACCTATCACAAACTGAATTAATATGTAATTAATTCAACTGATGGTTGTACAGATATTTAGGTTTTGACATAAGCTATAAATATTTTATTGATAGTTTTGTTTCCTTCTGGAGGCAAAATCCGCTAGTTGTTTATTAATGCTTTAATTATACAGGAAATTGTTGATTAGTTTGATGCAGTGGTAAATGAACCCGTAATGATACTGTATAGTTTTCTCACATCAAATAAAACGGCGCTGTCATAGTTTAATGAAAATTGTTTCAAAATAAACGAAGCAAAGCATGCAAAACATACACAAAGTCGTCAAAGCAGCCAACTGATTTTCACTGTTTTCCTTTTTGTTGGCGCGCAGTGCATTGTGGGTATTTTATTAGAACGGCCATTGGTTGTGAATACTGATCAGTGGTAATAAAAAAACTCGTGTGCTTCAGTTTACACAAATAAAATGAATTCTTTCGCCTTTTCCAAAGACAGTTCAGGTCTTTATGCTTCACTGGGTAGTCATACCTTTTTCACGCTGACAGGATTCTTTCTAACTTAATTTTGTTCTGTCTTCAACTACCATCTTAGCCCTCTTCCCTACCCCCAATCAGGTTTTATTTTCTGTCTTGTCAAAGGTTGTACCACCTTTGATGGAGATCCTGTTTTTTATGAAAAAATCCCAGAGAATCCTTTTGTTTTTTGGAGATCGTGCGCTATTTGCAGGAGTGAATTGTCTCTTGTCATTCGAAGGTCCCAAACAACTGCAATCGTATAACTATGGAAAGGTGGTACAACCTTTTGAAGGGTCAATACTGGTTGGACAGGCGCGGGAGAGACGTACTAAACAATGCTATCATGATATGAAAGTTGAACTCGAGGGGTGTATTCAAGCAGTGTTTAGAAACGGTAGGATTTTTAGAACAATAGGATATTTCAGGATGCTTTGCGCATTTTTATCGACAACAAAAAGTTTTTGCCAATGATCTTTTGGCTAAGTAGCCAAACAATCATTCAACTTTCTGAAACCATGGATCATTTTGTGAAATTATCGTGAGTCGTTTCTGCTCTGATATCAAGCAACACGTGGAATAATCACGACATTGTTTGATAATTTATTCCCTGCAATGTCTTACGTTTAAGGAGCCTTTGTTCTATTAATTTCACCTTACCGCTCTCATTATTTCCAAGCGTGTTCTATACTTGAACCAAGAACAAGGCTTGCATCATTAGGCATTGTTTATTACGATTGGATTAGTGAAAAGGGAATTATTACAAACAAGGGCGCTGTGATTTGCAGCCAATCTGACAAAAGACCACGATATCCTTAAAAGACCACCGAGATGCTGTCAAACTTCAATTTTTGCCATTCTGAAAATTTTTGAAAAATTTGATTGTTCTAGGGTGTTCTCTTCGAAGAGAATTAGCGAATTATAAATTCTTAACGTCCAAAAATAGCTGCTAATTTAATTTTCACAGGGAATGAGTTTATAATGGATGACGTCTTCATAATCTTCTTTTATAATTTTGACCAAATAGCCACCAAATATAGGTTGCACAAGTTTGGCTGAGTGTTCTTTCAGATTATATGGTGAGAAACTTTGAAGCGCTAAGCCACAGAAAAGCGGCTAAATCAATGTTTTTTTGTGTGGTAACACTATTGCATGGATGGTCTAGGAATAAATAATGGTTGGTTATAGTTATAGATTGTTATAGATAACTCCTTCAAACTTTTTGTTTACCAACCCAAACATAAATTAATATGAATTTTTCAAAACAGCTCTCCAGCACGTAGTAGAGCCAAGTAAAAATGAAAAGAGACTATATGCTGGTTTCCACATGCGTTTCCATAACCAATTTAAATTAAATCTTTATGACGAAAAAGATTTGGGAAGGAACTGCACCGCGTACCCGGATGGCGAAAGGATGCATTTCCCTGCCGCTGTTTCTTGTGCGTGCGCACCACCACTTAGTAAATGAGTAGTTTTCCGTCAAATTGGTATTGTTTACATGGACAAAAGGACCACGATAATAAAGGACTTTTTGTTTCGATGTCTATGAAAAGACTATAAATGCACACGAGAGCGATGTTGGGTTTCAAGAAAGAATGTTTACGGTATGATGTGTACAGGCCTAAATCTGGAGAGCCAAAAAGCAGATATTGAGACGGCCAGTAAATACACGAGTTAATCATCTTCCAGGTTTGGCAATTGTAAGTGGAAGGTGTCTTAAACGAAAGTAAATTGCACAAATTTCATCAAGACTTGTTTTCCGCGTTTTATTTTTGAATTGTTTTGCGTGTGTGGAATTCAATTCAAAGCTACTCCCAGGCATGCAAGAAATTATGCTACTTGACGAGGAAAGCGACCAATTACAATATGACCTCCCGGAGTTTGGCAAGAGGAAAGTGAAGCAAACAAATTCTGTAATGTCTACGTCGAGCATTGACTCTGGAGTAGGACTATCATTAAAAACATCGCACTCCTCGGTGTCTTCGCTGATTGGCGATGTTGACACTAGTGGTTGCACCATACCCGAAGTTCCTTGGGAAGTGGTCCGTGCAGATCTAGTGATCAAAGTTGGCAACACTCTGTTCCCGGTCCATCGCTCGCTGGTCTCTCTTCATTCGGATATTCTAAAAAACATTATTTTCAGCCTCAACTTCTCTGATGAAGACACGCCAGTAATAACGATCATGGAACTGTCTGCATCAAGAATCATGCATCTGTTAACGCATAGTTATTTCCCGGACAAGAAAGTTAATGGTAAGTGGTATTCAGTTTCTGTTTGTTTTTAATCCGTCGTTGAACATACAGAATCTTTTGGTAGCACACATACAATGTAGCTAAGATCAACCTGTTTCATACCTAATCCTAACATCACATTCGTACTAACACGGCTTCACTTCGTAACCTACAAATTTGCTGCAAACTATGATGCAAAGAAACAAAAATTCCATCATCAATATTCAAGCCAGTTTTTGGAAGTAAAAATTTTTAAGCAGCCTTTTCTGTTCAAGCATTTTACATCGCGCATACCGTGACATTAAGAAGCATGAATATATTTTCTGTAATAATTTTTTCGCCCATTTTATGCTAAATACAAAGCCAGTGTAACCCAAACATACTACGCACTTGCCCAGGAAAACTGTTTGTTTATTGATTTCGTTGTTGGCACAATCTGTTTGAAGTTCTTAGAAGAGGGGCGATGAAAATTGATAGCCTCGAATGCATATCGAAAAAAAATTATGGTTAAACTAGGAGATGACCAGATTATTGGTGTATTTCTTTGAAAAACTGCTTCGCCTTAGTTGGCAAGCAACAAGGGAAATGCTTCCATAGTTTGTTTTAGTCATGCATTATGTAAGAATGGTTGGCAAAGGGATAGTAAATCTAATTCCAGTAAACAAAAGGCTGTATTGGATAATTTGTATGACGCTTTTCAGCATTTGTAATCCCCTTTGTGAAAATTTCCATCGATGACAAAATCACAAACCGACGTCATCCATAGAAGTAGAGGTACTGTTCGAAAACTTATTACCAAGCCCTCTTTCTTTTGTAAGAAGGTCTTCAGAGTGTGATATAATGTCTCGAGGGTACAGATATATTGTCTAATGGATACACACATTTCTAGACTTTTTTGAAAACTAAAGATCGTAAATGAGGCATCTGCTTGAGATGATTTTCATTTGCCTCACGCCACGTGGTATTTATGATGTATAAACCCATCAACCCCTGGCGACCTCTAAGGCAACTGTATCCGGGTGCAAGACTCTTCATTATTTAGTCTCAAAAATATAGTTCGACACTAGTCATGGCAATATTTTTTGTGCCACCGCATCTGTATGCATTAGTACATTAAACCTGGATTCATGAGGCTCTGGTACCCAGGGTAGGGCAGCTGCTTAAATAATTTTTAATGCCTGTTTCTTTGATATTGCAAAAGTTGGCAAGTCTTATGGTCATAAATGGTCGTTCAATTGGTAACTAGAGGAGTGGCAAGTCAAAAATATATTACACATTTTCGACATATAAGGCAAATTGGTGAAACAAAGTGTTAAGCCTTCCTCCCAGAGATATTAAAATGCTCAATAGAGATTTGAAGTGATTCACATTTGGTTAATTGTTAATTGGGCGTTTGCGCAGGAAATGCTTAATACTCTGCCTCATTGAGATGATAGGAATCTTGGGATACCCTTCCGATTCCGTTGAAACGTTCTTGGAGATGCTAATTTGTTGAAAGTATCTTGTATTGGTGAAAAGTTGGTGTACATATTATACCATTTTATTTGGACCACAACCAATTCTCCAGATTTTGACTTTCATGAACATTTTCTACAAAAAGTTGCTCGTTGAAATTGCACATTGCTTTGTATTTGGAAAGTCTCCCTAGTTTATAGGCTTGAGAAATACGTTTTAAGGTTTCAATATTTTGAAGACTTTGGATAGAAAATTGGAAATAGAGACTTAGAGAAAGCCTATTGGAAGATGACAGTTAATCAAACTTGACAACCAGATTGGTATTGTATTATCGATAGTCACAGTCGCCATGTTTAAAAAGGCCAAAATAGGCCTAATATAGCTGGCCTGTTTGAACTAAATAGCGAAATAGCTTTTGCTGGCCTAAATAGGTTTCTTGTTGAATGCATCGATTGGAATTATTCAGTTTTTCCATACCAGCGACTTTGGGTAAGATATTGGGGCCATATTAATCTGAATGATATACTTTTATACGTTTTCTCCGTTTAATTTGTAGATGATAACGTGCTTCAGTTGTTATCAATTGCTGATGAGTTTGTTGCTGAGAAACTTACGCGGAAATGTGAAGGCTATCTCATGACAAAATCAAAGAAGACTCCATTCGAGCTGCTGAAAATCGCTTGCAAATATCGACTCAAAAATTTAATCGAGATGAGTTTGGTTGAAGCCAGTAGACTGCCAAGATTGTTACAAAAGATGGACAAAGAGAATCTCGGATTAGAAATCGAGAACCGGATTCTTAGGTTGATGTTGGAACGTTATGAGTCGTCCCACCAATGTGCTGATCATCCTGAAAACCAGGTGGATTGCTGTTTTTCCAGGACTAGGAAACTGTTTTCGAAATATAATTCAGCTGGTGCAGAAAGCGATACGAGTGACGATGACTCACAGTGCGATTACGATGATATAGATGTTTGGAAAACCAGTTAAGATCGCATGCAAAAAATTATTTGAGCCGCGTTGGTCAGTTTATAATTTACAAACAACTTTCCATGGTATTTCTGCAGTTGACCCGAGAAGTGAATGGTTGTAGATTATGCTAAGTGTTAGAATATTTTATTTAAGAATTAAAACTTTGAAATAGGATAGTGCCTTACTGCCTTCAAAATCTAAGAAGGAAGCTCAAGTTGTACTCTACTTTCTGCTTGAGAAACTTTAGCCTAATCATTTAGGTTTTATATGAATATCTAGTGATATTAATATATTATTAGATAATATGGATAATATGAATATCTAATATACTATAATAATGCACGGTATGAATTTCTATTGACATGAAGACTTGGAAGCTTTCCAGATGATGTAAAAACGCAACACATTAATTATCGTTCATTGTTGATTCGATCACTCAGTTCCATAATAAAAGCTTTTGTAAACAGCTAGAGAGTCATACATAATATCAAAATAAAATTACTTTACGTACTACTTTTAGATTAGACTCGGCTTTTATAAAATGCTTTGCGTAATTATTATGGAGCTGGATGCGAATAGAATTTGTACAGTTTTGTTATAAAATTTCACAAGGCTTATATGAAATAAGCTCAGATGCTATCTGCAAAGGTTTTTGTCTTTTTGCATGCCTCTCTTCTGTTATGCTCTAAATATCAATACAAAGCCAAAAGTTGCCAAAATATGACTTGCTCTTCGGGAAAGCTTCTGCCTATTGCCTAGGCATGCATTCATTCCGTACTTCGACTTTCCTGTCCTGGTAGGTGGAGGGGGCTTTGCCCGTTAATAAAGAGAGTATTTTCCCTGTTCTAGCAATTTCACTTGCCATCTTTCAAAATATATCACCCCCACCCTTTCTCCATGCATTAGATGCACCATTTATATACCGCAAACCCTTGAAAATGTCCATCGACCGAATAGAAAAAACACTATTATTTTGCTATGCTCTTTAAAATGCAAATGCTTGTCTAACAGCTATAACATTAAAAGCAGTATTGATAATGGAAAGCTAGAATACATGTTATAGGAAAGCCCAGAGTCAGGAAAACATCACGGCTCCACGGCCACTGGCCGGAGAAGGCTGTAGGTACAAAAGAAAATCAAGAAAGGTGACCAAAATTTTTGAAACTTGAGGAAAATGAAGAAATTGCATTGCCTTTTTGTTTTTAAAATACAGTGAGACAGGAAATAAAAAAAGTCAATTTATTTTTATAAACCTCCTGTTTTTAATATGAATGTGTTTGCAGAACTGCGTTGTACAGTTAAATTAATCATTAACAATTCATGATTTATATATTTAAACTATGACAAGCTTTTTTCATTAATTGAAATACGCATGTAAGTTCACTGTCTCAAAAATATCTAGAATTCAGAACAAGCTTCATTTTTTTAAAAGTTTGAGAAAAACAGAGTTGCAAGGAAAGGGGATCAAGACTATTTGAGTACACCTGAAAACCGTACCACGCCCATTTTAATACCATTAAAATGAAGGAAAGTTTATAGTAAGATTTTCTTGGCCGGTGGAAGGTTGACAACTTATCTGGACTCTGGGAGACTTGTTTGTTCTTTATTAGCAGACACATCGAGGTTTGAATAGGGGTGAAGGGATGTCATTGCATCTATATATCTACTGTCAAGAATTTTCGAATTTCCAGTTTTTCTTGTATCAAAAGCAGAATACAGGTTGGTCTAAAGACGATTAACAAAACGACTCGGTTAACTGCTTGTTATCTGTTGCTCACGCGAGTTAACTGCCAAGATGATTAAATTGAAAACAGTAAATTGAAAACAGATGGTGGTTAAATCCTGCCAAAAGTTCTTGGAACACCCTGTTCTTTACGGCTTAATTGAAAAATTAATAGTTTCAGGTTTAAATGCCTGACAGCGCACTTGGGACATGCTATTGGCAATGTTCAATTAAGTGTAGTGTACCAAGACGTCTGGGAAGGATTGTAGTTCAAATTTTATTGCTTCACGTCTTGTTTTTACGTGAAAAATGATGCTAAAAATAATACTAAAGCAACTGAGTTAAATGTCACGCAGATATAGAACATTTCAAAAGTTTTTGGCGATTTTGCCGTGAATGTGTTTTATCTTAGAAGGAAACGAACAGTAAGAAAGCACTGAATAGCTTGAATACAAAACGTAGCGAAACTATACTTTGGTCAAAGTAAAGGAAGACTTGTCCACTCTACTTTTTGAAAATGATCTTTTTTGTATTTTTGCTGCTGCCTATGTCTGCAGCACAAAAGTGGACATCTCGTAACAAGTACGAGTAACAAAAAAGAGAGAAAATTAGAATTTTCAAGAACGAGTCTCGAACAAGTCTAAGGTGTAGGTGAATGGTATTGCTTCAGCTTGGATCAAATCGTATGTTGTAATACCCATGGCACATATGGTCCATTTGAGAAAGCCCAATCGGAATCACAATCACACTGCTTTTCAATTCTGCCTTGAATTACAAATCAATACGTTTTCAAGCTATGAAAGTAATACCAACAGTCAATCTTTTGCTTCATTAAAGTTGCCTGTGAGCTAACTAACGACTCAAATTTCTTTTCCAGATGCGTTTATTAGAAAGACAGTCAACTCCACTTACCGGTGTCGACATCTTGCTGATCGACGATCTGCTTACCCTAAGTACAATGGTTTACACTGAGGTATGATTCTTTGCTTAGACTTCTATTGGGTCTGCCATGCTTTTTTGGCAGGCGAAACGCATGACTAATGAATGAGCCATCTCACTTTTTCGAGTCAAAGAGCATGCGCAATAATGATTACGTAAAATGCACAAACTCCTTATGGGAATTGCCTCACACGTTTGAAGACATCGTGTTCGTCTCCCCAGCAATATGTTATTACGTATTACGAGTACCGAGTACTTTTTTGATAATAAAGTTCATTACTATTGTATGGCGTTGTGTTATATTGTGACTACCAATTAATTTCATGAATGTATGTTGATGATTAGCTTATCGATTTTGAACTTTCACTATAGTCGTGGTTAGTAGTTAATCATGGCATATCATTTCCCTAAAACCCATATATGCCATAAGAATCCATCGAATTTGATTCTTGTCATGTATTTGAAAAAGCTGAAAAAGGAAATATCAAAAATTCTGAAATATTAAAGTTTTTTTAATTTTTTTTGTGAACGGCGTGATTAAAGCTCACAAGAATCTATGCTAAAGTTGATGATGAGATGCCTATGATTGAAGATTGGATACAAAAGTTTAGAAAGTGGCAATAACGTTACTCATGAATAGAATTTTTATGCCTGATCAAGCAATTCGTTGAATTTTCCAGGCAACGATCCAAATTTGGAATTACAATTAAAATTACCAAAAAGAGTCACTAGAACCACCCCAATTAGAATAATAGGACCTCTCCGAAAAACACTTCGGTGATGAGCAGTGTGACCAGATCTCAATTTGGAATTATGCCAACTTTTTCATAAAATTATGCTAGATTTGCAAACATTATGTTAAATTTCAAATCAAGGCAGTCCCATTTGAAAAAGAGGCTAGTGCATGCTCAGAATAGCAAAAGTGGCCAGAGTTGCCCTTTTTGATCACTCATCTATAACACAGTGTACTCAGTCCTCGCACACAAAATTTCTCAGTTTTTCAAAACCCCTGCCGTCGTAAATTGATTTGGCCGAAAAAGCAAAAGTTGGCTGAATTGGCTGCATTTAAATAATTTCAAAAATGCAACTGAAGAAACATGAAACAATTAATAATAATAATTAATAAGATAATTAATAAGAAGATAATAACAAGATAAAGTCAAATGAAGCCTACAAAGCAAACTCTGATTACATTATCACTTCCCACAAATTTTACTATTTTGTATATTTCATTTAGTTGGCTGGATTTGGCCGCCAACCATAAAACATTTGGCTGCCAACCATTCCAAAAAGCTGGCAAAACCCTGAAAGTGGAAAGTCTCAATTCACTCCCAAAATGAAACAACAGATGCTTGTGTAAAGTGTTTGCATTTGGTAACGATAGTCAACTGATCAATGGAAACAATTTTTTTAACAAATATCAAAATTATGCCAGAGTTATGCTAGATTCCAAATTATGCTAGATTTTATGCTAAAAGCATAATGTTACGCTAGATCTGGTCACCCTCTGATAAGAGCTTCCTGAATAAACATTGTTATTATTAGTATTATTATTATTTTTATCATCCAAAAAAATCTTTGCAGGCTCTTCCCTTCCCCGTCTTGTTTTTTTCGATGTGCAACTAGCTAAAGAGCTTTTAGTCACCATAGTTCGCGTTTCACGAATTCGTTAATTTGGCAGTGGGGGTGAAGTTGGCAGTAGGTCAGGATATCTTATAACGCGCTCAATTTGTTGAATACGGTGTCTTTTATTCTTTCAAAGGTTCGAATCAAGGCACAGAAGACGCTATTTCAATGCTTCGACATCTTTGATTATTCTGCCAGAGCTATCTTGCCTAAAGTTCTAGACAAGCTAAAGGATGATCCTGCAGTTTCACACGAGCAGTTTAAGGTAAATGGTGCTTGAAGATAAATTGATCTTATCATCTGCTCTGTACCAATTAACAAATATTATATCAATCAAACTTTCAAATATTCTCACAAGAACAAAAATTTTGTTTGATTTAATTGATGAGCTTAGTCTATTTGTAACAGGATGGTTGTCGAGTTTTTTTAGATATCCTTTCTTTCATTTTCCAGTATTTGTACCCCCAAGCAAAGAAGATTAGGGACATCAACAACTTTCTTTTCCTCTTATTTTATCAAGCCTTATCCCTGAGGGTGTGGTTTCAGTTGCCCCGACCCCCTTCTTTGGCTTATCTTTTGTGTGCGACACACCACGTTTACATTGGTCTTTTTTCCCCGTGTATCCGCTTATTTTTAGGCAATAGAGTTCTAAAGTGTGACGTCATCAAATCCTATTTTTAGAATTTATGAATTTTAACCATATAGCGTAAAATATCACCATGAAATACTTTCAAACACGCAAAATTGGCCAAATATGTCTAAAATCGGTTGAGATGTGGCTAATGAAAGATTTGAAGTTTGCTAACGAATCACTGTTATTTTGGCTCTGTTCATAACGTTATGAACAGAGACCAAAATACAGAGGTTTGCTGGGGAGAGAACCAATAAACATGTGGCCATATCTCTGCCATTTCGTAATACACTTGCCTGATTTTGCACATTTAGCGGTATTTCATGATGCTCTTTCAGGTTATGGGATCCAAACTAAAAAATTCTAAAAATAGATTTTTGTGACGTCATCACTTTAGAACTCTATTGACAAATGCACGAGTAAGTCTTTTTAAGATAAAGGAATTGTCTACTTCTTCCATGCGAAGTATGCAAAATGATTGGAAGAAGTGAATACCCACTTATATGTTTATTGCCAGGGAAAGATTAAAATCAAAATTCTGTTATTATAAAATTTTGTGTGCAAAGAATGTTTTTCAAGCAATAAAGAGAAAAGACAGAGTATGCTAGAAAGACTGAGCTGACTTGAAAACTGCAACAATTTTATAAAATTGTTCTTCGTTCACAGGGAGCGTTGCACATTCTGTTGAACAGCCGGATGCAGCATCTGATTACTCACTACTGGGAGACAATTTTTGAGACATGGCCAAAAATTATTGAAGTATGTAACTGAGTCTTTTATATCCTAGAATTGTTATTTTCTACTTTGACTATATAGATCGGAGTGGAGAAACTCTTGTTCCGATCTGTTTTGCTTATTTTATGTAGAGGGTTTAGTCCAAAAAGTTTCTTTTTTTGCCATCAAATGCAACAATACAGCGTTTAAACAGAAAGATAGTAGACGTGTTACTGTCAGTGACAAAAGATGAGGAATCGTAGGATTTCTACTTATAATTGCACTAATATGTACATATACCTGTAACTGGACAATCTTAACAGCTTTGTGCTTGCGTTTCTGATTGGCCTAGATCGATCCACAACTAATTATATATATTTCCTAACTTTGGATTTTCTATTTGTTTTCTGAGGTTTTACACTCTGAAGAGTGTCAGACGAAAAGTTTAAGTGTGTTTCGAAATGTTTGCTTTTTTCAAAGCCATTTGTAACTGTAGGATCAAACGCTTGTATATCAATCGCAACTAAATTCGATTAAAATTTTAACCACCTTACTAAGAAAATAATTATACGAAACGAAAAGAGGGAAGTTTAATTTTACTAGAACCTTGATTTTGGTCCTTGTTATGGTCCTTGACTTCTGTAGCTTGGAATATAGCCCACTCAATGTTACCAGAACTTGTTCAATATGTTGGACTTGTTTCATAGGCTGACCACTCAGAAAAACCTTCAATGGTGAAAATCATCGATAAGTTAGTGGATACATTGCAAAGCCGGTTTGACAGTGTTGGCCTAAAGCGAATGGTAAGTTCCGGTTGTTTCTTTTATCTTTCTGATTTGACAACATGTGATTCTCGAAATTAGGACATTGTTATTCAATGAAAGGTTGAAACATCTATATTGAAAATGCGAGTTTTCGGTTGCCCACCCTACTAGTCAACTAGTCCACTTAGAATTTTAAGTCTTGCAGTATTTCTCGCTAAGAAAAACAGTCTTAAGATGTCTATCATTATGTATGTCGGTGGCAGAGTAATTTATGCACGCACTCGTTTAAATATAGATTTCACTGTGGATGCTTTAAGTATCCACCGCTCTAAAAAATAGAATAGATAATAGCGCAACCTCTTTTCTTTATTTTCCTGAGTTTAAACTTTGAAATAAACAAATTAAACGATTAAGTTTTGCACTAAGAGTGGAACACTTCTTTTAGATATACAGATGTGTAAAAGCTTTCGCTTAATCACGTGGCTTCTCTCAAGACTGAGTCAATTACTGCTCCAGAAAATGGAAGCAAATTTAGGCCCTGGCCAAAAGTTGGGCATTTTTAAATGTAGCACTTCTTGGCTTTTAATTGCCTGATATTAAGTTTAAATAACTGCGTTTCTTGAAGATCACAACAGGGTGCGAGAACGTGGCCACCCGCATTCTCAAATCAACAAACCCTTTACCAGCCCCAAAAGGATGTTACAAGGAGGTCACTGAACCAGCGCTGCCATCGCAAGAAGCATTAAAACTCGGATCTGAAGCTGCCGATGCCGAAAACAACAAGCGAGTTCAGTAAGTTTCTCATGCCAAAATTTTATTTTTTGGGGTATATCAACTCTAAACAACAAAGCCCCGTGGCGTAACTCTTGTTAGTAACCTTTAGTGTTTTCACTAAAGGGTTGCCAAAGGCCAACAAAAATCCGAAATTTTTTTTATTGGAAACTTCAAATACATTACTGGGTCTTTTACATAGGACCACATATTCGTACGGTCTAGATTTGTTGATATTCCTGTATACGTAAGCTATAAGATTTCGTGGAAATAATTATGGGGTTAGAATGTCATCGTTGTCTAAAAGATGCAAAAGGTATTTGGCTGGTCTGTTGTTTCTTTTCAGTTTCAGTTATCACAAAAAAATTGAATACGAATAAGGAAACTATTAATCTATTTTGAATCCAAAGATGAATCATTGTGCCAAATGTTTAAGTCTTAAATTTTAGTCAAAAATAAATCTTTATTTGGTAAAACCAGAAAACTCTGTTTGTCGGAGTCTAAAGCCACTAGGAATTCAAGGAACATTCAGAGAATACGTATTTGAAAAAAGTTATTCTTTATTTTCTTGTATTCGTTAGGTTTTACTACGATCTTGTAGATCAACTTACAGACAAGATTGAAGACAACAATTTGTGAGTAATATGAAATATTTACAGTTTTACTAGTTTCATTACTCAGATTTTTTTTCTTTAGATCGGTAATTGACATAGATAATAATTGGAATTATAAAAACATCGAGGCAAAGGCAAGTCAGCTCATGGTCAAGAATAACAATGCTGTGGATTAAGAAAGGTTTACACGCATGCAACCCAGATTCTATAATGACTGCTGCTTTGATACCGATTTCTGTTTATTGATTTAGTGAAATTATTATTCCAGGAGATGGAGGCACATCCAAATCTGTGTAAACTTGCTGACGTTGCTGATTCGAAATGACATAAAGCTGCCAGCTAGAGCTGTGAAAGTATTTGTTCGACTTCTCGCCCACGATGCCCTTGCGATGCGAAAGGTAATTTCATTTGAATATTTTCCTTTAAATACAAAAATATTTTCACTTAAGGATGAAACCATCACCTACATCTCTTGTCATAATGTATGGCAGCAGTCATCTCCGTTTGGTAAACGTCATTTAAAGTTTTAAGACTGAATTGACCATTGGCTCACCTTTTCTTAGTATACTTATAGCAAGATTTGTTTGTTCGTGACAGTTTGAGGCTAAATCTGCCTTTGTTGGTACGTTTTAAATTTAAATAGAATAAGTTATGTTTTTATTAACATAGCTGAAATTGCTTCAGTATATGAGCCCTTTCAGACTCTCCCTTTTCTTGTATACCACAAAAAATTTCATTGATTGTACAAAAGCATGTTGTGAAATTCATTGATATGCGAACCCTGGTGCTGGGCTGATGAAGCTTTACAACAAATGGGATGCTTGGCACTAGATCTGTTTTTAAGATTTCTTCATCCTGGTTAAAAAGGCTGATTGGAATAAGAAGGATGCAATCTTTCAGAAAGCAAAAGCGTCGGGACTAAATTTTACTACATTTATGTTCTTTGAGTCTTATATAAGACTTTTCGCATGAATTCTTTATAGAAAAGCACGAAGGCTCTTGGTGGGATATTGCATCAACAGAAAAAAAGCCACAAGAAGATTGCAGTTGACCTGAAGGCTAAAGGTAAATCGCATCAAATTCTATCAAATTGTAAGTAGGTAGACTTTATCTTTACTTTGCAGGTCCACATCAACTTTTTAAGCTGACTTGAATATGACCTGCATTAACAAATCATTGATGTATGTATGTTTGTAGGTATTTTGAGTATTGTCCATAGAGCATAGGATATGGCCTTTGTTTAGCGCCCCGGACGTTAGTAAGATTGTTGCTCTCTAAAGAAGAGCCTTAGAATGGAGTGCGCGGTAGGTGGACGGGCGTCAAATACAAGGCCTCAAAGAAAGAGGGCGTTAACACGTTTATCGTTGTTTATGGGAAAAGGTTTTATCGCAAATTTATTTTGTTTCATGGAAGTATTAAGTGAAAATGTTTGATATGTCTTGACCAATGCGGTTCTGCCCTCTTGTACAGTAAGAATCCTATGTGTATAATTAAAGCCCCCTTGAGTTTTTCTTGATATTCTTATAGAAGGGCGCTGATAAAAAAAGGCGTTAATTAGAAGAGGTTTTGAAAAGAGCAATAGTATAAATAGATAATCACCTTCTTGGGAATACGCTGTCGAGTCATTCAGTCTCGTTGGTAATGTGCAAATTTTAAGGCCAATTTTGTACGCTTCTTGATTGCATATGATAGTGCTCTTTACCGGTCGGAAAAGAAAAGCGAGACATTGTGTTCGCGTGCTCACAATGCATTTCCATCAAAGGTTTTGCCCAGTAAGAAACACTGATCGATTTCTAAAAGGGAGCTAAACTTCATGCCTAAAGGTGGTTCACAATAAGCTAGCAGGAGAGGGTGTTTCTAACTGGCTTCCAAACCAGTTCTCTGAATCTGTTACGGTTGATAACAACTAAGAAGAAAATAAATTACTTTCTTCTTAGTTGTTATCAACCGAACCATTACTGTAGTGATGATATCTAGCTTGACTAAAGGACATATCACTTCGCCTTTTAAGAGCCCATTGGATGTAGAAACAAAACCAAGAAAATGGAATTTCTTTTCAAATGGCCTGTTATAAACTTGCGTCTTATCTGCCACTTATTAATAATTTGGTCATGATCCAGCAGTGTATTTTCTCGTAAATCTGGACGATGATGACTTTTGATTACCCCCAAAATGTTTCCTCTTTGTTTTGCCATCGTAAAGGTTTGCAATTGGTCCAAATCATTCAAATCTTTTAACTTTCTCAGTCTGTAGTTGAAGCTTAAGATGAAATATCAAAGCAATTTGAAATTCTGTCCCTAACTGTTTTCAGACACAAGACTTCATGGAACTGTCATCATTGCATTATGTGTAAATTGTCTTCAGAGGGCTGATAAGAGGCATATAAGTGCTTTATATACCGAATCTGAAGTGTTTTCCAGATTCACACAAAATATTTGTTTTGAACCCAACATAGTTGAAGCCCATGCTTAAAATTCTCCCGCAGCTGTGTACACTTCTGAATGGGAAAGAATTATTTTTTGATTATTCAATGTTTTAGTCAAAACGTCTTGAAATGATCCATCTGAAATTGTCTTATGTAGAATGCCTTATGGTTGGCTTTCTAGGGTTTGATTCATCTAAGCAGTCACTATCAAGTTTACCTCCCGGTAACAGATTGGATAATGAATGGTAAGCTGGGAAACCATTCCCTATAAATTTTAAAATGTTTTTCCGCAAGAAATGTTCATCATGTGTCTAATTACTATCGAATAATGCAGGCAGTTATGTTTGCTTGCACCATAAAATGCCAATTCAATCTACTTTAGAGTGTTGAGAAGTGCTCTTTTTGACACTTTGGCAATATTGCATCGCCTTCTTTCAGATGCCCTCTAAAGAGATGTAAAATAAGCTGCCATCATCTTTAACTTTAAATAAGTCCATTGAATTATTTAAAGTAGCTAAAACTAATTTATCAAATGTACTGCTATATAATGTCCGGTTTAGGTCTCATTTCAGAACGTTTTTCCAATTTTTCCCACTGCAGTCGATACCTCAAATTTTTTGTCGAATATCATCCTTGCTCATGCTTTTCTGCGCTTTTGTGCCGCTGCTTCTCAATTTACTCTTTGTTCCATGACATTACGCTCATGGTATTTTTTTTATTTTAAGGGTACTGTATAAATCCTCGAATGCTCCTAAGACTGAGGAGGAATGGAATCGTTTTGAGTTCATTGATAAGACACATCTCGGATTCTACACATGGCCAAAGTGAGTATTTCCTGATGCTGCACTTTTTTACTGCCAGTTTTCTTTCCTTGACCTGCCTCCGGTATTTCTGTATCCAACTACTAGATTTTGAAAGCATAGATGAGTAAGAACAATTTCCGTAGTGAAAACTGTCAGGTGGTGTTGGTTTTATTATCATAGCTTCCGTACGTTTTAATCATTGATTTAATCATGAGCAATAATGGCTGCATTTTTGTTACGTTCCGCCCAAATTTAGCTTCTTTTAGAAAATTCGTAATTTTTAGCCGGGAAAATCATTTTAATTTTGATCTGCCTTTTTTGAAGTAAATTGGAGACCTTTTATTTCTTTATCTTAAGATATTAACTGACAGCAACATTAAGAATACAATTTAAAAACAATTTCAGCAATGAAGATGTGATTTGGATCTACCGGTCATTTATTCTCTGTCTGTGTCTTTTAGAACTTTGTACACATTTGCATCACCGAAAGATCAGACCCCTCCAGGAAGGGCTGCTGGAAATTTATCAGAAGTATGTCTTTTACTGGAAAAGTAACAAATTTAGCTATAGTTCTTTATGTTTACTGCTCCTCAAGTGGTTTTTGCATCAACAAATAGAACATATTACTTCACTGTTTGTGAGGTCACTGTTTCAGTGTGTTTTTTAATCTCAGAACATGGTATCCCCCTTTTAATGTACTTTCTATAATTCCTTTCTACAGTATTTTGCTTCCATTTTTTTTATTTTTGTATTAAAATTTTGCTTCCATAAGCTCAAAACGCGGTTTCACCCTTAAATTTCTTGTAAAATATTGCATTTCAATACCTAGCTTCTAACAACGTGTAAATTTCTATTAAACACGTACAGTATGTTTGGCATTGTTTATTTACTCTTACTTATACGAATACCAAAGACTCAAAAGCTGTTGAACCTGTTGCTTCTGGAAATGGCATTCCCACTTTTGTATTGTTTTGCGATAGATTTGCTTTAATTTTTGCTGTTATGCTAGTGATTAAACATCGATCGTGAAAGTCTACCCTATATATTTGCGTTTTGCTTACCTCAGGAAGAGCTGGTAATTTGCAATGCCTTCACGGAACAAGACTTCGTCTCAAAGGTCATTTCATTCATGTCTTTGGAAGAAAAGAAAGGAAAAGATTCTTTTTCTGGATACAGATACTCCCTCTTCCATGTACGTACTTTCAGAATTAGCTTGAAATTTACCATAATTGACGTCCGTTTTCTATTTCTTGTTTTAGGGAAAAGGTTTGTAACGATTTGCTCGTTTTCAATGTTATGTTCTGTTCTGTTATGTGTACTACTGTATTGCAGTTAATACTTGTATACCTTTACAAGTTTATTCTTTACAGTTTTTTTATAGTGACAACTACTTTTCGTTTATAAAGACGAATTTCAAATGAACTAACGCCATGTTTGTATTTCTTGCATTATTCAATTTTTGATTTTTTGCATATTTGTTTGTTCCTGGTGTCCTTTTATAAGAAAATGATGATTTGTTGTTGTTTTTAAACAGGGCACCTTTCGAAATGTGGGACCAGAAGCCTTTGAAGTACTCAAGCCAGTTCTGGAGAAATTGCTGAACGAAAACCAGGTATGGAATTTTACCTGAAGCATTTACTGAAGCAATTACAGCCACATATGCGTCAAAGCTACGTGCTTAAGCCTGTTTAAAACAGTACCGTTACAAATAGGAATGATGCTGATTAATTTTTTTGTTAAAGCTGACTGCTTTGTAAATATAGTTTTATCGCAAAGTCAGACTCTTCCAACATTTTCAAAGCTTCTAGCCATCAAAGGATGTTTTGATCGTCTTGCTCGTTTTGAACTAGTGGCTAGGCGAGTTTTACAAGATTACGTCATAACGTATGACAAAAAGCAAGTAATTGTCACAGCCACAAACTATCCCAAGAAATGTTTTCTTATCCTCTCAATGTAGCTCTTCACTATTGCATCAATAATCTTTAGCCTCAATAAAATTTTTGGTTCAAAAGTGCTTGAAATTAAAATTTACTAGTGGCATAAACATTACTGTAAGCCACTGCTCTCTGTAGTAAATCAATATCTACCGTTAAAGCTCTATTTAGCCCCCCTCTCCTTTAAGCCCCCCTCTCCTTTAAGCCTCCCTCTCCTTTAAGCCCCCCTCTCCTTTAAGCCCCCCTCTCCTTTAAGCCCCCTTCTTCAGCCTTTGATGCCAAACAAAGAAAACATGCCCATCTAGTGGGTCTCTTGACGGGCGTGATGATGATAACATTGTGTGCATTAAATACGGCCTATGTGAAGACTTACTTGTACGACTTAGTAGTCAGTCGAAATTCGTTTTGAAGGAGTCTAAGGGTTATCAAATCATCCTGTTGATGCTGATGAAGATGGAACTTATAATTGATTAATTAAACTTTCGAAGCTCCTAGCAAAGTTTTTTGAGAACATTTGTATGACATTTTCATTAAAAAGAAGTGTATTTTTAAAACATATTTGCTTCAAATTTTTAATAAACATCCCCTTTTTTAATAAACCCCCTCTTTTCAAGCCCCCCCCTAAAGGATTGAAAAAATAAGTAAGCCCCAGGCTTAGTAGAGCTTTTACGGTATACTTTCCCATGTTCTTATCCAGATAATCCAGATCCAAATTATTATTTAAATCTTCGTAAATATTATTGCAGGAGAGTAGCCACAGATGTGCAACGGAAGTTATCGCTGGGTTGATTCGCGGATCAAAGCACTGGAATTTTACCGCGGTGGGTACTGTAAAGTTAGATTAGCAAGCCATTATAATCCCAATCACTTGCACCTCCAAGGGAGCGATAAAAGTTGTTCAAGTTATCAAGGGCTTGAAAATATTGTGGATGGTTGCAGCTGAATGCAAAAACATTTCGAGCTAACAAAATGTGGGTTATCTGGAGTTCCTGTTGTTGTGGAGTCCAGATACCAGGTTATGCTTAGACATATATTCTTGCCCCTTGGGGAGTCGAACTCTCTTCTATCACACTATCGTTTCAGACTATTATCTCAGGTAACGTGGTACCACCATCCCCCCTCCTCATCATAAGTTGCGACCCTAACGAGCTGATAATGCAGTTTTTATTCATGTGACGATTTTCTTCAAGATTAATTTTGAAAGCAGTAAAATGTTATTGATCAGAACAGATAAAATCTGAACTTTTGAAGCATTGAAGTTTAAAATTTTAAACATAATAGAGTTTTGATTAAAGTTGGCTCATCTGTTGTTGATCATTTGACTATCTAGTAAAATTTATTACTTTTATGTAGCTACAAGATATATGGTCCTTCTTACTTCCGCTGCTAAAGAAAGCCTTTGCCAATATTATTCCGGAGGTTTTGAATGACTGGGCTACTGCTTTTGTTACTGCAACGGTAAGAATTTATTGAATATTGTCTAGTTCAACTGCAAAGCAGAAATTGTACTTTAACCAACTTTTATGGTTATCTATTAGCTATTTGGTAGTTGTCATGTCAGTGAACATTTGTATCAGTTTGCCCATAAAGTCATCCTGCAACCTCAAGCCTTGATTCTTAGCAACCTTAGAGGTATGACTCACATGTAATTTTTTTTAACAGGAAAGCATGGACCCGCATCGATTCCGTCAGTTATTTGACTTCCTTTTGGACAAGCCCATTAATGGTGACGGAGGAGCATTTGGGGACTCGGCGTAAGTTTTATGTAATTTAGAGGGAAAATTTTGCTTGAAGCACTTGCTAGAAACTTTGAGGAAATTAGAACGTGTACAAGGATTTGCTCTTACTATATAGAATAACTTAGCTATTGTTGTTGATTTTGCATTGGATTTTTTATTAAAACGAGGTTTGCCTGAAAAGGCTCTATGTTAAATCCTGAACATACACAAAAACAGTTACCATTGTATTTTAAGAATGATTTAGGACAATAAACTTCTAATGAGTTTTTCTCCAGAGATCTTGCTTAACGTGGCTTGAACTCTGTACCTGTCTAACTTGAGTAAAGTTTAACGTATAGAACTTTGCTGGTTTTTGGCCGAGAAATTCCATCTTTCCAACGCTCCGAAAGCTGTTAAAAATATTCTGTGTATTAAACCGAGATGTTTGGCAGTTGAGGTTTCTGCCTCTGAAACTAGCTCAGGGTCCCTGCTTGCTTTTGACTGCCTCAATCTCTGTAGTTTTCGTTTCCTTTTTGGCTTAGTTAGAATGCTTTACCCTACAGGCGTCTCCTCATCGCCCAGAGTACTGTAGTGCAGCACGAATGGAGAGTTCCAGAGCTGAACCATCAGCTGTTCAGTTACCTCATACCTCATCTTGGCCATTTGTATAAAAGTGTTAGAGATCGTGTTGGCAGGTATGTATTTCTTGTATTGATTTGAAAAATGAACAAGATTAGAGATCAACCCAAAGTATCCAGCAAAACTGGCTATATATGTGATTTATAGGGATAAAAACCTTGCACTGTATCTGGATTTTTAGCCAGCAAAGGCCATCATAAAATGATCTTGTAACTATGCATTGTAGCTAATTTATGTTTCCTCCAAATGGAGCAGCTTAATTTTCTTAACCCATTTTTAGAAGGTAATCTCTTTATCTTCACAAATTTTGTTTCGCTTATAATTTTTTTTAGAAGTCATTATCACTATTCTAATGATACAGCTCCAGTTTTTCATTCCTTAGCTCAATTGTTGCACCGACGTGCTTAAAAATTGCGGATGAAACATCTTGAACCCTCCTACAAATATGATAGACATATATAATAGACAAAAGTATCCTGCATGATCCAGAAAGGTCATTGCATATCAATTCCTGGTCGTAAAATTAAAAAAAAAATCAGTCTTATACACATCAGTATTATTAACAAAAAGTTAAGTTAATAATAGTTCATATAAGTCTAAAGTGAGTTTATCATTACTGGATTTTGTTTAGTCAATCTTTTTAGGCTGGGAATAATTTCTAGCTTGTTTTTGCATTCATTTTATGTTTCATGGCAGTTTATTTTCAATATCTATGGGGCTCAACAGAGCTGCAAAAAGTATCGGAACCTGGGAACTAGATTCCCAGAAAAATATTTGGCTTGGCAGAAAATTTTCAGCAAAACTTGATAAAAAACAGCTGTTTTTTGCCCTGCTACGGGTTTGTAATTAAACACTTTTCTGGTTCTTTACAGTGTATATTCATACTTGCTGATGTTTGACGTCAAATGTGGAAACAGCAGCCCAACGAACTCCCCCAAAATGGGCGATCTATTAGAACACGTCATTGGCTTCTTAGAACTACTAAATAACGATGATGCACAGCGCCTTGAGCGTGGAATCGACCAGGATGTGGAATTGCTCTCTATCAGCAATAGTAGCTCTCTTAACGCCCCCAATGATTCAAAGTCTCTCGAATCGGCTTCACCAAAAGGCCAACCACCCGCTAATGAGCCTTCTGCAGGTAACGAAGCTGGAGATGATGACGATCGAAAGCAAGCTTTGAGAGTAGCCAAAACTGGTATGATTACTTCGGTTTCATTTATTCACATGTTTTTGTTTTGGTCTTGGTTGGTTAGGGTGGGTGGAAGTTAGGTTGGGATTGGGTTAGTTAGGGTGAAGTATTCTCTGTTATGGTTGACTATAGGTGGTTAGAGAGAAATATAAGATTTGTAATGGTATGTTAATGCAGGTTGTTAGATTTGGGATATTGTCGGTTAAGTTTTTTTGTAGTTTATTTCGCTTTCTAAGGTAAGTTTTTTGTAGTTTATTTCGCTGGCTTAGGTAAATTTTTTGTATTTTATTTCGGTGATATAGGTGAGTTTCGTTGCTGTGGGTCGTTTTTTGTTGGACTCGGCAATGAGTGGATTATGATTAGTTAGATTAGGTTAAGGTTGGCTGTGCTTAGAAAAGATTTGGCAGTTGTGTAACTGCTTGGTAGTGCTGGTTAGGGTAGCTTTTGGTCCGTTTGAACTGGTTAAGGTGGATCATGGTTTGTTATGCTGGGTAATGGGGTAGGTTGGCCCAATATTTTTGCTAGCTTAAGACTGGGCGCAAAGAGTGTCTTTTGGAGCCAAAGTCCAACCTAAAGTAAAATTTTTGGACCCAAAGTCCAACCTAATATTTTCAGTGTTGAAAATTGCCTTTTTGTCTTATGTTTATGCATTATACATTTTGTGTTAACGTTATTGAACTCAAGCTCATTATTATGTACTTTCTATGCAGTTCTAACAATTTTGTCAAGCCAACACTATACGATTCAGACCGTATCAGAAGAAACCTTTCGAATGCTGTCATTTGTAAGTGAAATTTTCTAATATTTTGCTATGTGCTATTAATAACAGTGAGTATAATTGAAGAATTTGGCAGCAACTGATGCATTTAAGCATGTTGTAAAAACATTTCTTATATAAATAGCTATCATTTTTTCTATTGTTGTAACTGTTTTTCTTGCAAGTGCTTCTTTTTGTTTGTCACACTCGACAAAGTTATAGTTTAAATACCTTATTGTGACAGATTAAATATTGATAATTCCTTCTAAGAGTTTTGGCAAAGGTTGCTTACCAGTCTAAATTTCTCGTTATTTGGTCCGGATTTCAGTTTTTTATATTAGAAATTAATAACAAAGTAAAAAAAATATATTTTGGTTTCAGTTGATGCCGTTGGAGTCGCGCGAGGATGACCCCGAGCTTCAGGATTATTGTAAATTCGTGAGTTGTCTGTTCTTTTATTCTTTTTTCTGTTCTGATTCTGCGATCGTTCATTGCACTTTTTGTATACAGGCGTATTTTGTATATTCTACCGTATCAGGTTCATCAAACGTGAAAGGAATTGTCTATTGAATGTTTTACTAAAAGGTTTCGAATGACTCATGCCCAAAATCGTACGCAAGGACTTCGTCTATGCTGCTGATACGGATGTAGATATCAAGGTTTTGAAAGGAGTCGGCAGTGGAGTAGTCCATGTGATCCTAAAAGAATGAAATATGAAAATTGGGACACCTCATAATGAACAACAAAGACTGATCGGTCCCGCCTATGTCACTCAACATAGCGCACCCACTCACTGTTTTGAATAGAAACAAAATTGAGGCTCCTTTTCACTAGTTAGAGCTAGAATTTTGGGCACTGAAAATTTCCAAACCTTAATGTTGAAGGAAGTCAATGTCTTAATTTTGTAACCGGAATGATATCGTGGGGGTAAAATTTGTTTTCTCGAAAGTTGGCAAAGGCAACAGAAGCCTAAGAAGTAACAAAGAAGGTTGAAAACCTGCCTTCAAGAGTTGCCCTGTTGGAGCTTTCACGAAAATATTCAGGCAGTTGTCATTACAGCGATTCAAGTTACATGGTAGTATCTAGGAGAAATATTTTACGCGAAGGAGTATCATCTGTGAAGATTCCATCCAAACGTCTTGTTTTGGTGAAATATTCTATGATTGTTTCGTTGTTTGTCCCTGGAGTGTTCTTCTACCTAAATATTTAATCATAAAGGGACAATACTTTTCGACAAAGTTTTTATATGCTGAGCAGTCTCGGGTAAATCTTTAACTTTTTGAAATACTTTGCACAAAGAGAATAAAGGCAATGGTCGGCATGCAACGCACTAACCCATCTGAGCTTTTCTCATAATGTCAGTCAATATATTACACTCCTGTGATGAATTGTTGCAAAGCACTTTTTTGAATAACAATGGGACTCGGAGTTACAACTTATAACAGTGCTTTTGTATATAACATAGCGTGCAAATTTCCAGGAGCAATCTATGACAGACCGGTAAACAGTAAATTTATTGTATAACAGAGGGATTTTGTATAATGATTTATTTTAGCATATGAAAGTTGCATGCAGAGCTGGTTGGATGTAATTTCGATAAAGTTTGAATGTCTTTTATTTCAGGTTTTAAGCAAATTGCCAGGGCAGCAACTGAAGGACCAGCTCATACCTGTCGCCATTTCGATGTTAACTCGGGTAAGATCCATATTTTGGTATGAATGCTTATATTTATGACTTTGTTTGTGAAATATTTGAATCCAAGGCGTTTTAAAATTCAACTGATATCCTTACGGATATAAATAGGATATTTTGATATATAAGTACCATTTTTGGCATCGCGTGTTCCATTTAGCACTGACCAAAGTGCTTGACTGTCGCTTGAGTTTGGAAAAGAAAGAAAGGGGGGGGGGGGAGTCAGTGCCCTTCATTCGAATACAGATGGCATAGTAAGCGTTTCTTGTTCTTAAAGGCATTGAGTCATGGTAAATAGGCCTTCTCTATAGGGGGTCATTTGGATTCGGTGTGATCGCTGCTGTTTCATGTGATATTTGCATCCGTTGTTGACAACTTGCTATTGATGGAAATTGTTTTGTCAATCAGTACGAGGTGAGTTCATGTGACCAGTTCCAGGTCAACCAATAGCATGGCAGTCATGAAAATCATGACTCAGCGGATTTTGGCATTTAGGGTATACCCAATCCATTTTATCATGACTCAATGCCTTTAAGGAGACCAATTATCATGTTTATAAAACCAGAACCCAGGCTTGGTTATTCATTATTGTTTTCAGCGTTGTGCTGATGTAGAAGCTTATTTTTCTAAGACCTTACGAAGATGTAATCGGTTTTAGACATGTTGCTTTATTGATTTAGCTTTCTTGATGTTCTTCAACAGAGATAGCTTCGATCCAGATATTTCTGGATAAAAGAAAATATTTCTCTTCTAGGTGTATCTGCATCGTTCATGGAATGCCCGGCGTTTAGTTTTACGTTACTTGCAAGTCAGTAATTTTTGTGATTGGTGAAAGTTTCTTACCTTTATATATTTACTTGGTTCTTGCACAGTTGAGATTTGCTGTAGTTAATTCGATTGTCTAGTATCATGTTTCCTAGCGCATTTTATGGATTTCAGTTTTTAAATTAGTTCGTTATTTTGAAAAATTTGATTTCGTTAGTGGCAGCTCGTATATTTTATCAATAGCTCACGGATTAAATATCTGTTTTATAATATTTCCTTTTTTGTTACCGAATATTATTCATAACTCAGGGTTGTGACATTTTGCTGCCTGCTTTGAATTTTGTTAGAAAAAGGCGCTCTTGAGATTACACTGTTTCCAAAGATTTTTGTGAGTTTCAGTTTTATTCTTCACATTTGAACCATGTGGTAATGTTCTTTTCTTCTTTTAACCTAGGTTATGATTTTCCACAACCTGTTTACCCTTAAAGCGAATAAATACAAGAATGACCTGTGTCATCTTGTACTGCGTGCAATAGAGGATGAACAGTTGGAAGTGAGGCTAGAGGCATCCAAGACTCTCAGCGGCCTTGTTCATTATGGTTACTTTGTTGTCGATGATTCCCTGCGCCAGAGATTCTCGCAGATGGCAAAGACGAGACTGGCGAAACGAAAACGAGGAGAGGTTACTAGCCAAGTCGATGCAAACCCAAACGGGTATGCCCTGCGTCAAAGACATTCAGGTGTTCTTGGTATGTCAGCATGCATCCTAGCATTTCCATACGAAGTGCCAGAGTGGATGCCTCAAATGCTTTTGGAAGTTGGGGAGCATCTGCATGAAGGAAATTACATACAGGTATGAAATAAGTACGGAGTTGCTTAAATTGTTTATGCTGTTTTTAAATTTTTTTACCATTTCACTAACTAGCACCGATATATCTATTTCTGCAGTGTGAACCTTTCATTACATACCTCTTCATATGCCGCGATTAGTCTCAAACTTTCAATCATCAGTTTTTCTTGACCATTCACAAAGGTAGGCCATGGGCTCCTTCAAGTTGAATTCCAGTTTTGCACAAACACTGTCTACGCCATTAGAGTTTAATCATTAACTTCAAGTTATCAACATAAGGGAGTTGTAAATTGGGGTTGTGTTAAGCTGTCATTGCTCAAGCCGAGTTTTCGTTATCAAATCCAGTCGTTATGATATGCTTTGAAATTTTTGTTTACATTATTAATGGTTCTTACTAGATCATTATTACTGATACAATATGCTGTTCATTTTAGGCAACGGTGAAGAAAACACTTTCGGACTTCAGAAGAACTCACCATGATAATTGGCAGGAACACAAACAAAAATTCAAGGACGATCAACTGGCTGTTCTAACAGACTTGCTTGTTTCGCCTAATTACTATGCATGACCGTGCTTGCTATTGAAGAGATCGACAAAGCTAGATACTTTTTCAAAGATCTCACTTCTTCGCGTAAATAATCCTTTAAAACCAATACATTATTAAGTTTCGATTAAGATTTTATAATGAGCCTGTAATCATGATTCTTGATCGAATGTTTTTCACGCTGATACATCTTGTTATTCATGCTTTTTATCTTGTTACTTGAATTGCTAAATGTTAATTTTTTGTTGGTGATATATCTCTGCAATGAGTTGAGCAATATTTTGATTTTATTTGGAATATGACGGAACCTATAAACATAACTCTTATGAAAAATAATTTGCTAAACCTTGTTATTCTGCTGATAACCGCATCTGCCAAACTGGAAACTGTAAAAAGTTTTCATGGTTGGGAACGAGTGAGCATCCATATATCAGTTGTTTTTGAAATCCTTAGATAGTGTCACTAAGGAATTCTTAGGTAAACACTGAGATGACTGCATAATCAAATGAGAGATCTTCAGAGGACTACAGGGACCGAAGAAGCAAATGGCCGAGTGGCTTACCTTCTCCCCCCAAAAGAATCTCAGATAGCCACATTGCTCTTCCTTTTTAGCATTTTAAATCCCCTAAAGCATCTGCGTTCCGCCCTCCCAATTCGTAATTTGCTCCTCCGAACCCCTCTATGACTATGCAGTAAATGTACGCATCATTGATAAATCAAATTGAAAAAGCTCAAAACAATACCAGAAGCAGTTTCATTCATCTTTTGTTACACACCCTAGAACCCCAGATCTTTTGCATGGCTTGATGTCATCTTTCGTAAAGTTTAAAAGTAGAATTTCGCTCCGAAAGCGTTTAGCCAAATTGTCCTTAAGAATTTTGCCACCATTTCTTATCAACGTCGGTAATTTTTTAAAGTTTAAAATAAAGATTGGATAGCTTACTTTTTACTAAAAGGACAAACTTAACGAGACAACTGGGGGTCAATTTGCCCAAAAATTGGGACATAACAATATGCCCAGCTTATGATTAAAATGTGGAGAAGAAGTAGTGTCTTTTTGAAAGTTGCCTCATGTTAGCAAAACAGAGTAAATTTAATCAACTAGCAAACAGTGCTACTGAAAATGTTTTGCAAGTTGCATTGGAGACAATTTATTGCACGTAATTGTGAAATCTTGAAATGTTGCAAGAAGAAAGGTATTATGAACATCAGATTCTCAAGTTAGCAAAAATGGAACATCTGGTCTCGGAAAAAATCATTTGGTTGTAAAAAAAGGCCTTTTTGAAATGGTCAAAACCTCATGTCATCCAGTGGTGTAGTCATAAATTTTTAAGAAATATAACGCAAAAGTTAAAAACAAAACAGCATTTCGTTAGTTCTTTTCAGAAATGATATCTTATTTTGTGATTTTAATACATCTCTGCATTGATAATTGAACTGTCTGCGCTATTCTTCATGCATCTCACCCTAGTGATGTATGCGATGTTCTACAATTCATTTTTTCATCTCTTTTCAGTTCTTTCGTACTTCATTGTCCGCTTGCTTGAGTTTTCTACAACGTCAAAATCTTTATTTTATGAACTTTGATTTCATTGGTCCACTTGTTCAGGTATGTGATGTTAAGCATGACTCTTTCCCATGCTTCTCTCTGCCACTGCAAATATATATCAGTCTCCGTGTTTTAACATCAATGTTATTGTTAGTAGTATGACTCCATCCATCAAATTTCATTGATTTTTCCTCATGACATCAACATATTGCCCAAATCTTTGCCAACATGCAGCAATAGAAAATGTTCAAAATGCCATTACGATGTCTTCATGTGATTTTCTTAACTTTCATACTCATTCGAACCTTGGTTGAGAGAAGAATTGATAGCCTAACTGATATATTTTTTATATACTCTTATAAAAAAGAAGGATATCGCCACTGTTTACTTGGCTAGGTAGACACTGCAGCTCAAAAAGGTTAGGAGGCATAACATCTTTATGCCGCGTTACCCCTCCACTACATCACTGATGTCATAATCCTCTCCTCCTATATATTTCGAAACTTTGGATTAACCAGCAGATAGCAGCATCTTTAGCTAGCAATGAAGAAATTGTTTTGAATGCTGTTTTGGATTTCGATCTATTCGAAAATTTCCCCTATATTTTTCATTCGAGGAAATGAATTTTCATTGCTGTTGAAGGAAGCCTCTTTTTCGGAATTACAACGCCTCGTTATCAACAAGACAATCCAACTGGCCTAAAACTCAAAGAAAGCACCGTGGAACTCTTTGCGTTTTTGTTTTGTAAGTCTTGGTTCTCGACCAAAGCACTGCAAAAATGGGAGTTCCAGCATTTTTCAGGTGGCTTTCCAGAAAGTATCCATCGATTGTGGTCCATGCTGTTGAGCAAAAGGTATTTTTTGTTATAATTGATCTGATCTGGCCAGATTGCAAGAGCAATCCAATGAAAATTTGCTTTTAAAGGACGCGCACAAGATCTGTTCAACACTCTAGGCCAAAATTTTTGAATGCATACTGAATCGACAATTGCAATCTTCTTGAAAAAATTATATTTACCTGCCATATCATTGGCAAAAATAGGTATCAAGGGGTAAAACTCGTCCAACTCCATGGCGAATCTGAGTGCCGATTTTCGAAAAACCCTTGCTCAAAGCAGATAGTTTTTTGGCAAAGAGCAGTGCTTTGATTGAATGGTACAGAATAAGAGAAGCCAGAAAAACGACGCAACAGTCTGTCTATTTTCAGCCACACACAATGTCATGTCACCTTGTCACAAAAAGCCATTCAGCAGTCATTCTCGATACAATGGAACACATGAAATTGAAACATATTTTAAAGAATACTTTGCAGCATTTGAGGCAGAAAAAATTAGGTCATGATGCATCATATATTATAGGTCAAATAAATCTTTGACGTACTGTCACATCCAGACTCAAAGTGGGCTTAAAGGCTGGTCTCAACTTCTATCTTTTTCTTCTTGCACACCCTAAAACCAGTCTTGTGCATGCCAATTTTGAAATCGATTTGTCAGCAGAGTAAAGATTTTACTTGCCTTGATTGTAGGCTGTGATCCTACTCCTAAAGTGACTTCATTTGAACAAGCTGCAAGGAGATGATAAGAACAGGAGATTCACAGAAAACACAAGTGCATATAAAGACCAAATTGTCAAGGAGGTATTCAGTGAAGAAAACTGCATCAGAATTGTCAAGCGATTCTAATTTTTTTAGTGCATGTCCATATAAAATCAAATTCCTATAATGCCCACTCGGTCTCAACTGTCAAGTCTCAATTTTAAAAAAATTAGGTGTGCAAATTCTGCAAACAGGCCCTTTGTTTTGTAATTTTTCTAGAAAATAAAAGTGAAAAAACATATTTTGTATGTGTTATATACCAGAAAATATGGTATATGCTGTTGCCCTAGACATCAAAATTGGCTGTGTTTCATGTCACTTCTTGTTGTTGCCAGCTTTGTAGACCAAATCCTCAGCATGAAAAAGCTCTCAAGAGTCACTAATCTTTCATTACTGATACCACTTTCTATGACAATTGCTGCTTCTTGGTGCAAATCCACCTTTAATTTGAACTCTTCAAAAAAGTCTCCAGAATGCTGCTGTACAGGGTATTGACTAGTGTTGTGAGTTTCTCTGGTGCAAAAAACCAATCCAAATTGAAATCAATGTTTCATAAAAAACGAACTTATTTTGATAAATTTTAACAATTTTATTTTGATTAATTCAAATCTTCTTCAATGTATTGCCTTGAATGCTTTGTGGGTGCAACCTATGTTTCATTCAATATCCATTTAACCTACCTCTGCCAATATCCATTTTCCAATAATGAATAAAGATAGAAATCATTTTCATTTAATAAAATTTTCAATGTAATTTTATATATTCACATCTATGTATTTAGATTTAGCATAGACATGTATGGAAAGGGTTTTTGGTTTTTGTTAGTCTAAGATGCAAACTTTTTTCCATTTATAGCCAGTTGATGTTGATGGTAATAAAGTTTATGTTGATACAACTAAAGCAAATCCTAATGATGTGGAGTTTGACAATCTCTATCTTGACATGAATGGAATCATCCATCCTTGCTGTCACCCGGAAAATAAGTGAGTAGTTTTGGTCACTTTTGGTCACTTAATTTTGAACAGACTTTCCTGTCATTTTTACAGCAAAGTTAGTATATGGTGTACTCACCTCTCAAATGAGTGAATGAAGGTTTGTTGAATGCTTCTTCAGAAAATTAATGTTTTTGCCCAAAATTATGGAGTTGGCTTAGTATTTCATTTTGGTAATATGCCAATATATATGCTAAAAGAAGTTGATAAATGCCATTCACCTTTCTACTATTATAAAAGTAATCTTAACACACTTTGGATTCTTATGTCTATAAAAAACAATGTTTTATCTTATTGATTTAAAAATCAACAAACATAATAGCAACAAACATAGTATCATTTTTATTGAGTAAGTTTTTTGTTTGCATCTTACAACTTTTTCTCTGTTTTGTCTGTCAAGATTATGCTTTTGAAAATCGATAATCTTTCATCTTTTAATTAGATATTCCCATCTGTGCTTGATTTGCCCTATACCTTCTTTAAATTCATCTTTAAACTCATTTAACTGCACTAAACATCAAAACAGTAGAAGCTTATTTTTATCATTGTCTTATTATCATCTGAGCCCAGAAAAGTGGCAACTTTCTCTGTTTAAGCATAAACTGGAATTCACAATCATATGTAGCCCTTATCATTGGTACAGTTGTGTGCTCAAATTATAGGCAGCAATAACATACGCTCTACCATCAATCCCACAACTCTGCCTTCCTCCCTATATCTTGTACACCCTGGATTACCCTACCATCTTCCTGCTTCCCAGACTCTTACAAACTGTCCTTATTCAAAGCAAAAATAAATGTGCTTGATCTTTCCTCTCTCTCTTCCTAATCTGTCCTCCCTTTCCTTAGCTTTCCTTCCCTTTCCTAGGGCTTAGCTAGAAACTCTTGACCATTTCCATAGCATTACCAACTAAAAAAGCATAGAGGTTAAGTTAAAATTTGATTTATATGTCTATTGTGTCATGCTATAGATTCCAAATCTTTGTTTTGTAGGCCTGCACCTAAGAATGAAGATGAAATGATGGTGGCAATTTTTGAGTACATTGATAGGTAAGCGTATTATGATTCTTCATACTCATTTAACAATTGGTTGTGAGTAGTTTCATGCTGTCAGTTATTGTCATATATCTTAGAAATGTCGTATCTAGTCTTCAAGAATATGTGTCACATCAAGAGAGACAGCCTGCAGTAGTCTGTAAGTGCAGACATTATCACAAGCATTTTTGAGTAGGCATTTTCAATTTTGTCTTTAGACTTATAGTCCATTGTGAGGTTTTATTTCAAGATAGCATTAGCCTTTTAATTGTATTTGTTAGTTAATAAATTTATGTATGTATTTCAACTGCAATGAAATAAAATCAAAATATCCCTCTCTTTTAGGTTATTTGCAATTGTGAGGCCAAGAAAACTATTGTACATGGCAATTGATGGAGTGGTAAGGGACTTTTATAAACTCTAATTTGTGGATGCTGGTTACCAATCTTGGATAACATGGCATCATTTCCATAGTTGGGTTTTCTAAGGCATCAAGGCCTATAGCAAGCGATAGTTTTAAAATGATAACTCCGCCAAAGATCTGAATATGTCTTTTCTGCAAAGGAATTTTGATGAATCAAAACATGTAGCAGACTATTTTTAGATTTTTATTTTTGAACTCAGACATTTATTGATTGATTTCATTGTTGATATTCTATTGTGGTTGATTTTGAGGTTATTAATCTCAATTTCAAATTTTCATTAAGTCTAAGAGAAATGTCTTATGATTATAAGTTCAATGTATCTGTTCAAGGCACCGAGGGCCAAGATGAATCAGCAAAGATCACGAAGATTTAGAGCTGCCAAAGATTCAAGGTAATTATATGCATTTTCAAAGGACAGCCAAACAGGAAATGTGAGTGCAATTGCCCAGGAGTGAACGCACTTTACAAAGAACAACATTAATGCTTACTTTGAAAGCTGCTTGCTCTTATCATCACAGAATTTGCGACTGTCTTTATCAATTGCATTGTTTTGTTTGATCTGAGTTTCATCGTGGTTCAATTTTAGCTGTTCTTTTACGTTTGCTGACACAAGTAGAAATACCCATGGTTTGAGAATTCTTACAACATGAAATTCAAGTTGTGAATAAAGACATTTGATTTCTTTCAAAGGACTCTCAATGGCAACAATTTTCATTACAGTGAAGACTTCTAATTTCATGTTTGAACACATAGTATCAAACACGTGGAATACATGTAGAGCAATGGGAACTTTGCATTCTTAAGGCAATTTTTCTTTTCATTTAGAGAAAGCAAAGACGAAATGGCACGTATAAGAGAGGATTTGCGACAAAATGGTAATAGTTGATTTTTGTAACCTTGGTGAAAAGTCACAGGGAGGTGCTGGTCAACGCTGGTCAACGCTGGTCAACGCTGGCCATAGGCTAGAAATGTCGGTCCTTTGTCTTCCTTCGGTTTATTAAGTAGCCAGTTTTGCTACGAATTTTACCCTATACTGTTTCTGCTTCCCCCATTTTCTAATTTGCTGGTCAAACAAATTTGTATGACTACATAGTCTATTCGAAAAAGCTCATCGCATGTAGAAGTTTGGTCAAGGGTTTTAAATTTTTAGTGTTCGTTGTTCCATTTTGCTGTTGATTAGAAATGACATAATTCCCCTTCATGCAACTGTAACTTTGCTTTGTTTAGGTGCATTGCTACCACCCGAGAAAGAAAAGGGAGAACACTTTGACAGCAACTGCATCACACCGGTATCTTATTTTTTAACACATTTTGTTTATCAACCCCTAGTGGTACTGCAAACATTAATCCTGTGCAACGGATGAATGCACAGTTCTCATGCATTTGAGACTCTACCAATATCCTTTAGAAATAGCTTATAATAACATGATAAACCGATCTGTGACCATCCACACTTAAAACCAGTCTTTTTAACTGGTCAAGTTAGCCCAGCTAACGAAGAATATGTAAGTTAAGAATAACGCCAGAGGATTGGTGTGTCGTTTCCTTTAATGACAAAGCATGAGCATGCTTTAATGCCTTTTATACAGAGCAGGGTCGTGAAAATGAGGATTTTATAGAATCTAGCTTCTAGGAGCAATAAAATGTATGCAATTTCGTTTATAGTCTTCAGTAAGTTATAACAACACGTGTGTGTGTGTGACCTATTTTTTGTGTAGCCTGTTTGCTGCTACTTTAGCACATTTCTTAATAGATATGTATTTTATGTTTGCTTGAAGGCCTAATAAATCCCCTCGTGAGTGAGCAGTTGCATTTTCTTCTAATGTACTGCGTTTGTTGCTTCATAGTATTGTAAATAAGCATTTGTTTAGTTTTGGGCATCGCCCTTGAATAAGATACTTGATGATCCTTTCGGAAGCTTTTCTAAGTAATGAAATGTTGTCTGCAGGGCACGCAGTTTATGGATCGCCTTTCTAAGTGTTTGCAGTACTATATCAGTGATCGGCTGAATAATGATCCTGGTTGGAAAGGAATAAAGGTTTGTATAATTCAAATAATAAAATTATCGCTGGTCATCTGTTTGTTGGTCAACCCCAAGGAAATTGTACTCAATATCTTCCTTCTGTGAAAATAATACTGCTAAACGAGAAACTGCTTAATGTGTTTTTGGTCAACTTTCTTTTTTGTCAAATTGCTTAGGTATTCGACATATGCTTTTAGGAATATATATCTCTAGAGTTACAGAAACAGTAATTTTCCTTGTTTTTTACATCATCGAATGTTTACATTTTAAAAAATCTTTAGCTTGAACTTAGGCCACCACGCTTTGGAATCTGAATTGGCTTTGGTCGCCCTGTTATGTAGTAACATTATCTTTAAGGTTATATTATCCGACGCCAATTCGCCAGGGGAAGGTGAACACAAGATAATGGATTATATAAGAAAGCAGAGAGGTATGGATTAATTTTTAAAGCTGTAAGCGACCTTGTCTTTGATTCTTCATAAAAAAGCTGGTAAAATGTTTTCATATCTTGAATTTTCATGGTTGATTGCAAAAATCAAAATATCACGGAAACATGAATTCATTTCATTCCCACAGAGGTAAGTTTAGAGAATGCTAGAAACGTTGCAAATTTTCATTGTATCCAGACTTGTTGTAAGACTTAAATTGAGACGGCATAATTTCTTTAAAGGACAACCTGATCATGACCCAAACACGAAGCATTGCTTGAATGGTGCAGATGGTATGTTGTTTTTTCTATTAAACCATCAGGTTGCTTTTTGTAACGGACTCGTGCGTAGAATTTTTAATAAGACATCATTCAAATATTTATTTAGAGTGATAAATGAAAAATGAAAATGAAAGAGTTCCAAACTGATTATGTCACAAATAAACATTAGAATTTTATACTTTGCAATGCATATTCAGAAAGCGCTTTATCAAACAGATGTGCAATTGAGTTGTGTTTTTCTCAAACCATGCTGTCATAAGTGAAGAATGATAAGCTGTTAACTATGCCACACTTACGTATTCTATTCAGCTCCACATTAAACAAGATCGACTTTAGAAAAATCATTTTGGCCTCTTCAAAGATATTCACAGGGATGAGGAAATACTACTACAGATATATGGCGTTTATTGAATACTGAAGAAGAAAATGTAGGAAGACTGTAGAAAATAGAAGAGATTTTTTGATTTTGAAACTACAGTTTAGTGTTCTTCGGTGTAGACAATTCGTATTCTTCTTCGAACCTCCTTTGGTATAGACTTCGAGCCTCATTTGGTGTAGACAATTCGTATTTGTTATGTGGTGACTTAGGCAATGCTATGAAGTAGTCATTAACTCTAGTATCAAAAGACATCTCAGAAAATCCAAGTATTTTCTAGAAATCAGTGCGATTAGCTGTAAGATGTCAATCAGTGTTTCTGCTCCGTAGTCTGGGAAAATTGTAACTTATTTTGAAATCATATATTTGCTAGAACCTATTCATAAAATGTTGTAATATAATTTTTTCTTTTTTAGCTGATTTGATTATGCTTGGTAAGTGTAAACTAATTCCTGTTTTATCGTGGGTTATTATGTAATTTGGTCAGAATTTCATGTCTTTGGAAGAAAATTTATTTTCTGCATTTGTTTTGTTTTCAAGCATTAAGATCTGCTATGTTCTGCGGTCATTTGTATAGTCTCATGCATCGAAGTAAACAGAGTTCAATTGAGCTGAAAAACGTCATGGTTTTAAGCCTTATTGACATTATGCAACCTGTTATAAAGTGCTGGATGGCCTATTGGGATGTGCAGGCCTTGCTTTGTATATAAATAAAAGATATGATGATATAGCTGCCTTTATTATTATACTATAAAATTATGCTAAACAACATATTAGGAGTATAGAATAAGATATAAAATTATCAAGGCTTGCCTTTGCCTTTGAATTAATTGGAAAGTCATGCGAAAATTTAAGGAAAAATCATCCTATATTGTTCAGCTTGAAATAACTACAGTTCGAACCTCTAATAACGATCACCGCTGTGCAACGGCCGCCTTCAGATCTGCGGCCAGTGGAGAAAGTTCTTGCGGAACAATGGCCACTAAGTTTGGTCACCGAAAGTCGCAGCTATTAGAGGTTCCACTGTATGACTTATTTTGATTATGGTTGCCGTTGGTCAAAGATTACTCATCAAAGTCCAAATCCAGATTTATAGTTTTACAGTTTAAAATTGTCATGTTATTTCATAGCTTCTATTTTAAATTAAAATGTAAGCTTAAGAATTGGCGTTTTAGTATTTTTTGAACTTGCATTCTGTTTTAGGCTTGGCTACACACGAGCCAAATTTTACGATCATTAGAGAAGAGTTTAAACCTGGGAAACCACGACCCTGTACTTTATGTGGCCAGATAGGTGAGTTTTTTCAACATTGAAGACTTTGGATTCATGTTTGATAAAATAAGATGTTGTTTTTGTTGACATCTCAACGATTCAATAGTCCACTTGGCCATTAGGAAGTGATGCGATGTGATGCGAAGTAATAAGAATTTATCCGATGTGGTACGAAATGATACGATGTGATACAAATGCGATGCGAATGTGATATGATGTGTTAGAAGATTATTGACCTGATCAATGGCTGGGTCGACTTTTAAATTGAATGCGTGTCCCATGTCAACTCACCAAGAAAACCAGGGCCAGTGACAATCTCATTTCATTATCTACCCATGATATAAGATTGTAAATAGAACTCACCTTGTCTTAAATTTATTACAATACAAAGCAATAAGCTATAATAGAATACGTAAATTCTATATGTATTTTACTGGTTTGTATCGTGGTGCAAGGCCTGAACACAGCTAGCAGGAATTCATCTTAAAACGCAACACGTATAAACGAATTGGTACGCTTTTTGAAAGGGCATGGGATCTATACATTACAGATTATAACAAGGCTATAAATTATCAATAGTTACTTCCAGTCCTGAAATGAGCTTTCTCAGTTAATGGGTTAAAGCCATCTCTCTAATTGGTGGCATTTAATCTTTTTTTAACAGGCCATGACTTAGCCGAGTGCAAAGGGCTGCCAAAAGAAAAGGCTGGAGAGGTACAACTGCAGTTTTTCCGCATAACTCTGCATAATTTTAGTATTCTTCTAATAATTTTTGGATTTTATTGGTTTTTCGTAGATTTATTTTCTAAGCTACGCTTAATAAAATGTCTGCAAACTTTCCAATTGTTAAAGGATTTTTGTAAATTTTTTCTCTTCTTTGACGGCGCGTGTCATGATTGCATTCATTTATGTCTCAAGCATTTTTTTTAAAAGCACAATTCACCAGACAAAAATCTTACGTTTTTACCGAATCTGTCTTAGAAGAAACGGCAATCAATATTTCAGTATGTTTTTTCTGCCTTTTTGTTTTTTATAAGTTCTTTGCTCCCCATTGATTCGATATTTTGCTGCGATGAAATTCAAGCATGTGAATTATCAAGAAATTTGTCTTGTTGTTAAGCTTAAAGCTAATCGAGGCTTCTCTATTCTGCTTTTACTGTTTAGTTTGATGAACTGACAAAACCAGTTGGTGAAGAAGTCGAATTTATATTCATCAGGCTAAATGTTTTGCGAGAGGTACAATCTTTCATTGTTTTCTATAATATGATTTGTTACTACTAATACTTTAAGATTACATTACTTAATGCATTTACAACGACAATATGATTATTACAATCTATTATTGCCAAAGTTATATAAATGCCTTCAGAAATGTTTAGAATTTTTGTAAATAGGCCAGTTTGTGATGCGTACATCTTGCCTCATTACTCAGGAAGTTCCAGAGAGACGCTAGAAGTCTTTCTAGAATTTCTGACTGGTGAGGTGGATGTGATGTCAATCCATATTCAATTGCACCGTATAATTGCTGCCATAGGATGTATCTCAAAGGTATTATCTCGGCAGGCAATAAAGGGTTAAAAGACGGCCTAATATTTCTTTATGTTTATTTTTGTTTCTTTAGTTCTTTAGACAAGGAACTTCAGGTGACTTGCAACATAAAACTGTTATTCTGTCATCACGAATTTTATACTTATCATAAAATTTTATTACTCCAAGTAATGTTAATTTGCAAAAACGTATACAAGGACATACCAAACCCTATTACAAGGATATGGTATTGAACTTGTCCTTTCATTTCTGTGTTTTATACTTTTAAATATTCAGTCTGTAAGAAGATGAGTAAGAAGTTTAAAGCTTTGCTACTGATTATGTTGTCACCTGGCTCGTTATTTTTTGACAGTATCTAGAAAGAGATTTGAGAATGGATGGGCTGGCTTTCAAATACGATTTTGAGGTGAATATTGCAACACTGTTGATTTCAGCCATAAACCGCTGTTTGCATTAAATGTTTACTGACAGCGAAGTTCACATAGTTCTCTCATTCTGTTGCATTTGCATCGATTCAATAAACTCAAATTTGTTGACTATCATTTGACTACACTTTTTTTCTACTCTTTCAAGTTCGATTTACCCTTTCCTTTGTAGCGTTCTTTAGACGATTGGGTTTTCATGTGTTTCTTTGTGGGCAACGATTTCTTGCCGCATTTGCCGTCTTTAGAGATCAGGTAAGCAAGAAACTTTTTCCTTTTTGTAATTCAGTTAGTCATATTTTGATTTCAATTACGACACGGGAAGGCCTATACCCAAGACAACTTCAATTTTTCCCAAGGCCACTTTCGCACTTGCTTCAAGTACTTTAAGGCTGCCATTCTTATATGATTCCATTTCTAAATAAAGCAGTTTACAGCTGATCTTTTTCTTAATGCATGAAATTAGCATTAAAGTTGGTTTTCTCTGCATCGGCAGTATTCCATATTACCTACTATGACATGTCACATGCCAACTAAGCGTTTGGCAGTGTACCAGTTTTCTTTACTGACTGAAACTGTTCAGTTCAATTCTGAGAAAAATGTTTTCTTTTCCCCCTGGTCAATGGACTGGATATTTGCAAGCGTTTAATAGAAAATGACAAAAGTAAGGTTGGATCTGGATGGGGGAATTTACATTCTTTTGTTGCATGCACTCCCTCACTTAAGTTAGCCACAAGAGTGTACATTTTTCTGTCCTAGATGTATTTAATTCAGTATGTCGATTATTGCTCTCTTCCATTCATCGATAGAATGTTTTCTTTATAGGGAAGGAGCAATTGACCGTCTTATTAGAATCTACAAAGGTGTTATGGCCAGAGCTGGGGTATGTACAGCATTTGATTCATCAAATCTTTTCGCTTTATCAAGAATTTAAAGTATGCATTATAGCAGAAGGACTATTTATTTATAGTATGACATTTTATGTTGGTTGTTTTTATTAGTGTCTTTGAAATTAGACCATTTTTACCGTTAAATATAACTGTTGCAAATTTCTTGGTGGTTGCTTTCATATATTGTATTCCGTCTGATTTCGTCGGATTTTGACGGATTTCATTGGCGATCAATTTGACGAATGGAAATCACGTGACCCAAGGATCGCTGTAAATTGCTGATTATAGATTTGCGCGATCCTCGCGACACGAGCGATGCTTGCGATCGTATGAAAACCAGGCCTTATCTCTTGGTTTAAAAGTAGTGAAAAATTCATCGGATTTCCCATCGATCTTTAAGACGAATAAATATAACATATATATAAAATAACATACGACATATGAAGTATTTAATGACAATTACCATTCCTTGTCAGGGATACTTGACGGAAAATGGGTACGTAAGTCTGGAAAGAGTGCAGCAAATTCTTCAAGGTGAGACACTCGATGATAGACTTCTATCTCTAACTAAAGTCTGATGAAACATACAGTTATCTGAACTTTGCCAGTCAGTAGCTTTATGTCGTTTGTACCATTTGCTGAAGGTATCATTAAGGGAAATGTTTCGTCTATTGTAAGTCTTGTGCTGGGACCAAGCACTAAGGGCTGCCTAAATTCCCAAGATTCAAAGCAAGATTTTTTACCCATAATAGTACAGACAACATTTTAATCTCTTGTGAGGCAACGCCTTGTTCCTTTGTCACATCATTTGTCTGTCATTTCGTTTTGTTTCAAGTCCAGTGGTATATTAAATTGAGCTAAGCCCTTTCTGGGTAATGCAGTCTTTAGAAGAGATGCACAATGCAGTTTCACGTGTTGTATCCATATCTCGACCACCCACTAGCCTATGCTTTGTAATCACAGCGATATCTCCATTAATCGTATCGTTTTTATACATGTTGTACCTTCGTTTTTCTATCATTGCAGAACTCGGACAAGCAGAAGACCAAATATTCAAGACTAGGCAAGAGAAAGAGGTAATGTATGATATCTCTAACTACAAAAATGCAGGTTTCCACATCCTTTTTGTTATTTGAAAGCTGTTTTTGGAAAGATTTTTGTCTCTAATTATTTTGAGTTTGGTGAATTTTCATTTTTTTCAGCTTAATTTCAGAAGACGAAAGAAGGATCAAGATAGGGCAAATAAAAGAGCAAAAATGGTTTGTGTGATTTTTCATAATTGAGACTAAATATTAGCCACTGGCCTGCAAATGCTTCGTCATTTTTCGGGATAAAATTTGCTACTGTTGCAGGTGGACGTCCCTTCTAATTTTACCACAAATTGTGAATTCCCGTTTGTCTACTACACGTCAACACAAACTTACACAATATCATGTGTCTTTTACACTAGAGTTTCAATTACTTTGCCTTGACCCAGCCACCGATATATAGTTCATCAAGATAGCTTTCAAATCTGGTTGCACTCCTTTTGCGCCTAAAGTAGTAAGGTGTCTATGCTTGTCTTTTATTGAAAGTATTATTGTGACTCCGAATAATTTCATTTAAATCGCACAAATATAAAATTTCAATGAAAGATCTGCATTTCCTTAGATGACCAGTTATATTTGTCTTTCGCTCTTACAGCTATAAGAATAATGATTAAACAAACCTTGCTATCAGTGACAAACATTATGAAATTATATCATTTGCTTCTGCCTATAATTCTATCTTGCCCATGTCTTGTCAATCGAAATTTACTTTCTAGGGCCATGATTTGTCCGACCTTACTCCACTGATGAACAAATCTCCCAACTGGAGCCCAAGGGACAGTCCTCGGCAATTTGGTCAACCACATCGATCCAGCCCGGGTTATTCCACAAACCAGGTATCGTAAGACGTACATGATTTTTCCACCATCTTTTTACAATTGATTGTAGGACCATGAAAAGCAACATGTAGTAATTATGGCGTTTTCAAGCATAAAACTCATGCGTTGAAGGGTCTTGCCCAGAATGGGCTAACAATACATGTTGCTGAAAAGTGTAGGGGCAGTTGCCCTTCCCCCTTTTGCCGCAGCCCTTCCTTTGTATGTAAAGTTTATATGTCCTTATCACTTGTGACTGGCTTGGCTAAAAACACATAAACAACAGTCACGACTTAAATCCATAAATGCAAGATTACCTGGTGTTTTTTATCTTGACTGTTTGTTGATTTTCATGTTTGTTGATGTCCCATTGGTAAAATTCTCAATAGGCAAACGGCACTGATTGGTCAACCTCAACAGTCATGTGCTCGTGTTCCTGATTGGCCTATTTCGATACACAACTGGGTGTACATATTTCCTAGCGTAGAGATTTCGATCTATGTTCTGACGTTTTAAACTCTGAAGAGTGTCAGACGCAAAGCTTTAGTTTACTAAATGTTTGTTTTTTTCATAGCCATTTTCAAGTTTTGTACCACCTAAAGATTATTTTCATGTTTGTTGGCTGAATTATAATATTGAATCTATTGAAGTACGGATTGAATTTTTATATTTTCACATTGAGATTTTGACTTTTTCAGAGAGCTGCTAGTGACTTGCGTTCTATGTTGAGAACACCAGAAACAAACGAGGTGACAACATAATGATTTTTAGCCCTTTGTAGTTAACTTTAGACTCAAATGAAGTTACTGAATTAATATAATTATGTGGCATCCTCGAAAGCTTGAAGTTGCATATCATGGTAATATGGTTGGGCAATCTCACAAGTCATGTGCCCTTATTTTTACGTTTTCAATTAGGTTTGTATATTTCCTAGGTTATACATTTCCTAGGAATTGGGTTTATGTATTTCCTAGCTTAGAATATTTTATTATTATTCTGACTTTGTATACTCTGAAGAGTGTCAGACGAAAAGCTTTAGTATGTCTAAGAATTGTTGTTTTTTAAAACTATTTTTAAATCCTGTACCCCCAAAACATTGTTTAGCAAAGAACAATTTTCTTTATTTTGCAATATTTATTTCTTTTTTAGCGTTCTGCAGCACCCTCTCCAGTCTCTACTACGCCAATATCGCGGATGAACCGTAAAAGGCCAAATGAGCAAGAGGAAGCCAATGAGGAAGAAGATGAGGAGCCTGCTGATGACGTCAGGTATATGTTTATCTTTATACTGGTAGTTTCTACACTTTTTCCGATTTTGTTGGTTGGGTCGTTGTTCCTTCTTTTTCCTTTCATATAATTTATCGGACTCCTTCACGTTTTTTGTTTGTATATATACTTGTAAAGTCGCTGGTACGAGGCATTTTGATGAGACCCACGAATAAAGGTAGAAGATACCTCGTTTCGGTGAGCTTGTCAAGAAGTGTGAGAAATTGTATTGTTGAAGTGCGAACTAGTCAGTTGCAGAAAGCTGCCACCTGCACGACTCTTTCGTCATATATGCTTTAATGGGGGTATCTTAGTTCTATAAAAGCAGCGTCCAAACGTGAGCATCGTCTACTCAAAGTTTTATCACTTTTTTCTTTATTTACAACAGATTTTTTGTGCATAATTGTGAGGGGGTCAAATTTTTATTGAAATAAATGACTGTTACCATCATTTTTACTTTCTGCCTTATTGATAGATTCAACTCTATAATTTGTATTTATAATTATTCATCATTGAAGTTATGGTTAATTATTCTGTTTCCTTGAATTTAAAAGTAAATATAGTAAATGAACTTCCATTCCATCATTAGAATGATATTATGGAGAGAAGGGTTTGAAAATATTCTTAGAAGAGAAATTCTTCTAATCAAGGCAAAGCAATTATTCTATGATTTTCAGTTCATTTTTGTTTGATCCTCAGGCTATTAGCAGGCAACTGGAAATCCGAAAGCATCCAGGGTTACGAAAAGGTCTCAATCTCTCCGTGAATTATTAAACTCCCTGAATCAGGCTCGTGAGATTTTTACCAGATCTATTATATGTATCAATTTTTATTCTTTTACTTAAGGTTATGGGAAGACGGATGGAGAGAGCGATATTATTTGCAGAAATTTGGAGTTTCTACTGAACTAAGTGGATACAAAACGTACGAAGAATTTCGCAAAGAAGTGGTATGTCTATGAGTTTAAGAAGGTTGTTTTTCTTGAAAAAGAAACTATGAGGACATTTTTGTTTCTTTTAAGTCTGCTTATTATAACATTATTTTTATTTTATGTTGTAAAATATTACATTATTTCATGCTAAATCAATTTTTCATATGTTGTATAACATAAAATGGCATAGTATCATATTTTTTCATATTATTCCACATGATATTATTTTATATTATGTTATATTTTATTTTGATATAATTGTATTGTATATATTATTCTTTTTTTCGTGGAGTATCTTTTTAGAATCAGGTTATATGCAAATAGTCTATTTTTTTTTAATTTTTAGGGTTGGGCATACGTTCGTGGTCTGTGCTGGGTGCTCCAGTATTACTATCAGGTTTGTCCTCCGGCTTCTCCATATAATTTTACTAGCATTTTTCATATTCTTGAAACTTGATTTTAAAGCTCATTTAAATGGAAATCCAGTCTTTAAGTGTATAGTGGTATCCAGCTATCTCTTGAAAGTGTTTTGTTACCATTCGTATTGGTTTTGGGTTTGTTTCACTGAAGGTGCTGCTCGGGTTCCTCTTTAAGTCTGACTATAATACTTCAAAAAGCAACTTTTCTAAGTGAATAGATCCTATTCAGGTTCATTGGTTGATTTTAGATGTTTTCAAGCATAATTTACCGTTCTATTGTAGGGTTGCCCGTCATGGAAATGGTATTTTCCATATCACTATGCACCTTTTGCTTCAGACTTTGTAGACATCGTTGATGCCAACGTGACCTTCGAGAAAGGAACTGGACCTGTAAGTTTTTTGGTCCAGTTTTTCTGATCTATATAGTATCATTTGTGATCCTACACGTAGACTAATGTCTTTTAAAAATATCTTTGATAATTCCCATCAAAATTCACTCTGTCCCCTCCCTTTCGAATTTCATAATTTCATTTGCATTGTAAGTACCCGTAGTTTTAATTTCGCCACATATCTTTTCAATGATATATAAAGTTGGCAATTTTTTAAGTAAAGCTGCATCTACCAGCTATAGAAACCCGATAAATGCCCATTTTCAGATTAATAAAAACCTCTAGATGCATGACAAGCTTCTATCATAATTATGGATTAGGTAATGCACTATAAAATATTATGCTCAGACAAGGATGTTATCCTTTCAACGCAGTTCTGTTTACAGGATAAGATTTGCAGCTTTACCTTGTTTTCAGTTCCTGGCTATTTGATACTTACATTTGTGACAGTATGAAATATGAAATATCCTATTCGTTGTAGTTCAAACCGTTAGAACAACTAATGAGTGTGTTCCCAGCTGCAAGTGGCAATTTCCTGCCACCAACCTGGCGAGAATTGATGTCCGGTCCGGTACGTAGTCTATACGTTTGCGAAAGCTCTTTAACATGATTTAACCTGCCAGTAATATTACTTTGGCAATTTCTGCAACACGTTGCTAATTCAAATTAAAACCTAAAGGTATTTTGTTCTGACTTAATTAACATTTACCTCTCTTCTATTCGTGTAGGAATCGCCAATTATTGACTTCTACCCAGAAGACTTCAAGATTGATCTTAATGGGAAAAAATATGCTTGGCAAGGTAATATTTAATTCTCGTAGGCTTTTTAAGCGAAAGATTGTGACATGGAAAATATTGACTAAGGTTGCCTTTGTGCAGTCGGAGGCTGTGGCAATTTATCTCTCTTTATCTCTTGTGACTTTTAGCTTTGTCATAGGAGTATTAATGCTTGCAGTAAAAGTCTTCTTTTTCATGTGGCAGTATATGAAAACGGTCAACTGAGATAATTATCTTAGCTGTTACATAACTAATTATGTACCAACATTCTCTTAGGTGTCGCGTTGTTGCCATTTGTGGATGAAAAGAGACTGCTATCAACATTAAAATCAGTGTATGGTGACCTCACTGAGGAAGAAGGTGAGTAGTTAGTTATTCAGGGACCATCTTTCTTATTATTATTTTCTCATTTTACAAGTGGTGAGCCATTGGTAAATGATAATGGGGAAAATCTAGTTTTAGACTTTAACGCTTCAGAATCGTTCGAAATACTAAAGCCAAATCGCTGTTAATGTGTATTTTGTTTGATCAGTAACTAGTCTAGTTTAATTTGAGCGTTTTTTTTAAATTGCTGCCATTGTCAAACACCTTTCTGCATCTGCACTTTTAATTTTTTGGAGCTGTTTATTGAATGGGGCAGAATTAAAAATTCAGTATACGCTTTAAAGAGCTAGGAAATGGCACATTGCACTCTTTCCACTCAAAATAGGACTGCCTTATAGGGTTTTGTAAATTCTAAGAAATATATTAGTCAACATTGCCTTTATAAGGCTCAACCAGGGATGTTAAAGTGCCGTTTAGATAAGAGCATGGCGCTTATGCTCATGTGGTATCACCCTGAGTAGCTAAAATCTTACCTCTTTTTCCTAACACTACCCCTTTTGCGAGTCCATCGAACACTAAAAAATTGTAACCGTCCTACGTAGGTGCGTCCTACGTAGCCAGAATCACACTGGCACGTAAACTCATATACAACAGAACTTTTTTTGGCAGGAACGCAGTCCTTTTGAATGGACGGAAGGGCCTTTTTTGTACCATAAACAACACGTGGGTTGACCGCGAAGAAACAATTTGTTATGGCCTGTTTTATTTGATTTCGATCCACAACTGGGTATATATATTTCTTAGCGTAGAGTTTTCGATCTATGTTCTGACGTTTTATACTCTGAAGAGTGTCAGACGAAAAGCTTTAGTTTACTAAATGTTTGCTTTTTTCAAAGCCATTTACAAGTTTTGTACCACCAAAAGATTGACTACAAAGTTTCTTTGTTTTCAGTTCGCAGGAACAGAAGGGACATCAACCTACTTTTCTGTGGCAGCAAGAACTCGCTTTTTGATTATCTTGTTGGCCTTTACGAAGGTGGCATGTTAAAAGAGGTAAGTTTATTTAAATGCTTTTACGTCTTCAGTGTGGGCGATGGTCCCCTTGTCAGCGAAAAAACAAAGCCAATCTTTCATTTGTTTGTATTTCTATCGTTTGGTTTTTCTTACTTTCTAAGAGTTTCTGGCGTTTGGCTTTTAACAGTGCAAAACTTTCCTGAATTTAACAGGAAGAGCTTTTCTTAGTATAACTGAATTAAAAAGCAGATGTGATCAATTGTTTTTATGTTGGTCTTTCCAACTGAATCACTTTTGTTACCCTATCTCAGATATTGAAATGTACTGTTAAGCCCATGGTAAAAATTTTATTTCTTGGAATACTAGGTATAGCCAAACTGTAAGAAGGAGAAAAATCCCTTTTTGTGGACCTTCATAGTGCAAATACTAGTAGATAACTTGGATGTTTCTTATTATGAATTTACGGATATGTGAAAACTAGTCTCTATGTTTCATGGATATGTTTGAAAAGTTTGTTGCTATGATTGTTCATTGCCTTGTCAAATCTTGTCACCTGAATTCCTGATTGGAATTTATTTCTGGGAATTAGAAACTGGGTAAAGCCATGCTGTATGATGGTTTGAAAGAATTCAATTATGAAAGGTGTTCATTGACAACCTTAAGTAAACGAGTAGGCACCTGGAGTGAGCCATCTCTTAAAAAAGGCTTCCTCTTCCTTGTTAGGATCAAGTAACCCTCTTTTGCTTTAGAACTTAACAAAAATCCTTTTTTCTAGAAACAAGAAATTGTCACGAAATTTTCTCAGGGCATGAAAGGAACAGTGATGTCAAACCCAGATGTAGTGATGCCTAAAGGGTTTGTAATTCATATCTTTCACATGAAAAATCAATTGAATACTACCCTCCATTCCCTTTAAACGAGACTGCAAAGTTGTTGGACTAAATGAAAATTATGCCCGAGTTTTTATAAGCACATGAAGACATCCGATTGAGTATGGCTCATACAAACTTAGTTTTGAGTTTCATGTTTCTGTCTGTAGAAAATATAACTTTCCGTTGTTTTCACGTTTGAAACCACCTCCGCTTCCTACGACCCCTTGTGTAAAATCTATCTTTAATGCCTTTAAGCTACATCATCCTCCAAAATATTCCCTTAATACTCCTCTTGAATGAAGGTCCTCTTTTTGTAATGATATTGAATTCATCGCCCAGATGTATGGCTTCATGGCTTCTCAAAATGTCTGGTTTGTCCTGACTTTCTTACAAGATTTACAAGACTTATGTTAAGCGAATTTATTATGTGTACATTTATCTCACAGTATCTCTGTAAGCGTCTAGATGAAAGATGTGGTAAAATTTGTTGTTTGTTTTCATTTGTGTAGTTCGCTAGAAAGTCCAGTACCCGGTCTTCAAGGGTTGAAGAATCAAATGGCTATTAGGTTAGTAGCTTTGTACCATAAATGTACCTTTTCATCAATGTTGGTCTTTTGAAAACCTACATTGCCTGCCAAAATTACCTGGAAAACCAAGCAATTTGTGATGTATTTCATATCTTCTTTACTTTTCCGAAATAAATTATTTCTTCCAACCCCCATCCCTCTAGAACATTTATTGTAAACCACCATTGTTCCCTTGTGGAACGGCTGAATTCGACCTTGAAAACTGACGTCAGTGTTCCAAGACTTTTGGCAGGCATTTTACCTGTGTGGTTGTTCTTCGGTGAAAATAATTCTTTCCCTTCTAAGAACCAACGTGTTGTCCTGGTCTCCAACCTTGATATCATCAGAGAAATGTGTACCATTTCCGTCTTTCAATGTGTACCAATGTTCAAGCGTCATATAGATGTCTTCTTATTTCGCAACTGAATGCATTTGAATCTTTCTTGACTCTGAATATGTTAGTATTCAGTTTTGTTTTATGTTAATAAAATAATTCTTCACACCTGTTTTTGCTTCCAGTGTCAAGTTTGAAGACCCAAAATACGACGAAGATTTTGTGTATCCAGCAACACTTTTACCAAATGCAGTGTGCGTATAACTACCATTCCCGTTCCAGTCAAATTTCTGTTTTATCTTTTGAAATTAACTACCTTGTTTGAACCGTACTCACGTGATATGGCCCCTTCAGTTTCTACGGGTTGATATGACCACCTTTTATGGTATAAAGCACATTTCGCAAAGGCTCTTTTAAGCTCCCTCTCTTTTCAATCCCTTTGCGAATCCGTCAGCATCAATAAATCCTCCCAAGGGGGGCTAAATAGAGATTTTTGATTTGTAGGCCCCCAGATTGTTAATCTTTGAAAATCACTTCGTTTGTCGTATGTCAGAATATGTATTAATTGAGATTGAAGCAAGCATATGACATGCTCTTATTTATGTTAACAGGTCGAGTCCGAACACCACTAGCTTAAATTTTTCTTGTAATTTTGGACTCTGCCCATGACTTCCTCTATCAAATAGCCGTTAAGCATTTCATTTAGGACAAATCTATACGAAAAGCCTTCTATCTTGATAGTGCTGTTTTTTACAGAATACCTGGTAAAGTTTTGAAGCCTGAAGATTTTCCTTCAAACCGACGATACACTCCCCAAACTGGATTCAGCCCGCGCTCCCACAATCCGTATCACATATCACCCGGAGGCAGGCGTATGATTGGGTAAGAGATCTTTTTCATCGACTTTAAAGAAAGATCGTAACAAGATTACGTAGTTTGAAACATATTGGCATTTAGTAAATATCATACATTTTGTGTGAGATATAAAGCTAAAATTAGACTGTCGTCACTTAACATAAACCGGTATAGATTGCAAGCTTCTTAGCTTGGTGTAAGTGCAGTCTTCGTCGTAAGGTTTGGTTCATGGTGCCAATAATCGCCGCATTTAATCACACGATCTTCCTTGTGTGCCAGATATCTTTCGCACATCCCAGCTAGCGCACATTTTACTATTGATTTTTCTGCTCTTGTAACGTTCTTGTATGCTCCAAGTCTTTAACTCTGCATTGTATTTCGTCGATATTCCACGTGAAGAAAAGCCTGATGGATTTCCTTGGTCTACAATTGGTGTTGTATTTTTTTCCATGCATCATCACGTTCAAGGCTGCTAGAAATAAGCGAATGTTTAATGATTTGTTACCCTTTATAAAAGCCACTCACAACATTTCTAGATACAATCAAGACAGTCCTCAAAGGTTTAATTCGCCTGACCAGTCACGAAGCCCAAGAATGGCCGTAAGTTTAGTCGATTATCATAAAAGCATCTTAAATTGTTTCCCTATTTAGTAGTAACAGTAGTAGTAACATATTGTTATTGTCAGAAGTAAGGAACCGTTGCTATGTTGCGGATATAATCATTTGAGTAACCGCTAGAAGTCTGACCTCAGGCTTTGATAAAGTTAGGAAATAAAGGTTATAGGTCATAGGGTTCTCCTTTGACCCTAGACGCTTAAAGCGTCGATTTCTCGGGTTATTTTGCCTCTTTCTCAATATCCCATGCAAACAATTATCGTTAGAGTTTTGCTATTGCATATTGAGATTTACATTGCGTAAAGACGTGTCTTAACTTGCGATAACTTGCATAATATGCCCTTCTGTTTCATTTTTTGTCATTAATCATCAAAATATTTTTCAGAGGCCGCAGTCACAAGGCTACAGATCTCCATATGGAAATTATAACTCTCCAGATCGCACTCCAAGCCCGTTAGCCAGACAGCCGTCGCCATTTTACCGTCCAGGAGGTAACATGCCACAACGGCAACCAAGCCCTTACAACCGGCAAGATGGGGCTGGATCGAGCCCTCGTTTTCAAGGCCGACGTTCATTTGGAGGTGGCGGTTATCAAGGGTCGGATAATCGTGGTTATGCAGACAATAGGGGTGGATGGAATCAGCAGTCATTTGATAACCAAAGAGACGACAGGTCAAGACAGGTATGTCTAGCTACAGTTGTTAGCGAATTATTGTCAGTTATGATTTAGGTGGCTGCATTTTGATGTTGGATGGTTAATATTCATGCAAGTTAGGCCAACTAAGTTTTACGTATTGTCTCTTCTCTCTTAACTAGATCGACTGTTAACATATTTATCTCGTTTTTGTTTTGCTTTCCAAAATCCTTGCGACAAACGCGTGCTTTATTTTAAACTGAAGCAAATAAACGCGTTCTCCTATTCAATAATAAGCAGTGTTGGCTTATTTTACATGAGAAGTTTTAAGGATTCTTTGCTTTGCTTATCTCGTGATGAAAGATGATGGTTCTTTGAAAATTTTAACTTTTAATGTAAAGAAAATGCAATTTTTACTAAACTTTAAGGCAAAAAATTTCAGCATAAGATTCTATTTGCTTCAAATTGCTCGATTTGGTAAGTGAATTTAAATCTCGAAAAGAGTTGCTGAATTAAACATTGCCTTCTCTGGTCCAAGCCTTGGGTTGCAACTCCCAAATGATCTCAACATGTTCAGTCATTTGCTTAAGATAGACTAGAAAGGGTCGGCAGATCCCTCGTATTTCTTACCGCCCCCCCCCCCTGATGATAATGTTGCTTTGATGTTGATGTACTAGGATGTACTTGCTTTGATGTTGATGTTTCACGTTTAGGATCCCAGAAGGCATTCGTTCCCGATGAACCAAAATCGGTTCAGGCCGTATTAAGTGACGCCTCCATTCCCATCAGAGGGTTGCTTTGCCTCGGAGACTCTTCTGGAGCAGTGTCCAACACGACAAGCGAATGGAACCAGGAGATTGCAGCCAGGATTTTACAGCCATGTGCAACAGACGTAAGTCATGTTCATTTTGCACATAATGGCATCGTGGTATGGCAAAAACGATCTGACGTCATCAGCTTAACAAAATTAATTTACTTCTTTCGAGCAATCATAATTGTATTTACTTTTACGGAAAACCCATTTGTCAGTTTATTCCATAAGCTTGTAGTATTAGTGTCATTTTAAAGGGGAAGACTTCATGTTCAATATAAAGGAAAACCTGGACTCATTTCTCGGTTCACCGTGTATTAATCTTGACTGCAAAAACACAAAACGCTGGAATTAGTATACATCGACAATATTTGTCATAGGTTACCTAGTGCCAAGATATGACATGGCTAGTAAACCGAGAAAATTGTATACAGATTTTAAGAGTGTGAATATTTGTCTTGTTTATATTTTTGTCAGACGTTGTTACTTTATTGTTCCAGAAGAAATCGTCGTTAGCAACGGACAGCTTTCAGTTCAATGATACATGAAACCCGCATTAAACCTTTTTACCTTTAAATGGCAGTCGTTTTGCATAGCTTGGCTTCGTTTTTGCTTTTGTCTAATTTAAACTGTGCATGTCTAGAAAGGAACGCCAAGCAAAAAGGACCAGGGTTTTGGTTTTTTCACATAATTTGAAACTTCTACCTGATATCAAATTTGGTCATTGTTTGCAAAAGCTTAAACTCGCTTTTTGTTAAGATCTTCCAGTCAGATTTGCTACCAAAATTGAATTATATCTATGTTCACAATATATTTCTCAGGAGGACAATTTTCTCCATTTAGGAGGACAATTTTCTTAAATTAATGCTATCTCAGCAACCCTTTACCAGCTTTTAAAGCTACTCCGCTGGTCTCAAAAGGACAAAATTTGTCAATATTTTCCTAAGGTTGTAAGGATACAGCTTTGCAAAAATTTTATATTGAAGAGAAATTTTTTAGTCTCAAGGTGGTATTTTTTGCGCCATATTGTCACAACAAGGTCCTTGATGAGCTTTGAACGTTCTAACCATCATGGAGGCATCGTGTTAATTAAGGTAAAATTGCACTCAAAGTTTTTTTCAAAACTGAAAGGCTGTAGCTTTAAAAATTCTGAATATTCTTGAATTGAATCAACCCCCACCCTGAAACTAACTATTTATAATTAGAGTTTTTGAACAGCCCCTATAGCTTGCACGACCAATGCTTTTTTCGCTCATTTCTAATTCTATAGCCTTGCGAATTGAAAAGGTGAATTGAAAACATTTTGTCCCCTAGAATTTCAGAATCCTGTAGAAAGAGTATAAGTCTAAAACCCTTTGAGTACCCTCTGGCAAACCTTCTTAGCAAAAACGTAACCTTTAGGGGAAGCTTTGAATTTTTGTCAAAAAGTTTTGATCTCTCAAAAATGTAAAGATATTATATTTCGAATACAAATCATCGGAGAAGAATGGCCTCGAAAAAAGTAGTTTTTTGTATTCTAAAAGCATGATTTAAGCAAGTTTAATTCAGAAAATTTTGACTCTAAATTGTTCAAGAAAATGTGAAGATAGTTTAAAGGAAACCTATTTTAAGAGGAAACATATTTGAAGTACTGGAAAGCACTTCAAGCCGATACAAAATGGATTTAAACAAAATGCTTAAAGTACATAAGTAAATTGAGTCTCTGTTGTTTTACAAAGATCGAACCCTATTTCCATGGAAATATTCAAACTTTTGAAGGACATTTTTTACCTAAGAACAGTTTGAAATGTCATAAAAGATCTAAATTTGGTTCAATCGTGTTTTAGCTCTGGGTCTCGTATAACTTCCATAACAAAATCAAGTTTTTCACCAAAAATTCGAACCTTTAAAACTTCAAATTTTAATTTTGATAAAAATGTTGAAAGTTGAATTAAAAAAGCAATTGATTTTGTAAACCAATAGCTTTACTTTTTGTTAAAACTCGAACCCTCTTTACACTCATTATTTTTCCAAAAATACGGCTTTCCTCCCAGAACTAAATTCAATTACTGTCTATTCTGATCAGAAAGAAACAGCTGAGCCTGATTTTAGAACAAAAAATTTTCAAAAAAATTGGACGATTTTTCTAAGCCTATAGCCTTACTCTTTTTACTAAAAATCGAAACCTCTTTATAGTCATTATTTTTTCAAAAATACGGCTTTCTGCCCAGAACTAAGTTCCATTACTGTCTATTCTGATCAGAAAGAAACAGCTGAGCCTGATTATAAAACAAAAAATTTTCAAAAAATTGGACCATTTTTCTAAGCCTATAGCCTTACTTTTTTACTAAAAATCTAACCCTCTTTATAGTCATTATTTTTCCAAAAATACGGCTTTCTTCCCAGAACTAAATTCAATTACTTTCTATTCTGATCAGAAAGAAACAGCTAAGCCTGATTCTAGAAGAAAAAATTTTCAAAAAATTGGACCATTTTTCTAAGCCTATAGCCTTACTTTTTTACCAAAAATCGAACCCTCTTTACAGTCATTTTTTTTCCAAAAATACAGCTTTCTGCCCAGAACTAAATTTAATTACTGTCTATTCTGATCAGAGAGAAACAGCTGAGATTGATTATAGAAGAAAAAATTTTCAAAAAATTGGACGATTTTTCTAAGCCTATAGCCTTACTTTTTTACTAAAAATCTAACCCTCTTTATAGTCATTATTTTTCCAAAAATACGGCTTTCTTCCCAAAACTAAATTCAATTACTTTCTATTCTGATCAGAAAGAAACAGCTAAGCCTGATTCTAGAGGAAAAAATTTTCAAAAAATTGGACCATTTTTCTAAGCCTATAGCCTTACATTTTTACTAAAAATCGAACCCTCTTTACAGTCATTATTTTTCCAAAAATACGGCTTTCTGCCCAGAACTAAATTTAATTACTGTCTATTCTGATCAGAGAGAAACAGCTGAGATTGATTATAGAAGAAAAAATTTTCAAAAAATTGGACGATTTTTCTAAGCCTATAGCCTTACTTTTTTACTAAAAATCTAACCCTCTTTATAGTCATTATTTTTCCAAAAATACGGCTTTCTTCCCAAAACTAAATTCAATTACTTTCTATTCTGATCAGAAAGAAACAGCTAAGCCTGATTCTAGAGGAAAAAATTTTCAAAAAATTGGACCATTTTTCTAAGCCTATAGCCTTACATTTTTACTAAAAATCGAACCCTCTTTACAGTCATTATTTTTCCAAAAATACGGCTTTCTGCCCAGAACTAAATTCAATTACTTTCTATTCTGATCAGAAAGAAACAGCTAAGCCTGATTCTAGAAGAAAAAATTTTCAAAAAATTGGACCATTTTTCTAAGCCTATAGCCTTACTTTTTTACCAAAAATCGAACCCTCTTTACAGTCATTATTTTTCCAAAAATACGGCTTTCTGCCCAGAACTAAATTCAATTACTGTCTATTCTGATCAGAAAGAAACAGCTGAGCCGGATTTTAGAAGAAAAAAGTTTCAAAAAATTGGACGATTTTTCTAAGCCTATAGCCTTACTTTTTTACTAAAAATCGAACCCTCTTTACAGTCATTATTTTTCCAAAAATACGGCTTTCTGCCCAAAAATAAATTCAATTACTGTCTATTCTGATCAGAAAGAAACAGCTGAGCCTGATTTTAGAACAAAAAATTTTCAAAAAAATTGGACGATTTTTCTAAGCCTATAGCCTTACTCTTTTTACTAAAAATCGAAACCTCTTTATAGTCATTATTTTTTCAAAAATACGGCTTTCTGCCCAGAACTAAGTTCCATTACTGTCTATTCTGATCAGAAAGAAACAGCTGAGCCTGATTATAGAACAAAAAATTTTCAAAAAATTGGACGATTTTTCTAAGCCTATAGCCTTACTTTTTTACTAAAAATCTAACCCTCTTTAAGTCATTATTTTTCCAAAAATACGGCTTTCTTCCCAGAACTAAATTCAATTACTTTCTATTCTGATCAGAAAGAAACAGCTAAGCCTGATTCTAGAAGAAAAAATTTTCAAAAAATTGGACCATTTTTCTAAGCCTATAGCCTTACTTTTTTACCAAAAATCGAACCCTCTTTACAGTCATTTTTTTTCCAAAAATACGGCTTTCTGCCCAGAATTAAATTCAATTACTGTCTATTCTGATCAGAAAGAAACAGCTGAGATTGATTATAGAAGAAAAAATTTTCAAAAAATTGGACCATTTTTCTAAGCCTATAGCCTTACTTTTTTACTAAAAATCTAACCCTCTTTATAGTCATTATTTTTCCAAAAATACGGCTTTCTTCCCAGAACTAAATTCAATTACTTTCTATTCTGATCAGAAAGAAACAGCTAAGCCTGATTCTAGAAGAAAAAATTTTCAAAAAATTGGACGATTTTTCTAAGCCTATAGCCTTACTTTTTTACTAAAAATCGAACCCTCTTTACAGTCATTATTTTTCCAAAAGTACGGCTTTCTGCCCAGAACTAAATTCAATTACTGTCTATTCTGATCAGAAAGAAACAGCTGGGCCTGATTTTGGAAGAAAAATTTTTCAAAAAATTGGACGATTTTTCTAAGCCTATAGCCTTACTTTTTTACCAAAAATCGAACCCTCTTTACAGTCATTATTTTTCCAAAAATACGGCTTTCTGCCCAGAACTAAATTCAATTACTGTCTATTCTGATCAGAAAGAAACAGCTGAGCCTGATTTTAGAAGAAAAAATTTTCAAAAAATTGGACGATTTTTCTAAGCCTATAGCCTTACTTTTTTACTAAAAATCGAACCCTCTTTACAGTCATTATTTTTCCAAAAATACGGCTTTGTGCCCAGAATTAAATTCAATTACTGTCTATTCTGATCAGAAAGAAACAACTTAGCCTGATTTTAGAAGAAAATTTTTTCAAAAAATTGGACGATTTTTCTAAGCCTATAGCCTTACTTTTTTACTAAAAATCGAACCCTCTTTACAGTCATTATTTTTCCAAAAATACGGCTTTCTGCCCAGAATAAATTCAATTACTGTCTATTCTGATCAGAAAGAAACAACTGAGCCTGATTTTAGAAGAAAAAATTTTCAAAAAATTGGACGATTTTTCCAAGCCTATAGCCTTACTTTTTTACTAAAAATCGAACCCTCTTTACAGTCATTATTTTTCCAAAAATACGGCTTTGTGCCCAGAATTAAATTCAATTACTGTCTATTCTGATCAGAAAGAAACAACTGAGCCTGATTTTAGAAGAAAATTTTTTCAAAAAATTGGACGATTTTTCTAAGCCTATAG